ATCCCAAGCTCCTCGAGTTTATGCAGTACCACATCGACAACTGCCCCACTGAGCGAGGCGAGACCTACCAGCTGGCCAAGGAACTTGGTCAGCAGCTCATTGAGAACTGCAAGGAGGTTCTGAACGCATCCCCTGTTTACAAGGACGTTGCTGTCCCTACTGGCCCTCGCACCACGGTTGACGCTCGCGGCAACCTCAACTACGAAGAGGTTCCCCGCGCCAGCTGCAGGAAGCTCGAGCACTACGTTCAGCAGATGGCTGAGGGTGGAAAGATTTCTGAGTATGGCAACCGCACCAAGGTGCAGAATGACCTGCAGCGTATCTACAAGTTGATCAAGCAGCAGCACAAGATTTCCAAGACTTCTCAGCTCGAGATCAAGAGCTTGTACGGCGATGTTCTGCGCTCCCTGGCCATGAACGAGAGCCAGATCCTCCCCAAGGAGAATGGCAAGGGCCGAAAGCCAGGTCTCAAGGGCACAAACCCCAACAAGGGCAGAGTCGAGACCATCCCCTTCCTCCACCTCAAGAGAAAGACTCTGCATGGCTGGGACTACAGCAAGAAGCTCACTGCTGTCTACCTCAACTGTCTTGAGGAGGCGGCCAAGGATGGTGTCACTTTCCAGGACAAGTATGTCCTGATGACTGGCGCTGGTGCCGGTTCCATTGGTGCCGAGGTCCTGCAGGGCCTCATCAGCGGAGGTGCCAAGGTTGTCGTTACCACCAGCCGATTCTCTCGACAGGTCACCGAGTATTACCAGTCCATGTACAGCCGCTTTGGCTCTCGCGGATCGCAGATCGTCGTCGTTCCCTTCAACCAGGGAAGCAAGCAAGATGTGGAGGCTCTTGTCGACTACATCTATGACACCAAGAACGGTCTTGGCTGGGATCTCGACTTCATCGTTCCCTTCGCCGCCATCCCCGAGAACGGCCGACAGATTGATAGCATCGACTCCAAGTCAGAGCTGGCTCACCGTATTATGCTCACCAACTTGATTCGCATGCTCGGCTGTGTCAAGACTCAAAAGGCTGAGCGTGGCTTTGAGACTCGTCCCGCCCAAGTTGTCCTCCCTCTGTCCCCCAACCACGGTACCTTCGGTAACGATGGTCTCTACTCCGAGTCCAAGCTGGCTCTTGAGACCCTCTTCAACCGATGGCACTCCGAGGACTGGGGCCACTACCTCACCATTTGCGGTGCCGTTATCGGATGGACTCGTGGTACTGGTCTCATGTCTGGCAACAACGTTGTCGCTGAGGGTGTGGAAGCGTTCGGCGTGCGAACCTTCTCCCAACAAGAGATGGCCTTTAACTTGTTGGGCCTGATGTCAGCTACTATTGTTGATCTCTGCCAGTCAGAGCCTGTCTTTGCCGACTTGAACGGTGGCCTGCAATTCATTCCCAACTTGAACGAGTCCATGACTAAGCTTCGCAAGGACATCATGGAGACCAGCGAAATCCGCAGAGCCGTCAGCAAGGAGAGTGCCATCGAGAACACCATTGTTAACGGAGCCGACTCTGAGGTTCTTTACAAGAAGAAGACCATCGAGCCCCGTGCCAACATCAAGTGTGACTTCCCAACCCTGCCCGATTGGAAGACGGAGGTGGCCCCTCTCAACGATCAGCTCAAGGGTATGGTCGACTTGGAGAAGGTCGTTGTCGTGACTGGTTTTGCCGAGGTTGGTCCTTGGGGCAACTCCCGAACTCGATGGGAAATGGAGGCCTACGGCGAGTTTTCGCTCGAAGGCTGTATCGAAATGGCCTGGATCATGGGCCTCATCAAGAACCACAACGGTCCCCTCAAGGGCAAGCCCTACGCTGGCTGGGTTGATGCCAAGACCGGCGAGCCCGTTGATGACAAGGACGTCAAGCAGAAGTACGAGAAGCACATTCTGGAGCACTCTGGTATCCGTTTGATTGAGCCCGAGCTGTTTGACGGATATGACCCCAACCAGAAGCAGCTGCTCCACGAAGTCGTCATTCAAGAGGACTTGGAGCCTTTCGAGGCTTCCAAGGAGACTGCGGAGGAATTCCGACGCGAGCACGGTGACAAGGTGGAGATTTTCGAGATCCCCGAGAGCGGAGAGTACATCGTCCGCGTCAAGAAGGGCGCTTCGCTCTGGATCCCCAAGGCTCTGCGCTTCGACAGACTCGTCGCTGGTCAGATCCCAACTGGTTGGGATCCCAAGCGATATGGTGTCCCCGAAGACATCATCAGCCAAGTGGACCCTGTCACCCTGTTCCTACTCGTGTCAGTTGCCGAGGCCCTCTTGTCGTCTGGTATTACCGACCCATATGAGTTCTACAAGTACGTTCACGTCTCTGAGGTTGGTAACATTGTCGGCTCTGGTATGGGTGGTGCCAAGGCCCTGCGCAGCATGCACAAGGCCCGATACCTCGACAAGCCTGTTCAGAACGATATCTTGCAGGAATCTTTCATCAACACCATGGCTGCATGGGTCAACATGTTGCTGCTCTCTTCCTCTGGACCTATCAAGACCCCTGTCGGCGCTTGTGCTACCGCCATTGAATCTGTCGACATTGGCGTGGAGACGATTCTCGAAGGCAAGGCACGCATCTGCCTTGTTGGTGGCTTCGACGACCTTGGCGAGGAGGGTTCTTATGAGTTTGCCAACATGAAGGCTACCAGCAACACTGTGGACGAGTTCGCCCATGGCCGTACACCCGGCGAAATGTCGCGTCCTACCACCACTACCCGAAACGGCTTTATGGAGTCTCAGGGATGCGGTGTCCAGGTCATCATGACTGCTCAGCTCGCTCTGGACATGGGAGTCCCTATTCACGGTATCCTTGCCTTCACCACCACCGCCTCTGACAAGATTGGACGATCCGTCCCTGCACCTGGCAAGGGTGTCCTCACATCTGCACGAGAGCACGCCGGCAAGTTCCCATCGCCGCTGCTTGATATCAACTACCGCCGCCGCCAGATTGAGCGTCGCAAGAAGCTGATCAAGCAGTGGGAAGAGTCTGAGTTGGAATTCCTGCACGATGAGGTTGATGCTATGAAGGCCCAGGGTGGTGCCTTTGACGAGAAGGAGTACGCTCAGGATCGCATGCTGCACATCCAGAAGGAGGCCGCAAGACAAGAAAAGGAGCTCCTCCGAAGCATGGGCAACAACTTCTGGAAGAGCGACCCAAGCATCGCTCCACTCCGAGGTGCCCTTGCAACCTGGGGCCTTACCATTGACGACCTCAAGGTGGCCTCGTTCCACGGCACATCCACTGGCGCCAACGACAAGAACGAGTCCGCGGCCATCTGTCAGCAGCTGCGTCACCTTGGCCGAAGCGAGGGCAATGCTATCATGGGTGTCTTCCAAAAGTTCCTTACTGGTCACCCCAAGGGTGCTGCTGGTGCTTGGATGTTGAACGGCGGCCTGCAGATCCTCAACACTGGAGTGGTCCCTGGTAACAGAAATGCCGACAACATTGACCCCATCATGGAGCAATACGACCTGATTGTCTACCCGAGCCGTAGCATCCAGACCGACGGAGTCAAGGCTTTCTCCTTGACCTCATTTGGTTTCGGACAGAAGGGAGCTCAGGCAGTCGCCGTTCACCCCAAGTATCTGTTCGCTACCCTCGACGAGAAGACTTACGATGCGTACCGCGTCAAGGTCGAGGCCCGACAGAAGAAGGCCTACCGCTTCTTCCACAATGGAATGATCAGCAACACCCTGTTTGTCTCCAAGGCCAATGCTCCTTACACTGACGAGCAGCTGAGCGCTGTTCTGCTGAACCCTGATGCTCGTGTGACCGAGGATAAGAAGACAGCAGAGCTCACATATGCGGCCAACTTCATGAAGGCGTCTGAGAAGGTCACTCCTGCGGCCACTGTCAAGGAGACGCAGCAGGTCATCGAGGCGCTCGCTCACAAGGTGACGAGCAAGAACAGCAACGTGGGCGTTGATGTCGAGGATATTCCCTCATTCAACATTGACAATGACACTTTCATTGAGCGCAACTTCACCAGCCAGGAAGTGGCCTACTGCAAGACTGCTCCTAGCCCGCAGAGCTCGTTCGCCGGCCGATGGAGCGCCAAGGAAGCCGTGTTCAAGGCTCTTGGTGTTGCCAGCAAGGGAGCTGGCGCTGCCTTGAAGGACATTGAGATTCTCAAGGACGATACTGGCGCACCTGTCGTTACTGTAAGTTGTTCTAAATACCTTATATTCATGGAAGAGCATTCCGCTAACCTGTTTTCTAATAGCTTCATGGTGAAGCGGCTGCTGCTGCTAAGCAAGCCGGTGTTAAGGAGGTCTCGGTCTCCATTTCACACGCCGATAAGCAGGCCGTTGCCGTGGCAGTTGCCCATTTTTAGATGCCACCATGGATGATGGCTTGATTATGCATCGCATTTAGAATGGGATAATGGGTTTGAATCATAGGGGCGTTGCTGCAGAACAGGAGGCTCTATTGATTCAACTTTTAATATGTATCATGGGAATGACGGCATGGACAGGTAACAGATGCATTAGATTTATGAGACATTTACTAGTACGACATATTAGTTGAATGACCCTTTAGAAGGTCATCTAAAGATTTTTTATTATTTTATCGATTTCTACCATTATGTCTGATCATGCAATTGCTAATGCTCATTGTGATCGATTGACGGCTCGTATCAAACGCCCAGTTTCTCCATTTACCCTAAACCTGACAACTGTTATCAGTAATGTTGATATCCAAAAGTGTAACGGACACAGTGGTGCCATTGGGTATCAATTGATTTCGTAGATTGACGGTTGGCGCATAACATCTCTTTGTCTGGAGAGCTCTCCTCGTCGTAGTTGTCCACCGCCGTCGATATTTCTTGAAGAGCTCGTCCTATTCTTCTTCTTATCCGGCCCGAGTGTGACATCCGTACATGATAGCATTCGTTACTACCATGGCCATTATCATCCCTGTCCCACCTTTTCCCCGATTTCCTCCACATTCTATGCATTTCAGCATCGTCGTTGTCAGCGTCGTCGCTGCTGTTGCGCCCTTTTCTACTGGCCACGTCCCCTTCCACGGCCTCCTCTGCCTCCGCCACGGCCCCCTCTTCCCCTGTCGCCGCCTCCACGGCCGCCGTGATCGCCTCTTGACTGGTGGCCGCCGCGACCGCCACGGAAGCCGCCCTGCTGGCCTTTCTGCTGCTCGGTGACCTGGTCGATGATTTCGTCGGGGACGCGAAGGTATTTGATCTGCCAAGCCCCGAGAGGGTTAGTTGCTGGTAACAGAGGAACTGCTAGTGCGTGGTGCTGAAGGGGTAAGAACGTACATTGTTTCCTTTGACGTAGACTTCTGGGAGGCGCATGAATTTATCTCCTTCCTGTGATTGCATGACGCATATGTTAGAGGAACCGGACCGGGAAAAAAAGAGGTGCGTCTTTTGGGGGAGTCGTTGTAAGCGTACCGGGCTTGTCTGCACAACCTCTTTCAGGGTGAGGTTCATCCACGTATCGCACATGACCAGGTGACCATTTAGAGTCTCTCCGTTCTTGAGTTCGACCAGCATGGGGTGGCCCTGGGCCGCGTTGAGCAATCCGAGAGGGAGCTGCGATCATGCACATTAGCAGCGATTCGTTTCGGCGAGCAGCATTACGAGGAGCCGGACAAGGCAGGGCAGGGCAGGGCAGGGCAGGTCATACCATGATTGGGGAGTGTGCCTCTGTTGGGCGGAGCGCGAGTGGGATTCCTGCTTGTCGGTTCTCTGTCGCAAGGGCTGATGTCGCGTGAGGACAAAAAAGGGCTTGTGGCTCTATTTTTGGACGTTGAGGTTGCGAATGGAAGCTGATATGTGCTAAGTCAGAAAGCTTCTGGAGGAACCCCGCCATGTGCATGACCCCGGCTGCCAAGTACTCCGGTACGTACTTTGTGCGGACAAGGTACATACGAGCGTTCGGAAAGCTTTCCGCGCCAAAATATTCTGAATGCCTCAACTTGAACAACGACACACACAAGCGTGAGGAGTTGAAGCTGCGTCTGCGGCGAGTTGAGTATGCAGCGAGGCCAATTGCTCTATGACGGGCTATGGCGCTGCTTGTGCCCGTCCTTTGACAAAGTAGCCCTACGCACGGCGGTTCATCGACAGAGCTTGCCTCGCACACGATATGCCAGGGCGAGGCCAGTGCATGTGCGGCGCTACGAAACAAGTTCTAGTTTCGCATCATCAAACGGGATATCAAATCATGGATCTTCTCAGCCAAGCCCTCAGCCAAGCTCTCAGACCAGCGAGGCGCAACAGGGAGAAGAGAGCAACGGCGGTAACCTCACAGATGCCGTGACCCGATCCTGGAGAGCGAGACTTCTTGCCCCCACAGCACCATCAGAGGAGACACTCAAAGCCAGCACAACTGAGGAGATTATGGCAGCTCTGGCTTCGCTTCGAGATGCGAAGAGGTGGGCGCCAGCCAACAACCAAGAAGTTGACCAGCATCTACGAATAGTTCAGCTAGTACAGCATCTCATGCGAGTCGAGGATCAGCCTATTACCCCTTTTATTTACGAGTGTCTCATGGACGCCATGGCTCATCCTCGAGGCTCCGTCGACGGCATACGCCGCATCCTGGACGACATGGTCGAGCAGCAGGGGATGAAGCCAACGTCGGAATTATGCAACGCCGCCTTGAGAGCGCTGATGAATCATCCAGACTACGTCTTACGGCTGGAGATTCTCAGTATAATGCAAGAGTATTGGTTTACAATCGACACGCCGGTGAAGCAGACAGTTGCAATTGGACTGCTGCGGGACGACCAATATGAGCTGGCGTATGCAAGGCTTACGGAGATGATTGAGCAAGGAGCCAATGTTGACCCTTGGGTCTACGACATCTTCATCTTGGTGTTTGGGAAGCTCGGGTTCTTGGATGAGATGTTGCAGCTTCTCTATAGACGCAAGAATATCGCTGGCAGCACAGACCCCATGGTCATCAATCTGACATATTACGCATTGGATGTGTGTGGTCAGGCATATCACCATGCGGGGACTCTCTTTGGCTGGCTCTCGGTGGTGCAAAATCACCTTGTGCAGCCGTCAGATGGCATCCTTGAGAACGTACTAGGGACGGCGGCTAGAAACGCAGACGCGCAGCTTGCGACAGAAGCACTGGACATGGTGTCACAACGAACAAGAGCCCAACCCTACCACTACGAGGCCGTCGTAGAGGCCTTTGCTGGCAGCGGAGACTTGGCAGCAGCAATACGAACCCTCAGCATCATGGCAGAAAACGGCATAAGGATCGGACGTGGCTACACCAGAACGCTACACAAGGCACTCAGGGGTCGTCCGGAGCTCTTGAATGACGCCGAAGCGGTGGTGCGGGAGGCAGCCCGTGCTCGTTCCGTGCCTCGTGCGGCCGCGGCTGCTGTGGTTGAGTCAATTGCAGAGGCCGACGGCAGCGCCAAAGCTTTGTCTCTATACCGAGAGCTGCCGACGCTCTGCGACGTGGAGCCGCCTAATGCAAGGATGCTGCAGAATCTAATCATCCATAGCGCTGATGAAGCTACGGCCAAGTTCTTCACAAAGGAGTATGCAGATCAAATTTCAGAAAATGATGACCCGACTCAAAGCACGGCGACCTTGAGTCTTTTGATTACGAAGTGTGCTGAGATTGGCGAGATGGACTTGGCGTTCCGATTCGTGAAGCAAGCCATGGCCAGCGGGATTACGAAGAGTCGATCATTACGATGGATCAGCGTCTTGGTTGAGCAGGCAACTACGAGAGAGGACAGTCGGGTCTGGCCTGTGGTGGATTCACTCCTCAACACGGGCGACGAAGACACGGCCAAGAGCGTGCGCAGGATTCTGCAGCAGAAGAGGATTTCAAAGCTAGCCTCGCAGTGGAGGACGAAAACTCCAACCACGGCGCCCTGAGTGGATGTAGATCTAATAAGAACCCCATCGGCACAATGCAACTACAGTGGTGATCCAAATAAGACTGAAAGCGATGTGGGCAACGTAGCCACCTATACGCATCGATTATGTGACGATGGTCAACTTATCAACTCCTCCGTGTAGGGAAGGCTGAGTCGTTTTGATATACGGTTTATCAGCGGAAGGTTCATATTTCCGATCGGAGAAAAGGGGTGCATTTATAAGAAGCCGCCCGTTTGTAATGAAAGATTAGATGGTAGATTCACACCACATGTCGACATCCTAGCGACATGCCGTGTGAAAAAAGTCTCCAGTTGGCCAAGTCAAGGCCCAGACACAGAGCTATTAGATTCATTCCGAATGCGGCAACTGCAGGGCCCTAAGGGTGGAATATTCAAAGATTTTCAGACAGGCATCACGCTATTGAAGTCCAAACATTTCGGACGGGGCATCACGCTGTCGACGTCGTTGCCCCGTCCCGGAACTGCTCAAGGCCAGATATTCACGGAAGAAACGAGCCAGCCAACCGGACGTCGTTGAATATTGCGTCCCGGGTGAATCGGGCGGCACGGGAGCCGGCGCCTTGGGCTAGGCTGGGCAACAGTCGTGAAAACGTGTGAATTGCGACGACGGATCCCACCTGTCGAAGATGACAAAAGACGGCCTATCGTCTCTCCGAGGTGACTCACCGGTTCACCCAATAGGGCAAGGCGAGCAACGCGGCTCCTCTCTCTCTAGTGAAATCTCGGAAATAGTAATCAAGATGCTCCCTGAGCTCAAGTGCTCAAAGGATTCGGCCAAGGAGCTAGAGCTGGGAGGATCAAAGAGAGAAGGACGAATCGTCACAGTGGCGCTGACAAGTCCCATCAACAATTATTAATGCGTGGGTGGCTGCTGATTGGGCTTGAACGAAATAGATTCCGATTGGGCATAGACGGGAGGCGGGCTTACTAGTGGGATCTGATACAGTTGTGATTGGCTGCTGTTTCGAAGGATGGAAGACGGCAGAGGCTTCAATTCCACATGCTGGCTTTTGACTTTTTGGCGGCTTGTGCTTCTCATCGGGTGGGCAAACGACGCGAGCGGAGAGCGAGATGGAAGAGAGGAGGGAGAAGAACTGATGAAGCAGAGATGACGGCGGTTGAAGAGCGTTTACCAAATTGGGCAAATTAGCCGTTTGATACGAACAAGGTTGAAGTCTGTTTTGTTCGACGGCGAAATACGAGTGAATGGGATGAGCAAACAGAGTTTCGAACGATTTTCAACTGTTGAGCCCGTTTCAAAATCTGACGTTGATCGCTCGGGTCAAAAACCGGAGCAATGGCCATGACCTCGGACTTGAGAAGTGGAATTACGACACAACACAACGGCACCATTTGTCAACAAATAATTGCCTATCTCACTCGAGCCTGAAGCTCACTGTCCAGGGCCAGCACTATCTCAGCAGCTGGAGATTCTAGACCGACCCCAGCACGTCATCCTGCATCTGGCGCATCTCTGCAATCTGCTTTAGTCGCCTTACTCCGAGCCAATCTGCATATTAATCAACAGCAACTATTACCTCCATCTGCGTTAGGCCAGCGTTATGCCAGCGTTATGCCAGCAGCATGCTAAACCAGATTAAGCATCACTTCTACCAGTGCCGACGCCCAGTTCCTCGGAAATGGAGACACTAAGCCATCGTCTTGTTGCAGTAGTAGAGTTCTGACCCTCGGCCCTTGTCATGCTGGTTGGTAAGCCTCTTTGCCCGTTGGGTGAAAGCCTTTTTGTTTTCTCTGCTGTTCTTTTCCGCTTAGATTGCAAAATTTATTCTTTTCTCTATCCACCCGGCACTTGCTAGCCTCGCCGGTCAGCCAATTAGCTAAATCGTCACTTCAGTTCGCAACACGCCCTTCAGACCCATGACAGCGCAACCCCGAATCTCAATCTCAGGGCCGAATCGCTTCGGGCTTAACACAATTGCCTGTTACAGGCAGAGCTGTGCCCCAAGCAAAATTCTGCACGCCTCACTGGATACCTCCGGCGTCCGATCGAATACCGGCTTTACTAAGCTTAACCCCCCAAAAGTCCGCGCCGGGGGGATGTGGTGTTAGCAACGGGCTATGCTAGATTGCATCTTGTCCACTATACTCGGGCTGGCGTCACTAGCATAATGCTATGATGCGTGCATGCTTTGTAACTTCCACATGCCAGCCCGGAGGTTTGGCAGTTTTCCGCTGACACATCTGAGAAGCTTAACATGCCGCATGGATACTGGCAGGATCCATATTCGCTTGGCCAGGCTAGGGCTGATGGAGCATGAGTCCCAGAGCAATGGAATCCGTGCGAATCTATCTGGATCTTGCAAATAACCTTTCCATGGGGGTCGGATTACAGATCAAGAGGAGCTGGTGTGGAGCCGGTTGGCTTGCTCAATCTTGCGCAATGAAGCTCGGGGAGACAAGTGACGGGGGGGTATAAGAACGAAGCTTGTGGCCGTTTACTATCGGGAGGTCAGACTACCAGACATTCCAGAAACATTGGCTTCTTACTCCTGAGCAAGAGAGGCTTGATATCACGAAGCGGCCTCGTATATACCCGACTGTTTATTAAACATTGTGACACACAACATAACGCTTACACATTAATCACATCATCAACGGCCTTTATATATAAACAGCCACAGCCACCGAGCTTTGCTTTCCGTCTCGACAACTTGAGACTTACCAGACGTATATATATAATATCACATCGGATATACACACTTCCCTGTGTCGATTAATCTTGAGCATCACAAAGATCACTCATCTCTGTCTATCATGGCGGACATCATCCGTGACGCCGCCATTGGGCAACTCATTCGCTGGGTGACAAGGAAGCGATATCTCAAATACCCCGAAGAAAGGGACGACTTCACTCTCCCCGAGCCCTGGGTTCAACTCGTCAGCGGCGTCCCCATTACATCTCACAACACATCCACATCAGATACCTCCACAGCTGCCGAGGGCAAGGAGACGGGCGGCATCCTACGCACGCCGTCCAACGGCAGCACCCGCCGAGATGCATCTCCGCCTCCGTCCCGGGCGCCCAAGGATGAGGAGCAGCCTGCCGAGCCCGAGACGCGGCATTCGGAGGAGCACCACGAGGTTTCGCACGAGCACGCACAGCATTCGGACCTGGGCGACATGACATCGCGGAGACGCCACGAGGATCAAGAGCACGAGCTCGAAAAGGTCAAGTCCATCCCCATTGTGCCGCAGACGACAAAGGATGGCGCCATTCTCGTCGACTGGTACTACACAGACGATCCCGACAACCCGTACAACTGGAGCAGAAACAAGCGTCTCGCCATCAACGTTATCATTTGCCTGTACACCTTCGTCGTCTACACCACATCGGCCATCTACACCACCTCCGAGGGCGGCATCATGCAGCGCTTCGGCGTCAGCGAGATCAAGGCCACGCTGGGTCTGTCCATCTACGTGCTGGGCTACGGCATCGGCCCGCTCATCTTCTCTCCGCTTAGCGAGATCCCATTGATCGGACGCAACCCCGTCTACATCACCACCATGTTCCTGTTCGTCATCATCTCCATCCCGACGGCCTTTGCGCCAAACTACCCCGGCCTGATGGTTCTGCGATTCCTGCAGGGCTTCTTTGGATCGCCGTGTTTGGCGTCTGGTGGTGCTTCGCTTGGTGACATGTACAGCCTGATGGCTCTGCCCTATGCCATGATGTCTTGGGTCGCTGCCGCATACTGTGGACGTAAGATACACCTCCCCTCTCATTGTCCTCCTCCTCTCTGTCCTGTTTCTCCTAGCTAACACCTTTTCCCAGCTGCCCTGGGCCCTCTCCTTTCTGGTTTCGCCGTCCCCAAGGAATCATGGCGCTGGTCTCTCTTCGAGTCCATCTGGGCCTCCGCCCCCGTCTTCATCTGCATGTTCCTGTTCCTCCCCGAGACCAGCAGCGCCAACATCCTCCTCCGCCGTGCCCGCCGCCTGCGCAAGCTCACTGGCGACTCGCGTTTCATGTCCCAGAGCGAGATTGACCAGCACAATCTGCACGCTGGCGACATTCTCCTCGATGCCTTGATCAAGCCTCTTGAGATCACCATGAAGGATCCCGCTGTTTTGTTCGTCCAGGTGTATACCGCCATCATCTACGGCATCTACTATTCATGTTAGTTTCCAGTCACTAAATTTTAACCCTTTTTTCAAGCTCTCAAATACTAACCCTCATAACCAGTCTTCGAGGTCTTCCCCCTTGTCTACCCCGTCTTCTACGGCATGAACCTCGGCCAAGTCGGCCTCGTCTTCCTCTGTATCCTCGTTTCCTGCATCATTGGCGTCGCCATCTACTCAGCCTATCTGTACTTCTACCAGAACCCACGCATCGACAAGTTTGGCTGGCCCGTCCAGGAAGAGCGTCTCATCCCAGCCCTTCCCGCGTCCGTCGGCCCAACCATCGGCCTCTTCCTCTTCGCCTGGACCGCCCGCGCGTCTATCCACTGGATCGTGCCCACCATTGGCATCACCATCTACGGCGCAACGGTCTTCATCGTCATGCAAGCCATCTTCATCTACATCCCTCTCAGTTATCCAAAGTACGCCGCTAGTCTCTTCGCTGCAAACGACTTCTTCAGAAGCGCTCTTGCTTGCGGCAGTGTCTTGTTTGCGCACCCGCTGTTCCACAATCTTGGTGTTGCCAGGGGCACCAGTCTCCTTGGAGGCCTGAGCGTCATCGGTATCATCGGTATCTGGCTGCTGTACTTCTACGGCGCCAGACTCCGAAAACTCAGCAAGTTTGCCGAGTCTGGAGAGGCGGACGAGGAGCCTATTACTCAGGAGAAGAATTAAAGGGCGCTGCTAGAGAAGAGAATTAGAATGCAACAAGTTATATGAGTTTTAAGGATGAAGATCCTCATGAATACCCCCCCTCTCTGGATTAATTGGATGAATATATTTGCTTTGTCGTGGCGGGATGTTTGGGGATACGAAAATATTTTCGTTTCCTTTTTTTTTAATGAGTCAAGATGGGCATGGTGCCAGGTATTGGATAAAAGGGAGGTTTTCTGGGAGGTGGTCAAATCGATTCAGCTAGACTTTTTCTTTTGAGAGCATCATATAATAATATCATGACAAAGCGATTTCAAAACCCATTTTTGGGACCAATATAGTGCATCATCATACCATGTTTTGTCTCATTCATACGCTCATCCATTGCCATCCCATTCCTATATCTCTACCCGACGGAGGTGATTCTTCTCCTTAGAGAAAATATATGTACATATAGTAAGGTTGGAGAGCCCGGTTCGTAGCAACAAGGGAAATAAAGGGATGAAAAACAGCTGAATAAACCCCCCCAAAGGGCCAACAATTTATTCAAGCTCACACAGAGCGTTTAAGCTAAGCCATGCCAAAGCAACAAGGGGAAAAGAGAAACTCCATTCGCGCCATGAACTGGGGATGCCCCTCTGAGGGCGCAGATAAAACCCCCCTTACTCCAAGCCATCTGCAGTTCTCTCGCTTAAATCACAGTGAACAGATGAGAATCAAGAATGAGCGGGAGGAAAAGAGGAAAAGAAAAAGCCCACCTCCTACGCCGATGTTTTGGTCTCCATCGCTGATCCATCTCATGAATCCCCCGGCATGTTCCAGCTGTAGTTTGACCCGTGCCCAGCGGTACCCGCATAGCCAGCTCCCGACTGGTTATTGAAGCCATACCACGCCTGGTGCTGTGTTGCTTGTTGTGTGTGCTGTTGCTGCTGGTGCTGCTGTTGCTGCTGGTGCTGCTGTTGAATTTGCGATGGGTATGCGGAATAGTTTCGGTCCGGCTTCAACGCATTCTGGCCTGGCCTGGGCGTCGGATTTTGTGATCCCACGGTAAAGGTCAGCCGCGAATTGCGCCTCGGATCCGAGTTATTGTTACTAAACTCTTGGATTTGCGCGCTTCCCCTTGACCCCATGTGTGTTGTCTGGTTGGTATGGGAGGTGTTTCGGGAGGCGGAATTCCCATAGGAGCCATACGTCTGTGAGCCCGCACGATCTGCAGACAATTTCGTTGCTATTTGTATGGTACCAGCAGTCGTCGTTGTCGCATGCGAATCGTGGCCATAGCCAGAGTACGAGGTGGTGCTGGCCGCATCTCTCTGGTACGAGTATGGCTCGTACGTGATTCTGTCAGTTGACACATCCGGCCCTCGGGTGCTAGAATAACGATCGTAGCTATTATATGTCGCTGAGCCAAGCCCCTTCCCATGGGTATTAGGCTGTTGCCGCTGCCGTTTCGGATCTGACATATTTGGATTCTGAAAGGCATCTGTTGATGTTTCGTGAACCGCACCTCGTTTCTGGAGCTTACCGGTCCGTGAGCTGCTTGCGGCTCGTGAAACATCATTCATTGGCGATACAGCCCCAGAACGTTGAAGTGATGCCGCAGCCACGTTTTGTTGATGGGAATCCTCCAACGTCGGGGACATCGCCGTAAGAAGCCAGGCACTGCTTCGGCCAGGTGAATCGGCTATTCCGTAGGCGGGCTCCTGGGAGTTCTGATTCTGCATCGATGTCACAACTGCTGCTACAACTGCTGCTGCTTGAGTAACTGGGTTACTGCCATTGGACCAGTCCGAAGTTGTCGTGGAATTCAAGGGGCTGATGCTGTCCTCCTGCTGAGTGGTCCTCATCCCCACGTTGCGCCCCGACCCTTTTGCTGAGAATTTGGTTGGCTTTTTTCTGTGTTCATGAGCCATTGGCTGCGTCAGCGTCTGGTCCTGCATCTCCGATGCCAAGATGTTGGAGTAGTAGTGGCGTCCCTGTGGCAGGAGTAGATCAGACAGCGGCACACTGCTCTGGTGTGAAGGCTGAGAGGAGCCAGCTTCGGAGACCCCCATGTTTGTGTGTTGGAAATAGTTCTGCGGAGGATGGTGGTGTTCCCAATCATCAACAGTAACGGCCATATTGTTTGCTAGTGCATCTCCAATCGGCATATGGTCGTCTACAGAGTCATCGGGCAGCTCAGGATAACCTTCCGCATCCTCTTGGAGCTGCTGGTCTTCAAGACGTGTTTCATCATGTAATTCGGCCCCTATCTCGTCCTGCTCATTCTCATCCTGCTCTTCTTGTTCATCTTGCTCATCTTGCTCATCTTGCTCATCTTGTTCATCTTCTGTTGTGATGAGGGCACTGGACTTCACTTTCTTTGGCTTGGGGGCAGCATATTCACAAATCAAACCCGCCTCCCGACACCCGCTACATATTGGGGTTTCTCTCGGACACTACAAGTGCACCATTAGTATCAACAACTTTTTCAACCCCGATTAAGATAAGCGGTTATTTGCCGTCTTACCTTGACTCTGCGCTGTTTACACTGAGCGCAGGCATTTCTTGATTTGCCCGTCCCCCTCCTCCGTCTCGATTTCTTGACGCTTCCGGCGAGGTCTGAATCTGCATTTGCTTCTCCGCCATCATCATTTACCGTTGGACTCTTTCTCCGACTCTTCTTCTTATTTGTGGGGGTAGACGTTTGTAGCACCAGTTCATCAGTAGTGACCGGGCCAGATGAGCTTCCTTGTATGTTACTCTGAGTCGCAGGGGTAGAAGACGGATTTGAAGCTGAAGGCGGGGTAGAGCCTTCTTTATTGCCAGGATGGACAATACGGAGACGCTCCGCGCCATACTTAACGAGCATGTTGAGTGACTCCTTCTGTAGCTCTGGAGATTGATTTGCAAAAATGTTAAACTGCTCTGGCGAAAGAGAGTCTGGCTCAACACCCGCACCCTGAAGCATAACCATGGCAACGTTTCGACGTCGCTCCGCCTCTTCGGGCGAAACGTTGATGGTGAGCAGCCCTGCAGCGGAGTTTTGGGCAGCCGCTGTCTCATCCTGAGCATGCTGCTGTTGGCCAGTTGAGCTGCTGCTCTCCTCTCCCGATTGGAGCTGATTTGCCTGAACAGCGGCAGTATCCTGAGAACCAAGTGCGCTTTGCTCTTCTGGAGCCCCGACATCGTCTGTTTTCCTCTTTCTTTTCCTCGACTTGCTGCCTTCATCCCCCAGCGTTTTTTCGGCATCTCTTTTTTTCCTCGATAAGCCTGGCTGCCTCGGTGTCTTGAATTGTTTATCAGCGGTGGGGAGAGGACGTCGTGGAGATGGAGGCTTGAATAGGATCGCTAGCTGAGCAACTGTGCGGTGGAGAGGGATATGGTCATAGTCAATGGATATAGTTCTACTGCTTCGGGAAAAGGAGATGATGAGTGATCCTCGACAGTCAAACGCAGGCCGGCCTAAGGCTATGTTAGCACATATACAAAGTTCGCCAGGACAATTGGAGATCGGATGCTCACTTGCTAACAGTGGATCAATCTCTCTCTGTGAGTAGTCTGCAACCAGCGGCTTGACCTGGCTCTTGTGCTGTCGCTGCCAGTGCTGCATGGAGCCCTTGCAGACATACGAAAAGGTCCAGTCCTGCGTTGCTCGCGACACCTCCCGCACCGTCCATTCGCTTCCATCAACCTGGCCAACCACAGCGACGAGGCAGTTGGCAATGGACCGCTGCAGCACTGGATCGTCGGCCGGCTGGTTCAGCAGAGCGTCGCTCACACGCACCACACGGGTCGCCTGCCCTTTGTCTGCATCCGTAGACACGCTCGTCGACTGGGCTCCTCCCAGCGACGGATCCAGCGTGCTCAGCCCCTCCAGCGCATGATTGTCTCCCTCCGACACTCCAAGCGTCAGCTGGGCCGATGCTGAAAGGTCCAGCCTTGTCGCAACACGCTCCGCCCGGGTCTCGCTGACTTTGTCACCGAAAACATCTCGCAGTTGTGACTGCAGCTCCTCAACAGAGGCACAAGGCCTGCTGTCGAGCCTGCTGGGCTCCTCATCTCGGAAATTGAAGCTGGCGAGGAAGTCCATCGGCCGTCTGCCCAAAGCCGGTACCGTGGGCGATTGCGCGCTGCGAGGGCGCTACAGAAATTGGGCCACGTCGGGCTCTTGCTGCAGAGACGAGATGAACAGGCGGCGTTTCAATAACAGTGAGGATGAGTCCGCTAGTGCTGACCATGGCGGTGGAATTGGTGATGGCAGATGGCGATCCTAGACCTGGACATGGACATGGACATGGAAAGAAAGAAGTACTGGGGGTGCAAATCGGAGGGGGCGTGAGCTGAGCACCATCACGCGGCAAAAACACACCTTTGGTTGGTGCATTTGCTGAAGTAGCCGCCGTGTTATACTGGCTCTCAGGCGTGCAAATATTTCATTTGCATCATCACAAGGCAGGCTATACAATTCGTCACTATTTAATTTTACTTTGTTGCTATATTTCACTTTGCATGTATTTTTCGTCCCAAATAATGACCAAGTGGCAACAGCTTCACCTGGTCAATTGGTTGGAATCCAATACACACGTGGCCGCAAAAAGCGTAAAGTGAAAAGGCCCATGTAAGTGAATCGCAAACGAGATCAGCAACAGAAAGAAAGCAGCATCGCATCAGTAATTCTCAAAATCTGGCTCATAAGGCTACATCTCATAATTAAATACGTGGAAACTAGATAAAAAGCAAGAAAGAGCCGCACCATAACCTGTACAGAAGAAAGCCGGTGGTTTTGTATACGCTCGTCCAACACTTAGCTATTTTCCTCAACCCATTGCTCTATCCGCTCTACCAAATCGGCTTTCTTACCGCTCGTGCTGATCCCCCTTGCGCCGGCAACATCCTTTAGCTGCACCACTGTCATTTTTGAGAGGCCTTCGCTCTCGACGGCAAGCTTGAGTTGCGCCATGCTAAATGTCGATCCGCTGGGTCGCTCTGCAGCCGCCTTTCTCTGCTTTGCAGGGCGGTCTGAGGTCTCATCTTCCGCCTCTCGTTTCAAGGACCTAGATCTGACGGCCCTATCCGCCTCGTCTTTTAATGTCTCTGCCCAGTCTTCCAAATAACCACCGGCGCGCTTGCTTATAGCTTTATTCTTAGGCTCTGTCAAGTCTTCGGGCTTCTCCGGTACCTCCTCGTCCAAGGCGAGGGTCTGCAGGATCTTGTAGTGCCACTGAAGAGCCGGGTTCGGGTATTTCAAGGGGTTATATATGCCCTTTGGGAGGTTGAGCTGCTGCACAATCACTCTCATTTTTGTCTTGAGATCCTCTGAACAGTCAATCCTGCGGTCGGCACTGATCTCTCGCATGTCATCTGCAGCGGGGAGAGGATAAATCCACAGTCCGGCTGGCAGATATGGGGTCCCAGAAGTCTCATCAGATTGCTCTCTCGAAGGAATCAGAGCAGCAATCATGGGCTGTGCATTGGACCGAAGGACGCACCAAGCGAGACCAATCTTGTCGTCGTTTAGCAGCTTTTGCCACAGGGCTGAAAATACGCGTGAGGACCCAATGTAATCCTCTTCGCTTGGGAAGATGAAAGTGGATTTCTTTACGCTTGCCCAGGCGGGAATCATGTCGCGCTTCTTGAATCCGATAATCCGAATAATGGGCGAGCCGAAATCCCGGAGGTTTTTCTGTTCCTCGGGTGTAAAATATACATACTCGCCGCCAAACTTGTAGGCCTTCTTGATCTCTTGCTTTTCGACAGTTCTCGCAGAATCTTCTGCAATTCTTGTTGTCTCGCCTGTTGCAATCTGGGCTTTTTCCCCATCAAGCCAGATGTAGCACGTTCTTGCTGGTGCTTGTCGTTGCACGATGTTGTAACCCTTGACGGTTATCCGGAGCCCAGGCGCAATTTCAAAGGGCAGATGAAATAATGCTCTCTTGGGCGTCTGTTTGGAGTTGATATTGGAGATGAGCGAATTTAGAAGAGACAATCCATCGCCAGATTTAGAGGTCCGGACTTCAGTGCCATTGGCCTCTGCACCAGGATCGCGATAGACAATATCCTTGGTCTTTGTTAGTTGCGTGGGGAAATGGTGGGAAAGGGTTACAAGACATACATCGTAGAACTTGCCAAGGTCAAACTTTGACTCTCCTCTGGTGATTGGGAATAAGTCAATGGTAATACCCAAATCGTACAGATCCTTTGCTCGGACAGCAGCCGCGGACCTCGCCGCTTTATCTGATGCATGCGGATCATCGTTGTCGGTCACAATGAATAGTCGGCGACTACCAAAGTTGGCAGCCTTTGTGGTGAATATCTGGTTGGCGCAGAAGAGCACGTTTGACATGGAAACAACATCGGTAGTGGCCGGCTTTAGCACCTCCTCTTCGTCCTCTTCATCTTCAACCAGCGCCTTCAATGCCTTGACGTCGTCGGCCGCAGGAACATCGAGGTCAGTGAAGAGGTAGCAATTCGGGTATCCTAACCCGCCGCGGCCATCTTTTTCCTCCCGAAACTTGGTCTTTTCCGTCCCGAAAAGGAGGATGCCCATCATATCTTTAGGATTGGAGATGATGCGCTGCTCCATCAGATGGTGGGCACATTTCAGCGCAGCTTGAACTGGGCTGTCCCGGTCCGCCTTTTTGGAGGCAGAAGCAGGAGGAGGCTCAAGCATTGATGGACTGATTTCAATGGCTAGCAGCACCGCATCTTTCTGCGCCTTGAAGTTCTAGACGAGAAAGTGTCAGAGAGACAACTTCAATGGCAAACCGGCTACAGTCAGCCAGACTGCGACTTACAGACTCATCAAGCTCCTGCTCTCCATCTTCATCCTCATCGTTCTCGTCCCTCCGCCAATCCCGTTGTTTATCTGCCATTTTCGATTGAATGCAAGCAATGGAATTGGTTCAGTTTTCCTTTCCCCCTTTCTTCTTATATTTACTTCCCGGGGACATCAGCCATTCACATGAAAGACAGTGAGAGCCAGGCAACCACGCCGCTCAAAGTGGATGCGCTGACAAGCTCTCAGGCAAACGCGAACGAGTCAGGCAGAATGCGACAGGGATCCGCGAAATCACGTGCAGCTCATCCAAATTGCCGACAGCCTTATTGGTGGGCTGTTGATCGGGGCCTGATAGAGGGGTACTTGTTACCGAGCATATACCGAGTCGATCTGCCACCTAAGCCACAAGTAGCCTCTTAGCGGAACGTCATTCTGTGCTCGATTGCCACTCTCGGAGCTTTCATCAGTGATCTCGGCGCATCGGTGTCTGACATTCTTTACGGGTATTCAATTACTTGTTCTTCCCGCAATGCTCCGAGTTTTCTCTCTTCAACCACCCAAACTTTGCATCTCAACATGGCGTTAAGGCTCACCACACAGCAATTCTCCAAGGGATTGTCAAGGAGCGCAGCAGCTCCTCTTGGCATCTCTAAGCTCGCCAATCATGCCAGACATTTGGCCACGCCCGTCCATCCTGTGACGCAAGATGCGACTGGCTCCAAGGGACCAACGGCCATGGTGTTTCTCAACATGGGCGGGCCTTCGACACTTAACGAGGTCGGAGACTTCTTAAGTCGACTTTTTGTATGTATACCTTGAATCCAATGCCTTCTTCAATGCTCAATGCGCTAACCTCGAGGTGGGATACACTAGGCTGATGGAGACCTGATTCCGTTGGGCAGGCTTCAATCATACATCGGGCCATTGATCTCAGCACGAAGGACGCCAAAGATCCAGAAGCAGTACGACGCCATCGGAGGTGGCTCCCCTATTCGAAAATGGTCAGAGTACCAGAGCGAGGAAATGTGCAAGATCCTAGACAAGATCTGTCCCGAGACGGCACCACACAAGCCATACGTCGCCTTCCGCTATGCGGACCCATTGACTGAGGAGATGTATCACAAGCTGTTGGCAGACGGCTTTGGAAACGGAAAAGGTGGAAGAGCGGTGGCATTCACCCAATATCCGCAGTACTCTTGTTCCACAACTGGTAGCAGTCTCAACGAGCTGTGGAAGTGGCGGCATAGACTGGAGGGCAAGAAGGCATCGGAAACTGGCAATGGTACCATTACTTGGAGTGTCATTGACCGATGGCCCACTCATCCAGGGCTTGTGGAAGCTTTTGCTCAGAACATTGAGGCAAAACTAGCCGAGTACCCAGAGGAGCGGAGGCGCAATGCCATTCTCCTCTTTTCAGCGCACAGCTTGCCCATGGACGTGGTCAACCGAGGTATGACATACGCTTGCGACCCTTTTTTTCGTCATTCTTCCCAAACTTACCAACCAAACAGGCGACCCATACCCCGGCGAAGTTGCCGCCACCGTTCAAGCCGTGATGGAGCGACTGAAGTTTTCTAACCCTTACAGATTGTGCTGGCAGTCTCAGGTCGGTCCGAAGGCTTGGCTGGGGCCTCAGACTTCTGACACAGTGGAGAACTATATCGAGAAGGGCCAGAAAGACCTGGTCCTCATCCCAATCGCATTCACCTCTGATCACATTGAAACTCTGTACGAGCTCGACATTGAGGTCATTGGCGAGAGTGGACACACGGACACGGTCAAGCGTGTGGACAGCTTGAACGGCAGCCCCGTGTTTATCCAGGCGCTTGCTGACCTCGCAAAGTCTCACCTTACCTCCGGCCAGGCGTGCTCACAGCAAATGGGCCTCCGGTGTCCCGCATGCAAGAGTGAGAGATGTGCCGAATCTAAAAAATTCTTCGCCAGCCAGCAAGCTGCAGTTTCGGCCGCTTCGGCTTAAAAATCTTGACAATGGACAAGGAAAATGAAAATTGGACATGCTTGGGGATTCTTGGAGGGCGTGGTACCTGTAATATATTTCACCAGCCTACTTTTATGGTATGATTACTTGAGCTCGTATATACAAGCAGCATCTCGACTAGGTAGGGCTGAGTGGCGGGAGGCTCTGGACTGCATAGACGTGGATAGACTATAACTGGCACTCGCCATTACATAAACGCACACCAGACCTTGCTGTCACGGCGAGGATCCCTCGGAACGGATCGTGCGGCTCCAGACTCGTTCAGACGCTGGGGGAGAGGGCAGACAGGCTCGGCTATCGCGACTTGCGAGCCCATGCCTCAGCGTCTGTGTGGCCCTGATCCAGACCCACCGGAGCTCCATACATGTGCAAGTGCTTCGTATGTGAGCATCAGTATCTGGTGTATTATACGAGGAGACGTTCGTGGTAGTACAAGTACGAGTACATGCGAGCTCCCGTCAACTGGCGGACATTGCGGTATCGTTGCAATGGATGGGATGAAGCAGAACGCGATGCCAGCCCATCATATTCCGGTGGTTGGTATCTCTGACGTCTAGCTGCAGATGGAGGTTGGAATACGATGCCGCCCCTCCGCATCGCTAGCCAGTCATGATGAGCTATGGTCATGTCGCGAATGTTCCGGTGATGCCACCTACCAGTCTGAGAAGGGGGTGAGAATCCCAAATTTCTGTCTACTTTTTATAGTAGTGTATCTAAGCAGAACGAACTGGATATGGAGTCAGAGGAAGGCAGTGCGCTTATATGCTGAGCTTGAAGGAATATTCACTGCTTGTCTCACTAATACAGTAATCCACATACTGCTCCATCCAAGTAAGCAGTCAAATAGCCATCAATAAGAACCACTTTCCGTCGTTGAGCATGTGGGGGTTTGTTTGTCGTGTGGGGCGTTCCCAGACAGTTCTAATTTCGCCCGTCGATCATGTGTGTCTCGCCACAAAGAGGGAGGCAGTCGAGTTGTCAGTGGCCGACGACAGTATCGTGTGGATATCGTGTATCTGCAGGTGTCATGCACTCTGTCAGCCATGTTTATATATGTGGGATATGTTTAGGTGATATACGAGATTGGTGGACCTCTTATGTTTACCACTTTTGCTATCTGCCAGCTTACGTGTTAGTACATGTACAATAGATCGTGAAGAAAATCTGTGGATCAGTGCTCGAGTGGGCTCTCGGCAGCACATACAAGTGCTGCAGAAACCGTAGATGGTCAATCTCGAAATCCAGATCACAGTACTCTCCAGCTTCCATCCCCAAGACATCAACAATACCCGTATTTGCCTGCATTACTGGCTCATCGCAGTTGATGGGATGATTTACCCTACAATTCCCAAATAGGCAACCCTCTGCCCCTTCATGTTATTAGGCACCGCGTCGGATATTAGCCTCTACAAGGATGTACGAGTAGGCAGTTCCCGGCAGGTTTTGGCTTGCCAGCGAAGCGGTTTTGGTTGTTTCACAGGATTGCCACTTTTGCGCTGGCGGCACTGCCATTGTTTCCTCCCATCCAGTCAAACCCGCGTGTGAATTTCTCGGGTGCCAAAGAGCATATGTAGGGCGACTGTCTCAGTCCACAGAAGCCTCGGGATGTTTGCTGCAATTCTGCCGTCCCGTCCAAGTCGACCTGTCCGTGCCCGCGGTGTTGAGTCGAGTCCCTCCCTTGTGCAGTGCAAACAAGCAAGCAAATGAAGATGAGCTTTGCCAGCCTATTAATAGCAGGGACCTTGCTCTGGGCATGAAGACGGCTTGCAGCGCTGGTACCAGTACTGCGCGTCCAAGTACAGGCGCCCGGCAGTAATACGAACAAAGGAGTAGCGAGTGTGCGGAGCAGTGTGGAAGAGAAACGCCTGGAGCTCCTGAAATTAAGTGATATACATTAGGTGCTACCGGGAGCAGTTGTACCTGTACTCGCACTCGTGCCATGCCTGTCGTATCAGCGAGATACCCAAGCCGTCCGTCATGCGACCCTTAAGATTTGACTCGAGCATTCCCAGACGAGGCCGCAAATTTGCTAGAGTTTGATGCCCGCCCAAGCCTCGATCCACAGGCCCGCGCAATGGGGATCGCAGCCGTTCTGCATGGCGTTTCTTCTTCAATCAGGGTTCGCGCCAATGTACCGAGTACATCCAGCTATGGGGGCCCCTCAACGCTGGACAGCAGTGATCGCGTCTCTACTCCGGAAAAGCCTGGAAAGGTACCTGGACCAAGCCCGATCCGCCGCAGCGCCACAGAGCGGATGTGTGTGGCTCGTGCGAAATCAAAAGCTGCGGCCAATCAGCGGCGCCCGACGGCGAGACATGCCCTGCACCTCTGCTAATTGACCACCGCGCCAGGCCATCGGTCCCCTGGAGGACTAGTCCCGCTGCGGCCTAGCCTGCTAATGCACCCCCTTTTGCCATTGATATTGACCACGCCAGGTTGAAGCGAGCAGTGCTGCTGCTCATGGGCCACAGGCTGCTCGTGCAGCACAGTACAGGTACAAGTACAGCCTACAGGTAACGGGCGCCTTATTGGTACCTGGTATTGAGTCGTATTAGCAGCTGGGAGCAGCAGCTGGCGTGGTACGAGTACTCATACCCCGAGCCCCGCGGCAGCCACTGCACCACTTCGAGTACCGGTACTCCCAGCCAGTGGAGTCGGCCCCCTGGGAGGCTGCCAGCAGCTGCTGCACCAGCACAAATTCCTCCCCGTCATCACCCCCGAAATTATCTTCCTCCTGCTCGTCCTCAACTGGCCTCATTGCACTTCACTTCTTCACTCTCCGTCATTGCTACTTCCTCTCCGGCTGGTTGAGCACCTTGACATTTGTCCTTCAATTCACCGCGGTCGTTTCTGCCTCTTGATCCCATTTCTTCGAACCCATTGACACGCGTCGTTATCTGCTAGGGTCTCAGCGCATTTCTCCTTGGTAGGTCGTTCCCACGGTTGAATCCCCGTGCACGCCGCCCACGATGCCTTCACAGCGTTCCCGGAGCAGACTGGCGCGGCGAGCATCTGCCTCTTCCGACTGCTTCCACCTGCTGCGCGCGCGAGCTGCCCCGGGCCCTGAAGCCACCGAAGCTGCTGTCCACTCGTGGCTCCTGGCCGTTTGCCTGCGCTTCTCCTCCCTGAGATGGCCTCACAGCTAACCAATCGCGCAGAATCTCGTCCCTTCTTACCATTCTTTATTAAACTTCCTTCGGCCGCTCCTTATACATCAATAATGGGTAAGAATCTTTCTTTCTTTGAGCTATGCGTGGCCATGTGTGTCCCGTCCGCGAGAGGGGGGCAGGAGGCTTTCTGAACGTGCCACGAGGCACTTCACCACGGCAGCGGGCTTGAGCAACACAAAGCATTGGCGCCTCCTTTTTTCCCACGCACAAGCAGTTTTCGCGCTTTGCTCCCCATAACCACATTCGTTGCTCGCCATCTACTGTTTCTTGGGTCGCTTTTTTGGGCAAAACAACATTTCCGTTGCTTCAAGTACAAATTCCTTATATCCGACTTTTGTAATCCGGCATGACTTTCGATCTGGTACACCATGTCAAATCGCGGGCCCGCAGCCTCCAGCTCGACAAAACTGCCCTGACGCCGGCAATGATTGCTTTGGAGCAGGTTGCAGCCCAGGCCCAGGCAACGAAGCGACTTAGCGGTTTGCCAACGGGGCAGAACGCGGCTGTCCAGTTCTCGGTGCCTGCCTTTGTCCCAGCGGCCATTCGCCGTTACCGCAGCATGCTGGAGGTTGACGAACCGCCTAAACTTGGACCATGGAGCCCCATGTCTTACGAAGAGCTATACTCAAGCCCCATACAATCTGCCGTGGGGTCGGATGACGAGCCAAGCTCTGACCAGTCGACGAGATCGTGTTCTTGGAATATACATTCGCCGGTGACGGTTGAAAGCCAAGAACCTGATTTCTCCAGTCAGAAGCCTGCGCCCTGCCCTCCTGCCCGGTCACCATGCATAGTTCATCTCATACAGCATTCAAAATGTGGACGCTAACCTTTGTCTTATGCAGCTTCCAACGGTGCTGATTCACCACAGGGCGTTGCCTCGCCACCTCCTGGTACGTGTTCTGCCTCCATTGCCCCCTTTGCCAACACACCTGTATTTTCTAACATGAGCGCCACAGCCTCCCCTCCCGCTGTTTCTGACAACAAGAACATTGTTCGAAGAAAGCTGACCGGCTATGTTGGATTTGCCAACCTTCCCAACCAGTGGCACCGTAAGAGTGTGCGAAAGGGCTTCAACTTCAATGTGATGGTTGTTGGCGAGTCTGGTCTGGGCAAGTCGACCCTGGTCAACACTCTTTTCAACACCTCCCTGTATCCTCCCAAGGAGCGCAAGGCGCCCAGCCTGGACATTATCCCCAAGACTGTCACTATCCAGTCTATCAGCGCCGATATTGAGGAGGCCGGCGTTCGTCTGCGCCTGACTGTTGTTGACACCCCCGGCTTTGGCGACTTCGTCAACAACGATGAGTCTTGGCGGCCTATTGTCGACAACATTGAGCAGCGTTTCGATGCCTACCTCGATGCTGAGAACAAGGTCAACCGAATGAACATTGTTGACAACAGAATTCACGCCTGTGTCTTCTTCATCCAGCCCACCGGCCACTCCCTCAAGCCCCTGGACATTGAGGTCATGCGACGCCTCCACACCAAGGTCAACTTGATTCCTGTCATTGCCAAGTCCGACACCCTGACGGACGAGGAGATTGTCAGCTTCAAGGCCCGCGTGAGTTTTACTCTTTTCTCGTTGCAGTGATTTGGTTTGCTAACCAGCTTGTTTCTAGATCTTGGCCGATATCAAGTACCACGGTATCCAGATTTTCGAGGGCCCCCGATATGAGCTCGACGACGAGGAGACGATTGCCGAGAACAACGAGATCATGTCCAAGGTTCCTTTCGCTGTTGTTGGCGCCACCAACGAGATCAAGACCGCCGACGGCCGCAAGGTCCGCGGACGTGAGTACCCATGGGGTATCATTGAGGTTGACAACGAGGAGCACTGCGACTTTGTCAAGCTTCGACAAATGCTCATCCGAACGCACATGGAGGAGCTCAAGGAGCACACCAACAACAACCTGTACGAGAACTACAGAACCGACAAGCTGCTTGCTATGGGTGTTTCGCAAGATCCTAGTGTCTTCAAGGAGGTCAACCCTGCCGTCAAGCAAGAGGAAGAGCGTGCCCTGCACGAGCAGAAGCTCGCCAAGATGGAGGCCGAGATGAAGATGGTCTTCCAGCAGAAGGTGGCGGAGAAGGAGAGCAAGCTCAAGCAATCAGAGGAGGAGCTCTACGCACGCCACCGGGAGATGAAGGAGCAACTCGATCGCCAGCGCCTAGAACTCGAAGACAAGAAGCAGCGCGTCGAGAGCGGGCGGCCGATAGAGAAGGAGGGCAAGCGAAAGGGATTCTCACTGCGATAAACGGCCAGTGGTCCCGCCCGATCGATCTCGAGTTGCGAATTGCTTTCCTGCACGATCAATATCAGAATATCCATGATGTCCATACAATATCTGCTCGACGCCTTTCCTTTTCTCTTTTCGATTCTTTGTCTTTTTTTTGTCGCCGCCTTCTCGCCACTTTATTTTAATCATAAACTCGTATAATCGCCGCCAAGAAAAGTTTGTCTTCCAGAAGGGGGGGCAAGGAAAAACTTTGTTATGAAAACTGGTCATGCAGCATGGAGAAAGTGCAGGACTATGAAGCATTGCAAAACTTGACTTGGTATGGTGGTCGCAGCCAGATGGGGCTGACGCTGCTCCTCTCGAGAGGGGCGTCTTTTTACTTGTCAGAGCCTCATGGGAATCGTCCCAGGACTCGGCAGGCAGGGCGATGCTCTAGAGGGAGAAGTCGCCAGTAATGTCAGGTTGTCCCCTGCCTTTGGAGCAGTTGTTGGGAGGGTTGGGGCCGCCGTGCGAAAAGTCACTCATTATTCATTCCCTACACGATCGTCACACTTACGCTTTCCTTTGAAATCTATGTCGGGCAAGATATGGCCGAAAATACCCTGCGTCTCCGTCTTTTTCTCTCGCCACGCCTTTCGGATAGCTCTTTGTTGCCTGTCTGGATGGAGCAGCGGACTGCGGATTTGAATTTGACTGGAGCAAATGGATGGCTGGAGGAGGGTTGAAACCGCAACTGTTGTATTTTAGTCGTGTGATTGACGTCTCAACACACGATGGTATGTCTAGGCTTGTTTGTCGTATTTTCCTAGCTAGTTTGATTTTACAGTCTCTATTTCCTTTTTTTTCAAACATCTTGAACCCTGTGCGCGTGAAATTAAACAATGCTTGATTCTCTTTTAGCTGCCTAGCTGGACGCTGCAGCTATTGTATGTATAATGTATCGTACAGGTACTTGCATATCCATTTGCGAATTCGTCCATGCTGAAACAAGCATTCCTTGAACTATGCATATTTCCATGAAGTGGATCATGAACTTCCTTGGTTTCATATCCTAGCCAAACTGGTGACCTTTTCAAGCATGAGTGCGTTCAATGATGCGTGATACAAATTATGCTGGCATGGCTTGCGAAGATCCAAATATGAGTTTTGAAGAGCAAAAGAAGAGAAGGGTGTGTGGTTTTTTTTTTCTTTGGCGGTTCCATGGTGGCATCTGCCTAGGTAGTTTGGTTCGTCTCGGTAATCTCCCCCTTTCATTAAAACCTGCTGTATTTCATTTCATTTTCCCATTTTTTTTCTGTCTTGATTCTTTTTTTCTTTCTTTCATATCTCGTTTAAACTTGATTTAATGTCGTTTCATATTAGCCAACTTCACCTCCGTTTCGCATTCCGCAGCAAAAAGGCGCCCACGACACCGGCGGCGATGCCAATGCCGCTGATGATGGCAACACCCAAAAGGCCCTCCTTGGCGACCTTGTCGTCGATGAGCTGGCGCAGGTCGGTGGCCTGGAGGTTGGCGGGCTCCCTGTCGAGGAGGAGGTCGTTGTAGCGGCGGGCCTCGCCGTAGTTGCCGAGCTTGTAGTTGCCGAGGGCGAGGTAGTAGAGGCATTCGCGGCGGCGCTCGGGGGAGACGCGGAAGATGTCGGAGAGGAGGCGGACGCCAAGTTGCTGGTCGTTGCGGTTGTTTGATTTGACGAGGCCCTTTTTTTTTGGCGCATTTGTGAGTTTTTATTCCGTGAGGGATGAGAGAGCAGTTTAGGAGGAAGAGGAGAGCGAACCCAGGCGTAGTTAAATTTGGTCTGGACGCCGACCATTTCGCCTTCTTTTTCGAACTGGGCGCGCAGGACGCTGAGCTCTGAAGGGTTCAGAGGCCTATACAATTGCGTTTAGCTGAGAAGGATCGGATCGCGCGATGCGACGGGGGAGAAGAGGACGAACGTCTCTGCGTCCAGGGCATCTGTCATTTTGAAGAGCGAGTTAGTTAGCTATGCGTATTCCGTTGTAGTTTTTTCGGCATGATGGTTGGAAAGGAGGAGGAATTGCAGCTGTTGCGCCGAGAAAGAGACAGGAGCGCCGTCTTACAGGGGAGTTCTGTAACCATTTTCGGCGTTTTAAGGAACTTTTGTAATGATGGCGGCGCAAAAGAGTTCGTTTCAGCTCAAGAGAAGCGACGACGTTCGAGGGAGAGGCGAGGCGCAAGACGAGGACAGAGTCGCTGTCCTGCAAGAAGGAAATCTGAGAGAAGAGGGAGAATCGAGGAGGGGGAGAGAGGGGGGAGGCGAGGAAAGACAAGACAAGAGGAGAGAGCAGGGGAGAGAAACAGCTGGAAGAAGAGCTGATCGAGGGCCGTTGGCGTAAGTATGATTGTTTGGTCTCGTGAGTTTGCCGATGCGGCTTGGCTCATGGGAAAAGCAAGCTTGAGCCGAAGTGTGGCTGGTGGAGGAGCTTTGCGGGTGTGGCTGAGGTGGGATGACGTTGGCGAAGGAGAGGAGGGGTGTGGCTTGTTGACGGGCAAGGGTTTGGTCGTCCCTGGCGACAGGCTTTAGAGTCTGTCTGGTTCATTAACATTCACTCGCTGAATCTTGATTTTGGGGGGGTTTCACCAACTAAATACTCTGCTAGCAATCATATGCAACCGAATCACGAGCTACGCATAAAAGAAATCATATAAATCATCTTGGAGATTCTACACGCCATTGAGCAACCGCCACAATGCTTCTCGCCGAGGATCCAGCTACTGTACGTTGACCCAGACACAAACAATCCCAGTTGACTCGCCCAAAACTGACCGGCTCGCCCGCAGCTCATCCACCACACCATCAACAACTTCAACATCCAGCCCGACAAGCTCGCCGTCAGCCGCATCGCCGAATCCCTCTCCACCCTGCAGCAAGCCCGCGAGCTGCACGTGCGCGACTCCGACTCGACGCTCAAGCGGCTCGCGCGCCAGCTCAACACCATCAACGCGCAGCACGACGAGCTCATGTCCTCGCACTCGTCCGCCGACCACGCATCCACCATTGCGCGCCTCGACACGCACAAGTTCCGCGTCGCAAAGGCCGCCTCCGACGCCGAGATGGAGGCCGAGCGCCTGGCGCAGCAGGCGGCCGACCTGGCGGCCCGGCTGCAGGAGCTGGAGCTGCAGGGCGTCGACGGCTCCGAGGAGAGCCGCAGGCGGGATCCCGTCGACGACGAGGTGCTGCTGCGGCTCAAGGTGTACCGCAGCTTGGGCATCGAGATTGAGCGCGACGAAAAGGACGGCGAGTGGGCGCGCGCCGTGGTGCGGAATGATAGGAAGGGCGATGTGCATGTGGTGAACATGGACAAGAAGTTTTCGCGGTACTTTTACGCCAATTACTTTTGGCAGACACTGTGATAGAGGAGGATACGGGAATTTAGTTTTGGGGTTTTGGATCGCTGTGGGAATTGCTTTTGTTATTGTCTTGGGAAAGATACCATTCATTTCGAGGAGTTGGAAAAGTGCTGGTTTGGACACGGCGTTGAATACTTGTTATACGATGCATTATTGGAGATTTATTACGACATGCGAGAGCAAGGAATGTCACATACTGGAGAAAAAACCATGTATTAATCTCATCATGGCTATGTGAATACTGTAAAGCAAAGGAAAGAAGAGCAGAAGCAGTAAAAAATTCACACTATAATTTACAAATTTGAGTCGCATGCCTATCCCTCCCAGTCCGTAAACGCCGAATCGGATATCCATTCATATCAATCAATACCTTGCCATGAGAACACACTTGAGCCATATTCCCACCAGTAAGAAAACGAATGACAGGGCAGCAGCCATCCGCCGTCATGAAGCCTTAGACCTTTGGTTCCGGGGCCAGTTTAGCGATCCAATTTTCCGTTTCCCACATTCGTCACATCGTAAATGTCTGCTGCAATTCAACGCCTGCCGTACCAGAACCCGCAGTTAGAGAAGGTTCCTCTTGATTGCTTTGGAAGACATTGTCATGGGAAAGTAGCCGTCATTCTGGCTGGAACCGGGCATTCCCAGGCGCGGAGCAGAGGGCGCTCGAGCCTTGGAGCTGTTTGGAGAAGCCGTTGACACCACCCTCTTCTCGGGGCTACGGGCGCGGCCCTTCATCATGAGGAAGCCACCGTCTGCCGCGCCGGTCGGGCCGCCGGACAAGGTGCGCCGATGATTGCGGTCGTGCAACCGGTCAGGCAGGTCGGAGCGCGAGTTGATGGTGGTCCAGGCTTCGTCATCGTCGCCCAGCCGCCATCCGCCGACGCCTTCAAAGTCTCTCTCGGCGCCGACACTGGGAATGAGGCCCAGCCCAATGTCGCTGGCGGGAGTTGCGGATCCGGCCGAGTAGACGGAGGAACTGAGTCTACGGCGGCGATGCCTCTTGAGCAGGGTTGACGAGGCCGAGGGACTGACGCTGTTGTTGCGGCTGTTGATGGACGACGACGACGACGGAGTTCGCGGAGGTCGCAGATGAGCCTTTGTGGCGCTCTCGGTGAGGTGGGACAGTGACTGCGACACCAAAGAGAGCGCAATGTCGAGGTAGACGACAAAGACGCGGAAGATGAGGATGGAGAAGGCGAATGTGGTGGTGATGCCGGCGAAGATGGCCAGAGGGATGGTTGTGATGAGGAGGAAAGGCACGACGCAGGCGTAGATGGGATTGAGGAGCGCCATGGGGATGCGAGAGATTAAGCGATTGCAGGGTGGTGATGGCTCATGACATGGCTTGTGGCTGATGCGGGTTGAGTTGCTGTGGCTACTGATGATGATGATGGCGACGGTGATGGTGATGGTGAGGATGATGAAGAAGGATGAGTTGTAGTGGCAAGTGGAGAATTGGTGGTTGTAAAATGCTGTGGTATCGAAGGAGCACGCGACACGCCAGAGCAAAATTAATTGTTAAGCCAGAATAGATGTATGTTTATCACAATGGAAGCCAGGCAAAACACGAGGAAAGAAAGGAGAAAAGAAAAGACAAATCCCAATCGAGTCGCTGCACTCGTGGACTGGATGGTAGCACGAAGCAACACAAAGTTGGGGGCGGACGTTAGACGAGACAAGGAATGGAGACGATGGAACAAGCAGCAGCACGGAGCGATTAAGTAGTGGGTCGGCTTGATAAGGAGGAAGGGAAGAGGGAATCTAAAACATAACAAGGCGAAAGAGGGGAGAGAGACTCGGTTAGATGAATGGTGGCGGATGGTCTAGAGGGAGGCGTCAAGGTGTGCGGCATTGATGTTTGGGAGGTTTAGAAATCCAGGGTTGCGTGCAGATGGATGGACGGATTACTGATGCGGTGCCTGGAATATCACATGTTTTTTTCCCCTGTGCTTGGCCGGAACCGGGGTATATTAGAGCACTAAAGCCAGCCTTGTATAGGTAGGTAGTAGCTGTAATAGTACCTGGACATTGCAGAACACAGGGCATTGAATAGGAGACGAGTGCCTCTCTCACGCTCCAAAGGAACAGGCAGCCAAACGAAAGGAGGACCCAGAACATGTCGCATCACACACACCTGCATATTTGGCGTCGCATCTTGCGCACGTCTTCATCTATCATGATTCAACCGCGAGTGCGGGGAAGCGCCATGCCGCGGCGTGGCTGCTTGGTGCTTATTCAGGGGAGGGTGCGAAGCTTTCGGCGGATAAGCAGCTAACGAGGCGTAGGAGAAACTCGGGATTTTGGCATTGGTGAATATGATGTGAGATGTGTGGCGATGGCATCAAAATGTCCATGCCGTGATATGATGCTGCTGCTGACTCTGTGCTGGGTACCGGTATCTCGATAACATCAACACCAGACAAGGCTGAATGAAAGATGAGATGAGATGAGATTTGCGTCCAGAGTGGATCGCCGGCAGACGGCCGCTCATCCCCGCTTTCTCCACCTCTACAACGGTTCGCGATTCAGTAGCAAGACATGCATCTCAGCTCTGTTGTTGTCTCAGTCAGCCAAGCAGACAAGGCTGATTCATCATCACTCTTCATCACTTAATCAGCTACACTCATAGCTATAGCTAGTATTGAGAGACATCTGTATGACAAATGGGGGGAAGGGCTATTCAGCACCCCAGGTGGCTATCCAGCACCCCAGCGACTAAGAGTTGTTCCGAATGGAGTAACAACGTATAATGAAGATCTTTCATCACCGTCTATTACACAGTTCCTGGAGTATCTGCCGCTATCTGCTACTCTCTATATATTCCTCTAATATCTGCCATCATTACTACCTAGGCCGCTTTAATTTTAAGAATGGGATGCTGAATAGCGAACGTGGGGTTCCGGTGCTCTATCCCCATAAAAACAACCTACCTAAGCCTCGCTATACACTACTGCATATTCTAGCTCACTTACGCCTACATATGTAAACATAGCGTAGCATATTAGAATATTTTGAAAATAGAGAATGGCTACTTATATACGAGTATATATAATATACCTGGAATGCTTAGATATAACGCTGTAGGCTAAGTGCTGCAGGTTAAGCGCTGCAGTCAAAGCCCGCTATAGGCGCCCCCGGAGGGTAATAATATAATTCCGCCTTAATCAATCCCAAAGACCTTGATCCAATAAACTGATCGCGATCTATCTGGGTGGCCTCGCTCTATCAGGGTAACTTTAAACGAATGGGAAGACCTTGAACGACCTAGCTGGCCGCGATCTATCTAGGTGATCTCATTCTATCAAGGTAGCTTCAAACGAACGGGATAACCTCGAACGATCCGGTTGACCTTGATTGAACGGAATGACCCTGGTCGGCGCAGCTGCTTTGCTTGCACGCCCTTATAAACGCCTTTAGCGGGCATCAGACTTGTATCAAGCCACAGCCATGTGTCAACACCACCAAACCCAGCCCGATGATGCGCAATCTCAACATCCACCAGTCAGACCGGTCTACAATGATGCTTTTCCGTGGCATCTCGGCGCCTTTGACGCGCACTGCCATCCAACTGACACCATGGCTTCTCTCGCCTCTCTCGCCACTCTGCGCACCCGAGTCCTGGCCATCATGGCCACTCGCTCCCAGGACCAGCAACTCGTGGCAGAGGTAGCAGCCGAGCATGGCATTACAGATTCACTCTCCAGCTTGACATCAACTTCGGATACCGATTCAGCCCGCAGAGGATGCAAAGTCGTTCCAGCCTTTGGATGGCATCCCTGGTTCTCCTACCAGCTATATGACGACTCCATTCCCAATCCTACATACAGCCTCCCCAGCACCGAGGATTCCAATACTTCTACTGAAGAGGATGCCAAAATCGCTCATTACAAAGCCGTTCTCACTCCCTCTCCCCAAGATCCCTCTTTCCTCTCTTCTCTACCCACCCCAACCCCCTTATCATCCCTTATATCATCCACTCGCCAATACCTCACTTCTTTCCCTTTTGCTCTTGTCGGCGAAATTGGCCTCGACAAGGGCTTTCGTCTTCCTCAACAGCGCCTCCCCGACGATGATTCCTCTAGAGATGAGAGTCTCACTCCCGGCGGACGCGAGGGCCGACTCCTCAGCCCGTTTCGCGTACAAATGCAACACCAGCAAGCCATCATGCAGGCGCAATTGCGGCTAGCAGGAGAAATGGGCAGAGCCGTCAGTGTGCATGGCGTACAAGCTCACGGCGTCTTGTATGACACAATAGCGGCTTGCTGGAAAGGCCACGAGAAGAAAGTCTTATCCCGTAGAGAGAAAAAGAGGATCGCCCCCGGCGCCGAGGAAAGCTCATCCTCTTCTGATGACGAGGACTCCTCTTCCGAAAATGACGACAGCATGCGCAGCAAGGAGAAGAGAGCAAAGAGGAAAATCGGCGGAAAGCCTTTCCCGCCGCGGATATGTCTTCACTCCTACAGTGGCAGCGCCGACATGCTGAAGCAGTGGCTCCATCCCTCGGTCCCCTCGACCGTCTTCGTCTCCTTCTCCATAGCCGTCAACATGAGCACTGACGGGGGCAAGGCGAAGCTGGAGAGCGTCGTGCGCGCCCTGCCGGACGACAGGATCCTCGTGGAGAGCGACCTGCACATGGCGGGCGACGAGGCCGAGGGGCTGCTGGAAGACATGTATCGGCTGGTGTGTGAGATTAAGGGGTGGGATCTTGAGTACGGGGTTAAGACGATAGGGGCAAACTTTGAGAAGTTTATATACGGATAGATGGGGGTTTTCTTTTCCTTTTGAATATCATACGTATACCGATGAACACATTATGAGGAAGACATGCCACTACTCTTTAGCGTTTTTAACACGTAGTCAATATAAATTAAGTGTTTCTTATTCAAAATATCTTGAAAATCGCGTCGTCTATTGCATGCTTATTTCATCCTGTCCTCCCGGTAGTATATAACGCCATTGTCCAACCAATTTGACTATTATGGTTTGCTTGTTTTTGTTTGTTTGTTTTTCTTCACAATGATTATTATAAGTATTATGATATGAATCCCTTTTTGGATCCCCAAACCGCTCTTGTCCAGAAAACGGAGTATGAAATCAACAGTCGCCAGGCCTGTTATCATAATACCTCTCCTCTACCTCGTCGTAGGCCGGTGGGCTCACATCCTCGGTGAACCTTGGCGGCTGCGTCTCCTCACTCGAAGTCGTCGTCTCCTGAACAGCAACCAGGTCGCTGAACACAGAGGCTGCCTCCTGGAAAGACGCGAGCTCGTCCTCCATCGAGGTATCCTCCTCTTGGAGCATCAGGCGTGTCTTTTCGTTGAGTTCGATGCGTTTGGGCCGGATGAGGTCTCGGATACTACAAAAGAAATTCGTGGTGCCGGTTCGGCGAGATTGTCTTTCGGCACGGCGCTGGGCGCGGGCTTCACGGCGGCATGTGCGGCTGCTGTGGCTTCTCGCGCGGCGGTTGTGCATTCGTTGGCGGATGGATCGGAGAGCAAAGAAGAGAGCCAGGTGGAAAGTGAAGATTATTGCGAAGAGGGGAAAATAGGTGACGTTCTGTTTGGCCAGCAATTAGACTCCATCGCATTCGAGTTTGATCTTCATATGATGGGGGCTTTGGGGGTTTAGGAGCTTGAGAGAAAATCAGACTACTTACCCTTGGAGAGTGAGTTGGTGTCAGTCGTGTAGAGTTGGAGTCGGCATCGTCCCGGTAGTAGAAAAAGCGCTGTCCTCCTTGACCGTCCACCTGCATACTCACCACAACATCCTCTTGCTTGTGGTTAGGATGAGGGTGGTGAGGACGATTGCCATGCTCGTGATTGCGATGACGATGATGATCACACTTGGGAGGGAGTCCAAGCACAGAGTTCACCCAGTGCTCCATGGTGCCCCGAAGAGTAGAAGATGCCAGTTTGGCCGTCTGGTAGAATGTTTGCAGGTTAAAAGCCGTTGGCGAAGGCCGCATGCCCAGCTTTTCCAATACTTTTCTCTGCTTAGCCTTGACGTGTTCTCCGAGTTCGCGCATCTGGGTTTCCAGCGATACGATGTCTCCAATGTCTGCCTTGATTTCGTCGTCGACTTCTGATAGGCCGGTGAGGGTCTTTATCCTATTCAGCACCCTCTCTTTATCGACCCGAGTAGGAGCATGGCCTTCGGTTGTGTAGACAACTAAATCTCCCCCCACGTCGTAGACCTTGACGGGGGTTCGCTGTCTGAAGCTCGTCACAAAGGACGTCTCGGGGACAGTCTCCCCGTCTAGCGAGAGGATCGTCACCGTCAGGTCCTGATCCCAAGGCACTCGTCGTGCGTGCTCTCTGCAAGTAAAGTTCCAGCTCGCAGTGACGGTGTGGCCTTCCAGGGAGGCAAAGGTCCCTTGGCCGGTGCCGTTGTCATCTTGAGAGAGGAGGAATCCATCGATCCTCACGTTGGCTTGACTGCAAGCCTCTGAGGATTCCTGGATGTCAAGATTGAATACCTTTTGCCGAAGAGATGGTGTGAGTTGATTGTCATGACACTAAAGCATGCTGAGTCTTCTTACCAGAGTTTGATCGACTGTCTTTGCGTCTCTGGAAGCGCTGGTGTCTACTACAGCAACGGCAACGGAAAATGAAGATTCAGCCGGAACACCTGTTCGAGTAGGAAGGAAGAGACGAGTCAGTAATAGGCATCGATGAATGAATGACTGTGTTGTGTTCGGATAGGGTACCCATTCAGGGCAACCAGACTTTGGCCACCCAACCACCTGTTTGCCTCTCATGCTCCTCGTTTTGTCTCTCTCCCCGCCACAGTTACAATACAATACAACAAAATACAATACAATACAATAAAGTAAATCATGGCATACACACCTCGTGATGATACCGGATTCGTCGGCAGAGGCCTCGTCAACACGGCCGTTGGCGCCAGCATGAGCGTCGCCGCCTTGCTAAGACCACGCATTGTGGATTCCAGGCAACGATCTATCGGACGCCGTTCGTTTACAACAAAACACCAACGAAACGACCAAAACAAGAGTCGCAAGGAAAAAACAATGCTCGATGGTAAAAAAGAATAAGCTTAAAGAAGAAGCCTAGAATTACTCCGCACAATGTAAAAGATAGTGCGACCTGAGGAGACGCGCGTCCAAGTACGAAGACGTTGGGAGACCAAGGGAGAGGGGAGGGAGGAGGAGGAGTAAGAAGGGAGGGCTTTTTTTTTTTTACACCGTTCTCCTTCTTCTGCCTTATTGAGGCTGCATTGCAACGGCTACACGAGACTAATGCTCCTGCTGCCGTACGAGCATCGTGAGGGCGCCTTACTGGAAGAAGCAATCAAGATGCTCCATCCAAATCGGTCCACGTATTATTAGGCGTATTAAGACTGGCATTCCGGGGCCAGAAACATTTGATGTCTCCCTTGGAACGAGGCGCAGCGAGGGAGCTGATTTGAGGGCTTACGGGGGACAGTTTGCTCGTACGGGCGGAGTTCAGGCGGCCGAGACGGTTCTTTACTGGGGACGGCAGGCAGTTAGCCCGCCTTGGGCGGTTGCAGTGAGTGCTAAAGCTACAGTGGCCGGGGCCTGTAAGCACCTTGATTTGGGATCATGGACTGGATGTGAGATTGAGGTTGGTCATCCATCCAATCGATTGTTTCCTAAATATCTGCACTCAATTGCTTCTTCGACTGCCGACAGATATTCTTCCCCGGCCTTCAATTCAAGCGCAACAAGCATTCTTCTCGGCTACTATTTCGAGACCTAGTGGGATACAGTACGACTCAGTTCGCGTGGGCAGGGGCTGTCTCGCAGCTGAAATGGAGACCCAACAGGTCTCAGAAGGACGCCATCCAGCGAAATGCTATCCATACCGTAACCTACCTTGCTTCGGGTCATGTAACCAAAAGGACCCAAAGTTGCATCTAGGCTGCATGTCGGTAATCCGGCCAGTGGCAGATGATGGCATCAAGGTATTCCGCCTCTCCCTTTTCGGCCAACGTCCGTGACGCCCTTTTCGCAGGCCACCCGAGCTCTCCCTCGGCCATACGAGCATTACCAAATATTTGTCTGTTCCAAGGGGAACTAGGCCAAAGAGGAGGCGAGCCTTGCTCTCCAGAGGGACTTGACAGGCGGGAGCCTCTACTCCGTATGCTGCCCTAAAAAAGGCTTGGCCTCGTATGGCGACGATCGAGAATCCGGTCCTGCGCACCTTTATTGGACCCAGCCCCGTCGTCGACGAGAGGCCAATCAGTTGAGCTGAAGCCGGCGTCTACCGGCCTCGTATCGTCAGCAGGTTTCAGAGAAAGAGAGCATAAAGGGCCTGTGCCTGGGCTCCTTCTCGCCGTTACTGCCAAATGCTGCAGAAACCGCCTCTGCTGCGCCGCCTCGTCGAAACAAGTTCCCAGTGGCATCCCGGCTCGCCCGACAAGCCATTAGCCGATGAACCCACTGGTTTCCTCTTCTTTGGCTGGAAAAAATGATTTACGGAAAGCATGTGCCGCCGAAGGGGCGTCTGTGCGTCTGGATCTCCTTTCGCGGCCGACGACGAATGATAGGCGAGACGATTCGCAGTCTGACGCGAGGATGGCATCAAAGCGGGCAACGCAACGTGTTCAGGTGAGCTAACCAGGTGGCGGCAAGCCAAGCGCAAATAGTCTGCTCCGGAGCAAGCAAAAGCTTTCAACACGATGCGATACGATGCGATGCGATGCGATGCGATAAGCTATTGCTTGGCCTCGCCATCCTCCCTGTCCGCTTCGTGATCATCGTTCGTTCTCGACTGCTGCCAGATGCAGCTGCCAGGTTCAAGCTGCATCTTAGTATCGCGTAGCCGAATGCCAAGGCACGGGCAGACAAACAAGCTTCTTCCCAAGACCGATCTGGCGTGGCGCGCAGCACCCTTACTCAGGAGCTTATACGAGGTGTCATCTCTGCCTGGCTCCACAGAGCTAATGGAGCAGAGGGCTTTCGTTTGATCAGGATCATCTTCAGTGTCAGGCCTGTTGTGTCACTAGCACGGCGGTTGCGGAGTACGCCGTTACCATAGCCACACGCTCTACCGCGCCTGAGACGGGCCTTTATTGGTGCCATGCCCAAACAAAACGCTGGTTTCGTGCTAACTAAGCCGACATCCGGCCCTGCTTGCCGTGTCTATGTCACAATTCATGTTCCGCGGAGGCCGTTTGATTTTATAGAGCCGCAATGGTTCAATTCCATCTGCCTTTGGGCTGGGTCGAATGCAAACGCCTTGTGTAGAGGTGGTCCTCTCGTCATTTCCCTAAGAATAATGGATTATGGGCCATCAACTGCTTGCCTGCTCCTTTCCAGCGTCGGGCGTTACGGCCACAGCTCCGTTGTCTTCCACGAAATCCCAGACTGAGACACTTCAGCCCTGTGGCTCCATCTGCGACCTCTCTTAGGGTCCGACAACTCTATCTGGTCAATCTCCTCGGGCATAATGACCAATACCCGAAAGTTCCTCCGTGCTAGCTCATCGTTTACATCGTCGACTTCTTGTCCCAACTCCAGGCCAGGTTCGGGCTGCTGTGTCAGAGGAGTGCCGGGCAGTGGATTTCGGAACGAGCCTCTCATTATGGGACTCAGGTTTCCAAAGCTTGCGGTAAGCTCTCTGCTCCAGCTCCATGCATCTTTCTGCTCATCGTCTACAGCCCTCATCCAGGGCTGCAGAGCAGCTCTTACAGGTGCAGCTGCATCCAACTCGATATCCGGACCAATCACATAGGCACGGCCGCGGAACCGCCACTGCGTCCTGGCTTTTTCCATCCAAAAGACGGCTTCGACCGGACCTCCGATAGCAGACTGGACCTCTGACGCCGAAGACGGCTCACGGCTGCTGCCGATAAGCTCGGGGACTTTTTCCATGCGCACGTCCGTCGTGATAACAGGCAAGTCGCTGGCGTAGACGGCTGGGTTGAGCGGCGCCGGGTTCCTAGGATTGTCTGGCAAAGAAGCCCACATGCCTCGGAAGACGACAGTCCTGGCTCTAGGCACAAACTGATTGCCATCGAGGGGGTGGAGCGTGCTCAATGTAAATGTTGGACTGCCCACCTGCTGGATGTGTGAGAGGAATGTAGAGCGCCACGGCGCCTCGTAGCTGGCCATTGTGTGGCTTAGGTGATTGAGAAACTGTCTTGTGCGTCGCACAGGTGTCGTAGGAGTAGTCATGAAGATTGCTCGCCGTGTAGGAGCGTGCTCTATAACTTGTCTTGTGCGAGATTATTGGATGAATCCTAAGTGAATGAGGCGATTTTGGGGAGCTGTATCTGGACCCACTTGTAGCACCTGATGTCTGCTTGTTATAGCGATTAAGCTCACTAATACTCCGTAGGCTCGACTCTTATTATCTACCTAACTACGGGACCTTCTATGGCATATCAAAGTATCATTTTCAAAACGATTTTTTTTTTCTTTCAATTTCCAAAACAAGGACGAATCTAGCTATATGTTGTCCCCCAACGTTTTTTTTCTCCATTGGCGGCAAATTGTGCTTCCATGCTGTTCCTTGCAGTAATATCTTTCTTTCCTTGATTGCTAAGCTGCCAAGATCGCGTTACATAGTGAGACTTGCTACCCTGCAACCAGCATAAAAATGCCAGTTCGCGCGTCATATGCTATGCCACCAAGCGATAAGTCTTTGTTTGATTAGAATGATTTCTACAATGTGGCGCTTCCTTTTCATGCGATAAAACGCCTACGGGGTGATTGCGTTGGGCCTGTTGCCCTACCTGCAATTCGTCATTGTTATTCGAGGGCATCCTATAGTTGTCCTCTGCATAACTCAATTCCTCAATTCCTCTACCCCCGGAGCAAGTCTTCCTTGCAAGAGTCCATATTAATCGCCGTACTATTTGAAACTAAGGACGGGATCGCTGCGGTGTATTAATCTGACCGACCTCGACCAGCATTTTTGCACCACTCTTCTCAACGGCTCACTATAGCGGCGCCACGCTTTTGCATCGTCCTAACGGTTAGTACCTGCTCGGTACCATTGGCGACAAGACGCCGTTGACCGCATGCGGATTAACTGTTGCTGCGAAAGGAGGCTCTCGAGGGCTTCCAAGCCTCAACGGCTCACACCGGGCTTACTACTAACGTGTCCTTGCCTAGTAAAATACGTGGTCTGCTGGTATTCAATACTACTCTGCACTCACCTCCTCATCTCGCGTCGCCTCCAGAGCTCATAAAATGGTTAGTGCGCTGCGGCTGAGACGCAGAGCAACAGAGGCCTGAGCTGGGATTTCTTTAACCCCCCCATTTTCTGCATCTCGTCATCCAATCCAGCGGCTCCTCCACCCTTCCCGCTCCTATTTGATTATCCGCCCCCCTTTGAGTATGTTATTTCCAGTGCTCAAATCCGACAACCAAGAGGGACAACCAAAGAAAATTCCTCCCAAACAGAAACAGCTCCCCCAAAACGACCCGATTTTCCCACCTGTTATTTCCGGGGGACAGTGGCGCGAACAACACGGATCGAGCTCCGCTGACACAGCAAACAGCGCGAGGCAAACCAGGGCCTTTCAGCTCAAAGCAGGCCGGACAAGGCCAGCGCGCGGCTTTATCACCAGTCGGGGATATCATCGGGGAGCTTGGGAGGGGGCGGCTCTTGGATTACGTTAGTACAACGGCATATGGATCTGTCGCTTTTCCAGCAAGGCGGCAACGGCCAACACGGCCGCTCCGTAGCTGTCGGACGCGGCAATGCCTCGTCGGCCTTGACCCCCAGCTCCGTGTCCAATGCCTCCATCGCGTCGCCCGGATCCGTGTCCGGGAGCCTTCGTCTGCCGGGCATCGGCGGCGGCGGCCCCGGAGGCCTGGGTGGGCTCGACTATCGCGGCATTGTCTCTCATGATCATGATGTCGAGTCGCCGCTGCCCGAGACTCATGCGAGTGGGCCACCAAAGAAGAAGCAGAAGCGAAACAAGCCCACGCTGTCATGCCACGAGTGTGTTGAACGAAAGACAAAGGTGCGTGCTGCGCGCGGCTGGTCTCGGCCAGCCCTTGACGCGAGACAAATGTTCCCATTCCCTTCTTCTTCTTTTTGTTCAGGCCGTACGAAATGCCCCTTACTCGCCTCGTCGTGTTTCTTTGCGTGGTTGCATCCGGTCCGTTCGAGTCCGGGTGCCTGCCGCATCACGAATGGCGGTGGAACCGACATTTGAGGTTCCTTATCTGCGAGTTCCCGTCTACTTGTGCTACAGCATGATCTCATGTGTAGATTCTGCCGTATGCCTGTCCTTTTGCCCCAGTTGCCCTACTTCTTCTACGTGTATAATTCCCCTACTTCGGCCCACTTCCGCCACGGCGGCCAAATTTTGAGTCATTCAGGGGGTCCTTTGGTGTGTCACACAGCGATATCACTGACATATTCCCGGTAGTGCGATCGTGGTCGACCACATTGTCTTGCATGTAAGTCAGATCCAAGCTCTATCTATTGACCTACCTTGTCTGCTAATTTTGAAAATCGCAGGCATCAAGCGGCAAACTGAGTGCATATATGCCCATGTTGCCAACGTAATTGAGTGAGTCTGAAGAACCAGCGTCTCGCCCAGTCCCCTTCCACGGACAGCTTCAAGGGTATTCTAACGTAATATCTCGAGTAGGGAGACGTCGAGGTCGGCTGCCAACGGGCGCCGCATGACCAAGCCTCCAAAGAAAAAGCCCGGGTCTTTTGGAAAGCTCCCGGTGCCCAACATTGCGGACAGGAACGCCAACAGTACTGATGACACTCCGTCGAGAGGTGCTATCGCTCTCTCCATCGGCTTGCTATCAAATGTTCCGTACTCTGTGGCCACTGCAAGCAACGTGTTTGGAATAGGCTCGGAACATCCGTTTGCAAATTACTGGACTTGCGAAGGAGGTCTACCCGAAGTCATATCCGTACTCCCCGAGAAGCTCCAGGCCGACATCCTGCTTTCTCGGTATTTCGAATGCGTCGACCCGGTGTACCCCATGATCCATCGCCAGACATTTTATGCCGACTATGAGCATTTTTGGCAGATGAGCATCCCAGAGAAGAATCAGGTTGATGCCGCCTTTATCGCTCAAATCTTTGTCATGCTGGCTTTGGGCACCCAATTTGTCACGTCAACGACAGCACAGGAGAGGAAACAGACGGCTGAGTTTTATGCTTCAGCTAGCAACCAAGCTTTGAGAATGTTCTCCTATCTCAGCACAGCATCAATCCGTTCCATTCAGGCCATGGTTTTGATGACTTATTTTCTCATCAACGACAACCATGCTTCAGACGGCTGGGCATTTGCTGGAATACTGATACGACAAGCGTATGCCATGGGTTTGCATCGTGACCCCAACATTGGTAGGTCGCATCAGATACTACTCCTTGCATGACATGATCCCCCCCTCGCATAATAATCTTAGCTTCTTTCTCTGCTTCTCTCTTCGTCTCTGTGATAGGCCACTAAACTCACCGCACACTCTTTAGTTACACCGGATGCTAGTCCATTTGAAAAGCAGCAGAGACGCAAGGTCTGGCAAGCGGTCTTACTGCAGGACACGTTCCTCACAGTACTTTTGTCCCTGCCGCCATCTGCAACGCACACCGACGTGTCAGTCGATGACTTGCTCGATCATGGATCCTCCATTGCAAGCAGCGATCCAACAGACAACGCCTACATCCGGGGCTCCTGGACGCTGGCGAACCTAGTGCAGGAAACGATATGTTCCCCACGTTCTCTTGATGTGCCCATTTGTGCGACGGCGCGACACAAGTCAAAGCTGATTGCCGACTTCCGAGCGGTGTATCGGTCATTTCCGGATGTTTTCCGCTCGTGGGACACTGAGAGCTTGACGGCGTTGGCCGGGACAAACAAAAGAGTCGTGCGTCAAACGCTGTTTCTCACGAGCAACTACTTTCACAATCTCATGTTGGTTCACGCATCAGAAAGCCCGGACGTTCCGGTGAATGTGCGGGGCACGCTGGAGGCTGCTCACGATGCCATCGGGGCCTTCTTCTTGCTATTCAACTTGCTGGAGAGCGAGGCTCGCGTCTGGTGGGTCTTTAATCACAGGGCTTTTCTTGAGGCTCTGTGTATTGGCAACGTCCTGAGAGAAGCATCCAAGGAGTCCCTGGGCAAGGAGCTACTGGCGAAGGACCCGTTGTTTGTTCGAGCCAAAGCAGACATCAGTAAGTGGAACCGCCCCCAGTTCAACTGAGTAGTGTCAATTTTTCTCCGTCCCTTTATTCCCGAAAGCCATGATGTACCCGTATAGTCCCAGTGTGCTAACGACGTTGGCAGCTCGAATGATTCAGATCATGCAGCAGATGGCCGAGGACTCCGAGGTTGCCCGGACCAGGGTACAGGTGTTGAGCCAATTTCTGCTCTAATGCGTTAGGGGCCCCTAGTTTTACGGCAACTTTATTGAGACGTCTTTTCTTTCTCGTTTTTGTAGAGCACGGTGTTGGAGGACACACTCAAGTCTGTTTTGGGTAATTCGTTTGGCTATGGAACAGTACTGTGCATGTCTCGGGCTTTCCCCTACGACGGCGGAGTACTCGTACGTGTATTTGCATTTGCGACGGAGTGGAGTTACGAGGTACAAAAGAACGTGTTGAATATCGAATAGGTACGCGAAGGGTTGTATTTGAATCGGGCAGAATTACGGAATGCCTCAGCCGCAAGGGGAGGTGGGTTCTGCCACTGATGGCATGACAGCGGCTGGAGGTTCTGGAGTACTGGTACATGGCACAGTTTATATCATGTTCCAGGCCCCATTCCAGCCGCTTCTGAGGTCGGCGACTGTTGGACCACATGGCAGGCCTGCTGAGCCGAGCCTTTCTGGCTAGGATCGGAAGGACAAGGTACCGTCTCCACAACAGATCGGACAGGCTGTTTGCTGTGCCCTTTTGCTGTCTGGTCTTTGGTCTTTGGTCTTTGCCTGAGGGAATTGTGGTGGCGGGTACGAGGGTTGACATGACCAGTTTGCTTGGCCGGGATACAACAATCTGCAAGTACGTGGTATCTGCGGGTCATTTGCGGTGACGAAGTACTGTACAACATGCTGTTGGGTGGGATTCGTGCAAGTGCTAGGATAATATTAAACTTGAGACGTGCATGGGGCGAGAAGCAATAATGTGCGAAGAGCAATACTCGTGGCCTTTGATGTGAGGATTTTCCAGGTGACTCGTACATTAAGCCTGGGTACCTAAGGCAATGTTGAGTGCTGGGAGGTTGCATCGCATGCTACCCGAGAGCGAGTACTTTTGCCTTTTTTATTCTTTTTATTCCTCTGCTCTGCTACTCTGCTCTCCTCCTTTCCTTTCCTATTGGGCCAATTTGTTTAGTGGACGGACTGGATTTCCTTTTTATTTCCCTTGTCCTTTATGCTTTGCGTTTTTTGTTTATCTGATTTGTTCCCTGATTGGGTGTTATTGCGAAGATGAAGGATGGGGGTGTGCGGCTGAACGCATGGTGTGGCAATGACGTGGGTTTTTAAATGAATTCAATGTAACGGTGTGACATTGGGTATATTATCAAGTGTACTGTACTCCGTACGCATGTATGTACAGTAGCTACGGCCAAGGCAATAGGGCATGTCGTATTTTTGATGCAGTGGGCATAATATGTCATGGAGGATGAGTGCAAAGCATGAGCATCCAAGGACCAAGAATGATGGAGATGAAAGGATGAGTGCGATCTCTTTTTTTTGATACTGGAAATGGAAAGAGGATGGCGTATATGTAAGACGAATACTCCGAAAGGGCATCTTTTCGAGCTCAGCGGCTGTGTTTTGTACGGACATCGCCTTTTTGAATACTGTACTGTACGTGCTCGTGCGTGGGATCGGTGACGAGAAGGGAGGAAGGGGATTCTGTGGAGGATTTGCTCCTACCTCTCTGCATGTACGAGGGTGGACTTATACTATAGAAGGCCAGCTGGATCGTGATTTAGAGTCCACCCCTAGGATGACTGACTGATATTGCAAACGCAGGTTTTTGGCGAAAAGAGAGGATCTACGGGCTTGGTCTGGCCGAATCGAGATTCAGGCAGAAGGATCACAGTGGAACCCCCTTTTCTTGGATGTATCTGTGCTCTGCCGAGTTTCATGCTGTTACTGGGAAAAAGAATTGAATCAAAGGTTTGTCAGGAAGGATAGTAAGTAAGTAGTATGTTAGATAGTCGTAGCAGGATAAGTAATCATGTTTAAAATAAAATGATTAGTCGGGCAGGCTGTTGTTTGATTACTATTTACCAGGTAGTCTGAGGCGCTCATTGTAGCCCGGACGGAGGCGGACAATGACGGACGAAATGAAATTCGGGCTTCCGGGACTAAGGAGCGCAAGTTGAAACCGGGGAGGATATAGTAGCAGTAGCCGTAGCCGTAGCCGTACAAGTAGTAGTAGCCGTAGCAGTTGAATTTAGGTATGGTGGAGCGCAAACTGGCACTGTGCCGGCGAAGAATACCTGTCCACAGCTCTCATGCAGGCTGCCGCGCATAGGTGCAAGCAAGCAGCTTGTTCGTCGCGGTCGTATCAGCTAGCCCGAGATTGTATATACATGACATCGTGCTTTTGATTGTTTGCGAGAGGGAAGCGGGGGGGGGGGGGGGGGGGGGGGCGAAGAGGCATGTAGAGTACCTACGTGTTATTACTGGTCAAAACGAGACCCTATGGGGGACTTTTGCAAAGAGCGAAAGATGATGATTTTTCTTCTCGGTACATATCAATACGAGGTATCTCGTGTATCTCGTGAGCGCGAGGCATTAGGTCCTTAGTAAGTACTCCGTAACCAGGTCAGAAAATGGGAGTGAGGGTAAGAGAGTACAAGTACGAGTAAGAAAAGTGCGAGAGTGAGAGTGAGAGGGTGAGAGAGGACCAAAAAAAGAGCCGCCAACAGACGCTGCCGTCGGAACTGGGATGCGGCACGACCCCTGGTTCGTCAATATTAAGGCAGAGTGTGTTGCAACATGAAAGCAAAAAGAATTAAAAAAAAAAAAAAAAAAGAGAGAGAAGAAGAAAAAGTGGGTGCAAGGATCAAGAGGAGGGTTGCATTCCCATCGCCAGTCTGGATTTGATTGATTCCCCATCTGTTTATATTGCCGTATCCTGCAGGACAGTACGGTACGGTACAGGATGGAGTACTTTGGCTCAGTACCGTTACGGTAGGTACCTTGCCTGGTGAAGATGCAAATTTCGAGGGCTGGGATTGGGATCAGGATTGGAGTTTTTTTTTTTTTTTTTTTTTTTTTGGTGGTACGAGGAGGATTTCTGCTGGCATGTGGCGTGAATCCTTTTTGCGTACTGTACACATTCCTCTCTTCTTTTCTTGTCGTTTTCCCTTTGGATGAGATGAGCTACAGTACAGTACTGAACGAGTTGGTGTGGAGGACGGAGCGACGGGACGCGGATTTTCCATCTCCTTTGGATCTTTTTTCTTCAAGGTTGCTTTGCTGGCGAGAGGATTGCTGAAAGATGGTGTGTTGGGCTGGTTGTGGATTTGGCCGTGAATGATGCTATTCGATGCAGCTGGCGAAGAATGCACCAGCGATATGCACCAATAGCATCCTCTGCGAAGCGATCAACTTGCATCTCCGTCTCGTCTCGTTTAACAGAAACGATGCAATGCCAATGCAAGAGGGAAAAAGAATCCAAACTCAAAAAGCCAAGCTCCATGCCACTAGCCCTTAGTCTCGCATCCATCATGATCGCCCGCGATAGCCCACATAATCCTCCGTAGTCAAAAAGCGGGAGAGACAACCAGAGCCCGTTTGTGATCTGGTTGCAGCGCTTGGCAGAAGAAGCGAAGCAGCCCGACCATGTTACTGTGCAAATTACCTCCAGCTATGTATCATTTGCTGTTAGGCGCTCTGCCATTCTGCCGCCGGATTTGGCTTGGGGCTGGAGCAGGGTGGCGAGAGGGAAAAAAAAGGGACATAACAGCAGTTGATCCAAAGCGGTAAGAGATACGCTCGCAGGGCTATGGATGGACTGTGCTCGTAATGCGGCACGACAGAGATGACAGGCCCTTTTTTTTCTTTCTTCTTATTTTATTCTTTTATGTGAGATTTTTTATTACAGTACAGTGAAACAGTATGACGCCCATCGTGGACCTGGGGTTTAATATCCAATTGCCACAACGAGCAGCACACGTTAGCAATAGCCGTACATTAACGTCCTTTTTTAGTCTCGAGATTAAGGCACTCTTTCTTAAGCGAAAAGCTCGGCACGATTTCCCTAGCGCTTCATCGCTTCTGCTGTGGTTTGGCTTTTTTTTTTCTAAGTGCCGGGGGGGGGATATGCAGTCCACATTCACATGCTGTGTCAACAAGGAGCCCCCGACAAAGCTTCTCCATGATGATGTGTCTTCATGGTTTTTTTTTCTTCGCCTTGTTCCTCCCTTTTGATCCAATAGCAGCAGGCCGGCGATAGCATATGATGGGGAATCGGCGTTAGGATTCCAAGAACGCTGTTTGGTTGAGCGGACATTGCCGGCGGGTGCTTTGAATGGATGGCTTGCGGAGACCATTCCATTTCACTATGGAGCATCTCGTTTGCTCTGGGCGAGTCATTGTTCAGCCGATTTTGCATTCCAATCTTTCATAATGCTTTGCACGTGTCTCCATGGGCTGTGTATTACACGTACGAGGAGTAATACCTAAACATAGAACTCCGTAATACGGACCCTTTTCTCTTACTCCAAGTTGCCTATTACGGCAAGATGTCTCCAGCATGAGTATTGATACTACAGTACTATGTACATTTCTTACGAATATGAAGGAGTATTACTGCATGGTGTCCGTACGACCAAGAGGGCTTCGGCAACGTCTCCCGGCCTGCTGCAGTGAAATCACCCTCAAACGCGGTGCCTACTGCTGCTAATGCCGACAGACCCTCCTTTGCGGTGGAGATGGGGATGGACCATCGCTCGCTGCACCCTCGGCATCTCGTCGTCGTTGCCATGATGAACCTTGCCCGGTCCACAAGGCGACAAACAGTGTCACCATTACGATGCATGCATCGTTTCGGCTTTTCGAATCAGAGCACAGTGGATGAAGGGGGGGCGTGGGAGAAGAGGAGGAAGAAACAAAGAAAGAAATAGGGAGGCTGATTGCTTCGTTCGTATCGTTCAAGTGCCGGCCCTGATGGAGCTTGTGGAAGATCCCCTTTTCCCCTGTTGACCAAAGCAGCCCCATTCATCGACACTTGGCTTTTGGGGATAATTCTTTTCCCTGCTACATACATACATATAAGAGATCCCTGTAAAGAGGAAAGCGTACAGTACAGAAAAGGGAAGAAAAGAGAATGGGCGATAGCCGGAGTCGGGCATCTCGATACCCCTTCGCCGTCGGCAAACTACCACCACCCACAACTATACCTAGCACGACGTTTTAAAAAAAAAGGCTTCTACAACTAGACCCCGCGGTTTCAAGTCTCAAACGGAAATAAAATGCACAAACGGGCTGGTCCGGCCGTGGCGAGAGCCGGGCATAGCATAGCCATGCTTGAACATGCAAGGACATGGAGGTTGGCATAGATTCAAGCCCAACTTTAGGGCAAAAACACGCCATCTGCGCAAGGCCCTCCCCTTGCCCTCGCATCCAATTGCCTAGTTGACATCGGATCGAGGAGAATCCCTGCAGCTCTTTTTTGCCTTCTTTCTTGCTGTCATTTCGTGAATCAACGTCTCATGCAGCAGCGTTGCAATGGTCAGAATTTAAGACTCCCATCGCTGCCTTGACCGCATTTACGAAATCTATTTGAGTTTCGGCCTTGTATGCACGTCTGCAGGACTGCAGCTTTGCATTATGCACTCCTTCTCTTCCTTTCACATGTACTTGCAACCAGCATCATCCAAATGGCCTCTCTTTATTGTCTGCTCCCCGGTGTTAGTCCCACCCCGGTCTCCTGTCCCTCAGCGCTACCTTGCGGCCCGAAAGACGATGATTTTTTTTTAGAGGGGGTTTAAGTCGAAAATGTACAATATTACGCCCGTAGATCCCCTTCTGATAGGGCGCTAGCCTGATGCGTGGATCCAGTATCATCATCTCTGATCAGAAGATTGAAGGCCTGTTGTCGTACCTCGACGTATTCTGGATGCGGCAAAAGCGGCGAGCGGCAAGACCCGTGGTTACGTAACCCTGCGCCGACGGTACAACGTTTGCTACTGTACTCCAAACAGTCGAGAGACAAAATAGCGAAAAGCTCTCCGTAAATGAGAAAAAACAACGAGCAGGGATTCGCCGGCGCTTTTTTGCCCACTCTCAGCCAAGCCTAAGCCAAGGGCCAAGCTGCAGCTCCCGATGCGGTACTCCGCCGCCTGACTCGCCTAATCTAGTACATGTGGCAGTACATGTGCGAGGTGCAGCTGATTGGCGGCAGGGCTGGCGACTTGTGATTGCTCCAAAATCACTCGCTCGCTGCAATGCGCCAACAGCAAGCTGCGCAGACCGTCATTCTGCACTGTCGTTGGATGCGGAGCTGGAGCCAGTCAGAGGCCGAGGACAAGAAGTGAGAAACGACCTTTTGCGTGGCGGAGGTGTGCGCATGCGGTCACACTTGCGCGTGCCGTGCTGTGCCGTGCTGTGCTTTGCTGTCTGGACTCATGAGTTCCATGCGAAGCTACAGCATTCGGGGTACTGCAAATGACATGGCTGACAACCTTGAAAGTTGGGGTAAATATCGAGTCGGGGTGAAATGAAATGGTTCCTGTTCGGCTCTGCTTCCCGCCCGGGCTAACATTCGAAAAAGAAACACCAGCCCTGCTCGAAACCAGCTCCAAGCCCGTCAGCTTCTCGACTGAGCAGGTGTCTTTTTGCTGGTTTCCACGGCCCGAGGCGCCTCTTTGACGGACTCAGCATCCGCCCCGGAATCACATCCCGGGCCTGAGCAACCACAGTCTACGAAGTCGAGGAAGTATATCCAAACTGGTTCCCCCCCTTCTTCGTGGCGTCCTGGCACAGTGTGCCCCGCTAGCACACCAAGGTTTCCTTGAGCTCTGCCTCCAGTGGGGTTTCATCCGGATATCGCTGCGAACCAGAGACGTCCATGTTCTACCAGGCCCGGCCGCTGCCTGTTCGGTCGACATGCCCCGTGCCAGGTTCGCTCGCTCATGCCAGAAGCTCTTCTCCGGACGGGGATTCCCTACACGGAGGACAGGCAAGCAAAGAGTGCTGAGCATCTTCATCTGGTCTGGACGATTCGCTTGTTCGCCTAGCGAAGTCTGGCATTGACGCCACAGTGCCTCCATGTTGAGCTCCGTTTGATTAGCTCCGATCCCTTAATCGATCAGCCAAGGTCAGAAAAAGACCTCTGCTCAGTACGGAGTACAAACAACGAGAATAACACCGAATGGACGCTGATACAGGTACATGCCTTGCAAGAAGGAAGAGCAGGTTGCAGCGAATACTGTTCGGCGAAGTCCAGAGACACGGTCGCCGGGCGGAGTGCAACACCCAAGTGGCCAAAGCAGTCTTCTCTCTCTGTTTCTCTGCGTGTCTCTTGCTGGAAAAAGGATACAAGACATTCGGATGCCCTGCGATGCAAAGCAGACAGACTCTTGGCGCATTGTGTCTCACTGCCAATCACTGGTCGCCGATCTACCGGGGACGACGATTGGATGCTTCATCACTGTCTCTCTGAGAGACTCCCACAACGTCTCGTCATCTCGATGCTCGTCGAACTGCGTCTTGTGTTGCTCCCAAGCATGCATTTTGAGAATGCAATTAAACAGTTGGAGCGTGTTAATTGATTCAGACTGTGTGTGGCATCTCCCTGTCATCAGGAAAAGCACCCCCCGGTCTGCTCCGGATGTTACTATTCCGCAACTAACTCTCCCGCGCGCTTGTGCCCTTGGCTGCCGAGTGGGATGCATGATGGCTGATGGACTTTTTTTTCTCCCACATATGATGAGACGCTGCCTCTAAGTGCTCCTGGCGTGCTTGTATGAGTATGACGGCACGCAAGATGCATGAAAATGAAACAGACGAGAAAACCCGGGGTAGAGGGCTGCATTCGCAGTTACAAAAGAGCCATGTTGGTTAAATAATAGGTGGGTTGGCCTGTGCCTGTCCATTGAAATCAAACGGGCAAACGTAGCATAGAGCCCCGTACTTCGTATAGCCGGCCTATGTAGCATCGTGCCCCCTTCCGCTTCGGATCTCGAGATCGGCACTTGGCCATGAGGAAACAGATCCGAAAACGCACGCCCTTTTCTCCCTCCCTCTCTCTTGCTCAACGGCAAACACCAAGGTCGGCCGAGAAAAGGGATCGCAATATCCCCAGCTTTGCGGTCGTGGGCCTTCGGGTCTGATCCGCGATAGTTGAGCTGCAGCGGGCCGCCTTTGGTCGGCGACTATTTCCCTCCGTTTTCTGGCGTCCGTGTTGAGATCATGTTGCTCCCTGTGGTGAGCCGCCCTGTGGATCATGGCCCTGTCAACCGCTACGACCGAGGACGGCCCAAGTATGTCATCGACCAGTTAGGTGTTTAGCAGGGTCGAGTGCTATTCCCGCCAAGGCCTGCACTGACGGACGAGCTCAACCTGACGCCCAACTGCATGAGGAACCCACAACGACCACTCCCAGATTGATTGATTGATTGCGACCTGCTGTCCTGCTCTGCGTCTGCTTCCACCTGAGCTTCTGGACGACGCGGACAGACCCGCTAGTACGAGTATACTGTAGTGAGCCACAATTCACGTCACAGCAGGTGTTGCGGGTGGGACAGGGCACCATCATCAAGCACGAGAGCTCGCGCACTGATGCCGTCTCTCTCCGTGAGCGAGTGTCACAGAGATCTCGACGAGCACAGGTCGCCGAAAGGTTGCAGCCGGCCGTGTTTCCAATCCTCAACACAGGCCAGGCCGGCTATGGCGCCTGATGAACGGCGACGTGGTGCCAGCGGCGGGAGCACAGAGCATCCAGCTCGATGCGAAGTGCGAAGAGAGGTTACACTCTCCGTCGTAGCAATGTGGCATAACAAGAGGCTTGCTTACAGTTGCAGTCGCATGGCAGACTGGGCTGTGTTTGGTTATCCTTGCATTCTTGAATCTTGACAGAGAATACCAGTGGTGCAGATACAGTTTGCACCATCGAGAGAGCCGTGCCAAACTCTGCAGCCTTGCCAGGCGCCGTACGAGTACGAGACTGGAATACTGGAATACAGCGCACGCGGGGAACCTTTTCTGAATTGAATCGGCTTGTCGCTAGATTCGAGCCTAGCGGTGGCATCTCAGCCCCCGTCTCGATTGGCCGTGATGCTAAATCACGGCGGCGTGGAGAGCCGACATGGCGCGGCTCGCGGAAGCATGACCACCTTGCAGATCGACGAGTTGATGCTTACTCGTGCTCGCGCTGGTGATTTCACAACTGCAGTGCTGTACTCGTATTGCCGCTCTTTTCCTTTGTCTTGTTACGTATGCACTTGTGCGCTCCTTAGTCGTCGGCCGTTGATCCATCTCAGCTGGTCGCTGTCCAACAGCCCGTGAATTGGCCGTTGCACTGGAATTGAAGCTGCACTGTGCCAAATACAGACTCTTCGTACGGCCCTGTATTTACTTTCATTGCTGTGCCACTAAGCCCTGCTCCTCTCCATCGGGGTTTAGAGGGGCCGCCTTGGTCCCCACTTGGAATTTGCAGTAACAGAACCCTTTTTTGCCCACAAAACGCCTGGTTGGATTCGCATTAGCCCGCCCCAGACAAAGGAGAATGAGACGACAGATGCCAACGCGCAGAAAAGCTCGCATCCATGCGGGTTTTTGCTTCCCAACAACAACAGCAGCAGCAGCAACCGTAGCAGCCGCAGAAGCCGGCGAATTGCACCGCAGCCACCAGGCGGTCGGCTGAGCCGGCCAAGGTACCGATGTCTGTCGGAGTACAGGCCCGGTACGAGCAGCTGCTGGCAGCTCGCACTCCCGAGGCAGTACATCCCTTGTATGAGCGCACAAGACAGCTGGGCCATGGTACAAATACCTGATCGGGGTAGTACCTGCGCGCCATTGGCCGAGGGCGGCAGATGCGGCATCCGTGGCCATACCCCCCCGTTGCTGCGAAGTTGATGCGAAGTTGAGACTGCAGCAAACAGCGGCACAAGTACAGAGTACCCCATTCCTGCGCTGCATGCAGGCCACCCACAGTGTGTGCTGCAGCTCACCTCGGCCCCAGAGGTACAAGAGGTACAAGCGGCGCGACCTTTGCGGAGCGCGCGGGCGGCCACTGTAGCCGCGACGCCTGTGGATTCGTGTGGTCGGCCAAGAGTGACACGGAGACTCAGGATCCGCGAACTGTGCGTATATCACTGTGCCGTACGGCGGCCCGTGCGCGGCCTGAGTCCCATGTACTGCGTACCTGCTACCTGCTGGCAGCACCTTTCGCAGTGCAGGCACCAACCCTTGCCTCATACAGCGACGCCCCCAGCGCACACGCCCCCAGCGCACACGCCCCCACTGCAGCTGCCGCACTGTGCCAGTACCGGTACTTCGCACTCGTGCTGGCACGCCCAACAACAGCGCACCTCCGCCAAACCTTGCAGCCAGCGCTGTACTGTACCGTACCTTGTAGCACCAGTACCGCTATCCTCGCTACCTCTACAAGGGCCCCGTCTCAATTGACGGCTGGCCGTTATTAATATTACACCACCCTATCTACCGCGCGCCTCTCCTCTCACTCTCTGTTTGCGTCCTCGCTTTTCAACAGCTCTGCCTGCTTTACTCCGCGGATCACCAAGCGACCCTCTTGTTTCTTCTTCCTTTTTTCTTTTAATCCAGCTGTCGTTCGGCCGACCTGAATCTCGCCTAACCAGATCTTACATCTCCCCCTCATCTTCAACAGCGGAAGAAGAGCATCGCCGTTTGCGCCCATTGACGACGAAAAAAAAAAAACACCCCAGCCAGCAGCAGCACACAGACACTTAGACACAACACCCTCTACTATACACTCAGTCTCCACCAGCTCAACGAAACTCTTCCCCATCCTCTTCTGACACGAGCGGAACACTCGACGACTAGCTCTTCCTCCTGAGCCTTTTTCTCTCACCTCGCCAAGGACAAAGCTGGTTACTGCACAAGAGTAGAGGTTCATCACCAAGACCGTCTATTAGTGTTGCGAACTCAACCAGACTGACACCAGACGAAAGCCCTTCTCCCGAGACGAGAGGCTACGTCTATCGGCGCCTTGGAACTTGACCGAAACGGGCCCAAAACGACTCCATCGATTCATTGTTAGGTGTATCGTCACCTAACACCGCCACGATTGCTCCGTCAAGAGTCTCGTCGCGGGAAACCAACTTCCGCGATATGGCTATCGAGGCTCTTAAAAATCTTATAAACAACATACCCGACTGGCAGACGAGGCTCGATGAGCTGAGCGGCCAGGTTGACAAGCGCCAGCTGGAGCTAGCAGCTCTGGCCGAGGCAAACCCCAACAAGGAACCCGAGACCAGATCACTGAGGAATAAGGGCTCAACAGAGTCCCTCAAGCCCAAGGATGATGGCGCAATGCACATCTGCTTCCCCGAAGATGTACCCGCCCAGCAGCCGGATATTACGACAGCTCCCTTCCACAGCAGCAGACAGCGTCGTTCATCACCGCCGAGCCCAGCTGCCGAGAAGCGTCCGGCGTTTCCCAAATCTGCAACAGACACCAACGGAATTCCCTGCAACCGAGTAGTCAAGAAGAACAAGATGACATCGATTTGCTCTGCGGATGGGCCTCGCCAGACATACCGCACGAGGAATATGATCATCGTCTACTACGACAGCTACGTGCAGGGCTTCTTCGACGACCTCGTCAGGTTCATCTCATCAAGTAGGAATCTGATGCGGAAAGCCAAGATGGCAGCCAAGGTGGCCCAGATCAAGAAGCTAGCTGAGATGGAAATACCAGATGATGACAACACTGGTGACGACAAGGCTGCTGAGGCTCTTCCTTCGCTACGATACATTAGCAGTCGGCGGTATGGACCTGCGGCCATGCGCCTGGGCCACCCTGGCCTGGCCAACCAGACACCTGATGTGTACGATGAGCTGGACAAGGCTCTCGAGTTCGTGCAGAGCACATGTGAGCATGGTGCCCACCAGTTTCTAAGGGACGCCAAGTGCAATGAGGAGGTGCAGAAGATTCAGAAGCGTATAGGCGAAGTTCTCGTCATGGCCAAGGAGGAAATGGACCGCGTCGAACGCGAAGAGCCCGAGATGCTAAAGGAGGCGGCCGATGCCAAGCCACGTACCATGAAGCCAATCACCGTAAGCCGGACAATGGTACCCCATCACAAGGAGGTCGACGATATCCACTCGCGGAAGCTCGAGGTGGCAGACTCTGCGGCGCCGAGACTCCCTGTTATGCACGTGGCCGATCGAATCGAGGCGGACCCCGATGCTGGCCAAGACGATTTCGATACCGAGGCCATGCTTGCAAGGATACGATACAACTCATCAAGGCAGATGCGTATGCGTGCCGTAGTAAACTAAAGGGGAAGGGAGGGAATCTTGTTGTTGCATAGCCGATGTAGTTCGGCGTGGGATCAGGAAATGTCGCACATTTCCTCGCCAATGACGGAATGAAAAAAAAAACACTATTTTGTTTTAACGATCCTGGTATGCATAGGAGTTCAGGAAAGGGGGGGTTATATCTAAGCATTTCACACAAAGGGTTACTGAAGCCAAAGCTATACGGGAGTCCCGCATATAGCCGCGAAAGGGGGCATATGGGCGTTTCTGTTTTACAATCATCATTGATTCTTATTTTCATTTTTCAGCTTTTCTCTTTTCTCACCAATACCTCCTTCATTTGGAACTTTTTTTTTTTCTTTTTCTATTGCCATTTCAGCTTTTGGAGCAAAACATTTCGGATCAGACTATACCGGGACTCCTAGTTGAGGGAAAAATTGCATCTTGTCGATATCTCGAGATGGAAGGGCAATGCAGTGCTGGATTCTGAGCCTGTTCCTCTCTCTTCATGACTCTTCATTTCCTTTCTTGTCTGTTTTTCTGTACACGAGTCTTGGATTTGGGGATTCGTTGGTCTGTTCAGCCCATAACCTTCGCTATCTGGTACCATCTCTACAGACGTACCTACACAAATACCATCTGGGCTGTTGTTTTCCTTCTTCTTTTCTCTTTTTTTTTTTGGGGGTAAATGGTATCTGGATATTCCCACTGCGGTTAATTGGAATACATAGTATATTTAATGCAAAGCTGTCAAATCCATTGCTAGTGTCTTATCTTCAACTTTGATATTTGAAAGGCTCCCATGATGGAAGCGTCTTTAGTACTTGTAGATTCAAATACTCACCTAGGTACAATCAATAGGTAGTGGGTTGGGTGCTATTTAGCAGCAGCCTAACAAACTCAGTTTAGTGATGCTAGTGGACGGCCAGGCGCTAAACCCACCCGCTACTGGCCCACCATCCACAGCGGTGACGCTCATAAGAACAAGCGGCGTAGGCAAGCTTCCGTGAGGCTGCGGGCTGCTTTTAGCCAGGTGACGTCCCTCCACCAACCTCCAGAGAGCAGAGCTTCCATCACTGAGAACCTCTCTGGAACCAACCCACCCTCTTGTACTCACGACCCCGACAACATCTTGCGATACCGGCGATTACTCGTCCATCCTGCTGTTCGTTTCGTTCACGTTCAAAATGACGGCTATTTCCTCCCTGGCCGAACGATAAGACGCCACATCCCGCGATTCCCCCTCCTTTGCCAACTGTCTCGACACCTTCTCTAGCTGCTCGGAGGACGAGGGGCTATACCTCTTGCTCATCTTTCTTTCTTCGTCTTTTTCGTTTGAAGCCATGGGCCAAGGGTTCTCTCTCGCTACGCCGTCGGCTGGCGCGGCAGGCATAGATATTGCGCAGCTGCAGGACATTCAGTACGAAAAAGGTATAGGAAATGCACGCTTCATGAAGAGCATCCGGGGGAGACATGAGCACGGCGTGGTGCTGGTCAAGGTGCTAGTGAAGCCCTACCCGGAGGTGCAACTGGAGATGTACAAGAAGAAGATCATAGGTGAGCTCTTTGACGGCTCTGCCCGTAGGGCGATGTGCTGATAGCTTGAACAGAGCAGCGCAAGGCGTTGGCGGGCGTTCCCAATGCATTAGGCTTCCAGCGCATCATCGAGACGGAGACGAACGGATATCTGGTGCGACAGTTTATGTACAACTCGCTCTATGACCGCATGAGCACGCGGCCATTTCTGGAGGACATCGAGAAGAAGTGGCTGGCGTTCCAGCTTCTCTGTGCCCTGCGAGACTGCCACGCGCGCGACGTCTACCACGGCGACATCAAGGCCCAGAATGTGCTCGTCACGTCGTGGAACTGGCTGTACTTGACCGACTTTTCATCCGCCTACAAGCCCATCATGCTCCCGGACGACAACCCCGGCGACTTTTCCTATTTTTTCGACTCGTCAGGCCGGCGGACGTGCTACATTGCGCCTGAGCGCTTCTACTCATCCAGCGAGCCCCCGCCGCAGAAGCCCAAGATGACATGGGCCATGGACGTCTTCAGCGCAGGATGTGTTATAGCCCAGCTGTTTCTCGAGTCGGAAATCTTCAGCCTCGCCCAGCTGTACAAGTACCGGCGCGGCGAGTATGACCCCGTCATTACTCACCTGAGCGTAATCTCGGACAAGGACGTGCGCGACATGATTGCCCACATGATCCAGCTTGATCCCGAGAGGCGGTATTCGGCTGAGCAATATCTCGACTTTTGGAAAGATAAAGTCTTCCCCAGCTATTTCTACAACTTCCTGCACCAGTACATGGAGCTGATTACGGATCCGTCGTCGGGGAATAGCCCAATGTCGGGTGCTGAGAAGAACTTGGGCGAGTCGGATAACCGCATCGACAGGATCTACAATGACTTTGACAAGATTTCATACTTCTTGGGCTATCAAGCCGAGAAGCAGACATCAGGGCCGATAATGCCCAAGTCGAGGCTGGGGTTGGACCATTTCCCGGTGAGGTTGAGTATCCCGACTCACGAACACGCTGTCTCTGCGGATCTCGAGCCGCCCGAGGACGACGGAACGCTCATCTTCCTGACGTTGGTAGTCTCGGCTATGAGGACGACGGCCCGGGCTGCGTCTAGAATCAGGGCGTGCGATTTGCTGTTGGCGTTTGCAGAAAGGCTGACCGACGAGGCCAAACTGGACAGAGTACTGCCGTATCTGATGACGCTCTTGCGTAAAGAGGAGACGGACATGGTGCTCGTGACTGTAATACGAGCCGTCACTCAGCTGCTGCAGCTGGTACGGATGACCACGCCGATAAATTCGCACGTTCTGGTTGAATATGTCCTGCCCCGGATGGAGATTGCTCTCGGAACAAAGTCGTGGACGCCCAACTCTCTGGTACGGGCGACCTATGCGTCCTGTATAGGTAGCCTCGCTTCTACTGCTCAGCGTTTTCTGGAAATGGCATCAAGCCTTAGGGCGGACGGATCAATGCCGATTACCGACCCGGAGGTAGAGCCTGGAACTGATGGCGCTGCTGCCAACTTTGAGAGCATGTTCGATAATGCAAACAGACAGCTTTTTGAGATTCTTGAGAGCCATACGAAGCAGCTCGTCGAGGACCCGGATGTCCATGTTCGACGAGCATTCCTGACATCGGTGCCGGAACTCTGCATGTATTTCCAGGATAATTCTAATGACATCCTGCTTACGCACTTAATCACCTATCTGAACGACAGGGACTGGATGCTGAAGAGTGCCTTCCTAGACACCATTGTGGGCATTGCAACTTTCATAGGAAGCACCAGCCTCGAAGAATTCATACTACCTCTCATGGTTCAGGCTTTGGCGGATCCGGAGGAGAGTGTGGTGCGGTCAGCTTTGCATTCGCTAGCTCAACTTGCAGGCCTGGGACTACTGTCCAGGTCAAAGATCTGGGAACTGGCAGACTTGATAGGGCGGCTCACCATGCACCCAAACATGTGGATCAGAGAATCTGCAGCAGAGTTCCTATCCATGGCTGCCAAGTTCTTATCCCAGGCCGATGTGCAGTGCATATTGCTGCCGATGGTTAGGCCATATCTCAAGATAGAGTCCCTTACCGACTTTTCTGAGCTAAATCTTCTTGACTCCTTGAAGAAGCCTCTTCCCCGGCAAGTCTTTGATCAGGCGTTGACTTGGGCTGCCAAGACGGATAGGGGGGTGTTCTGGAAGTCAGTCTTGGGAAAACGGATGTTATCGAACCAAGTGGCGCTGGCCTCGGCGGCTCGAACATCCAAGGAGTTGATGCCTTCTTCCACGAGCAAAATTAGCCGCAATGAAGAGGATGAGCAATGGCTCGAGAAACTAAGGAATTTTGGACTGAGGGCCGAAGATGAGATGAAATTTCTGGCCTTGTGTGAATATATATGGCGGCTTAGCAAGAGCAAGACGCGAGACACTGGCGTCGTCACGCCCACCGCTGAAGATGAGATTATGCCTACGGGATTTGTTCAGCTGAAGGAGTTGGGTGTGTCTATTCAGACGGTGTTTTTCGACGAAGGCCCCCTAAAGGACCCCTCTGCCGCTCTGCCGGACCTGGAGCCCACACCCCCCATAGCCGGGCCATATACGATCGCGGATGCGTTATTGGACGCTTCCATGACGATAGACGATACAGTCGGTAAGAAGAAGCGTCTCCATTCTCATAAGAGGGTACACAGCATAGGCCCTTTGCCTTCTCGCAGCACGGGACGCCTGTTGTCTCCTACTGGGAGCGGAAGGGCTAGCTCTACCGATTCTCGGATGGCACTGAATTCTCCTCTCGGGCCCGGAGATGATTCCGTGTCTATCAAGGACGGATCATATTCTTCTCGCAGAGGCATCCGGCACCAGTCAAGTGCCCTCAGCCTCTTGGATCGCAAGGACGGCCACAAGTCTATCCCAGAGACTGGGACCAGCGATACCAATGCCTTTGGGCAGGTGGAAGGGCCTTTTACCCAGACGGCGCCGGTGAAAGCCATTTCTCGGCCGAGCACAGAAGGCGGCGAAGCTTCCCGTCTGAGGCAGGTGAGGCATAGCTACGAAGGAACAGATCCCCATGTTCGACGAATGCTCGATAATATGTACGTCGAAAACTTCCCTCGCGACGTGCTAGAATTTGGACCAATGGTCCAGCCCATCTCTGGGGATAAGAGTAGATCGGTCAACGTCCCGGGCGCGGATCCTCCCTGGAAGCCCGACGGGCATCTCGTGGCGACGTTTGCGGAGCACCGCGGACCCATTAACCGTGTCATTCCATCTCCGGATCACATCTTCTTCATCACGGGCGGCAACGACGGTACGGTAAAGGTGTGGGATACGCAGCGGCTTGAGCGCAACATCACGAACCGGTCTCGGCAGACTTACAAACATGGCGAAGGTGCTCGCGTCGTTGCCCTCTGCTTCGTTGAAAACTCACACTGCTTCGTCAGCTGTGCGTCCGATGGCAGTGTTCACGTAGTCAAGGTTGACACGGTTCCCACTAGTGGTGTTATTAGATATACCAAGCTGCGGGTGTTGCGGGAATACCAGCTACCGGAAGGCGAATATGCAGTGTGGTGTGAGCATTTTAAGCAAGAACAAAGCTCCATTCTTGTGCTCGCCACCAATCTATCGAGGATCCTCGCCATGGATTTGAGAACCATGACTTTGCTCTACGTGCTGGAAAACCCAGTCCATCACGGAACGCCAACGTGTTTTTGTGTTGACAAGAAGAGAAACTGGCTGTGCGTGGGGACTTCCCATGGAGTTGTCGACCTATGGGATCTCCGATTCAAGATGAGGCTCAAGGGATGGGGTGTGCCCGGGAAGGGATCTATTTATCGGATTTGCGTGCATCCCAACAAGGGCAGAGGCAAATGGATTTGTGTCGCTGGAGGAACTGGCCAAGGCGAGGTTACGGTCTGGGACCTGGAAAAGACGACCTGCAGAGAGATTTACCGAACTGGTGGCAATAAGGATGGCCAGAAGGGATACACTGCGTGGGAAGTCGATGAAGATAAGCCTGAAGGAATGCTTGGTCGCTTCGCCACAAATCTTGAGATGAGCGACATGGGAAACGCAGATCGAGGGGTACGGGCAATGGTTGTGGGCACAGGAACGTCGGAGGACTCTCGCGAGGTCCGCCATGCGTACATGCTCACGGCAGGGTCCGATAAACGACTCAGATTCTGGGACATTTCTCGAATCGAAAACTCTTGCATCTACAGCGGTCTCCAGCCCGACGAAGTTCCGCCCACATATGCGAGCACGCATCCGACGACATCGATGACGCTCAACACGGAGCGGTTCGCAAGGCATGCGGCGTCTGCGCCTAATGCGGGGACCGGATCTAGGCAGAAGGCCCCCAGGTCGACGGTGATTTCCATGCAACAGCAGCAGTTGTTAAAGTCGCACCTAGATTTGATCATGGATGTGGCGATTCTGGAGTATCCGTATTCGATGAGCGTGTCTGTGGATCGATCTGGCGTGGTTTATGTGTTTCAATAGAAGATTTTTTTTTTGATTTTATTGTTTAGATAGCGGAAGCTCTTGTTCGAGCTTGGGTTTGGGCTATGGCAAAAGGAGGGAAATGGATTGATTGGAGTTGCATCTTTTAGATGGGTAGAGCTACCTCCGTGTATTTTATACGTTCTCTGCATGAGGCGAGGCATGGGTGTTGTGTGGGCTATACCTGCAGCGTTTTGGGGCAGATAAGCGGCTGATGATCAACAATTATGATTGATTATGCTACATTGTGTGAAATTGTAATCCCTGTTTATACTATTTCTCTAGTAAAACGGGTCTTGTAACTGTGCTCATAAGAAGATGTAAGTGAGAGGGAGCTTCTGAGGTGAAGTTGATGTGTGGCGTTAGCTAGATGTGGCGCTGCCAATGTGTGGCGTTCTTAGTAGTGAAATTTCCGCGCCTTGTCCAAACATTTCAGCCTTGCCTGTCTTGAAGTTGGCATGCGACACCAACTGGCGACCTCAATTGTTCCTCTTTCACGGCGTCTCCCCATTCTCACCTCGGATTTTCGCGACGACAATTCGTTTAGCTCTTAAGCGTCCTACTCGATAGCTTGATCAATTGATACAGGCAATTTATAGGCAATTGCCCCGTTGAAGCGAAGCTCCAGAAGCAAACACACGTCCCACGTCCAAACCACCAGCCTCTCGAGGCTATCTCGACTTCTCCCCTTCCACCCAAACCGACGCAATCCCACGATGCGGCTGACGGCCGAACTGATCCGGGACTCGCTGTCCTATCTTAATCCCTTGAAGGAGAGAGAGCTTGATCTCCGAGGTGCGTTTATGCCCAAGGGGAGGGAGGGAAGGGAAACTTGAAAAGAGCAGATGCTACACACTTTTCTCGGCCTCTTATTCATTTTTCACCTTCTTCTTCTTTCTCCTTTTGTTTCTGGAGTTTTTTGATGAAGGATCTTTTGATACATTTGAGGCCTTTTGTCGGTGCCGCTTTGAATAGGACATCGAATTCCCGCGATTGAAAACTTGGGTGTTGCGGGCGTGAGTGATCATCCTCCTCCTTTCCCCTTTCCTCTACCTAGCATGATGGAATGATGTCGGGAGAAACGAAAGGCTGACACTGGATTCTTCCACTTTGATGATGTATAGCCCCACGATGCCATCGACTTCACCGACAATGATATCCAAGTGCTGGGCAACTTCCCGCTCTCGCCGCGCATAACGACGCTGCTGCTGGCGCGCAACCGCGTCACGAGCATCCAGCCCACGGTGGCGGCTGCCATACCTAACCTGCGGAACCTGGTTCTGGCGTCGAATCACTTGGTGGAGCTCGCGGACGTGGATGCGTTGGGGACGTTTTCGCGACTGACGCACTTGGTGTTGGCGGATAATCCTATCACCAAGAAGGAGGTGCGTTTGCAGTATTCACCCGCCCTTGCTCATTATGGAATTTACTGATTGTGGTGGTGTTGATTTGGTGTAGCATTATCGTTACTGGGTCATTTGGCGGTGTCCGTCTGTCCGGTTTCTAGATTACGAAAAGGTCAAGCAGGCGGAGCGGGACAAGAGCCAGGAGCTATTTGGCACAGCAGAGGAGCCTACGGCTCTAGCAACATCGGTATATAACCCTCCCCTCCCCGTCTTGTCTTTCTAATACAGGATATTAACCGGAATCGCGTGATTAGGTCATGGGCAAAAAATCCAAGACGTTCGAAGTCACATCCAACGGCTCATCCGCCGCGCCGTCGAAGCTCTCGCGGATAAAGCTGACGGATGCAGAGAAGCAGAGGCTGCAGGAGAGGATCAAGAACGCAACGAGCTTGCAGGAAATTATTGCGTTGGAGAAGGAGCTCAACGAGGGAAGGTTACCGTCGGGGATTTACGGCGATGCTATGGAGGAGTGAGGATGGTTGGGTGGATGTGGAAAAATAATATCTTCTTTTTGGCACAAGGTTGTTTTTTTGCTCCATGGTTATTTGATTTACTGTCGCTGTTGATTTTTTCATTTTTACAGAATGCTCTCTTTGATGAAGAGATGGGAGAGCAGGATTATTTAGTTTACTCGGGCCATACACTGTACATGGCGGTAGAAAAAACAAAGAATCGCCATGAAATATAAAGTCTTTCCAGCTATATATATAAAAATAACAAAGCTCCATAACAAATGCAAAATACAAATAAGTAACCAGCCATATCCCTACGGACCATGACAGAAATGCCTGACGGTGAAATGCTTGACCCTAGCCCGTCATGTCAACGTCGCCATCATCCTCAGGCTGCGCTGCCTGCCTCATCTCCAGCTCAAGCTGATCACTGGGGTCATTGCTCTCGTCCTTCTTCTCCCTCTCCTCGCCGCGAAGAGACAAGGTGAAGGGGTTGGAGCCGGCCTTTGGCTGGCCGTTGACGGCGGCGGCCTTTGCGGCAGCGGCCTTGGGCTTCGCGCTGCTCCCGTTTGTTGCGGCGCGGGGGGCGGCGTCGGGGAGAGGCTCGCCGCGGAGACGGGCCTGGTTGATCGCTTTTGCCTTTTTGAGGGGGACGGTCTTGGGGGCGACGTCTTCTAGGAATTCGAGGTGGTCGCGGTGTGAAATTGCGTTGGCTTTTTTTTATGTGGTTGGTGGTTAGTTTTTTTTTTTCGGGGGGGGGGGGGGGGGGGGGGGGAGGGGAGAGAGAGAGCGTAATAGGGGGAGAGAGAGAATTGGTGAGACTTACCGACGTCTTTGTACTGGATGTTGCGGCGAGGCTTGCGTTCTAGCTTTGCTTGGGTGTGGGCTTCCTCGGCGAGATGCTGGATGAACATTTCCTATGAGCGAAGGTTAGTTGGGGAAGAGGTGAAGAGAAAGAAGGGGAAAAGACGTACGGCAGCCAGGGTGATGACAAAGGCGGCGTTGTTAGAGCACATTTGGACATCTGGGTCTTGGCTGATGATTTTCTTGACTCTTGATACTGGGGGGAGGAGTTAGCTTTTTATGAAGGAGGATGATGAGGATTTGGGGGGGAAGGGCTTACATGGTAGTTGGGTTTGGCCGGTGGGCTCCTTTCGAGGAGGGATGGCGTTGGTGTTGTAAGGCATGATGACTGATTTCGTCTGGGATTAAATGAGAGGGGTGTTTGAGTTGCCTTGATGAGAGTGTCGTGGTTGATGAGTGGATGGCCTGTGTGAGTGAAAACTCGTGGATCACGCGCTGTGAGATCCCCCTTAGGGTCTGCCGGGAGAACGAAGGCTTCTCGATGATAGCAATCTTGGTCTGTGTAAGAGGAAAGAGATCGTGTATGCGTAAGAGGCCAGAGTTGAAGACTTGTTTCTTATGGGTGGTTGAGAATGGCGGGATTGGGATGAGATGAGGTTGAAGGCTAAGGGAAGGCCTTGTAGACGTCGTTTGGGCTCAGGGCGATATTAAGTAAGCTGCTGCTGAAGATGCTTTGTAGTTGAGGCTGGGGGGGTTCATGGAGCTTCAAGCAAATACGGTTTTTGGTCTAGAGGAGTGCAGAAATATTTTCCATCCGTAGTAACGGTCTGTAGAAGATGATGGGATCTGGGTGACTGATGAACGTCTCTTTTTCGTTCAAATGCTCTATAAAGCAGACGCGACGCTTTGACGCGACCTGGACTGCGTACTGTAGGGTGTCGCAAAATAGGGCCGCTGCATCCACTAAAACGCCGTTTCTAGTGGAGGGCTTCAGCTGCGGCGCATGCACTACGACGGAGTCTCTGCCCTGGAGATCTGCTGCTACAGCGGGGACGGGGCATGTAGTGCGTGCTGCTTAATGCTGCCCGGGCTTATCTTATCCGCAACTGCTTGCATCCATTGATGTCGACTTGCAGCTCTATTTGCGACAGCGTCGCATCAACGCCCTTCAACACCAGATCCTGCCGATCCAAACCATAGAAACGACGAGCGCAGCGCTACCGTAATCGTAACCGAATCGCATCGCATCGAACCACATCGCATAGCATCAGACAAAGCCGCACGCAAAAGGCGTTGGCGATCGGCGCCGTCGACCCAATCAAGCATCCACTCGCCATGGTGTGCATGTCGGAATCATGAATTCAACATCAATTTCCACGGCTGCGCTCAGCCCCGGCATTTCACGGCGCCCGTCTATCAGTTCTCGAGTGTCCTTTGCCGTGTCCAACGCAGAGCAGGGAGAGACGCCGAGGGAGGGCCAGATCGAGGAAGAGATTGCCGAGATCAAGAGATATGAGGTGAGCGAGTGTGTGTTGCCATAGCATATGTATCTGCTGGCGCTGACGGCCATGGTATCCAGGACTTTACAACGATAGGTAAGAGCGAGACAACCTCAAGAGGCACACCTCCGCAGACGAGACTGACCCCGATGCCACGCAGACTGGGTGCAAGATGCTGCGCGAGAACAGGCGCGGCGCAAAGCTCGTAGGAAGCGCACGGCAGGCGTGTACAGACTCGGCCAGCCCGGCTGGAGATATCGGCTCTGGGAATCTTATGATGCTGCGCAGGGCTGGATCGTTGTCACCATCATCGGAGCGGCCATCGGGCTGAATGCGGCGTTTTTGAACATTGTGACGGAGTGGCTGGCCGATATCAAGACGGGCTATTGCACGACGGGGTTTTATCTCAACGAGAACTTTTGCTGCTGGGGAGAGGACAATGGTAATTTTTCTCTTTAAATAATACCCATGGTGTGTTATGTGGCTCACTGACTCTTATTATACAGGCTGCGAACAGTGGCATCGCTGGACTGGATTTGGCCCCCTCAATTATTTCATCTACTTTTTATTTGCGGTGAGCAAACCTACTTTGCTTTCAGGCACTTATTTTGACTCTGTGAGCATTCTAACTCGCCATGCAGACCTTGTTCGCTTGCGTGTCGGCAACACTGGTCAAGTGTTATGCTCCGTATGCAGCGGGATCCGGCATATCGGAGATCAAGTGCATCATTGCTGGCTTCGTTATGAAGGGCTTTCTTGGCTTCTGGACTCTGCTGATAAAGTCTATCTGCTTGCCCCTGGCCATCGCCTCCGGCTTGTCTGTTGGAAAGGAAGGGCCCAGCGTTCATTACGCCGTTTGCACTGGCAACGTCATCTCAAGGCTGTTCAGCAAGTACAGGCGCAATGCGGGTAAGACCCGCGAGATTCTCAGTGCCTGTGCCGCGGCGGGTGTTGCTGTTGCCTTTGGCAGTCCTATTGGAGGCGTGCTCTTTTCACTTGAGGAGATGTCGAGCTACTTTCCGCTCAAGACCATGTGGCGCAGCTATTTCTGCGCTCTGGTGGCCACGGCGGTCCTATCCGCGATGAATCCCTTTCGCACGGGACAGCTGGTCATGTTCCAGGTGAAATACGATCGAGACTGGCATTTCTTCGAAATCGTTTTCTACATCATCATTGGCATTTTCGGCGGACTGTACGGTGCCTTTGTCATGAAGTGGAATCTTCGAGCGCAGGCCTTCAGGAAGAAGTACCTGACAAAGTACGCCGTATTAGAAGCGACGCTGCTTGCGGCGGGAACCGCCATCATCGCCTACCCCAACGCTTTTCTTAGGATCGACATGACGGAGAGCATGGAGATTCTCTTTCTTGAGTGCGAGGGAGCTGAGAACTACCATGGCCTGTGCGACAAGGACAGGAGGACCTGGAACATCATATCACTGATTCTCGCGACGGTGTTGAGAGTGTTTTTGGTCATCATCTCGTACGGATGCAAGGTGCCCGCCGGAATCTTTGTCCCCTCCATGGCCATTGGCGCCTCGTTTGGGCGAACCGTCGGCATCATCGTCCAAGCCATATATGAAGCAAACCCGAGCAGCGTCTTCTTTGCCGCCTGTAAGCCAGATGAGCCATGCATCACGCCGGGCACGTACGCCTTCCTCGGTGCGGCGGCAGCGCTGAGCGGCATCATGCACCTTACCCTGACTGTGGTCGTCATCATGTTTGAGCTTACTGGGGCGCTCACATATATCTTGCCAACCATGATTGTAGTTGGCGTGACCAAGCTTGTCAGTGAAATGTTTGGCAAGGGTGGTATTGCCGACCGCATGATCTGGTTTAACGGCTTTCCGTTTATCGATGGTAAAGAGGACCATAACTACGGCGTCCCAGTCTCTCAGGTCATGCGAAGCTCCGTTGTGTCTCTGCCTGCCAATGGGCTGACGCTTGCCGACATTGAGCAACTGCTGGCCGAGGCAAAATATCAGGGGTTCCCCATTGTGTTGGATAGCAACTCCAAGATGCTGATGGGATACATTGGCAGGACTGAGCTACGGTATGCCATTGATCGAGCAAGGCGCGAGCGTCCCGTTTCTCCAGACGCAAAGTGCGTCTTTTCATCGCATCTGACGCAGACTCCCGCCATTACTCCCATCACACCCGCATTTCGCTCAGACGTCACTGCGACGTCGCCTCTTGATTTCAGCCGCTATGTCGACGCCACGCCTGTGACGGCGCACCCTCGTTTGCCTCTGGAGACGGTCATGGAGCTGTTCCAAAAGATTGGGCCTCGTGTCATTCTGATTGAGTATCACGGGAAGCTCTCTGGTCTGGTAACCGTCAAGGATTGTCTCAAGTACCAGTTCAAGGTGGAGGCGGCGGAGAACCCGAAAGATGACCAGCACATCATTGAGGGACAAGAGCATCTGTGGAGTGCGCTTCGCAGAGTGGGCTTTTGGGTTTCCAATTCGGTGTCGACGGTTTCGCGGGGCCACATTAGACTTAGTGGACAATTTGACCATGAGCGGACGAGTGCGAGTGGGAGGAGAGAGGCTATCTTGGATGGGGACGAGGACGGCGTTGACGAAGGCGTTGAGCTTGAAAGAAGATAGACTGGACTGGCATTTTGAACACGGAGCGAGGCGCTATAGAAGCGTTGCTTTTTGATTTTTCATCTGCCTTGTGTATATACATTGATTGATATCTAAAGTGTGCTATGCTGCTATGATTTTGAATATGACCAAAACAAGCAAATCATGCCGCTCAGCTACGGAGCTCTCCCAAGTCAGGGACGTCCTCATCCCGGTATCTCTCTCCGGCGACTACGTCCTCGTCCAGCTCAAGACCATTGCCAGCAGGCACTGGTTCATACGCCTCGCTCGCCGTGCCTTTGGCGCCATCACCATCGCCTTCATCCTTGCGGCCTGCAATGACGCTGCCGGCAACGAGGAGCGTGGCGCCAGCCCACCACATTGGGGGCAGGGCCTCTGAGAAGATGACGAGGCCTGTGAAGGCGGTGACGAGGAAGTTCGTGGAGGTGTTCATGATGGAGACTTGGGTTGCGGATTTGCCGCGGGCGAGGGCGGTGGTGAATAAAGACCACATCTGTTTTTTTTTTTTTGTGTGTGAGTTGAGTTTAAGTTTGTGAGATGATGAAGAGGAGGGGGTGAGACACTTACGATGCCGTTGAAGGTGAGGTTGAGGACGAAGAAGATCTGGGATGGCATTGTTAGCACTTGTGTGATTTGATTGGGGGCGTGAAAGGGGAGGATTTACGGTGCGGACGATGATTTCGACGATTTGGGAGTGGGATTGTATTCCGAGAGCTTTGGCGACGGCGGTTGATAGAGTTGTTGTGAGTTCAGTAGTGGTTCTGAGATGAAACAGTCATGTTAGTGAATATGCCTGCAAATATACTTGTTCTCACTATCTATTGTCTTGTAGGTAGCTTCATTCATAGTATGCGTGTGTATATATATGCCCATCCTCTTCCAGCAAAGCAGTCATCAATAAAAAACAAAGTAAATAAAAAATAAAAGATAGATCTTACAGCTTCGCAAACACGCCGTTAAACGCCGCACAAGCACCGCTCGCCACGGCGAAAAACATCCAATGCTTTCTCCACGACGAAGATTCCGGGCTGTCCATCTTTGCGGTTGTAGAAGGAGGAGGAGATGAAGACGAAGCGGGTTTGCTGGTGCTGGAGTTGTGAGGCCGGGATTCCGGAGAGGTCGGTTTGACCCGCCGTTTGCGCGCGTCCATTGTTACTGGATTCGGAAGAAGGCCGTATTAGGTAGGCAGTGTGGTTGGTGAGGGAGGCGTGTTTTTTTAGGTTTGGTTTTTTGAGTGGTTGAAGATGGAGGGTTGAGGGTTAGATGGGCTGGAAGAGGGGAGGGATTGGGGGAATGAGAAGTAAATTGGGGTTTGGGACTGGAATATGAGAGACGGATTGATTATTTGACGACGGGCTGGTGATTGCCAATTGAGGCTGATGAGGACAGCTGGAGTGTGGAAAGCAGTGAAGCCACAGCAGAGTGACAGTGAGTGGGAGAGTCGACGGTTCACCGCCACAGTGGCGCTCTTGTTGCTGTGGCTCTCGTGACTCCAGGGGGCAGCAGCAGGCACATGTCGAAAAGCATCGTCACATTACATGGCCTTCAGCGTAAGAATCCTCAGTAAGTATGTATTATTCATCTTGTCTATTTCATCCATGGCCCGATCGAGACCCAGTTTCCCAATATTTGCTTAATAGATGAATCAATGCCTTGTCCATGTATCCGTAACCCCCAAAACGCCGTTACCGCCAGTCCTGTCGCCGTTATTGATGGTATACCTCCCTGCTCTCTTTGTTCTTGCCCTCCCATTCTCGTCCATCGGTATGCGTGCAAGCCATTCTCCCGTAGGGCTTTACTACTGTCCTTCGCCGGGTCTCTTTGCGTTGCAGCTGACAATCTTGACCTTGTCTGCCTGAACAGAGACGCTGCCGTTGTCCATCTTGAATGTCACGTTCTTGATGAGGAAAGTCCACACTTCGTCGCAGAATCGGTATGTGTCCAAGCTTCCCTGTTTTTTCAATGCACTTGTCAGTCTCTCCCAAACTCGACGCAAGGCTCCAAGGCCCGGAATTGTAGCATGCGCATTTTACCTTGAATTGGAGCCGGCTCTTGACGTTCTTCTGCAGCGCCTCGGTGATTGCCTGGTCAAAGTTGCCCAGGATCTTCATCGCCAGTTGCGGATGGATGCGCTCTTCGCTAATCAGATCATCGAGCGTGTCGGTCAGGGCGAGCCCAATACTGCAAAAGCATTAGAAACGACGTCCCTTGGTGGCGGCTGCAGTGAGTGAGTGGCGCATTACCTGCTCCGACGGTAGAGCTCGTAGAACGATTGCGCGCCGCTTGCCATGGTTGGAAATGAATGCGGGGGTATGCAGTGTAAAATGAGCGAGGCGCTGTGAGTTGTTCAAGATTCGAAGAGTCAAGATTCAGCGAGAGAGAGAGAGACGATGCGCCTTTGGAGGAGGAGGTTTGGGTCAAGTTCCGTCAGTCGGGACTGCTGACAGAAGAGTTGTAGCCTAGCGCAGTGACTCTGAATTAGGTAATGAAGGGTGTGTACGAGTATGTGCTGGAGTTTTAGGTATAGCAGCCCGTGCTAAAGGCAGTTTACAGCAGTCGGGATAAGGCTAAGCTCGCTGGAAGTCTGAACTGGGCTCCGACTCGACGCACCCCGGAGAGCCTCCAGGCGGTCCCACAGCGGCTGGTGCTGGAATCCGGCTGAGTCAGCAGCAAAGGGGAGCCGTTTGTCATGTGACGTCGGCCATTGTCGCGCCTCTGTGCTCCGAGAGCTTGAGCCAAGCTTGCAACAAAACGACGAGCCCCAGCACTTCTGCTTCGACTCGAACACCAGACGCAGCACCAGCACCGTGCAATACAAACCATGAGTCTCACGTACGGAGTCGGAGGAATCGGGTCGTTCCTGACCGTGGTGGGAGCGTGTATGTGCCCTCATCCTGCCCGACTGTCACATCCATCATCGTCGCTATCCATGTCGCTGGCGTCGTCATGATCATCATCAAGAATGGAATGCAATGCAATGGCACTAACACGGGCAATCATCAACAGACATGCTCTTCACCGGCAGCGGCGAGTCCTTCAACGTCGGCGCCTTTATCGAGTCCGTGTCGCCCTACGCCTGGGCTAGTTTCGGCATCTCCCTCTGCATCGGCCTCTCTGTCGTCGGTGCCGCCTGGTAAGTCCTCAGAGAACAATCAACGCACCTCCCGCTAGGAAACGAAGAGGAACAAGAGCGACACGACGAGACCACATCACGAAGAGGCAGACCTTGCTAACATTATTATCTCAAACCACAGGGGCATCTTCATTACCGGATCCTCCATCCTCGGCGCCGGCGTCAGGGCCCCCCGAATCCGAACAAAGAACCTCATCTCCATCATCTTCTGCGAGGTCGTCGCCATCTACGGCGTCATCATGGCCATTGTCTTCTCCTCAAAGGTCGAGGCCGTCCACGGCGCCGAGCTCTACTCTGCCGATTCCTACTTCACTGGCTTTGCTCTCTTCTGGGCTGGTCTGACCGTCGGCGCCTGCAATCTCGTCTGCGGCGTTGCTGTTGGCATCAATGGCAGTGGAGCTGCGCTGGCTGATGCGGCCGATGCCTCATTGTATGTGCAAACCATCCCCTTTATCCCTGATATCTGTCGCTTTAGCGGATAACTGCATCTTCGCATTTTCATACTAACCATTTCAATTTAGGTTTGTCAAGATTCTCGTTATTGAAATCTTCAGCTCCGTCTTGGGACTTTTCGGCTTGATCATCGGACTGCTGGTTTCTGAAAAGGCTCCTGCCTTTGGCGCCAAGCCCACTTAAACACGCTCACAAGGGGGGACCGTTGGAAGATTTTCGCACTTTATATCACAGCCTATCTCTGTCTCTGTGCGGCACCTACTTTCTCTCCCCGGGATGGTAGAGAGAGAAACCCGACATATGCATTGCGACGATAGTTTTTGGTTGGGCGTTTGGAAGATTGGGCTGTAGACGATGTTAATTTTTTTTTCTTTTTGTTACATTTGAAGCTGTACGACTAGCCCCGTGTATACTAGCCAAGGGTAAAGACAGCTGCGGATGCTCGAAATCTACCTAGTAGGCATCATTTTGAAGAGTTATAAATGTGTAAAAGAGCAAGCAACAAATTTTCGTCCCTTTCCCTCTCCCTTCCCTGTTCATATTGACCAAGTACAAAATAGCCGTACTATCTCACAACCTGTGTTTTGGGTATCAGCTACCAAACTACATACCAAACTGCCTCACCATTTCACCCTCCGCGTATAGAATTCATTAGCAGAGCGTCAACCTTGGAGCCCTTGTCCAGCTTCCCACTGCCACCGGGCAAGCAAAGCAGTGCATTGGCCGATCTCAAGCTGCCCACCTTGGAACTGCGCTGTCCTCCGGTGCTGCTCGCCGTCAGGAGGCCGTCCTGGCCGATGGTCACGACGGCACGATGGAATTCCGGTCGGGAGTCTAGATTGAATTCATGGGCCAGTGTGACGGGGACCTTGGGGAGACCGACGGGAGAGACGCCAGACTGCTTATGCAGAGACGGCAGGACGAAGAGGTGGAATGTCACGAGCGCGGAGGCGGGATTGCCGGGGAGGGAGAAGATGACCTTTGACACACGGTTGCCAGCATTGTCCTTGACGGGGATGGTGGCAAAGGTGCTTGGCTTGCCCGGCTTCATGGCCACGCGGCCAAAGTGGATGGTGCCGCCGAGGGAGCGCTCGATGGTGGGCTTGAGGAGGTCGAGCTCGCCCATGGAGACGCCGCCCGTGGTGATGAGCACGTCGGCTTCCCGGAGGCCGGCGCGCAGTGTCTCTTCGAGGGTGCCGGGCTTGTCGCTGGCGATGCCCAGGTCGATGACGGAGAAGCCCCATTCCCTAGCGGCGGAGATGAGCGTGATGCGGTTCGTATCGCGGACTTCGCCCAGCTTCAGGCCGCCGGGCCGGTTGTAGTCGACAATCTCGTCGCCGGTGGAGAGGATGCCGATGACGGGCCGCTTGAAGACTTGGGCCTCTGCCACGCCAACGGCAGCAAGGAGGCCAATCTCTCCCCCGACTCCGGATATCTGCTCTCCCTTTTTGAGGATCACGGAGCCTTGCGCAATGTCGCTTCCAATCTCGCGCACATTTGCGCCGTCTGTGACACCGCCCGCTTGGATCTCGACTTCCTTCTCCTCCTTACCGTCGTCCGTCATGGTCTTGAGCGTCGTGTCTTCCACCATGATGACGGCGGTAGCCCCTGGGGGTAGCGGAGCGCCTGTTGTTATCCTGGCGATTTCTCCCTCTTTCAAAGGTGGTATCTCTCCAGGGGCGGCATGGGACACGCCGGCCACGGGGAATACGCCCTTTACGTTGCCGTCTTTGGGCACGACGACGGCATACCCGTCCACGATACTGGCTCGAAAGGCTGGCACGTCTTCTTTCGCCTTGACATCCTCGGCCAGCACCAGGCCAACAATCTTGTCGTCGACTTTGACGGATTCCGTTTGTGGTTCTGGCGTGTGCTCTGAGATCAAAGCAAGAGCGTCATCCACGGAAACCATGGGATAGGGGGACTCGCGGTATCGTTTCGCGGAGCCCAGACTGAAGTCGTTGGATAGATGAGATGCGCTAGTGGAGCTTGGGGTGGTGAATCTCTGCAGATTTGGGTGGCCGTGGCCCTGTCCGGGACCATGGCTGTGGCCGTGAGAGTGGCCGTGGTGATGGTGATGGTGGTGGTGCTGTGTCGATGCTTGGGACGGGGAACGATCAATGCCGGCATCAGCCTCAAGCTTTTTGATGCCACCGGCATGCAGGGCTCTTGAATTTGAACCTGCTGCTTGAAGACAGGCATGCGGCAGCGTCTTGATGATGGCTTGGAGGTTCTCCTTGGCCCCCTTGGGCGAGCCGGGCAAGGTGACAATGACAGTCTTATTCCTGACGCCAGCTGTGGGGCGGGACATCATGGCGACTTTGATAGATGGTCAGCTTGATGTACGATTGATGGGTGAGATATCATCTTTGCTTGGTGACTTACACGGCGTTATCGCGAGAGATGCTGATAGCATGGCGTGGATCAGGCCGGGAGCCGTCTTGTGTATCATTGGGGCAACGGCCTATTCAAATGTGATTGGATTGTTAGTATGGAGAGTCTATATCATGATTGGACTCAGGCTTTTAAATAAATCCAAATCCAAATCCAAATCCGCCTCACTCACCTCTGGCGTCACATCTGCGACTGAAAACCCGGTGCCGCCGGTTGTGACGATGAGATGGACCGGATCAGGGCCGTCCGTCCATGGCATGATACTCCGCTGGATGTCCAGGACATTGTCCGAGACAATGCGTTCATCGACAACATCCCACCTGCCGGCGCCATCCTGCATCAGCACCTCGCGGAGCACCGTTGCGGACGCATCGGCGGAGGGATCTCTTGCGGCTGTGGTTGAGACGATGAGAATTGCGGCATTGAATGGGCCGTCCATGGTGACGAGGCTTGACAATATCGCGAGAGAGCTTATATCCAATCGGGCGAGGAGATGAAATCCAAAATATTTCCAAAATATCAATACCTGTCCCTATAGCTATACCACCGACCCCAGGAATTCCAAACCCTGCCTACTAATCCACGATAGCTACTAGGTAGGTATTGAAAGTGAAAGAAGATGCAAGTATGAGCTTCTGTTGGGCATGTGTTGGGAGCTGTCCAGAAGCACGGAACGATGCAGTGCTAGTCCGAAAGCCTGCTGTGCTAGTGCCAAAGTAATTGCTCCCAGCTAATACCATTCAAGCCAAAGTCGCGGCTGGGCGTCTCCGGATGCAAACAATCTAATATATGTACTGTACTGTACTCCGTGCATGTGGGATTCCGCTCCAAACCCTCAGAAACGGCATGTAGCATGCGGAGGTTTTTACGGGTGCACAGTCGTGGAGCCCAGCCCAGCCACCCCGAGCAGTTCCCCTAAAGCGCCGCTTTTAGTGCTTCTGATAAGCTTCTCGGGCGCTGGCCAGCAGCGAGTTCCAGCGCGTGCAACAGTGGCCCCCCCACCCTGCAGATACCCCGAGACCCGAGTTGGCGCCATGGACTATTTTTCGGCGTCAAATCTCATCGTCTGCTGCTCTGCTGTAACATTGAACCTCGTTTTTCGTCCACTCGCATCGCTGATCCTCGCCACTACGGGGGCCCGGCATTTGCTCTCTGCCGAGTCTTTTCCCACTCGGATCTGACAATCTGGCAAATTCGCGACGTGACTGACTGGACTGACTGATCCATCATGGTGCGCATCAAGGAGCGATACCTGCTCGTCAACATCATCTACCCTCCCAATGCCGCGGGATCCAGGGCTCGCGTGCCCGCTCTAGTTGCCCAGCACCAGCCGACCATTGCGAAGCTGACGCCGCAAGCTCTGGTCAGGGCCATCAAGGCCGAGGTGCTGCTGCTGTATGGCGACTATGGCGCGGGAGCTTTGGAGGGCAACCTCTCAGGTGAGAGAATCCTGCTGTTATATGCTACACTGTATCTTCAAATAGTAGTAGGACTAGCTAACCGTACAAACTCTAAAATAGTCAAATATCTGTCTCTGGCCACATCCACCTTCATCCTCAGGTGCAATAGGGCCCATTACCGGCTGCTGTGGTCCGCATTGACCTTCATGGACCGCGTCCCCGTCAAGGATGGCCGGCCATGCATCTTCCGGGTTGTTCGTGTTAGCGGTACCATCCGCACGATCGAGGAGATCGCCGTGGACCGAGCTCGGAAACTCATCCTGGCAGTAAAGGCAGAGGCCAGCTCTCATCCGCAGTCCTCGCTGTCCATGGATCTTTTGGCCAAGGATGACGCCATGCTGGATGTCGTGGACAATGACATGAGCGACGACGGTATGGAAGATGGCAGCTGACGTGGCAATTGGTTATTTATTATTTCTTTCTAACTACCCGGACACCGATATCCTCCGGTATCGTCATGTCGCCAAAGTCGGGATCCATCTCTGCCTCCGCGGAGGGAGCTGGTTGTGGTTGTGACTCGTCCACCTCCATCCCGTGCTCCTCCTGCACCCTCCTCTGCTCCTCCTCCTCGGCCTCTCGCTCAAGGCGGTCATACTCGTCCTTGTGATCGATCCACCGCTCCTGGATGTCCTGTACATCCATCATGGACGCTTCATTCCTCATTGCAACCGCCCATACCGTGTCATTGGCACCTTCAGCACCTCCGAATACATAACCCCCTGCGCGATCAATCACGCGGAGCAGATGCATCATGCTCTTCTTGTTCTCGACCGCCAGCACCTCGTACCGGACTAGGCCATAGCTTTCAATCATGTGTGCTATCGCCTCGTGCAGTCGGCCAAACTTTTCGTTCCGCATTCCTGGGGATTCCGCCTCGAGGAATGGCGTTAGATGCGTCAAGTCGTCGACATCGGTATAGTATTCTAGGTTGAACGGCAGCTCGTCGTATGATGCTATCTTGTCGATTTTAGAAAGCACATTGACGTGTGGCATATCCATCTGGATCATGGCCCGGAGCGAGAGGAGGACGTTGGAAACATAGAGGGATGGCTGAGTAAGGCAGAAGGAGTCGGAGAGGTGTACACAGACAAACTAACACAGGGGACAGTTAGTAAGCCCTGTTCGTACTGCTTCTGGCAAAACAAACTGACTCTAAATCCAATCTTCTGAAGCTTGTAAAAGACGTTTCTTAGCGAGTTGTGATGCGTGTAGAGCTCGACTTGGCCGGGACAGTCGAACAAGATGTAGTCTTCCCCAAACTCTTTTAGCCCTTCTTCCAGCCATTCGTAGTTGTTCTCAAGCTCCTCGAGAGCATATAGGATGCCGCCGTTGGGTCCCAGGCGATCTTCGCGCATGACATCCTCCAGCTTAACCAAGTCGCGAATGTCGAGAGCGCAAGGGTAGTTTGTATGGTCGTTGGCAGGGTCGAGGTTTACGACGGAGCACGCACGCCCTATGGCGCCCATAAACTGGTGCACTGAAGGAAGACAAAAAAGAAGAGCTTCATGTCAGTACCAAACTCTGGTCCAGTTCAGAGCAAACATGGGTTTCAACATACTGCCATCGCAGTAGGTACTCTTTCCCGCGCCGGGGCTTCCGAGAACAAGCTGCGCAAAGGGCATCTGGCAAGGTGGTTGATTCGCTGGGTCAATGTGGCATCGTCAGTCTCGAGGCTGAAGGTGAAGCCCGCTGTCGAAGAGAAGACAGAGCGCGGGTTGTTGGAGGAGAAATGGCAATACCTGCTTGACTTTTGCGGCACAGCAGACAGGACGACTAAGCACGCCAACAAATTGTGGCGCTGAGCTGTGGTAGTATGTTTATAAATAAATTCAAGTCTAAGTTTGCTCCAGCGACTATATTGGTGGTTCTAAGTTATAAATAATCGTTCAGATTAATATTAATTATCGGTCTTTATTCCAAAGCAATCTCATGTACGCATTAATGATTAACAAGACAAAATACAGGCCTTCTTGCTAATGCGCTGTGAATCTCTTGACATAAAAAAAAGGTGGGGTGGTGGGGTGCTGATGCCGGCAGAATCTCGGCTCCGAAGCTAAGCTCGAGGTCAAAACCACATGCTTGAAAATTGATCACAAGCTTCCCTCTTTTTTTTCTCTCTCTTTTTAATATCTCAAAAACTTGTCTCCCCAAGTTTGCCCTCGCGGCAAAACTCGCCCCAACGGCTTCCATTAGTCGCTCTGCATGATGCTGGGCAATAATGTGCAGCACCATCTCCAACCATGGCATCTGACTTGTCAAATGCTGCTCGGTTGGCTGGGAGCCTCTCCCAGAGCGTCTCTGGCGCCATGGACTCGCCGTCCGGCCCGCTCACCATGAGCTACGCGACCGTTGAAGCTGCCCGGGCCTCTTCCGGCTGGCTCGGACTCATCGGGTGGCTTCTCTTGAGCATCATCAACTTCATCACCACCGTCCTGTACTGGGCCATCCGCACAGTGACCATTACCTTCCCAAGTGTCCTGTACACTCTATTCTCCGCGAGTTGGACAGTCACCATGAATGCTACCACGCTGTATGCTGCCAATCCCTTGGTTTTGCTGAGCCCCTCAAGACTCACAGCCTCACTAGCATGTTCATCGTTGCAGCTATCGTGTCGGCGGTCAGCTGGGTTGTCAGGTATCGCATCTTGAATATGTATTCAAGATTGCCCCCTGAACCTCAACGGAAGGAGCCTGAAATCGACTTGTTCCCAGATACCCACGAAGGTGGTATCAAGTCCGGCCTGGCCAACTACCTGGACGAGTTCCTGAGCGCCATCAAGATCTTCGGTTACCTCGAACGATCCGTGTTTCACGAGCTCACCCGAAGCATGCAGACTAGAAAGCTTATTGCTGGGGAGACTATCAATCTAGAAGAAGAAAAAGGCTTCTGCATTGTTGTTGATGGCCTGGTTGAGATTTTCGTCAAGTCGGGTAGAAATCCTCGAGCGCCTGTCAGGAGCGGATCTCAAACCGAACTCTTTGATTCTTCTGACGATGAGGATTCTCTGCCTGGTCAGCAAAGGTATCAGCTCTTGACTGAAGTCCGCAATGGAGCGCCCATGTCGTCTCTCTTTTCCATCATGTCACTGTTCACAGAAGACGTGAGGTTGAAATCGCATGAAGAAGAGACTACTCTTCGACCGACTGGAGGTCGACATCACGGACGTGGCGATCCGCTGAAAGAGTCTGCTGGAAAGCTTTCTCACGCTCCCACATCCATGCCAAGCACGCCGCATCTGGATCCTAATGTGGAGCACCCAGGTGTTAGGTACGGCGATAGCATTCTGTCGAATGGCGCAGGTGCCTCAAAGATCCCGCCCATATCGTTGGAGCCTGCTGTTGCCTTTGAGCCTAGCAAAGATAGACCAGGGCCGCCAAATCGGCTGTTATCAAGCTCGGCACACCCTGACATCATAGCCAGGGCAACAGTTGATACCACTATTGCAATCATACCTGCAAGTGCCTTCAGAAGGCTCATCAAGATCTACCCCAAAGCTACCGCACACATTGTTCATGTGATCCTTTCTCGGTTTCAAAGGGTAACGCTTGCACAGGCGTTCAACTACCTTGGTCTAACGGCTGAGGTCCTGCAGACCGAAAAGGACATGGTTAAATTTACCACGTGCCAGCTTCCCAACATTCTTCGTGGAGACGCTCTGAACAGACTGAAGGAAAAATTTAGTCGCGAGCGGGAGCGCATTGGTGAAGATCAAGAGACCAAAGGCATTGCCCTGCACAACTCGGCAGTTAATAGACGCCGAAGGTCGAGCACAGCTCTACGAAAAGAGATAGCCATGCAAGCCATTGCCAAGAATCGATCTGTGTCCTCTACTGCAAACATTGCTGCATCTGCGCGTGATCCCCGATTGGCCCGCGGTCTCAACCCTGGGGATCTCCTCGCAGGCGCACAGCTCACTCAGGCATTGAACAGAGTTCCTGTCCCGCCAACTCCCGTCCGGTCCCCAACAGATGTTGGTGCAGAGGAGAGCATATTCAGTCCACTGACCCAAAAGACGTTTAATCCATTTGATTCGGGACGGCATGCTCGCATCTCGACGGATCGGGATTCAGTCGATGAGGATAACCTCTTTAGAGCCTCTATTCTCGAATGTGTCTTCAAGTCCCTTGGCCTTGATGCGGGTGGAACCTCGTCGAGAGATGTCGACTCGATAGAAGGATCCCCGAGACTGGTAGGATCCCCAAGGTTGATCTCTACAGACCAGCGGCGTGCAAAGACCATGTACACGAACAATGCATTTGGCTTCATCGCACCGTATGATGGGTCGATTGATGGGGAAACTGAATCATTGACTTCGAACGGCTTGGCTGGCCACACTCCACCAACTGCACATTCTCTGGCCCACGACATGATGGATGAAGTCGAAATCGTCTTTTTCCCCAAAGGGTCGGTGCTTGTAGAGCAGGGTGAGCGAAGCCCTGGCCTCTACTATGTCGTAGACGGGTTTCTAGACATTGGCACCACGGTAACTGATGGTGCGCAAAACATCTTTCAGAAATCGGGCTCGGCATCCTTCAGCGCAGAATCGCTTCATTCAGATTATCGATTTGAAGGCTTGTCTACCAAAGATTCGAACCATGGTACACCGTACTCTTCGCATCGGGACCAAGGTCGCCGCCGAAGTGTTGCCCTCATTAAGCCGGGTGGCTTGGCAGGGTATATCGGGAGTGTATCTTCTTATAGATCCTTCATTGATGTCGTGGCCAAGACGGATGTCTATGTTGGATTCCTTCCTCGAGCTTCTCTGGAAAGAATAGTCGACAGATATCCCATCATCCTCTTGACAATGGCCAAGAGGCTGACTCACATTTTGCCTCGACTCATCCTGCACATTGACTTTGCCCTCGAGTGGGTTCAGGTCAATGCTGGTCAGGTGATATTCCATGATAGTGACGAAAGCGACGCCATATATATTGTTCTCAATGGACGTCTTCGCCTTGTGGAAGATAGACAAGACGGCGGAGTATCAGCGCGGGCCGAATTTGGGCAAGGCGAGAGTATCGGAGAGCTCGAGGTGCTGACCGAAACTGCGCGCTCTGGGACTTTGCACGCCATTCGGGATACCGAGCTCGTTAAATTTCCTCGCACTCTCTTCAACAGCCTTGCCCAGGAGCATCCTAATATTACTATTAAGATTTCCAAAATCATCGCTTCTAGAATGAGGGCAGCCGTGGATGACTCCACCAAGTTCTTTGCCAAGGAAGCAGGCTCTGGTGCTGTGAACAATCAACGAAAGTCAACCTTGAACCTTCGGACTGTGGCTATCTTACCGGTTACATCTGGCGTTCCCGTCGTGGAATTTGGGCACCGTCTTATGAATGCGCTCGCCCAGGTAGGGCCACAAAACGGCGCAACCTCGCTGAACCAGTCTGGGATCCTGAACCATCTGGGGAAGCATGCGTTCAACAAGATGGGCAAACTCAAGTTGTCGCAATATCTCGCTGATTTGGAAGAGAAGTACGGATTGGTGGTATACGTGGCAGGTAAGCTTTTTCTTTTATTACTCTTCCATCTGAAAATCCACATGCTTTGTATGATGACAAACTCTTTACACCGGAGACACCGTCTTTGATGGCTATGTTAACTCTAATTTTTTCCTGATCGCATAACTTATTGGCTCACTTATTGTTGCAAACATCTCTTGTATTGATCTATACGCTAACATGAGTGACTCTCAAGATACCAACGTCAACTCGCCATGGACGCAAACCTGCATCACTCAAGCTGACAGTATTCTGCTTGTTGGACTAGCTGAAGGCTCCCCAGCCATTGGAGAGTACGAGCGCTTTATGCTAGGGATGAAGTCAACGGCACGAAAGACTCTGGTTCTGCTTCATGCTGAGCGATTCTCGCGACCTGGTCTTACACGGTCGTGGCTGCGAAATCGTATGTGGATCAACGGTGGCCATTATCATATCCAGATGGCGTTTAGAACAGACGCAATGCCCGCCCATCCTCCGTCGAAAAAACTAGGACAAGCTCTCAAGGAAAGGGTGCAGGTATTGCAAGCTGAGATTCAAAAGTACACTTCGAGGAATGTGCATCATACTCAGTATTACTCGCCTGATACACCGTTCAAGGGAGATTTCCATCGTCTTGCTCGTCGGCTTTGTGGAAAGTCTATTGGACTGGTTCTAGGCGGCGGTGGTGCACGAGGCATCAGCCAGATCGGAATCATCAGGGCGATGGAGGAGGCCGGCATTCCGGTTGACATCGTCGGCGGCACATCAATTGGAGCTTTTGTCGGCGCATTATACGCCCGCCATGCAGACGTTGTGCCCATGTTTGGATTTGCAAAGAAATTCGCGGGTCGCATGGCAAGTCTCTGGCGATTCGCTCTCGATCTGACGTATCCATCTGCCTCTTACACAACAGGGCACGAGTTCAATCGAGGCATATTCAAGACTTTCGGGAATACGCAAATCGAAGACTTTTGGCTGGAATACTACTGTAACACCACCAATATCAGCAAGAGCAGGGCAGAGTTTCACACGAGCGGATATGCGTGGCGCTACATTCGAGCTTCCATGTCCCTTGCCGGTCTGCTGCCTCCGTTGTGTGACGAAGGCAGCATGCTGCTCGATGGTGGCTACGTGGACAATTTGACGGTATCACACATGAAGGATTTGGGAGTGGACATCATCTTTGCCATAGACGTTGGAGCGTTGGATGATGACACGCCCCAGACGTACGGAGACTCGTTGTCAGGCATGTGGGCATTCTTTAATCGGTGGAATCCATTCTCAGCCCACACCAATCCGCCCACGCTGGCAGAGATCCAGGGCAGACTCGCGTATGTCTCGAGTGTGGATGCGCTGGAGCGGGCAAAGACAATGCCGGGATGCATCTACATGCGCCCGCCTATTGATGGCTACGGAACGCTAGACTTTGGCAAATTTGATGAGATTTACAAGATGGGCTACGAATTTGGGCGTGAGTTCTTCCAAAAGCTCAAGGACGAGAACAAGCTGCCGCTCACGGAGGAGACTGAGGCGAAGAAGGCGCTGCGAAGAACAACAGCACCTAGACGAGCCAGCATTTAGACATTCAATATTAGATAAGAGCCTGTGTTTTATTCTCTTGTTCTGAAGGCAGACTAGACGGCATTGGGCGAAAGCTTTAGCAGCGTGACGATGGCCAATGAATGGATGAATAATGTACTTCCGAGTTCTTCTTGCTCACCTTGCCGCCTTGTTTCTAAGTGAGACTGATACCTTTCGAAGTTGTGATACAGACGTGCTATGACGAAAATGACGAGTCTCGACTGACCTCAAGTGGATCGTTAGCCCAAGTCTGTGATCGCCGATCGCGATATGCAGGGATTGAGCCGCTTGATTTTGCCGGTTGGCTGCAGCCAGTGGGAACATGAGCCGCAGCGCGAGTGACATCATTTTGAGGACAATCGCCAGGTTCAAGTTTTGCTATCTCGGTGAAGCCTGCCATGACGCGTGGCGGAATGATGGTGAGGAGGAGGTTTGTTTATAAATCATGAGCAACTGCACTCGCTGTTGAATGCGGGGAGAGCTCATCAATCACAACAACTTGACCAATCAGTTATGAAGAACTTTACTCTTTTATAACCTCTTGTCTCTATCTATCCCGATATAAGTGCATATAAGTGCAAATGCCCTCCTCAAGACGAGATTATCCCAGCAGTCTTTATCCCGAAGTCGGATCAAGCTACAAGTCCAGCTACAGCAACAGCGACAGCAACAACAGCATCAGTAGCTATTCTTCTCGGAGGAATAGCACAAACCACCACAGCTATGGCGACTATCCACGAAGCAGGGATCATCGCCACCGCGACAGAAACGAAAGACATTTTCGAGACGCTCATTCCACAAATACAAAGGACTCTCGGCGCAGCTACTCCCACGATCGAAACAGAGATGACAGAAAAAACAGCGGCGGTAGCAGCAACAGCAGCAACAACACTATCAAGCAACGCACCAGAGGCATCTGGGAACGAGCCATACCATCAGATTATCGACCCTCGCAGGCCGATCCAGATGCGAGGCGGGAGCGGCTGTCCAAGGAAAAGGAGTGCGGGGGGTTTGACTGGACGCAGGGGATGGTGCTGGGATTGATGGGGGCGGCGGCGCTTTTCAGTGTGGAGAGGTCGCTTGTTAGGAGGCAGAAGAAGGATTATATTCAACATTGAATGGGAATAAACGTTATAGTGTTTTGCTTTGCTCTTGGTGGGAGTCTTGCTTTTTCTATTATGACATTATGAAGGATACTATGATATACGATACCAACACAAATACGAGGTCTTGCATGAGGACATATATATATAGTCTATATATTCATCTAAAAGTATCAACGCCTATATACTCGTGTCTAAATCATTCCCCTCCCCTCTGCAAAATCTACTCCAGCTTCAACTGCGCCTCAATCGTCTCAACCAACAAGTCAAACAGCTTCTGCACATGCTCCTCCCTGATCGCCGCCACTCCCGTACACACTCTAATCGCAAAGTGACCATTCACCACCGTGCTCGTCAAGTAAAACTGGCCGCTCGCATTGATCGCCTCATACAGCTTCTCCGTCCGGCTGTTGATCTGGTCCTCGCCATCGCCCTTGGCCCGGAACGACACCAGGCCAAACCGCGCCTTAGTGAAGATGGTGAACAGGTCAGGCCGTGTCACGAACTTAGCCTCCAGAGACTCGCCCTGCGTGACGCCGTTCTGAATGTGCGCTTGCAGGCCGCGGATGCCGTAGCTGCGGAGGACGAACCACAGCTTCAAGGAGCGGAATCGTCGGCCCAGGGGGATCTGCCAGTCGCGGTAATCGGTGACAAGTTCGTTGTCGCTGTACTGGTTCCGCAGGTAGGGGGGCTTGATGCTAAGCGCATTGATGAGATGGCCACGAGCGCGAACCCAGACCGCGGAGCAATCAAACGTCGTGAGCATCCACTTGTGGGGGTTGTAGTTGAAGGAGTGGAAATCAGCCATGGGCTTCGCCAGGGGCTTGTTCTCGTCGAGGAGCAGCGCGGCACCGGCATAGGCTGCATCGACGTGGACCCAGACCTCGCCAGGCTTTCCGGCTCTCGGAGCCAGGGCCTCGGCGATGCTGGGAAAGTCGTCGACAGCGCAGACGTCTGTCGTTCCTAGCGTGGCTGTCAAGTAGAACGGCTCGAGGCCCTTTGCCTTGAGCTCATCGAGCGTCTTTGTCAGAGCTTCACCCGTCATGGAAAAGCCATTCTCTTCTGACACCGGCACCGTGGCGAAGCGCACTCCCAAGACTTGTGCGGCCTTCTTGGTGCTCGAGTGTGCACCTGCACTTCCCAGAGCAACCAGCTTGCTGCGGAGTCTCCAGGTTTCCTCCTCCTTCTCCTCACCCTCAGGCAGATGAGCCGTTGCCTCGTTCAGGTACTTGTCCCTAGCGGCAACCATGACCGTCAGAATAGCCTCGCTCGCGCTTCCGTGAAGCACGCCACCGCCGTGAGTCGGTCCGCCACTCAGGAAGCATTCAGGCAGTCCCAAAGCCTGGGCCAACCAATCCATCACAATCGTCTCCAACTCAGTTACCGCAGGGGAGCAGATCCAGTTGAAGTGAGCACCGTTGAAGGCATTAGAATACATCTCAGCAATGGCGGCAGGGTAACTGCTCGAGCAGGGGAAGAAGGCCATGAATCCGGGAGACTGCCAGTGCGTGATTCCAGGCAGGATCTTGGACTGGATATCGGACTGAATCGACTCCCATGGCTCGGGATCAAGAGGCGCTGAGGCAGGAAGAAGCGGTCTCAGGTAGCCGGGCTCAACATCAGCGACAACTCGATGATCAGAGATGTTGTCATAGTAGTTGGCAACTGTTGGCAGATTTCAATTCACTCATCAGTCTGATGTTGCTTTGAAGTAAGGATATATAAAGAAACAAAGACAGATACTCACTCTCATCGATGGCCGCCTTGGCCGCCACCCGAAACTGTTCTGTATCCATTGGGTTCGCCATGTCTGTTTCTGTCGCTTTCTGTGTTGTCGATATTTTCAAAGGCTCTCGCTGGCTTGTTATGAACCGTTTTTGATGCGTTCGAAACTCCAGATTGTGGCGATTTCCATCAACTTTTAAAATATCGACTCTGAACCCTATGTTTTTCATCCCCCCACCAGTTCCGACTCGGCGGCATAAGCCCATGTGGAGAAGCCACTTCGGATTCTTCGCCATCTTAGCGTTTTTTGGTCCCGGAAACACGACCGAAACTGCCATCGATTAAGGACTTGGCCATCCTTTATCGGGGTAATAAAGCTCGGGCTCTGCAGCGGAATGAGTGGACCCCATCAACGCAGTCTGAAATCTTTTCCTGGATTTCCGATTCCGTTCCCCACACCAACACGCTAGCACTCGTTCTGTAGAATGTTGAAAGCCGTCCTTTCTTCTTCGAGGAGTTGTAGAATCCGTGGCCAAGTTGATCTTGCTGCAGGAAGGGATGCAATGTCAAATATGTCGTTCTTATCGCGCCCTTTGATGACACGACGCCTTCTGCATGATTCGGCTAGATGTAAGTACCGATTCAAGCAGACCAATGATTAGTGATGCCACTTAACGTTGGAGTCTCACATGCCGCCAAAGTTTCCGTCAGCGCCGCTCGCATTCATGGCGGCATGGCGGCGGCAAGATAAGAACCCGTCTCCATATGCTGAGCATTGAAAATAAAGCAAATCACACGACATGACACACGATTATAGCCAAGAGACTGAGTTTGTTTTATCACTGACAAAGTACCCATGGCATATGGGAGGCGCTGCACTTTGCTACCTGTAGTTGTTAATGGCCTTTCATGATGAAATGTGGCAGCCTCCGAGGAGAAGACACTAGGAGATTGAGAGACTGAATGATGAAATTGGAAACTGGTAGTATTTGTACTCATCAACATGTACTAGACAAACTATCAATCAGTCTACTTTGATCGCACTGGCCGTGGAGATTTTTCTGTCAGCATGCGACTCTTCTCTCATCCTTATTTCGGGGGTAACGAAGAAACATACCTGTATATCCTTCGCACAAAGGCATATGCGCTTAAGAATCCAATGGTACCTGTCAACAGTCCATACACACAGCATGCCATAAAACTATAGGCAAAGAATAGCATGCTGCTCACGAAGCCGCTAATGTGCAGCTTGAAGAAATAGTACCATAGTGAATAGAGAAAGACCCAGAATGCGCTTGCGCCCCCGACAAAGAATGACTGCCACCACCAGTGGTAGTTTTCTGCACAGAGCTGAGCGTAGATGGTCACAATGGTCACTTCAGCAATAGTAACAACTAGAATGGCAGACACCACCGCTAAGAAGCCAAAGACGTAATAGTAGCCGCTCTTGTCCTGCCATATAGACTGGAACACAAACAACAGCTCGATAAAGATGACGGCAAAAGGGATCAAACCGGCCAGAAGCACTGCTTGGATTGATTTACTATACCAGGCTTGCCGAGGAACCTGCCGAGGGATGGTCGTCGTCTTGGTCGGATGCTCCCAGGCACCAGCCTTGTGAAACCCATAGTGAGATCCTGCATATACAAGCGGCACCTGTATACAGAGCCAGAGAAGGAGGATAGCTACAAGTGTCCCGAAAGGTATTGCGGTGCTTGACGCTTGCGCCCATACAAAGAGATTGAGGATAAAGACAAGGCCAAATGTGAGGCCAGGAAACAGCAATGCCGTAACTAGTGCGTTTGCACGATAATCGGTTCCGTCGAAGCTCTTGAAGACGCGAGCAGAAAAGTAGCCGGAGAAGAGTCCTGCAAAGATGAACAGGCCTACTCCAACGCTGATGAATCCGCCTCGGAAGCTGGGATTTAAGACTCCCAAAGCACCGAGAGAAACTAAACCCATGGCCATGAAGAATAGCTGCATTCCGGACCCAACAAGGGGTGCGAGGAGAATTCCAAGCCGTGGTTTCCGAAACACATCTCCATGGAGCAACTTCCAGCCTGTAGCCTCTTCCAGGGCCTCACCCTCATCGGACAAGTCTTCATCGTCGTCCTTGTCGGCGTCTGCTCCCTGGCTCAACAAACCCGAAGATTTCTCGCCTTTGGCTTTGCCCACTCTCTTGGCTCCGGCCTTTCCTGCTTCCGCTGAGATACCCTTGTTGATATCGGAATGGATAGTCCTAGCAAGGATAATCATGACAACTCCCGTCAACAGCCCACAGATAATGAGCGAATTGATAATAGCCATCCAGTGAATACGTGTGCCTTCTTCCTGGTTCACAAAGTAAAGATCCCAGCGATGAGCCCATTCGATACTGTCATCTTCGCGGAAGTAGACGGAGTAGGTATACGGAATACTTAGTGAACCAGGGCTGCTGTCATCGTCTTCTAATTCGTTAGGGTGGTATGACAGGCCATCATATTTCAATGGCGCATCGGACGTCCTGTTAGGAGCGATGTACAACTCAAAGGGTTGGTCGATATTTTGAATGTCCGCAGGGCATCCCACACTATCCTTTTTGTTTCCGTTTCCAACACTCTTGGGATAGACTTCAAACCCCACAACAACCTTCTCGCCACGATCGCCAGCTCGACCTGATGCTCTGCGGTACCGGATGACAATGGTATGGTGGTTGTTAAGATAGTAGTGATGCTTGCCCGTTTTTGTTGAGACCTCAGCATACCCCAATTTGAAACCGGAAGCGTAATACTTGCGCGTCTTGTCGGCAGTGACAAAGCTGGTTGCTCCAGGAAGATTGTCCACGATCCACTCGGCCACGTATCCGTCTCGAATCAGCTCCTTTGACCAGCGCATTTCACGGCGTGACATTTCTTTAGTACAGAGCAATGTACACGGTGTGTCTTTTGCCATGGCAAGCTCTATGTCGGATGTAATGATGCGGTCACCGCGCAGCACCTCTCCCAGGTTTAAGGGCACGCTCTGACCGCTCAGCAAACCGCCGCCGGCCTTGTGGTCTCCCGTCGGAGAACAGGTAAACGGTAAGTCATTGTACGCATATTGCAACTGCGTGTTGTCTGAGTAGACCTTGTTGACCATCAGAGGGATCAGTTCGCCGTCCTTGTAGCTCTTGATCGACCAGCCTGCGATGTGATGTGTTAGCAGCCTGTTGAGCAATTACCTATCGACATACACCGGTGGTTATACCAGGGATATAAAACGCCGTTGACGGTGACAAGAGTAAAAGGCAAAGCAGGCCGCGGAGGCCAGTCTTTTGTGTGCCAGCCATGCTGATACGCCTTAGACAGCTGTCCTAGTTCCTAACTCTCCTCCCAGTAACACCATCCACATATATGTTCTTCTGGACTCCAGCTCTCCCTTTATCTTTATATCCGTGTTCAGATCGTCAAATACTCGGCTTAGTCACGCTGTGCGCAGTCGATAGGAAGCTGTCGAGACGCTTTGACGTTTGCGGCTGCGGCAGAGCTCCCTGCTATGTAAGGACGGGATCCAGACCACGAGAATGCAGGACTCCGGAAATGCAGATTATGTCTTCCAATTGCGAGTGCCCGATCGAAGCGGCATAATCGTGCTGGTCCAACGGGGTTGCTGGAGCTTCGGCTATCTCTTGAGAGGATCTCGTTGGCGTCGCTCGACCAATTGACCAGATAAGAGGATGGACGAAAGTCTACCTTGCCTTAGATACCTTTACAAGGGGGACTTCGCTTCAACCCACAGCGCTTCCGGCACTAGGGAGGAACGGACTCTAAGGTAGCACCTGCATTCCGATCGACGAGGATGGTTAACCATGGTTTTGCCGATCGCGATGCCCCACTGGGATCTGGCCAAAGCAATGAGACAAAGCCCCACGTGCGTCTACTTTTCACATGTCTTATCGCGTGTAAAGCCCAGAGATGATGTATTTAAAGTGCTGTAGTAATATCTTTAAAAGACAATTTGTGCTCTCTTTATGACCACTTGTTTTTTCATTCTATATCCTTAATATATCTTGCAACTACTTGATGTGTATGTTTTGTCGACAAATAGATAGGTAGAGAACGCACCAATCCCGGGCATCTATCAATTGATCGCGAGGCCAGTCCAAAAGGTCTCGTCAGAACGTGAAGAAATAGATAGACGAAGAATAGATTTTCGATTCTACTCTGGTAGATGCCAAAGAGTAACACGTTTCGAAACTACATGGTAGCACCCTTGATGCACTCAGAATTGATCGCCTTCATGCTGATTGAGGCTGAATCATGCCGAATACGTGCGTCTTTCCCTCTGTCTCCCAACTAAGTTTGCTGCCTGGAGGCTCAGAACTCCAACCTTTTGTTCTTTTTTCCCTTCTCGGATTTTCACTCTCCGATGCCTCAAGCCAGTGAATACTGCCGACTTTTACTGCTGATTGTTGGGCTTTTCTTGCTCTGATTCGATATTAGCTGATGGATCTCCGACGTGGAGGGCCTAATTCAGACGCAGCTCCATATAAGCAAGGTATCGCGGCGGGTATGAGGGACGAACCGGAGTCAGATTTATTCTCTTCATTCTCAGTTTGCTGGACGTCCTTGTCTGAAGCTTCTTCGACTTTCTTGGGGCCATGCGCAATTAGTTGGCCCATCACCAGGCTAGGATCGTATGGGATTGAGGGCGGCATTGTTTGTTACGCTTAGGAGATCGGGATATAAAAGCTTGCGAATATGGTGTCGCTAAATGCACTATTAGATTTGATTGACAATGTTATCTATATAGTCTGTGCAGTAAATTGAAGGCCGAGCAACTATTAATACTTTGATGGGTAGCTCTATGGCATCTCCCTAAGATACGCGGATTGGGCAGCGTCCGAATTGGACGTCGTTGAGTTGAATGTTACTGGGTGGGGTAGCCGCATTCTTCGGGCTTGTAACATTTGCCTCAACAGAGCTGAGATGTAAAATGGTGGAACGAACACCCGAGATGCATATCTGGCGTGAAGAATCTGGGGACTGCTTGGGGACTGATAGCCCAGGATATTCCGCCAAAGAACTGGCCCATGCGGGAAAGCAAGTATTGTAATAAATCTTGGACTCTTATTTCGGTTACTACTATGATAAGTCGAGCCCGTATGCACTTATATACAGGGATATAGACCTAGTACCTACCTATCTATTGGTAGATGCTTAGCTCAGTAGATTCCCCTCTCAGATCTCTTTGAAGTGGATGAATCTGTCAGCAGATATCGTCTGAAATGGCTCATTTACTCCGGACGCCCTGTCTAGCTTTCGCCCGTTACTGCATCATAAAAGAGTAGCTAACTACCTGCTAATGATTCCAGGTTCGTACCTATCTACAAGTAGTCTTGATAGCCACAAACCAGACCGCGCATTAACATTACTAGACTGACTTTGTATGTGAGCCCCTTTTCCAATATCAGCCTTTGGACGCACATTCTATCCAGATGAGGGAACCATTTGTGAAGATAAATTAATTCTTTATCACTAAATTGATATAGAAAGTCATCGCGATGGTTCATAATGGCTCGAGAACGATCGCAATCTGTAGCAAGGACGGATAACACAATGAGCCCCGAATTTGCTAATAGCCATGATTGAAGAGCCGTAATTATAAGCCGGCGAATCTCACAAAGCTGTTTACACTGAATTTGTTATTTCTCCTACGAACTACATGCAGGTAGCTGACTACTTTCGCCCTCATTCGGCAATACATGCGGTGATGATATGCCTAGAATTGGTAACACGCCTTTCCCAAAAAGGCATTACAAGAAGCCTCATGCTGACGCATCGCCGGCTTGATTGGGATAGACTCTGTCTCCTATACAGACAGTCTACGGAGTACATGATGAAGCAATTTGCTGAATATCTATCGCACAACTCCGTCGGACCAATTAATCCAGCTCATTACAGTAAGAGCATAAGATATTATTGGTCCATGAGCTGGTTACGAATTGAAGTGGATATCTAGACCATGTCATTCTCAGGAGCTCTGCGGACAAGGTGGTGGAAGCGGAGAATGAAACGGTCAATATTAATAAGACCGGATCTCTTTAATATACGTGTCGCACTTAGTCTCTCTCTATATAATATCCCTCTTACTACTTAGAGTCTGCATATGCCCCATCTTACGCGTCACCTTGTTGTTTACGCAGACTCCAATTCCCTATATCTAGGTGGCAGAGATCTTTGAACTCATCAGAATAATCTCAACCGACTAACATGCATATCATTCTCACGGGGGCGACCGGCCTTGTCGGCTCCGGCGTCCTAGACGCCATGATCAAATATGAACGGATTACCAAAATCTCCGTTTTGAGTCGCAAACCGGTTCCAATGGCCGACGCTGCCAAAGATCCACGGATCAACGTCATCATCCACAAAGATTTCGAACAGTACGATACCTCTGTACTTGAAAAGCTTAAAGATGCCCACGGTTGCGTATGGGCTCTCGGAATCAGTCAGTCCAAGGTCAGCAAGGAGGAATACATCAAAATCACAAAAGACTACACCCTGGCAGCGGCCCGCGCATTCTCTACGCTGTCGGCAGGAGAGGACCAGCCCTTTCGCTTTGTGTACGTGTCCGGAGAGGGTGCCACGCAAGAGCCGGGCCATTTCACGGCGACTTTTGCGAGAACAAAGGGAGAAACAGAGGTTGCGCTTGCAGAGATGAGCAACGAGCTTCGCACCATGCGAGCATACTCAGTCCGACTCGGTGGCGTGGATGCATCACAACATGATGCAATAAAAGAGTATATCCCAGATCCTGGCGCGATGTACAGAGCAATGGGAAATACTCTCTATCCGGTGCTTAGGTCACTGATGCCGCTGACCTTGGCGCCAACCGACATCACTGGCGATTGTCTTTGCAGGATGGCGATGGGTGAACTGGACGATAAGCTGGAAGGACCAGGTGCTTCCAAGACTGGATTATCCTGGACCTTGAATAACAAGGCCATGAGAAGGGTAGCCGGGAGGTGATTCATACATCAGGATAAAGGGGTTTCAAAATCTTGAGGCATGAGTCTTTTGTTGCATCATAATTTATTTACTTAGCTCTGAATAGCATAGGCATTGTCATGTCAAGGACGTCTATCTGTTCATTGCCTCAGTTCTAGTTCCGTGATACACTTCTCGGCTACTTGTAGAACATTTACGTCAGCTTAGAATACTATTAGTAGACGCAATACAACACTTGTGACAATAAGCTTCTAATAGGGTTATGGAGTCAAGACAGAGTAGTAGCGTTGAGAGCCTGCTATAGCATTCACAATCTCTGTTTCCTGTTTTCTGGTATTTTTCATAGACTACCGTGAATTTACATGTGATGGAGCCGCAAACATCATCTCATGGCCTACGTAACATTGATTGGAGACCGCTGAGTAGATGAAAAGTGGGTGCACAGATTAAACGCGTAATTGCTTAAAAATCCAACTCCAATGCCATCGACAAGTCCAAAATCAATGCATCATAAGTAATTCGCATAAATGGCGTCTCAAGTGGCGTTGCGGTATGAAGCATGTGGGTTGGCGATCGCTTGAATTAAGGTAGGTCATCGGTGGATAATGCTACTGCAGGTAACGAATAATCAATCGTGCGTGATCCACAAGAACATCCGGAGTAGAGGGAGTATTAGCGGCTTAGCAATAAAGTGTAAATCGAAAGACAAATCCATTTGTTGGTTGTCTGTACGGAACACCGTTGATATGATCAAATTCAACGGGAGGCATCCCTGAGACTGGGCAATAAGTAGGGATAACGGTCACATGCCAGCAATGAACTGGTGGCGTTGGCCAGCTGCCCTTTGTGACCATTCCTCCTCCTTCTCCTTTTCATTGACCAAGACCCCTTCCCGTTCGGCTAAGGTGAGTAGCCCAACTGTGGCGTTCAAGAACATTCTACGGGTGCGGGAGGAAGGGTCTCCAAAAGAAGGCCGTGAAGAAGAAGTCGAGTCACGGAGGAGAAAAAAAAGATAGAAAAAAGAGGATCTCGCGAAGCTGGAGCAAAAAATAGATTGACTTACTAGGACGTTTTCGGAGATCGTGTGTCAAATTGTGCAGCAATCTGGGGCAAAAAATGGGGAGCAGGGGCGTGTCTGACTTTAGACTTTGAAGCTGTTCACTTGAGGTGGAAAAGACTTGGCTTGGACAGTCATCGCAGCGCTTTAGGAAAGTATCCAGCTACCAAGAGAGTGAGGGGTGCGAAAGAAAAGAAGATGCTGAGCAGCGCTAGGAAGCGGAAAGTACCTGTACTGTTGCCTGTTCGCTTGTTTTTCGTGATGTGAGCTGGGCTTGTTTAAGGTAGTGGAGATGCTGAGATAGCTCCATCTTAACCAAAGTTTTCCCCTAGGCGATGGGTTTGTGTGTCCCGTGAGTGGTTGCGAGATCACTGATAGGAATGGTATGGCTCCCAAAAAGCGATATCGGAAAATTGCTGGCTCTTGATGATCTCGTGGAAGGTGGTTGACAGAACCGGCGCCTTTTGTTTTCAACAAAGATGCAGATGCGGCTAGCAGTAACTGAATTACTTCGTAGATGCGTGCCGATTCTGGACACGTGCGAGATGCGAGTGAAGCCAGTGGACGATCTTAGTGCTCGTGGTTGGCTGCTTCAATATGTTGACGACAACACATCAAGCGACTTTAGCCAATCACTCAGGCCCCGTCTGTCCTCCTGGCACACCAAACTCGCACAATCCAGCTATTGCCACTCAATTCACAGTCTTTTGCGTCTTGACAGCTCGATAATGCCCGAGCGACAACAAGGGGCGGAGATGCATGTTCATTCCCGGCCAACCTCCGATTCAGCGCCGAATCCACCATCGTGAGCGCCCACACCTTGGACCCGAAAAAAGGGTTGCGATAGAGTCCAGACCGAGCCAGAACACCGTCTAAGCTGGCCAGCCATCCACACGACCCAAGGGTCCCGGCACGAGCTTGGTTCTTTTGGGGCTGTTTTTTTCAACTCGTGCGCATCCGCTGAGACAGGGGCTCACGATGGGGAAGATTTTTGTTTTTTCTCTTTCCTGCTTGAGATTTTCAACTCTCGTAATGTGTATCCATCCATCGTGATTTAGCACCCGGATTGGGAGTCGAGGCCATGGGGCAGACCTGAGGGCACGCCGGGGAAGGCCGAACTGATGGGGATCTCTGTTGAAGAATCGAAGCTGCCTTGATAGTGCATAGACCATGAGGAAATCAACTCACCAACATGAAGTCACAAACACTGGATCTAGTGGCAAGAGGCAGAGCAGATCAACAAGGCCGGTTTAGAGGATGTGAATGTTTGTACGGAGTACATAGTAGTCTGAAAAGCTTGGTAATACAAGAGTTACTATGTACTAGTTTAATACGCTACGGTATGTGGACGTTGTGAGACCCCGCAAAACCGGGAAGCCGCGATGAGGAGCAGAATTGAAAGAAGCAGGCGCATATTAGCCAATGCCCTAATGTGCAGTCGTACCGTGTTGTCTTAGGTGGTAGTTTGTACGGTTACAGGGCTACACATTGCCAAGCTAAGCCAAACGCGCCCTGACAATAATGCCTAAAGTGTAGCTGATACCTCTCAGCGATAGTACCTAGGTACGCAAAGCTTTCTTGAACCTCATCAGTCTACAATCTACAATTCTGCATCTTGCTTCTTCCATCTTCCCGAGATTCCACCTATACGTCGTTTATCCGCACGCGCTTGATTCAATTCTCGCCATCTTCCTGCTCCGTGATCATAGCCGCTGTACCTGCGCCGAAAAATGGAACCCTCAATTAACGAGCTCCACGCGGACTGGCGGCACTGGCGAGTGGGCTTTGGCTTCTAGTCTTGATTGCCACACTCCCCATCACGCCAGCTCCTCTCTCACGCCCCAAGCAACTTCTCAGGGACCTGCGTTTTCCAGGCGCTTCCGCAAGTACCGGTACTGCGATGGCGAGGTCTAGCAACCCCTCCATCCCTCCTTGAACAAGCTCATGATGACCTGGTCATGTCGACAAGAGCCAGTTGACTCAGCTTTAAGGGCGTGGCACTCCCCCGGCTTACTCTGATGCCATCTTTCGTCCTGCATCTTGTTATTTGAATCTTTTCCCATCCGTTGCTGCCGTGCTTTCTTCTGTTGTCTCCCGCTTGTTTATCTGCTTGTTTGCATTCTATAATACGATTTGGACGCCTCGAGACATAATTCTGCCGTCAGCTTACATACTCCACGAAACCTGCATTCCAAGTCGAGGAGCTGCCGTTCATCAGCTATATATTTACCACCGCCATTAACCCTACTCTTAATATCGAGCATTCAGAGGCGAATTGCTGCCATTGATCATTATCCAATCTTAATCTCCTCCTTTCCAGCATCACCTCTGGTACTCGAAACATGTCTGCCTCATCTCAGGGAACAACCCGCCCTTTCAAAGGGTCCAAGACTAGCTCTATCCAGAATCCTGCTATGGAGGTCAAGATAGACCAGCATTTCAACGCAAAAGTCTATACTTCTGGATCTACCATTGCTGGTCATGTTGCAGTCCGCGTCTTGAAAGACACTGCTTTCCACAATCTGGACATTGTCTTTGTTGGCATTTCTGCGACGCGACTTGATTTTGTTCAGCAGTATCCCTCACACTCTTTCAGACCATTTTTGAAGATTCGTATGCCACTTCAAGAGTCGGATTTGCCTGTGGATCGGATATTCCGAGCCGGAAACGATTACAAGATTCCATTCCACTTTGTTGTTCCTCATCAGCTCACCATCGGAGCCTGCAATCATGCTTGCTTATCACAAGACGTCCGGGAGCGACACTTGCGGCTTCCCCCCAGTTTAGGAGCTTGGGAGGCCGATGATCAAGCTCCAGACATGACTCAGATTGAATACGCAATAAATGCGAAGGCTATTCACCTGGGAAATGGAATCGCTACAAAAGTCATGGAAGCGCATCATATCCTCAAGGTTCTTCCTTCGCTCCCCGAAGATGCGCCACTTGATATCACTTTTCTCGATGAATGGTATAAGCTGTCCAAAACCAAGACCATTCGGAAAAGCCTGTTCTCGAGCAAGACGGGCCAATTTACCGCCAGTGCAATTCAGCCCAACGCCGTGATCCTTTCTGCAGATGGACACAAATCTTCCATGACAAGCGTCCGTATCAACTTGGAATACGCCCCCTCTTCGGCTGAGACGGCCCCTCCCAAGATTAACTCAGTTACTGGCAAGCTCGTTTCTACCACCTTTTTCAGCGCCGTACCTGTGGACCATCTGCCAAACTTGGGCAGTCGGACGAACTGCGAGAGCACCCCTTGCTTGAATTATACGACGACACACTCACTATTTACTCTTCCGGTGGAATCAGTGTCATGGATGCAGCAAGATGCATCGTCACGGTTGCGACGAGATTCAGGCTATTCAAGCACTGTGGTGGATGGTGATGCTTCCGACACAGATGCTTCCGAGAGAAGAAGGCGGCAAAATAGCAAAGAAAAGAGCTCCAAAAAGCCCAAACTCTCGACCGTCAGGCACACAACGGATATTGAGATTCCGTTTACCGTATCCAACTCGAACAGAAAACTTTTTCTGCCGAGCTTTCACTCATGCTTGATTTCTCGATCTTATACACTGCAGTTGATTCTGTGTGTGGGACCGACGAAAACCGCCATTTCGCTTGCAGTACCTCTACAGATTGGCGTCGAGACAATCTACGAACCCCAGGGTCACGAACTTCCTAGCTTCGAAAGTGCCGTGGCACAGGCTGAAGAAGAAGAAGCAGATGCATACTTGCAGCCCCGCGTGATGCATGTTCCGGAATCGGGGCTGCAGAATGATAATGTGTTGCCAGGATATAATGAACTGCGCAGGAGAACCATTGGCGTTGCCTATGGGAACGCTATGAGAGCATAATCAGTCGTTCTTTTTACTTTTCTTTGTTTTGCGTGAAGATTTGCTTCAGGGGTTCGTCAGCATGGAGTTGGGGATTCGCTCTGTTTATAAAGAAATGTTCCTAGTCAAGGGCTCCTTGTTTTGCTCATTGCAAGTTAGCTATTCAGCATATTAATATTATGGAAAGTCACCGAAAGGCATCGTGGCTGTTGAATGCTTGAAGTGGGTGACGGTAGTAGCATGAAATCTATAACCAATATCAGGAATAGAATTCAACGAGGGAAGATAAGATGAAGTGAATAATATCAGTGACTGTGAGCCATCCTGTACGGCAACCCCCTCGGCCGAACCTTTCTTCCGATGCAGGCAACTTCGTTTGCTCAAAACCTCCCCGAGCTTTGACCATAGTTCACACTCCTGTTCCTGAAAATAACATCCTCCTCCGTTACTTTCCATCCTTTGTCGTTTCCGTAATCTCAATTGGAATAGCTGATTTGCATTTGATTCGTAGCCTGCCCATGGCGCCGGCAAAGCGAAAGTATAGAAACCAAGATTTACAGGATGGCCAAGCTCAAATTTCGGAGAGCAATCATTCTGCGCAATCACAGTCTCAGACTATTTCCTCCAAGAGAAGCAAGCTTGGAATAGATGGCAATAAGGCCAGTGCCAATGAAGAAATGGAAGAGACCGTCGAGGAACTGGAAAGCCCTGAATGCTCAGAGGATACCTTTCCTGATCCTCTCCCTCCTTGCGATGACGCTTCTCCATTGAAGCACCGGACGCTGAACTATCGAGCGTTGCAACAGAACGCTTCGGAATCCGTTCCTCCTCTGACTCCAAAAGAGTGGAAGTGCGGCAAGCCTCACAAAGACGGCTACTTTGCAACCTACTTCCAACAGCCATGCCGTTTTACCCGGCCACTCATCGATAATTCCAAGAATCTAGACAATCTGATGAAAAACAAGAAAAAAACAGAGGGCCGGCGCTTGAAGGGTGCCACAATTGTAATCCATGATATTACATCAAGCTCTTGGATTGCTGGCTTAGTTGGCCTAGAAAACACACATCAACTTGTGACTTAGTTGGACAGAGATGGTAAAGTGCTCCAGAAAATTGAAGCTGTAATGCCTCTTCTTTGCGCCTATTACTAAACTGCACTCTCAGTTGCTCGTGTTCTGGAGCCCTTTATAAGACAGTTAAAATTTAGCAACATTAAGAAGTTTGACCAGATGAAGAGTGTTTTGAAGCATATTCAGCTCCTTCATACTCAATATGACGTTATGCGGCGCAATTTGGAAACGACCCCAGGTGTTCTTGTTAAGAATAATCAGGATGTTGTCCCGACTGGGTCAGAGCCATTGCTGCAGTCGAGCAAATGGTCTAGAGTCCTCACCACAATTGCTTGCGCGTATCGACTCTTGACGTTGTTCCCAGGCCGCTTCAAAGAGTATCCTTCAAAGGGCGATGACATCATCTGGGGGCATAGCCAAAATAATTGGCAAGCCGCGCTCTGTGTTATTGAGCATTTTAGATTTCGACGCAAAGCAAAAGTACCCCTGGAATGCAACCCCCCACCATTAAAAGCAGCGAAATGGTTTGGTTATGATACAGACAATGAAGTTGAACTCGCAGATCTGTACGCTATTGGGAAAGGGAACAGTGTTTCAGCCGAAATAGTATTATGGAGATTATGCCCGAGTATTGTCCAGTGTCTTGATACGAACTTGGACAGGATGGCTGATTCACACGACATCAATCAAGTACTTGGATTTGGTCACGCTGACAGCCCATCAAAGCAAGCCACCTCAGAGCGTGTTTGTGAACGGATTGAGTCAATCCTACAAAAGTTTGGTCCAGGTATCGATATCGAGAGAGATATTAGAAAAAGACCGAACAGTATTCACTTTCGACCTGGGGCCTGGAGATGGAGATTTGCAAACGGTGAATTTATGGAATGTTTGATTAAGTTCCTCGTTCGAAGAACAAATGTCCAATATGATGGCTATTTGGATCCCGGAATCCACGAGTTGGGGCGGATTTATCAATTGAACGCCGCAGTGGATCATGGGGCTACCGGTAGAGCGAGGGAAAGCCATACACAGGGAGTCAACGAGGCATCTAAGACCATACAAAGAATACTTCAAATGGTTGCAATCCGCCAGGAAATATTTACAGCGGTCGATTCACCGGATCGGTCAGAGAGTCGTCCTGGAAACTTGACCACGGCAATTCGCATTCGGACAGTTGAGATGGCATTACAAGATGACCACCAAGCTTTCATGTACGATTTCATCATGGAGCATCTGTACAGTTTGACGATCAGCACACGAGATTCAGCATCATTGCATACGAGCCAAGGGCGGACACGAAAGTCAACACCTACCCGCGTTAATATTGGATCACAAAAGATACTTTCCCTGGCGTCTACGCATATCGATTTTGCCCTCTTGACCAAGGCCAACGTGCGCAATATCCGATTCATTGCAGAGCTTGACGAGAAACTGTCGGGTTCATCTGTAATGAATGCGGCACTGCGGCATAATCACAGTGGTGGTCTTCAGTGGTATTTCTATCACACTTGCCCGAGCAGAAAGTACCCCGTACCAGATAGTGTTGGCCTAATGCGTTATATCTGCTTCGATTCCCCCAAGATTTCATGTGTCGTTAAAATGGCAGTGGAGTTGAGGCAAGAAAAAAAAGCGACTGTTGATTTATTGCCGTCATGCTCTGACACAAGCAGTTGTGTGTGCCTTGCTTACCCACATGGGAGTCCGGACGTTGCAAATTCGCAGGCAGCATACAAAAGCACAGAGAGATGATGCGCGGGTTTTTTTTCACCAACCTAAGCTTCGATGTGGACTGTTTGATAACATATATGTCGCTAGACACCGTTGGAGTCGACTATTATACCTGCTGCTCACACGGCATTATCCTGGAGCTACCGGAGACTGCAGCTATACTTTTTCAGACCATCAGCCGTCCCAATTTCCCAGGCGAATTCTTTTGGGATATTCTTATCTGCAAGGGAACATTTGACTCTTACCAAGAGTCTTGCTTGATGGCCGACCAAGCCAACATTCTGGCCACTGGAGCGCAGATCCCAAAAGAAATTAAGGGGCAGATTCGCATCATCTGCGCCTACGAGCTCCTAAGAGTCTGTCTAGGACAGCGGGTAAACCTCTATCCGCGGAATAGATTTGAATGGGAGTTCTTTGATGACGAACAAGACATTTGCGAGGGAGAGTTTTACTCTGCCCTGGCGCAACTAGTTCTCAAAACCCCAGCCCTGGGCAAATATTGCACGGAAAAGAATCTTGGGAGGATCAGTGCCTCCTGGAAGCCTGGCATGGAACTCACTCCAGATCATATTCGTGGTAGAATGCCGGTGTTGGCAGATGGTGTTGCTCTCCGTGATTTTGGAGACGATGAGAGGGGGGATGAGGATACGAGTAGCGGGGAGGGTTCCGACTTTGCAGCAGAATGCGGTATGGATTGGTGGGAATAAATTCGAGTCTGCAGTGTTGCATGAGCTGAACTGAGTGGATGCTATGACGGAAAGAGACGCTGCTGGTAATATTTACCGTTGGCTGAGATACACATCCTAAGAGACATGATTGGTATCTATGGAGTGGTTAAAATCACCGTACTTTGCTATTTACAGATACGTCGCGTGCTATTATTGCGACCTTCCAGTGATAACGAGTAGCCGATATTTGCTAAAATACACTAAATAGCTGAGACGACACTTGATCACTGAGATCTGTTTTAACTTGTCCTCTTGCATTTGGGATGCTAGAGAGCTACCCTGAATCTCTCCATTGTCATTGAATTCATAAAGCTAACCAATTTGTTATCAGACTTGTATCAACTTGCTATTCACAAAGATATGCGCTACATCCAATGCCATGCTCATCAAAGCACAGGCAATCCAAAATTCAGATACTAAAACCCCTTCAACTCTCCTGACTCTCCTCTAGTCAAACACATCAGTGACATATCTCTCATTGCGCTGCTTGTCCCACCAAGCCTTGGCCTCCTCCTCCGTCAGCTCCTTTCCAACAGCCGAGGCCCTCTCCTGAACAAGCTGGATGCAAACAGCCTCGACGGCCTTTCCAACATCGCGGCTGCCGCACACAAGGACCTTGGCGCCCTGATCCCACAGCTTGAACAGGTCCTCGCGGTCGTGCGACATTCGGTGCTGGACATACTTGCAGCCAAACGACTTGTCCGAGGCGCGCGAGTAAGCCTTGCGCATCTCCACAGCGCCAAGCTTCTCCCATCGTTCAAATTCCTCAGTGTAGAGGTCGTCCATGTCCGGCGAGCGGCATCCATAGAAGAGCAAGGCCGGCGCAATCTTGCGGCCCGCAGCAATCATGGCAGCGCGCTCTTGCACGAAGCCTCTGAAAGGAGCCAATCCAGAGCCCGTGCCGATGAAGATGAGAGGGGTGTTTTCGGCATCGGTGGGGAGATGGAATGCTTTGGACTGGCGGACGGCAACGTGGAGTCTATCGCCGGCGGCAAGAGAAGCCAGGAAGTGGGTGGCCACTCCAAAGTGAGAGCCTTGACCGGACAGTGCGGGCTGTTCGAGAACGGAGTAGGTAAGAGTGAGTTTGGAGGGATCAGCCAGAGGAGAGGAGGAAATAGAGCTGTGAAGTATGTTAGTGGAAATGTTAACGGTGATATGTTTCAGGGCTTAAACTTACTACTGGCGGACACGCATGGGGGGAAGCATAGTCAGGTATGTATCCAGGGGCAGTTCGAGTGTTGGGAATCTCTCCAACAAATCAAGAACGGAAACACGCTTAACACTAATCTCCTGCTGGTAATCATCTCCAGCAAGCTTCTCGAGCTGAGCCTTGAGCTCCCCATCCTGAGTAGCCTCGACCATGACGGAGATATTCTATCAAGAAAAAGGTTAGCACAAGTTTCCAACCCAGTCATTCTGGCTGTATCATCTATACTCACCCTCTTGGTTGCTGGCTGGCTTAGCTCAACATACGCTCTAAACACGTCGTTTGCAGAAACAGGCGTATCCGTAGGGAGAGCAGTCGGCTGGTCCGAGTGAATAGTTAGGACGGCGTCCCAAGAGAGCTGGAAGCGGCGGAACACTCGAGCTACCGTATCCTTCGGGTTGAAAGGTAGGACAGCCAGGTAGTCGCCAGATCGGTATGTCATGCCTGTAGGCAGCCGGATCTCGATGTGGTTCTTGGTAGAACCGCTGGTAGTCAGCGTTTTGGCGTCGGTGACGAGGGCCTCTTCGACGTCTTGACGCAGTGTCGACTTGCGAGGAAGCGACACATCGACGATCAAGCCGCCGGCTGAGCCTTCGGCAGAGACTGCAGCAGCACCATACTTTTCCTTCAGAGCAGGCCAGAGGGATTCGTCCTCCCAAGCTTCAAAATCGCTAAACATGTCACCCGCAGCGTCGGTGGTAGCTAGAGGAATGAGGCGGGTAGCGCCATGCTCGCCCAGTTGCGCATCAACGAGTTTAGGGATGCGGTGGAAGGTCTGAACCCAATCGTGGTGGCCACAGCCGAAGACGGCATATGACACGCCCTCCACTTCATTGCCCTTGAGGTTTTCAACCCAGTCTACGAAGTGAGCTGCATTGGATGGCGCCAGTCCTTCGTATGAGGCTGTGACAATGACAACTGGGCGATCCTTAGGAAGGTTCTGGTTGGCAGCGTCAAGAGGGGCAAGGTCTGTGACCTGGAAGCCATGGCTAACTGCATCAGTAGCCACTCTTTGAGCCAAGGCCTCGCAAGTGCCGCTGTTTGAGCCGTAATAAACGGCCAAGGGCTTCTGGGATCCCTTGCTCGCTTCACCGGCCGCCTTCTTGTCCGCATGGTGCTCATCGACAACGCCCTTTCCAGCCAACCTCTGCTCAAGCTCTGTGGGGGTCATTCCGTGTCGAAGGGCAGCTCGCATAAAGAAATCCTTTGGCTTGATAGTCAAGGACGCAGCAATTTCCAACTGATAGTTGGGGTCGTCGAGACTAAAATTGAAGTTTTGGAAAAGAAGAGCCATGGCGATGACAGCCTCGTTCCAGGCAAAGCCTCTTCCAATACAGCCTCGCTTGCCGTTGCCAAATGGCTTCCAGCAGTTGGGGAATTCTCTGTTGAGTCGAGCAAACTCGTCATCGAGCATGCGCTCCGGCTTGAACTCATTGGCATCACCGCCAAAGACCATAGGATCAAGGTGTGATTTGGCGAGAAGGCAAGTGATTGGCTCGCCCTTGTGAACGAGATATTTGCCTCCAATAAGGGTATCTTCAAGGGCTTCAACAGAGAAGGCAGGGATTGCGGCGCTGAGGCGCAGAGTTTCTCTCAGAACCTGTGATGTCCCCTGTAAGTAATCTTTGTTTTCTTAGGAGGAAGATAATAGAAAAGGGATGAAGGGGGGGGGGGGGACAGTAAAAAATACTTACTGCTTGGATATATACAAGCTTGGTAACGTGCTCGACTTTAGCAGGTCCACGGCCAAGCACCGCGTCAACCTCCTCCTGAACCTTTCGATAGGCTGATGGATTCTTCAAAAGGTGGTAAAATGCAAATGACATGGTGCCAGATGTTGTCTCATGGCCCGCAATCAAGAATGTGATGAGCTGGTCCGTGATGTTGGCATCACTCAACTTCTCGCCAGTCTGGGGGTCGACGCCGTTCAACATGGCCGCGAGCAGGTCCTTTCGATCAGTCGGGTTCTTCCTTCGAGCCTCTACAACGGCATTGGCCGTGTCTCTCATAATGGCAATGTCGTTGAAGAACTTTTCGTTGGCGGCGCGGTAGAGGAAGTTGGGGGCAAAGCCAGGTCTCCTGTTTCGCCTGCTGCATTCCGCCAGGAAATCGCCCATGGCCTGGACAAAGGGGTGCATCTTATCCTTGTAGTAAGAATTGAAGCGGTAATCCATAGAGCACAGCGCAATGGTATCCAGCGCCAGCTTTGTGAATTCGTCAGACACAGGAATGGGCTTGTGAGGGCCGTGGCGAGCTATTTTCAGGGCCAGCTGGGAGCTGATATCATGCATCTCATCAAACATGTCGCGGATGGGGAGAGGTCCAAAGGCCGGGACCAGGACACGATGAGCCTTGCCCCAGTTGGGCTCATCAGAGTGTGCAGTGAAAAGACCATCATGAACACCCTCACGCACAATCTGTATGGTAGCCAATGTCAGTTAGTCCATGTTACTGCGGTTGACTCAAACACAACACGACACAGGTTTTTTCAGCTGGGAGAAGGCTTGGTTTACATACCCGGAGAACAGAGCTCAGCGACTTTTGGAAGCGCTTCTCATCGCAGACTTCGTTGACAAGGGCCTGGGTGCTGACGAAGACGGCAGGGCGAGTGCCCATATGAAGTCTGTAGATTTCTCCTATTCAGGTGTGTTAATGAAGATTGCACAGTGATGATGATGATGCTACATGTGCAGTTGTAGTTGCTCGTGGAGTATAGGTAGGTACATGTAGGTAGGGGGAGACATCGATAGGTGGATATCGATCGCAGATACGCGGAACGGGAAGAGCAGATACATATTGACATGTTGATAAGGGTGCAGAGAGAATGAGGCAGATGGGGGTAGACGTAGCAGGAAGAGAGAAAGATGGGCATCCAATGGATATCCACGTATCCTAAAGATCCAAAATCGTCTTACCATAAGTATTCGCCAGACGAACTACATCGTCAATCGGGTTCGCCGAGAACTCGCCCAAGTTACCCAAGAGGGGCAACCCAGGAGGCTCAGGAATAGGAACAGCTTCGGCCATTGTCGTGTCGATCCCAAAGCTCAAGAACGAAGAATAAAAAAGGTGAATTGCAAATTTGACGTAACGTCAAACACGCAGAAGAGGAGAAAGAAGGAGACAAGAAAAAGGCCCAAGCTTGAAGCTGAAATGCCCAATGCGCTACTAAACGCGTGTAACTCAGCTTAAACGGAGCTTGGCCTAGAGCTGATTCAAAAGGGGATGAGGGGCGGTGATCGATGGTGGGACAAGGAGGTTCTTTTGTTTTTTTTTTTAAACCCTCTTAAACCCCTTCAAAATACTGCTGCGTCTTTGTCTTGTTTGGGGAGAGGGTGAGGGCGAGGAATCGTCGTGTTATTTATCTGCGAGATCCGGGCCTCGAGTCACAGCATACGAGCCAAGTGTCTTGGCCATCGTTTCAAGAGAAATGCACCATGGCATCATCATCATCAGCCTCATCCTCATCGTAATGCTCAATCCCCGCCGCTGACTTCTCAGTCCATGGGCTCCGTGGCCATTCGGCCCCTAGCAGCACCGAAATCGTGTAGAACGTAGCATCCATTGACTAGTTCGGTTGGGGTGCCCCCCGAATGCCGTCTCCGATCTCTTTCTCTGCTCGTTTCCTTCAGGCCCTCTCCCTTTGTCTGTCTGTCTGTCTCCCTGTCTCCCGGCTCCCGGCTCACAGCCCAAGCCTCAGCTCCCAGCTCCCACTCTGCAACCCCCCTCCCTACGGCCACCCAATCTCCATCGCCGTAATGACAACGGCAATCCCGTTGGTGGGGTCTAGCGGCATCGTGGTGGAGCTGGCAGACGTGATTTGCGACTTGGACGAACGGTGGGGGATCGGGCTCTGGTTCCCGATTACGGTAGAGCTGCCGTCGCCGGTATGCCTCCAACAGCATTTAGCTTGTCTGTTATCTGTCTTGTGTCTTGTTTTCATCTGAATCGTCATAAGGAGAGAGAGAGAGAAAAGTAGCGAGCACTTTTTGGAATTTCCGAAACCCCCCTATCCATTCGTCAAAACTAAGGATCCATACAATCGTGAAACGGCGACTCGGCCGAACAAGCACGGACTTGGACTTTGGCTGTGACTCGCAATGCCGCCGCCTGACAGAAAATCCATCCGTCCGGACAACTTGTCGGCCGATGCTATTGTCGCATTGAGTTTCCTAGCGGGGGAAGCAACTTCCTGCAGCAGTTGTCGGCGTCTCGTCTCTGCAACTCCAATGCTGTCAGACGTCCGCTAAACGTAAGAGCGAAGGATTCGATCCATCCGAGCCAGTGCCACGACACCACCATTTGCTGCTGCACTCTGCACTCCTCCAAACCTCGCAAAATCAAGCAAATAGTACTGTAATACTCCTTGACTCCGTCCTATCAATGGAATTTCCAAAATTCACTCTCTGCGGCTCCGTCCCACCAACTCCGACGCTCCGTCTCCGTCTCCGTGCATCACATTCTTTTTTTCCTGCAAAGAGTCCTTCTTCCTGCTAAGCCTCGGCGCCTCGGCTCAGGGCCGGCGGGGCCGCTCTCAGATGCCAAATTGATCTGCAACAGACGAGCAACAAACGCGTATTCCTGAGTAGCGAATATTCAGGTTTTGCATCCATGCTATTTTATACCTAGTATTACTTAATATCCAGTAAGAGCTTATAACTACAAGCTTGAGTCAAAATACCTGCCAGCCATCAATTAGCGGCCGCCACCAAAATAGAGCAACTGCCGACGGGCTGCAGAGAGGATTACAGTAATGTTCTTTCACCCCTGCCCAACAGAATACTGTAGCCTCCACTGCCGAATCCCGTTTGCCCCCTTTGTTAAGTACTAAATCAATCAAGTATACGCTTGTACATGCCATGTTGAAATCTTCAGCAAGTCTCTCATCGCCACTTTTTGCAACCTCTTCAGCCGTGGGGTTTAGCCATCCATACATAACTTGGGTTGCATGTTCTGCATGTTTGTTAGGTGCTTCTCTAGTGTCGTCTATATGCACACATACGAATATACGAAGCGTGCATACGGAGGGCAGGCATGTTACATTCATGTCATCCGTTGACTAAGCCTGCAGCTCTCCAACAGCTCGAACAAGACTATTCACACGCGCAATACTACTTAGAATATAAATAGGTACTATCCGCATACCAGCCGGGCGGCAGTGGCTTCGGTACGAGCATGTTACCCCAAAGTCAAGTCCACGGCGGTGGATTGCGCTTCTGCAACCACTATTGGCTATATATCGAGAATCACAACCAACGCAACCAAAAGAAAACAAAATGGCCCGAGTCTCAAAAGTCCTCCCTTTCCTAATTCTGCCTAGAATACAAACAAGCTTCAGGCAGTTGCAATTCATCGCGCGAGCTGTTTCGTTTGCAGCAGCAAATCCCCACTTTGTGTGTAAAGCCTTCTATCATCATGTCGTTATTTGATACGCACCACTAACCTGAGCGCGGTTGAAACCCAATTGTTTAATGCCTCGTTTTGCTTGGCTTTGTTTTGTTATACTCCGCCCTCTCTCTCCTTCAACAGTCAGAGCAGCCTATCACATCAATCCCCGCTACATCTGGTTGTCAGGTGTCTGGGGTTATAATATCCATCCTTCGGCTCCTTCCTCGACAACCAGCCTTGCCTACCAGTAGGCAACGGAAGGATGTGATCCCTCATGAAAATCATGAGAAGGGTCCAGTTCCAGTAACAAGCGAAATCAAACGCTATTCACGGTTAGAATCGTCTCTGGAGCCTCCTCCTGTGAACCTATCCCTGAGCCAGCTAAAAGGTCCAGAACTAGTCTGTTGGCCAGGGTTGGGGCTGGCACTGGCGTTGGCATTGGCACCGGAACTGGAACCGGCGTTCTCCCTGTCCCGACGGCCGCTCTGTGGTGGACTGGTTTGTCTCGGGCGCACTCTGTAATCTGCGAACGAGGACAATCTCGGGCTCGTAGGTGAAAGAGAGTTTCGTGAGTTTCGCCGTTGCGTACGCCAAGTATCGTAGCTCATGGCAGATGGAACGCCCCAAATCCGATCTCTCTCTCTCTCCCGCGTATCATGCTCTTGCTGCCGTTCCCCCCGATCCCCGGGCATGCCCCAGATGCGTTGTCTCATATGCTCACGGTCTTGCCGCTCTTGTTGTTGTGCTGAGAGATCTCGCATGGCCTCATTGATTCGGCTCTGTCCTTGGTTTGGAGGACGAGATGGGCCTGCCCCGGGAATTGGAACCGGTTCGGTACGGCTCATCCCGATCCCATAGAGATCATCCGAGCGTGAGGAACCAAAATCGCTAGACTGGGAGGAGATTGGGGGCGGGCTTGTACGCATGCTTGGACCGCTCCTTTCATCAGGCTTCTCAATGGACGCTCGGCAAACCGGGCATGTGTTGTGCTGTTTGAGCCAAAGAGTGACGCACTCTTCATGGAACCAGTGCTTACAAGGGAGAAATGCAGCCACATCATCCACCTTCATGTCATCTATACAAATGGTGCATTCCGTTTTCTCTCCTTCCAACATGGAGGCATCTACAGGCCGTCGGTCCAGGCTGTCAAGGGCCTCAGTCGACGCGGGCGGCGCAGCATTTGATTGTGGATGCGCCTCCATGAGGTTTGTGATTATCTGATCCAGGGCTTCTTGTGAATATACTGCATCTCCAGCGATAGCGTGTGCCGGATTGAACAGATTCAAAATCTCCTGGAGCCCTCGCGCAAATCCCGGAGTAGGACCTCCTGCCTCCCGGCCACCTGTAGGTGGTGACACATCCCGAAGGACATTGGAAAAGAATCTAAATAGGCAGGCGATTCGATTAGTTTCCGAAACAAGACGGCATTAATATGATGCCAATGCAAGTAAGTGAACTTACGCTTGAAATGGGTCAGGGTGGCGGTCCTGGCCAGGAGAAGTCGGCCCAAAGAGTCCCGGCCCAGAGCCAGAGAAAATGGTCACGGAAGCGCTACCACTGCCATTCGTGAATGTAGCGCGATGGATATGCGGTGCTCCATATCGGCCTTCTTCTGATCGTTGTTCGAAGAGATTGGTTCGTCGCTGGGGTGCGATATCCTGAATCAGACCGAGAAAACGCTCAATCACCGGGTCGACAGCGGGATCATGGTGCTGCATTCCTGGGCGGTCCCTAACACTGCGGCGCCAATGAAAGCCGTTCGGTCCAAGATGTTCTTCAATATCAGCTTCGTCTGGGTCAGAATCATGGTCGTTGCCGTGGTTGTGGTCATGGTCATCATGGTCGTGGTCCCCGTGTGGAAACCTGTGGCGCAGCTGGGGCAGCCGGGGAGATTCTGGTTCCGAGTCGTCATCGAAGGCTCGAGGATCGTTCTCTAGGCTTACCTATGTATTTGGTCAGACAAGGTCGGGCAGGGTAAGGGACACGGCGACAACGTACGATTTCTGTGATATCGCTTCCACATCTGGGGCATAGTAGTCCACGCTCATCGCGGTACCATTCACTAGCGCAGGCATGGCAATAGACAACCTCACGACCTGCGTTGGCATCGAGGTGCCGGTGTGCGTGGTCTGGAGATGAACCGTCCATCTTGTCCCTCCAACCTGCGGTTCAACGCAGTCAAAGGGCCGAGTTCGGCCAGGCGAAATGCACAGCGGGCCAAAATCAGACCGCCAGCGTCAATATCAACGGCCAAGAATGGTCGAGTCGTAAACAGGCAAAGCTGCGTATATTCGGGTCGTAGTCGGTCAACGAGAGACGAGACGCTAGGTAGGTAATATTGCTCGGCGGGTATTAGTCAAAGAGGCGACCGGGGCGAAGGGAGATGGAGATCCGAGTCGTGGGTGAGTCAAGGTAAAAGAATAAGAAGTAATATAAATCCCCACGATGGTGCTCATCAAGAGACAACGGGGTGGCAACAGACACGCAGCGTGCGCGCGTAAATGATCGACCAGCAAAAAAATGGCGTGCGATGGATAATAGGTTCCTGGAGTGGGCACAGTAGAAGAGGAAAGATCACGCCAAAATGGCCCCAGGCTGGCGGTGACGAGGTCGCAGCTTCTGAGTGGAACGTCGCCACAAAGTGATAAAGAAGAGAAGAGAAGAGCAGAGAAGAGAAGAGGAAAAGGAACAAGGAGAGCTGGCTAGCAAGGGAGATGAATAGGCGAGGAGTAATAATCCAGCAGCGAGCCGATGCTAAATGTATGTGTGTAACTCGGCCATGATTTGATGCTGGTAGGCGGGAGAGTGACGTTTTGTCAGCGCGGCGCGGAGCTCTACCGACGGCACTAACAGTATTAAGGCACTAGAGTTAGTTGGTTAGGTATAAGTGTAGGTAGGCTTGGTAGGTAGGGATAGGTAGGGATAGGATGAGCTCGGGTGCTACAGTATCAAATCCATGTGTTATAGTTGCGAGGGGCAGTGAATGGAAGCGTCTAGGCAAACAAGCCGGATCGGTTTGATTGCCCACCTCATCCTCATCCTCTCAACTCTCGAGACAGCGGGGCTGGACACAGACGTTACAGCGCACCTTGTATTTTTTTGTTGGGCAATGCTGTACCTGTCAGGTATAATTGGCCGAGAGAACTGCACTGCATTTGCTGCGGTTTGTGCCACCGAGAATCACCGGCTGCGGTGCTTCATAGGCTACGGAGTACAGTTCGGGGAGTATTGGGGGCCTGAATACATGTACATGTACTGTTGCAGCATGCAGCTCCTCTGCTATCTCACATCGAGGGGGTTGGGCACAAGCAGAGCCAAGGCAGAATGGCTGGATTTAACAGGTATGGAAATGGACTTAAGAATCAAAAATACGCCTTGGCTTGCTATACTTTGTACATGCTTTTTCTGTTTGTTTGCTCTTGTTCTTGCTCCTCACTTGTCGTGCAAAAGGTGGCGGCATCTCTGTCCCGATACCACCCATTTAATCAAAATGTATCTACTAACATGTCATGTCCATCACTTTATCCACTTCCGTCAAGATTAATAGCTTGCGTACCTTGCCTGTTCGCATTTAGAGCGGTCCAAGGCACCCAGATCCTTGCAGGCATCTATGTGTAAACTATCAATACCGTGTGTCATGCCTGTATGACTCTAGCCCCCATGTCAACCCGATATCAGCCTGCCTTTAGGGCGCCATCCCCTTGCAGCTGCGCATGCATGGATGGAATTACACAGAAGCCCCGGGAATATATTCCACTTACCCCGTCTCGTGGTTTTGGAGGTTAGGCTCACATGGCTTGGATAAGGCTGGGGTGCGTTATTCTGATGCGCTGTTAGTGGGGTGAGAAGTGCCGCATGAGCCTCTCGGAGTCTATCGTCCGGCAATATATCAAGATGATGCATCATAAATGTAGCCGGTAATCAAACAGAGACCTTTGGAGTCATACACTAGACGCATGTAGCATATGCCGTGTTCTGGATCCGCGCCATATACCCCAAATGCAAGACAATTGTAAGGCTCCAATACCTGCCAGCTCGTGACGGCCCAGCATACCACTTATCTCGTGATATTGTTAGTAAACCTACCGGGTCTGGTTGTCCCAGATCAAGTAGTCTCTAGTTTGGCCCAGCTCGCTTGTCTGGCCGTTCAATCACAAGGGACGCTTGAATGGTATTTTCCAATTGAGGGTCGCCCAATATCGTAGTTGTCTCGAAGTTTAACTTTTTTTGAAATGTTTGACTTTTGTTCGTATTGAATTTGTACAATTTCGTCTATTATCATTCCTTCAAAAGAAAATCTACTCCTTAGTGCTGCTGGCCGCCTTCAGCTTGTCCTCCTTGTCCCACTCAATCAACTGCTTTGACCAGCTTCAACCAAAATGTTAGCAAAACGACCACTTCCTTCAGCATTCCCACACAATCAGACATAACGTACTATCGGCTAGGATGCCACTCCCACGGCTCCGGCTTGTGCGCCCATCGTTCCCTGTCGGCGCTGAACTTCCACGTAATGGCGACGATGCCGAACATGGCAGCTCCGGCGATGAGTGTGTTGGCACGCCAGTTGGCAGGCTGGGCGTACCAACCACCAGCAGGCGACCAGACGTGCTTGGGGTAACTGTATTGGATTTTCTGCGATTAGGACGAGGCGTCTCGAGAGGCGATTCAGTTGGTTCGACGAGGTCAACACTTACGGGATTTTTCCACCGCCACCCTAGGAACCAGTTAGCAAGCTGCCTTTTGCAGAAATCAATGATACCATAACTTACCATTTTGAAAATGTATCAAAAGACGTCTGTGTAGGGTCTTTTGGCGCGCAATTGCAGCGGATAACTGGTCAGTTTGCTATCAAGCGCTCCAAGGAATCCAGCAAGAAGCAAGTAGAGAATGGTCCCGCCACAGCGAAATGAACGGCCGGGCCGAAGTAGTTCCGGCTCTGCGGGTGTGGCGCCAGTTTCGAAACTTGCGAAAAAGTAGGCGGGCAGCGGCTCACACGACTTTTTGGCACTTCCGAGAAGAAATCGACGCAGAATCTCTTCCCGACAAGGCACGACGGGACAGCGAACAATCGTCTGATCCTTGCCTCAACCAGGACCTTTTTTTTTTTCTTTACTTTTTTTCTGGTCCTCCTTCCACGCCTCTCCGTGACCAGGCTGAGGGGCATTGGGTCAGAGGGGGGAATTTTTTTTTTTCTGTCGTCCAACCTTGTATCTTTAATTTTTCCTTCCCCCGCGAACCACATGAAGAGGATACGACCCTCACGATGGAGCGGCCAATTGCTCCAGGCCCGATGCGGCGCCGGCATCGCAGCAGCTAGACAGCCCTTCCTCCTTGCCGCCCGCTGCCAATCGACGTCCTCGGCCGCTGCGCACGACTCTACACCCATCGACTCTCCTCCTCCTCTCCCCGCTCCCTCATTCGCCCGGGCCGCCCAGTCGGCAAAGCTCGCCGCCCTACACGCCCGACTCTCCCTCTCGAAAAAGATCCCGCTACAGACGCTGGCCAGAGCCCTGGTAACGCCGTCCGCAGACGCCAATCCCAACTTTAACAACACAAATCTGGCGTATCTGGGAAGCACAATCGTCAACTACCATGTTCTCGAGTACCTCGTCTGCAAGTGGCCCCGCCTGCCCATGGCCATCCTATACGAAGCCCTGAGGGCCTATTCCGGTGACGCCTCTCTACAGCAAATCGCCAGGAGATGGGGTGTGGAGTCTGCGGCTGCCCCGGGAGAGGAAGTCGACCCAGGTCTGTTGCAATGGAAGGCAGGCGAGGAGCAGGTGGTGAACACGCGGTGGGGCTACATCCGTTCTGACAAGGCACCGGCCTGGAGACGAGGATTGAGCAGCCGTGTGGTTTTGGACAACGACTTTGGCGACCAGGTCAGCAGCGCCGCACCCGAGAAGCCGGAGTTCGACAGCCTTCAGAGCGAGGCTTTTGGATCCGTTGTCCAAGCCGTGATTGGCGCCATCTACACCCACTGCGGCCGTGAGGAAGTCAAGGCCTTTGTCAAATCGCACATCCTATCTCGAGAGCTCGATCCCTCAACACTCTTCGAGTTCAAGCTCCCAACCCGCGAACTGGCCATGCTGTGTGCCCGAGAAGGTTTCGAAGCTCCCGTCGCCCGTCTGGAGAGTGAGACTGGTCGATTGTCCCGCACACCCGTCTACGTGGTGGGCATCTACAGCGGCAAGGAGAAGCTGGGTGAGGGTGCTGGCCCTAGCCTGGATGTGGCCCGGAGAAAGGCGTCCATGGCATCACTGAAAGCCTGGTACCTATACAGCCCTGGAAACAAAGTGCGGGTGCCCAGCGACATGATGGAGGAGGGCGCCAAGCCCTGGACAGCACCGTATATTGACATTGGTGAAATCATCTAAGCGGATAAAGCGCTGCTTGCTCTACGGGTGGCAATAATATCCCGCAAAAATTTCCGGTTGGGCAGGTTCTCAGGTGTATATATATATACATGTACGAAGTGAATGAAGAAGCAAAAAAAAAAGGGCAAGGGAGCGATGGTCGGGTTATGAAGATGGGAGTATGTTTGGGTTAGAAATGCGCCCCCCACCCACTGTATAATACAAAGCATATTGTAAAATAAGTTGGAAAACTGTGCTCCCCTTGCAAAAATAGTACAATGTGATATACAAGCCAAAAACAGGACCTCTTTTCCTCAAAAGGCTCTCTTACATGTCTCTTTGAGTCTAGCTGAACTGGTCTCCGTGGTGAAGAAGAGCGGCCTCTCCCTTTTGCGCCATGGCAGTGTAGCTGTCAAGCCGGCGCTGGGCTTCGTCCTGCTCACGCAATTGCTTCTTGCGCTCGTAGACGGCACGTACCGTGGCCCTGATCTGATCCTTGCCTTCGTCATAGTTGGCACGCGCAAGCTTAACAACGCTGTCTATCTGATCCGGCGTGTAGACAAAGTTCCAGGTGCTCAGATAGTCCGTAGTGCCGGGAGAGATGCCGGGAACCTTTTCATTGGAAAGAAGCGGGAGGTAGACGACTGTGAGACCTGCATTAGGCTCCATCAACTTCCACGAGGTGTCGTCTGTGATGGGTTTTGTAATTGGCGGGGAGTCTGTAGATCGCTCCTCTGTTGTCCCTACCCATACAGAGCAGTAGCCGAGTTCTCCAGCCTTCTCACTACCGGGCTTGAACTTGGATTCTTCGTCAGGCTTTGCTTGTTTGGTGTCTTCGCGCTTTGCGGCGGCCTTTCGAAGGTCCTCTTGGTTAGCCTGAGCTTTTTCCACCCTGCGTTCTGCCTCGGCTGGGGTCGTAGCCTGAGCTTCTTCGAGCTCTTTTCTTGCCTGCTCAGGAGTCTCGTCGAGTTTTGGCCAGCCGATGCCTACCGGCCATCCCTTAACTCCTCGCTGTCGCGCATAGCCATCCGCGACAGAAAGCCAATTATCCGTCTTAATGTCGGCTGAGGCATCAAAGGCAATGAGAATGTCGACATTTCGTCCAGGCCGGAGCAGTGGGTAGATGGGCAAGTTGTTTGACATTCCCGCATCCATGAGCTGGATATACTCTCCGTCCAAAATGCTCTTGGGTGTCGTGCTAGGCAGCTTCCCGTACATCTGATAGGCGAAGTTGGGGATAATGGCGGGATCTATAGGGTGTACTTTGCTCAAATCTTCGTTTCGACCTGACACCAATTCATCTATCGTCTGGAAGCCCGTGATCGTTCTAAGAAGAGGTCTAATCTCGCGATAATAATGGCTGAGTGTTGCGCAGAATGCGCTTCCAAAGATGCCCATCAGGAGAGGGGTCCTTATTTCTGGTAGGTGGAATCCACGGTCAGACACATCACGTCCATCAGAAAAGCGTCTACCGAGGGCCCATGTTGGTATTCCAGCAGAAAACTCCTCGCAAAAGAACTCATAGGGGGTGATCTCGAACCACTGAAAGTAAGGTTCTTTCTTCATCTCTTCCACCGTGCTCATTGGGGTGTCCTCCTTTTGGGAATCCTGAGATTCTTCAGCGGGGATTTCATGGCGAACAGCTGTGTATATGGGTAATGGGCGCTGCCCATGCCGCAGGTAGACTCGCTGGTTCGATAGCTTAAAATCTCGAGCATCAACGCCAAGTTCGCCCCTTGGAATCAAGTATCTAGCACCCAGGAGAAGCCCGTATATATCGACGAGACCAAAGTCGGCATGTGCATCTCCCTTTAGCTTTTCCACCAGTCCGCTTAGCAAATACTTGCTTGTCGGCAAAGAAGTGAGGGATTGAAAAGCAACCGGCGGATATGCTATGTGTGTTGATGCTCTTGCTTTCAAGTGTTGTATAAGAGAGCCAACACTGCCTTTTGAGAATGAAGAAAGGTAGAGCAACTGAAGCCAGCACGAACCACTCACACCAGCCGTATACGTAACACAGTCGAAGAGTCCGTCCTCATCTGTCGCAAACATAGATCCACTCCCTGCTATCAGGGCCCGCATCCCCCCTCCCGATCCGCACATGGCAATGGTTGGCACATCATCGGGATTGATATCCTTTTCTTTAAGTCCGAGATAGTTGGCCAAGGCCGCTCTAGTGACAAGTTTCCGTCTCAACAGGTAATCCTTTTCTTCCGCACATAGTTCCGAAGAGACTCGGACATTAGCAGAGTACCGGATCTCGGGGTTGACCAAAGGGTCGTGAGCCTCCTGCCATATCTCCTCCGCCAGCGATCCTGGAGATACCGATAGCTCCCGTTGAAGCTTTCTCACATAGCCGGGTATGTTTTTCCACCAGTCCGGAATAATGGCATCAACCAGCTTGTCAGACAGAGCAGCCCATTCGAGTTCAGCCGTGGCCGAAAGGAACTCGAATTGCCGCGCAAAGTAAGCCCACGCGCCCTCGTCAGATTTCTCAGTCACGAGTTGGTAGGACTCGTGAGAGTCTGTCTCTTTCTCTTCATCTCTTCTCTTCTTTGTTCTTTGGCTCTCGGACAGGCGAGCAAAGTCCTCTGTCGGATACAGCCACCAAGTGAAGAGCCCCAAAGCAAGGACAGTTGCGGGTAAGCTCGTGCGCGGCCTTCTTCTTTGACGCTTTGACTCTGTGAAGAAACTGCGATCTAGTTGAGGAGCTGCCGCTGGGGGTTGTCGTGCAGCCCTCAGACACGGGCTGAGAGGTATCAACGGCCGCGGCAATTTCAGAGGGTATCTCATGGCGAACGTATGATTTCTGGCTCTGAGCCTCAGCTCACGACAACCAGATTGCTAGTCAAAATAGTAATGACATCAGCCTTGAAGTGATGAAGAGACTGTGAGTTGTGTTGCCGCCGATCTTCACTCCAAGCAAGTCATAGTAGCGAATTGGTTAGGCTGAGAGATGGCAATTTTTACAGACTCGTCAATTAATTGTGAGTTTTGGCGTGATGAGACAAAAGCACTGAGCGAAGCTACTTTGCGTTGGCGTAGACGTTACGTCAATGTTCAGGTAGCTCGGTACCTTTTGAGACTGCAGGCTGAACACGCCACTAAGACGTTGGGTAGCATGTTTAGCATGTGGGAGCTTCAAGCTGGCGCTGTTTTTGGCACTACCACTTGTTACTGCCAGATAACATGAGAAAGATAAGAAAAAAAGAGAGAAACTCAATGCTCAGTTTTGGCTAGTTTCTCTGACTCTTCACAATTCAATCAGCCGAATGCGAGAATGATCGCTGCCTAGTTGAAAAAGACCCTAGGGTAAAGGCTGCCGGATGACTCTTTGCACTTGAACCAGGATGTGTATGAGCAACACTTGAGAGGGATTCGACGTGTATTTGCCTCCATGGGACTGCGACAGATTCATCCTGATTTTGAACCTAGAATCTGAAGAATTTGTAGATTAACTATAATCACCCATATTCACTAATTAGCATTATGTTAAGCTTTAGAGCTGATGCTTATGATTTCATGAGATATGCCGTGGCCCATATTTGCTAAATCTTGTCTTAGAGTTTGCCAATGCCTTAGGTACCTAGGTACTTGTAGTCCACTGCAAAAGGGCATCGATCAGTACCTCAAGTGTACTTCCAATCATATGCCAGCGGATAGCCCATCTCAGTGCTTCCAGCACACAAAACCTACCAAATAGCGGCTCATTCCGGGTTGCCAGCAGGTACCTCCAAGTGGATGGGCGCTTGTCCAAGGCTGGTGGTGGGGTTGCCGTCTTTTTAGTGGAGCCCCAGCAGATCTCGCATAGATTTTTTGCGCCCCAAATAACTTTTTTCGTCGCGACGGGGATCGCTGCTCCAACCTTCTGTTTATCATCAACCTCGAGGTCCAGCCATCGCATTTTCTTCTCTTCATCTCGCATCATTTATTCCGGAGCGGCACGTGAATTGATCTGACTGGTGAGTTTTTACTTGATTTAGCGGCAGTGCAGCTCGTCATTCGGTAGGCGATTCCGGATCGCTGGAGCTGCGTGTCTGCCGTCGCCAGAAGAGACCGAATTACTCACACCTTCGGCGCCTCTACAGATTCGCAATCATAAGTCTCGATACTCCCCTCTAATCGCCAAGGCGTTATATATTTAAAGAGAACCATTATTCGATTCTCTCCTCCCCAAATTTCATCATGAGCGAAGCAGAGGCTGTCCAGAACCCTATCGAGCCCGTGGCTCCCGTTGAGGAGAAGCCCGTTGAGCAACCCGAGGCAACTGAGACAACTGAGGCAACTGAGGTGGCCGAGGTAGCTGAGGCCAAGGAGGCTGAGGAGGCTGAGGAGGCTGAGAAGACCGAGGAGACCGAGGAAACAGAAAAGAAGAACGGCGCCAACATTCTCAAGACTACCGCCAAGATTGACCGCGACAATGCGGCAAACAACCGCAAGTTTGATCCCTCTGTCCGACAAGTGACTGATGACCCCGAGGAGATCAGAAAGCAGGTGAGAAAGCCCAATAGACCATACCCCAAAAGCCATCTATACTGACTAGTCAACTCGAAACACGCAGGTTGAATTTTACTTTGGCGACTGGAACTTCCCCCAGGACAAGTTCATGTGGGAGACGTGCGGAGGATCAGAGAACAAGCCCATGCCGATCGAAAAGATTCACTCATTCAAGCGTATGCGCTGCTTCCAGCCCTACAGTGCCGTCGTTGCCGCACTCAGGGAGAGCAAGGTCCTTGAGGTGGTTGGAGAGGAGGGCAAGGAGGCCGTTAAGCGCAAGGTGCCCTACAAGCCCATGCCCGCCGGCAAGGCTAAGGCCGAAGCTGCCACTGTCTACGTCAAGGGCTTTGGCGATGAGCAGGCTGATACTCAGTTCGAGCTGGAGACCTTCTTTGCCCAGTTCGGTGAAGTCAATGGCCTGAAGCTCCGCCGCACCAACGAGAACCTCTTCAAGGGCTCCGTCTTTGTCACATTTGCCGATGAGGAGACCGCCAAGAAGTTCCTTGCCCTGGACCCTGCTCCCAAGTGGAAGGATCACGACCTGAAGATTATGTCCAAGCACGACTACTGCGAGGAGAAGAGCGAGCTGATCAAGCAGGGAAAGCTGACACCCAATGGACCATCGCAAAAGAAGTTTTACGAAGGCCGGGATTTCGGCAAGAGGACCACCCGCAGCGGTGCATCTGGAAATCAGGATGACTGGAAGAAGCGACGCGACCAAGACCAGAAGAGTGGCTTCAGAGGAGGCCGCGGAGGCGGCCGTGGTGGTCGTGGCCGTGGTGGTCGAGGTGGTCGTGGCCGAGGCGGCCGTGATCGCGACTCAGGCCGACAGGAGTAAGTAAACCTGGTTGATTGATGGATGAAAAGTCAAACTAACATGGCCACTAGGAAACGCGTGGACGCTGCGGCTACCAACCTGAAGAGACCCCGAGAGGACGATGGTGCTGCAGCCCCGGCTGCGAAGAAGGTTGATACCAAGGCCGAGTGAAGAAGTTGCCGTGGACAAACAAGTTCTTAGTTTACTCATTCGCCATCTCATGTTTGAGATGTAGGACGACTCTCTCTTCGGGCATCTAATCATCATAAAGACGAGCCAATTTGATCACGGTGCTGAGATTGCACCTGGCTTCGGTCTACCCATATCTACAGTTGATGGGTTAATATTGGGCGTATCTTCCGTTTTGTTTCGTGTATTATATACATGTGTCGGTTTCAAGGGGATATATATCTACCGACAGGAAGCTGGGCTTTAGCTGAGATGGCTAGTCTCTTTTGTAGCAGCTAAACAAGAAAATGATGAAGCCCGAGATGTCTCATTCATTCAATCCAAGAGCAGTATGTACATGCATAGATTCGGCATAAGTGATCCTACCAAGGTATTTTAAAGATGGAAGCGAAATGGATGCCGCTTTAAGCTAAGTACTTGGTAAGAACCCTGCAGGTGTTGACGAATCATCCATTTTTGGCACAACTTGCAACTCTGCACTGCTATTGGGCAGTCCTAAGGCAGCAATGCAACAGTATGGAAGGTACCTCAGACCTAGCCTTGCCGTCATGATACGGGAGCCATGATGAGGCAGGATCATCTGGTTCTATCTGATTGACGACGAAGACCATCTAGATCTTGACGATTTACTTTCGCCTCTCGTTATTTGACGGAGCATGGGGCCGCGCTCTGCCTTAGACAAGCGATCCAGATTATCCTATAGCGCCCATTTACCCCATTCTCTAGACGATGCCGCGACCACCATCCAGCAGAGATGGCTTCCATTTCGCCGTCATCTGTGCGCTACCTCTTGAATTCGATGCTGTCTGCCACTCGCTCGATGAAGTTTGGGAGGGGCAAGATGAAAAACTAGGGAAAGCTGCCGGCGACTTGAATTACTATACACTAGGATGTATGGGGAATATCCCTGTTGTTGTCTTCCTTCTGCCTGGGAAGGGGAAAGTTGAGGCTGCGAGCGCTGCGGCTAGTCTGCGCTCCAGCTATAACAATTTGAGTGTCGTTCTTGTTGTCGGTGTCTGTGGTGCCTTGCCGAATCTGTTTGATGATACCGAAGTCCTGCTTGGAGACGTCATCGTTAGCAACCACGTTGTACAGTATGACTTTGGTGGCCAGTACCCAGACGGGTTTAAGCCAAAGACATCGATTGAAGACAAGCTCGGCAGACCTGATAAAGAGGCCCGGATCTTGAGTGCTCTGCTCAAGACTCAGCGTTACCGTGACAAGTTGGAAGACAACGCCTTCGAACTTCTGCAACAGCTTCGGGAGAAGGTGGGGAGAACCAAGTATCGGGGCATATACAACTATCCAGGGACCGCACATGACAAGCTTTTTGATTCAAAGTATCGCCATAAACACCAAGACGCAGATGCTTGTGAGGTCTGTCGCACGTGTGACTCTAATGACGACCCAGTGTGCGAAAGTGCTCTTGAATCTATATGCGCAGATCTTGGGTGCAGCGATTCCTATCTGATTCCTCGGGGCCGTCTAAGAGAGCGACAGAGAGCAGAAGAAGCAGGCGATATGGGAACCCCGGCACTGGCCATCCACACAGGCGGAGTTGGCTCTGCAGATACTGTGATGAAATCAGGTGAGGTGCGTGACAGAATATCAAAGAGAGACAAGATAATCGCCTTTGAAATGGAGGGAGCAGGTGCTTGGGATGAATTACCGTCATGTATCATCATTAAGGGTGTATCTGACTACGCCGACTCCCACAAGTCAAAAAGATGGCAGAAGTATGCTGCGGCAACTGCGGTGTCTACGGCAAAAGCTCTACTATTAAATCACTTGGAAGACAGACATACAAAGGGACAGACTCAGAGTTGGTTTGCTCTATCTATAACTCTCCTTGTTCTCTGCTAATCAGCGCTGCTAGGCCGGGTATTCTCCGTGCCCTTCGCTGAAAACCACAGCTTTGTGGGCCGCGAGGGTGTGGTCAAGTCCTTGATTAATAAACTGTTTGATAAGAGGAATGATCGCATTGCTTTGGTCGGGATGGGAGGGGTAGGGAAGACCCAAGTGGCCCTGAAGACTGCCTATAAGATGGAAAATGAAGAACCAGAGTGCAGCATACTCTGGCTGCCTGCATTCAGTATGGCCGGCTTCGAACAGGCATGTACGGATCTTGTGAAGAAGCTGAACCTTTCAAGCACCCAAGACAATGATGATGCTAGGGAGCTAGTTAAGCAACATCTGAACTCGGAAAGCTTCGGCCAATGGCTTCTCATTCTGGATAATGTGGATAGTGACGATGTCCTGCAAGGATCTGAAGGTGTTCATGGGATATACCCCTACCTACCACGGAGCCGGAACGGTCAAGTCTTGATCACAACACGGTCGCGGAAAATAGCCGTCGAGTTTGCAAAGCAAAATGTGATCGAGATCACGGAGATGGAGCATACAGACGCCAAGAGCCTCTTGCAGAATTCTCTGGGTTCCGAACATTTGATATGGGAAGACCATACGGTCAACGAGCTGCTGCATTTATTAACCTATCTGCCGCTAGCCATAGCACAGGCAGCGGCCTATATGAATATGTTTAAAGTGCCTATCGAAGAATATCTTAGGCTTTGCCGCCATTCTCAACAAGATATGATGGAATTAATGCGAAACCGATATCACGACGATACACTTTACCACGAGAGCCAGGGAGCGGTAGCCACAACATGGCTGAATTCGTTCATTCAGCTCCAGAAGAACAACACAGCGGCCGCAAAATTACTCTTCTTCATAATGTGGATAGAGCCTCAAGCTATTCCTCAGTCGATATTGCCTGATGTAGGGTCAGAACAAGAAAAAGTAAAGGCAATAGGGATACTTTGTAGTCTTGGCTTCCTTCGGGAGAGACCGAAACGGAGGATATTTGACATGCATAGTCTAATGCATATGGTCATGCAATTTTGGGCCCTCGATCAAAGAATTGATACGACAACCAAGGCAGTCATGCTCCGTCATCTTGCTATAGTATTTCAATCAGCTGAGTGGGATGAGCGAGACTTATGGCGAGCCCACTTGCCGCACGTACTCCACGCATTCGGGGCGTATCGACACATAGACCCGCTTCCAGCATCGGACTTGGGCTATTGGGCGGGAAGATGTTTATACCAAGACGGGCGGCTCGGAGAAGCACATGCAGTACTAGAACAGGCTGCCGAAATTCAAGACCCAACGCTAGCACATGATCATACAAACCGATTGGCATTACAAGATGCTTTAGCAGCAGTATATCTAGCCAAGGGGCACATCAAGGAAGCAGTTATGATAAGAGAGAATCTTTTTAAGCTTAAAAAAGCAGCACTATCTCAAAATCATCCAGTACGACTAGCATCGCAACTTCATCTAGCAATAGCATACCAATATGCTGGACGGAACGAGGAAGCGACTACACTCCTAGAGCATGTTGTCAAAGTCAAAGAGGCAACGCTACCTCAGGATGATTCATCACGACTATTATCGCAACATCAGCTAGCAGTAGCTTATTGTGGCAATGGACAGATCAAGGAAGCGATTACACTCCTAGAGCATGTTGTCAAAGTCAAAGAGGCAACGCTACCTCAGGACAATCTATCACGGCTAGTATCGCAACGTCAGCTAGCAGTGGCTTATGGTGCCAATGGACAGGCCAAGGAAGCAATTGCACTCCTAGAGCATGTTGTCAAAATCGAAGAGACAATGCTACCTCAGGATCATCTAAGGCGACTTGGGTCGCAATATGAGTTAGCAAGAGTATATAAAGACAATAGGCGGACTAAGGAAGCGATTACACTATTAGAGCACGTTGTTAAAATCGAAGAGATAACGCTGCCCCAGCAGCATCCATTACGAGTATTATCGCAAGAGCTGCTAGCAGTTGCTTACGATGCCAATGGACAAACCAAGGAAGCAATTACACTCCGCGAGTATGTCGTTGAAAAGCAAAAGATAACGCTGCCTTGGAACCGCGCAAAGCCACTTGGATCGCAAAATAAGTTGGCAGCAGTATATCAAGCCAATGGGCAGATTGAGGAGGCGGCCGCGCTAATGGAGCAAGTTGGCAAGCATCGAGAGACGACCGACGCAGGATGACTTCATTCTTGCAAAGTTACGGAGTACACCTCGCCTATCTAGTACTATATTAGCGAAAACCAGCACCAACTATAGGAATTTTATTGCGTGGCTGTTCAGTACGAAATGTGCATCGGTGGAAATGTGTCAAAACTCGCCCAGTGGAAGTCGTTCACTGACCAAGTAGACGACATGCGTTTTGGGAAGGATTACGATACTCGTATAAGCTTGTATTAATAAGTAGCATACGGAGTATATGAAACTATTACTTGGCAAGGTAGTTTGTATTAATTAATGTTCAATATTTTCCTCATAGACAAAATTTCAAGACATGCTTCGATATGTCTGAGTTTCAAGAAGCTTTAGCTTAGGTAGTTTATGGCATACGGACTCTCGGTTTTATTAGAGCAAGATACTTATTATTCGGCCCGCGCCCTTTCAGTCTTCATGTTAGTGAAAATGTGGACACTCTTCCCGCCTCTTAGAGCAGGTAGTACCTATAGCAAGGTTGAGATAGCCGAATAAGAATAAGCAAGGTTCGTGTATGGGACCGCGCTACTCACGGAGAGGCAGCCCATTAAATCCGAACGCAAACGAGCACTCACTTTTGCCTTTCTTCTTGCTTCGACATGTAAATAGGCGTTAGAAACGCCATCAAGAGAGAAACACCGAGTCAGCAGTCCTCAAAAAGGGTAATTCCATTCTAGTTTTTTCCGAGAGAGTGCTTATCGTGTCAGATTTCTCTCTTTAGTAGAAAAGTTAGCGGTAGCATCCCAAAATTTCCATGTATTGATAATCAGGGCAACGGAGATTCCGTGGGCGTTGAACTCTCGCTGCCCCAGCTTTTTCAGCTAGAGGCCAAACAGGCAAAATTCAAAGGAGAAGAAAAAAAAAAACTAAGGTTACGCTTTTGCCTCCCCAGTTGCTTTCGGTGCCGCATCGGCGAATTGAGATCTCGACGGCCAAAGGAGATCGGATGAAGCTGCCGCGCAGTGGATTCGAGCATGTAACGGAAATTCCCCTATGATTGCATCCTTTCGGGGAGTTTTTCTAGTATTAATTCCCGTTGTTGTTTTCTTTCTTTTCTTCTTTTTAGTATTCTTTTTGTTATCTTGTTTTTTTCATTCGCTCTGAGAATCCGCGCCTAATCTCGCTCGCTCCCTCCAACTTATTCGGCTCTGGATTGGATCGGATTTTGATGTCGCGTGCTCTTCGGTTCTGTCATTGATCTGTCTGCTTCACCATTACGATCCAAGTCTTGAGTGTGCTGGGGGAAAAGGCGATTCTGAGCAGCTGGATTAACACTTGTCTGTCGGACTGTATACCGCCACAGCGCTCCTTTTTGTAAAAGAAAGAAATCATCTTAGTGTCTAATTGACGTGCAAAACCACTCTCGTCTCTCCTACACTGCTTATAAGTCGCTTGGGTCTTTTGCTCCCAAGCAATCGATGAGGTCATGATGTCTGGCCCAGCCTCGGAACCAGAACCCAAATCGCTAGAGGAGATTTCCTCTACGACCCCTAACCAAAGCAGAGACGAGGGAAAGCATGGCCATCTGGACACGGAGAAGCCTGAATACTCGACAACTCTCTCAGACTCATCCGGGGAAGACGATGCCTCAACCATCCACCGCTCGGAACGAGACTTGCCGCTGTCTCGAGGCCAGTCCATGGCGCGAACAGTGTCCGAGGTGAGAGACGGCATCCAGAACCAGAGGGATCTGGAGCTGGGAGACGATGTCATCGAGAAATCGCCCACAGTCAGGGCCGATGACCCGAATTTGGTCAAGTGGAACGGCCCCGATGACCCGGAGAATCCAAAGAACTGGCTTCACAGCAGGAAATGGGCCGCCGTCTTTTGTGGTGCGTGCCAAATCCTCCACCGTCTTTTATATCATGAGGTTGCTAACGGTGCTCACAGTCTCTTGCTTCACCGTCATCTCGCCCATTGCCTCGAGCATGGTTGCTCCTGGCCTTCCCCAAATCAGCAGGGACTTGCATATTACCGAAGAGATCGAAAGCGCCCTCGTTCTGTCCATCTTCGTGGCCGCCTACGCCGTCGGCCCTCTAATATGGGGCCCCCTTTCCGAGCTGTATGGCAGAGTCATCATCATCCAGGTCTCCAATCTGTGGTTCCTCCTCTTCAACCTAGGCTGCGGTCTCGCTAAGACGAGTGCCCAAATGTTCGTCTTCCGCTTCCTCTCGGGCATTGGAGGATCCGCCCCTCTTGCTATAGGTGGTGGTGTGCTAGGAGACCTGTTTACCGCTGAAGAGAGAGGAAAGGCCATGAGCATCTACTCGCTGATGCCGCTGCTTGGCCCGGCTCTGGGGCCGATCGCTGGAGGCTGGGTCTCGGAGCGGACAACTTGGCGATGGGTCTTTTACAGCACCACGATTGCGTGTGGCATCGTCCAAACAGCGGGCCTCTTTTTCCTTCAGGAGACGTATGCACCAGTTCTATTGCAGCGCAAGAAGGCGGCCATGATTAAAGAGACGGGCAACACCAACCTCGTCACCGAATATGACGATCCAAACAAGACTCTTACCCAGACGCTGACAGTCGCACTGACTCGCCCGTTCCGCATGCTATTCACGCAGCCCATTGTACAGGTCATGTCTCTATACATGATGTATCTGTACGGCCTGACATACTTGATCCTCTCCACCTTCGCCAGCCTCTGGGCCACCGAGTATCACGAAAGCCCGGGCATCGCCGGCCTCAACTACATCTCTCTCGGCCTGGGCTTCTTCCTGGGCGCCCAGATCTGCGCGCCGCTACAGGACAAAATCTACGCTGCTCTCAAGAGACGCTACGTGCCAGACGGCGGCCCCGGGCGTCCGGAATTCCGCGTGCCGCTGCTGATTCCAGGGGCGATTCTCCTGCCCATCGGCATCTTCATCTACTCGTGGACCGCGGAAAAGCACACGCACTGGATCGGGCCCAACATCGGCGCCGTCGTGTTTGGCTGCGGCATCATCATCGGCTTCCAGTGCATCCAGGGATACATGGTGGACTCGTACACGCGATACGCGGCCAGTGCCGTGGGAGCAGTGACTGTTCTACGCAGTCTGGCGGGCTTTGGATTCCCCCTATTTGCGCCAGCCATGTATAGCCGCCTTGGATATGGCATTGGAGGGACGGTGCTGGCGGCGTGTGCGATTGGGATTGGGTTCCCGAGTCCGATCTTTTTGTGGTTTTTCGGGCCGAAGCTGAGAGCCGCGAGTAAGTTTGCGGCGTGATTGGGGAGGAGCTTATGAGAAATACAAAGGGGGGCGAGAAAACGAAGATGAGAAAGTGAATAATATAGTGGCACACGATGGGAAAAGTCAATATTGTGACGACAGGAACAGGTATGAGACACACGGGTTTAGAAGCATTCAAAAGTACTAGCATGGTTAGATTTCTATGTATATAATGTAATGACGAGTCCAAGAAATTCAAATCTCAAATTCTATACAATTTTTCTGTTGTATCTTTTCAACTCCCACAGTTCCTGTATCTTCATTCTAGCATCAGCACCCCTTTTCTTATCTAGTAGAGTAATCCAAGCAATTCATCACCTTATATCCAACCACTTTCCCTCTCTTAGACGGAGTAATCCATCTTCTTATCCCCAATAACACCCCAGAACTCCTCCACAAGCTCCTTCTGTCCGCTCGGCGCTCCCCTGACAGCAAGATACAACCTCTCATCCACCGAGGGATTCCATTGCCCAGGATTGCCGCCAGCCATGATACCTCCCGCCTCCTTGAGGATACACCATCCCGCGCAAACGTCCCACGCCCAGCACCCACCCTCCCAGTAGGCATCCATCTGGCCCGCAGCCACAGCAGCAATGTTCAGCGCCGCAGAACCCAGCGACCGCAGCGAGTGCACCATGGCGCCGCCCGTCTCCTTGGTGGCAGCAAGCTTCTTGAACACTTCCGTCTTGAGCTCGTAGTTTGGCCCGTCGCGGCTAGAGCCCCATTCGATGGCGAGGAGGGCATTGGCCAGGCCCTCGAGCGGACGCGGAGAGGCGGCGAGGGGCAGCTTCTGCGGGGTCGTGCCCTTGATACGGGTCATGTAAGCGCCGTGGGACTTGATTGCGGTGAAGAGGAGATCCTGGTAGGGGTTGTAGATGACGCCGATGACGGGCTCGCGGTCAATGGCGAGGCCGAGGGAGATGCAGGCGTTGGGGAAAGAGTGGACAAAGTTTGTTGTTCCTGAGAGACGTTAAGTTAGTTTGAGCTTGAAGTTGAATATGAAGTAAGATGCAATAAGGAATGGAGAAGTGAAGTAATAAATGACTGGAAATGGAGACAAGGCATACCATCGATGGGATCAACGACAAAGGTCGGCTCTGGCCCAAGTTTGGTCCCAGGCTTGTACGTCTCCTCGCCCATGAAAGAAAACTCGGGATACGCTGCCGAGAGGCGCGACGAGACCATTTTCTCGACAGCCTGGTCGACCTCTGTGACGATATCCACGGCTATATATCTCGTCCTCGCGTTAGCCTGTGAAGTGCAACTTGTCAAGAAGACGGGCTTCTCGTCACGCACAATTGAGCTTTGTTCCCGTGCCGATATCAGCTGGGTTAGCAGATAGGATGGTGCGTCCGGCCTCGTAGGCGACGAGCACCATTTCATCATGGATGGCCTGCAGGTTGATGTCCGCCATTGTGAATGAGTGAGATGAGCCTCTTTTCTCCGTCTCTCTCTCTCTTTTAGCACTCTTTTCTGTTGTGGTATCCGCCTATCCCGTCTTACAATGCCGTGTATATTATGAGTTAATGAGTCAATGGGGCAAAAAGAGTGAGAATGAGAATGAGAATGAGAGAAACCCGGTGCTGCTGGTGTGAGATGAAGCCGCGAAAATGAGGGCCGAGGAGCTGCCGCAGTGGGAACTGGAGGGGCAGCTTGGGATGACGCTCATGACGTGGGGCCGCTGGTTGGTGATGCGCTACAGAAGGACATTTTGCCTCAACAGCTTCAAAGTCAATAGAGAGGAAATAAAAAACATCCGTACATTTGGAGGCTTTAAATAGAGTAATTTCAGCAATGGTTTATACTTTACATTTTATGAAAAGCATCATTGAGTCAAGTGCACAACCAGAGGAAAAGCAAAGTTTGGCGTCTTCCAAAGAGAACAAATGTCATTCCGTGATGAGGAGAAAAGAGCTTCCCTCTCCATCCTATTCGTATGCAGTCATGCGTGTAATGCAAAGCTCCCGTTTTCCACATCAGAAATTAATCATAAAAAGAGTTAGGAAAGCAGACAATATAAAAGAAAAAGCCTCCAAGGTACCGCATCATGAGGTAAATAAAACAAGGTTGTCGTAAAAAAGCAAGCCACCCTCAACATACCGCCTTTTTTTTCTTTGTCCCATTTTCGGCCCCTTTTCTCCCTTCCTCCCCTCCTCCCATCAGCAGCTCTAGACGTCTTCTCGGAATATCGATCGCCGTTCGGCATGGCTACTGCCAGAACTGCCTGGTCGATCGCCCGTCCTATGTCCTGGTCCTCCCATGTCCATCGGTCGCGGACTGACGCCCCTGAGGCTTGCCTGCGCATCATCGTCAAAAGGGTTCTGACGGCGCCCAGCCTCGGCCGCCGTCGCCGCTCCAGCGTCTCTGCTTGGTCGGCGTCCTCGCTCAACGTCCTCGTCATAGCCTGCATGAGCCGCCGGCCCCGTGCCCAGCCGACTGCCGCCGTAGTTTGCGCCCGTGTACTCAGTGTGGCCTCCCAGCTCCTGTTCGTAGTAGCCGTATCCGTCAGCCTCGTTGCCCACGCGCGAGTCCCACGCATCGTCCGGGTCCAGTGGGCCAAAGCCGCGATTTCCGGGGCCGCTGCCGCTGTGCAGCGACTGCTCGTAGGCGCCCGCTGCCGACCGATCATTGCGATGCTTGAACTTGCGCATCACGTCATTGAACCAGCCGACGACGCCGCCGCGAGCCGGTCTCGGCGGTCCGTAGGGGGTGTCTGCCTTATGCCATGGCAGATACGACGATAAACTCGGAGGCGGGAGCTGTGCATTTCCCCATGGTTAGCCATACGGCATCAGATACCCTCGCAGCATTGCTGTTGTGCTGCCGTAGCTCCCGAAAGCTGTGCTTATCCATGGTTGCTATGCGCCACCGCAAAAACAAAACAAAGCAAAACAACAAGAGGCGCAAAGGAACAAAAGACTCACTCCCAATCTCCGCGCTCGCAGCTGCGTGAAAACAACCCATCCAACCGCCGCCGCCACCAAAATCACCACAATCGCGATGACGATGCCTCCTGCGGTGGAAACCATGATCTCCTAGCCTCGTATCGCCTCTGGATCTGCTTTCCCCCCCTGCCGGCGAAAAAAACAAAGAAGAACGTAAGCGTGCGAAGCGGTAAAGAGAGGCAAACAAATCCTCAATCGACAGCTCGATAATGCGCTCGAGAAAATCCGGGCATCTGCTGATGTCTGTTGTCGCTTGTCAACGCAAGAGATGCTGCCAGTGCTGCTTGGCTGTCTTTGCTGGGAGGAGCATTGAATTGAGTGCTCGGGTTTTGGGGTCTGGGAATGCTGACGTCGAGCGACTTCCGCTTTGGGCACCTTATCGCTGCTATCGGGGCCACAGATGCCTGTACTTGGTTCCTGCGCCTGGAATACAGTGGGCCCCCTTGCTGGTTTTAGGGACTAGCAGAGCTCAGTCATCCACTGCTATAATTAATCCGCCTCGAAAGGCGTTCAAAACGAGCCTCGTCGTGGCTCTCCAAGGATAAATAGTAAGCAAGCAGCAAACTACCAGGTGCTAATGAACTACTGCTACGACTAGGCAGATTGGAGCCGGCTATTTTTAGCCCGCAGCAGCTCACCTCTTCATGGCAATGGGTAATTTGCATCAACGTCTGTTCCATGGACGATTGTGGCCAAGCAAAATCAATGGATTGCCTCTCTATGGGGCGCCATGTGAGGCTTTCTTAAACCTGTTAGACCAAAGCTTGTAGTCTATTAGGCTTGCAAAGCTTGTAATCTACCTACTCCTCAATGCCAGCTTCTAAACTTTAATGCTGAAGATGATATAAGAAAAAACACCTAAAAATGAAAAGAAAAACAAAAACAAAAAAAAAAGCCAGTCATAAAAGGTATCATCTCAAAATGTTTCACGCATCAGCCATTGTATGGGCACTCGTTCCACAGCCCTCCGCTCCGCACAAATTTGAGGCTGTCAATAAAGCCGCTCAGCTTACACCGTCCAAATCTATCGGAATTGCACGTTCGCAGCGGAACCACTCGGTCGTTCAGAACCACCCGCACTAGCTCCTCGCTTGCATCGCTGCACTGCATCTTCTCCAAGTACATGCGGGCGCCAAATGGCACTGCCCAGGAAGCAGAAAATCCGTGAAGGTGGCGAGGCGACACCTTGTACTTGAGAGGCAGATCCATGGTTGAGTTGAACAGCCCCAAGGCCGCGAAAATGGAAGACATGGTGTTGTCGTGTGAGAAATCTGCATACAGCTTGCTATTCAGAGGGAAAGTCTCGGGCGAAGAGTCGAGCGTCGAGTTCGTCGTAGTGTCGTCGTCCACGGGCGTACCGGTGAGTCTGGAAATCAACTCGTTGCCAAATCCAACTCCCTGGGATGGCCCCAGAGGATTGCCCTTGCCATAGCCATACCATTTATCCAATGCCTGGAAATAGTCGTAGCTTGCCCACTCATCCATGGAGAAGAGCCTGCAAAAGTCGGACGCCGCCAGGCTGACGTTTGCTACTGTGTTGAACGGGCACAGATCCATCATATAGATGGTCTCAGTCAAGGTTAGATTTGCACCTGGCAATTTGCTATTGAGCCTCTTGTTGATGGCAGGCCCAAAAACTCCAAGCCAAACCTTCTGGTATGCATCCACGATCTCGGATGCAGGGCCCTCTTCAAAAGCAGGGCATGATCCGTGGTTCAGCGTGTTGTTAAACCCTTCGGCTTCGGGGAGCACCAGGATGCTCTTCACTGGGCTTGAAGTGCTGCGATCCTGAGCTCCATAGTATCCCTCGACGAATCTCTGTGCCGACACAACCACCCGATCAGATCCCGATGCTCGAACAAAGGGATCAAATTCAGAGGCCAGGTCCTGGTATCGCTGGAAAAAAACAACTCCAGAGTCAACCATCTGTTGCTCTCCAAATGGAGTGAGATCATCGGCGCCAAGGTGATAGTCGTAGTCTTTCAGGAATTCGTACCCTTTGCCGTAGTCCTTGACACTGCTCTGGATGCGTTGAATCATATTTCTATAAAGATCAGACTTCTTCCGAGTAGGCGCTCGTGCTCCGTGCCGTGACAAGATCTGAGCAAAAGTCACGTTACACCCGGATGGGACTGATACATCGATGGTAGAGGGGACGGAAAACACGGGCGAGTATTGGCCCCAAATATGTGATACATCCATCGTGCAGTTGCCGACTGCCTCGCAAGCTGAGCTTGACTTGGCTCGCCTTTCAACGATATCTAGGTTAGCACTTCTCCCTCAGATGTCCTCCCTTGTTTGGTGCTTCGATTCACGGCTTTGTGTTTTTCATACCCAAGTGAGACCATGGTCAGTAATATGGCAAAAAGCGCCATGCCTCCGAGCGACATTTTAATCAGTCTTGTCTGCCCCTGTGATGAAGATTCGTAAATGGACTGTCGCCGACTCAGCGTCCGTCGATTTAGCACCCCTAGCTCTGGCTCTGGCTCTGGGATCGCGCTGTATTTGTATGTGTCTCGCGACACAGCGCCCCTGATGGCGGCTATGATTCTAGGCGCAGGCATGATTCCGGAAGGTCGATATACAACATTAGACAACTACTCTTGGCAAGTCTTGCAACAATCAGCGTTGCGCAGCTCGGTCAACCGCGAGAGTATAGCAAGAGAAATCGTGTGCTCGGGACGCGGCAACGGATTGGTCGAGTCAACCCGCTCAGGCGCCAGCATCCAAGAGCGGGATCGTCAGTTCACCGTTCCCTTTGATATGGGGAAAAGGATGGTGGAATGCGACGCTTCGCTCTTGGCTTGGATGAGTTGGGAATAGTTGGGAATGGCTGCACTTGGCTGAGCTTTATTCAGTGCCTGGAGCTTAAAGGTGAAGGGTTGGCTTATGTAAGGTAATTGAGCTAATCAGGGCAGGTTACTCGACAATACTTCAGATCTCTGGCAATATGTAAGGGGGGTGAGGTACCTGCAGACAAAGTCAATTTATTGGTGGTCCTGAAGAAACAGAAAGTCAATGGAGCCGAGTTGAATCATGTGCTATACATGTTTTATCATCTAGTCTAGCACATTGCTTTCAAGGTTGCATTATCCACGCCACGCCAATGCAGCGCGTTACAGCCCAAGGCACTGTTCGGCACTTTGGGTTGGGCACTAACACGCAGGTGCCGAGTGTCTCTCTCTCTCACGAATAACAGCAAAACACTTGGTGTAAGTATATGTTAACAACCAAACTCAGATACACCAAAGATGAAGCCGTTACTCCTCTCTCCATCAATCGCTTCATTACATTTGTATATATTTATTTCCTTTGTTTTAATTTTCACTCCAATAACGCCCAAAGTGATCTTTTGGATGTCGCTCAGCTGCATCCGTCACTTGTCATCTCCAGTGGTATAATCCATGGGTGCATTAGACCCATTCCTTTCTATCCCAGCCCAGCCTATACCAGGCCTGCCCTCATTCATTACCCTCCAATCATTCCACGTGGTCTATAATATGTGGTCCAGCACATGAGTAATATGTATATACATTAGTAACATCGCGCATTTATGTACGAGGCCCGCCCTGTCACATCGCGAGGCCAACATTCGCCGCACTCGACCCCCGGATGCTGTTTTTCCCAAATGTGGCGCTTCTGTCGAGAAAAACGTCATCTTCTTGCCTAGATGGAGTGCTCTGCGGTGACCAGGCCGTTGGCACACTGCGGTCTCCATCATACATCGACCAAGAAGACGTCGTATCAAAAGTGTCGGTGCTTCGCCTGTCCGGCCGTCTAGGCGGTGTTACGCACTGATAGTATCCTTCATTTCCTTTGAGAGGACGCGGGGCATTCGTAATAGAGTCTAGGCTCTGATTTCTGGCCCGCTGCGGCCCCTGAGCCAGCAAAGTAGAGAATCGCGAAAATGACTTCTTCTTCCGTAGTGGCGGTGGTGTTGTTAGTGGTCGGAGCCTTAGGGGGAGCGGCGGTGGAGGCGACGGGGGAGGTTGCTCCTCTCGCATCGGCTGTGAAAACTGCGTACTATTGAGCGTTTCCTCGTACTCTTCCAACTGGCTGATGTGCATAGAGGCTGTCACAGGCCAGGCGTTGGGCAGCGACACCTTTGTGTTTAGGCGCTCAGCAAATGAAGGCGCCGCTGGTGGCAGCGCAGGAAGAATAGGAACTTCCGCCGCGTCTGCACAAGTACCGGATAAGCTAGGGAATTTTGTAGGGAGAGCGGTTCATTCAGTAAGCTTACCAGGCAAGGTGCGAGCCATTGAATGGGCTGTTGATGGTCTGCTCGCTGTGTAGAGACTTTGTCGCTCGATAATGTCGTTGATCTTTTTTTGCAATTCCTCCACTTCATTCATGGCAGATGCCACTCGTTCTTTAATCGTCTCCATATCAGACGGCGTATAAGTGCGGGTGCGAGTCTGTTTATCGGAAGCGAGGTTCAACGGTGATACCTCTGGGCTGCTTGATGATGAGGGAGGGGCAACACCCTTTCGAGGAATGTGAAAGGATGTCGATGAATGGCTTCTATCATGGCGAAGTGATGGGTCATCGTAGGGCCTGCCCGGAAGATGGACCAGAGATGGCGGTGTCATCTCATTAGGAAAAGTAAAATCTGGAAGTATTGGCGACAGTTCTTTTCCTGAACTTAGAATGTTTAACTGCAGCGGCTCAAAAGGAGTCTCAGGTGTGTCCGGTGTCAAAGGGCTCTCCCATGGGCGATTTGGTCTCTGAGCGGGAAACGGGAATTGGAATGAGCCGGAATCGACATGTCGGAATTCAAATGGTGCTGAGATTTGCAACCGAGGTCGTGAAGCGTCCGTCTGCGCTCTGCTTCGCGAAGAAAAGCTTGGCTGACTTGATGCGAATGTTTTTTGCACTTTTTGCCTCCAGCTAGGCCGGGAGAGCTCAGCCTCTGGAATGGCCATTGGCGGCGGATGAGATGCTGGTTGATTGCTGATAACAGGGCAGAGGCGATTATTGTCGGCTGAGGTCTATCCGTAAGTGAAGGTTCTCGAACTATCTCCATACCCCAGCAGCGAATGCAGTGAGAGAGAAAGAGAAGGAGACAAATAGAATTTTTTTTTAAAAAGAAAACATACGACGCAGAGGTCTCTCGTCAATACGAAAAGCCACCGGTTCCCAGCACGTGAAACAAGTCAAGCATGACGCATATGCTTCACCAAAAACACCCGTCGAAGCTTTCATACTGGGGAGAAGAAAGCAGCCTCATGCCGACTGGGCCGGCAAATAACTTTTTAAAGTAGGGGAGAAAAAGCGAATGAAAGACCGTCCAGCGAGCCGATGACATAAAAAAAAGAGGGCAAGGTAGATCCGGCACCCCGACTGGAAAGTTCAAAAAGAGGGCCGGGTGAGCTCGTAAATACTACTTCGCATCTGCAATAGCGCAGCTCACCCGACCAGGAAACTGGAGCCCTTTGCTCGCCAGTTTCCAGCAACCAAGAACACCTCGACAAGCCTAATCAGTGGCGGCTGAGCATCGTTGATGGTGAGCCAGCAGTGCCGAGACGGTGATAGGCTGGGCCGCAAAAGAGACCGTCCAGTCGGCGCGTAGAACGCTGGATTCGGATGGCTGGCGCTACCCACAAGATTGCAGGATCCACAGACGGCGTCAGACGGCCGGGCTGGCACAGCGAGTCGATGTCTTGCATTCGCCACGGATTCTTTCGTGGCTTTGCTCCAGATGGTCCGAGGAGGGGTCGCGTGGGCTGCCAGCATTGGCCAGCCATGGCAAGCTCGGGTTCCCCTGGTGGCCCTGGTTAGAGATGCAGCCGTCATGGGCGTCGCCTTTGTCGTCTAGCGTTTGCATGTTTCGTGAACAAAGGGCGGCCATGTGAAAAGGGAAACGAACCCAGGCGAGATGCGAAACCAACAGAGCGCCACGCAGCCGAATCTTGCCTCATCCGGACCATCATTTTGCTTCTTTGGGCCGTCGACGCTCGATTGGCGCGCGCTCTTGACCGTTTAATTTCTCACTTCATTTCTCTTGTTGCCATCCAAGGAAATCAGCAGTGTTCCAGCCAGCGCTGACACACCGTTGTTGCGGTTTCTCAAACTGAACGGGCCCTCCACATTCCGAGAAAAGAAGTGCCTATCTTTAGCTCTTTAGCACCTGTTGGATATGATCATGATGACATGGGCAAATGGGCAACGCAGGCACGCAGATATGGTGTGAACAGCTTCGTGACTTGACTCGAGACTCACCACCTGACGCCCAATAAAAGAGACGGTCATGTAATACGGTTCTGCTGCGGCCAGTGGCGTGGGGAGACGAGAGCAGGGCCGCGGCCAACAGAAAGCGAGCATACGAGCGAAGCCATCATGCATGTCTCAGTTTCTTCCACACTTTCCGGAGGAAGCGCACCTATGCCATGCCTGTTATAATGCCACGACCTTGCTATTTTTTGGTTTGATTTTTTATTTTGTCTCTTGTCTTAGAATAGCCTTGATGGTGGAGACGCAGCCATGTGAAAGAAGAGCCAGAGAGACAGCAGGTGAGATTGCTGTGCCACAAAACGAAGCATGGATGGCTTACAGCACCTTACTGTAGAGGCACAACAGCACAGGAGGTACGTACCGACCTAGTACCCGTACTAAACCTTTTTACTCGTAGCCGTAAAAGTCCTTCCGCAGTATAACCGATATCGCATGCGACTCCGTAGCGTACGATAACCTTGCCAGGCTTGCCTATCCTGGACGTGTGTGAGGCGGTAAACCCTGGCAGTATACCAAAATATCTGAGACTTCTACGACGACGGGAAGACGCACATCGGCCGCTCAAGCTAGACGAATCCGCCGAGGCTCTTCAAGATGGGGAAACGAGCTTCAATCGATGCCGACGGAGCTGCCGCGTTCCGAAAGCGCCAGAAAATCACCCACGATGTTCCCACTGGCGAGGATGTGAGCTCTGGAGAGCAGCTCCGAGGCCTGCTCTCGTTCGACCAAGACATGCGCCGAGCAAGACATGGTGAGTTTGGAGGCCTGTTTCGCAAAGAATGCGTCCACAATTGGGAATTCAGACAACTGATGGCTCTCAATCAGGCCTGCAATCGTTCAAGAGGCTTCTTGACAACATAGTCTCCGGTGATGGTGATCGATCCGCGAATCTCGGCATTCTACGAGAATATCTCGAATTAGTCAAGCCGAGGCTCGAGGGCGAGGATGCCGTCTTCCTGAGTGACATCATGGAGATGTGGTCATTTGCTGCCCAGGTGAATGAGGGCGGCGTCATGTCCTCTGTGGCTGTTGTTCTCGCCCTCGTTCTAAATGTCGTCTCGGATTCATTGGAGCTCGTCAAGCACGGGCTTGGTATCTGCCAGTCGCTTGTCCAAGATCGTCAACTCAAGTCAATATCGAAGAATTTGTCCTCAGACAAGACGAAAGGCTTCATCATATCACCCACACTGCGCCTGCTTCGAGAAGCTGTGTCTCTGGATGGGGGCGCCTACGCAAGACGGATAGTTCGCGCCAGAACCTTTACTTTCGCGTCGCTTGGCAGGAACTTGGAGATTGGCAACACCGGAGACAACCAAGGAGACTCTCGGAAAGCGTCAGTGAGAACAAATGCTGTTCGATTCTTCTTGAGCTGTCTCAAATACTTGCACTCTGACGGCCGAAAAGAGCTACTCACTCAGAAAGAACTGCTCTCGCATTTGACCTTCATGATCAAGAGCGACCCTTCATCCCTCGTCCTGGAGATTTTGGATGGCTTGAAGTCTCATGTGTTGGCGGACAGCAAGATCTCCCGAGAGATCAAATTCAAGTGCTTCAACACCAAGACGTTGATGCGAATTTTGGCTCTCTATAGCTACTCTAATAGCACAGAGTCAGAAAGCGAGGTCGAGCGAGTCAGCCAAAGAGCTCATGAGTTTCTCATGTACGTCTGCACCAATCCGGTTGCTGGAATCCTATATCCTTCCACGGGTCTTTACCCCAAGGAGACGAATGAGGAGTTTTCGGTCCAGCTTGCCAAGCAGAAGGGTTCAGCGCATAGCGTTGTGGGCAAAGATGATACATATCGCGATGGAGTACCCGTTTTCAATTTTGTCCTTTCCGAATTCGCGGCAAAGCTGCGTCCTTGGTCGAGCATGAAGCACAGCCAGCTATTGACGGCGATATTCGAAGCCGCTCCGGAACTCATAGCAAACTACTTCTTCAATAACCAGTCATTCACTTTTGAACCAAAGTTGACGATGACCTGGATCGGGTATGCATCGTTTCTCTTCGATACGATGAGGATCCCACTTCCCGCTTCGTTTGGTGACAAGACACGCTTCGCTCTTGGTCCTCCTCCTACATCTGTCCTCCTGGATAATATTTTACCACTACCGTTAAATCAAAAGGTCATGATTCGGTGCCTTTCGCCCAACTCAAACCTAACATCCTTCTTCGCGACAAGGATGCTGGTCGAAGCGCTGGAAAAGCTGTCCGTAGCCATCAAACTGCATGAAGAAGGCTTCCGAGCAACAGACGCTCGGTGGTCCGAGGCAGCTCGAAGGTTAATTGATGCTTTCTGCAGACGCATCCCAGACATGAAAGAGATTGTGCGAAGTTATAAGGCCATTCCCAGTGAGAATGCGTTACATAAAACCATGGCAAGTAGGCTTCTTCTTCTGTATTACGAGATGATTCCACAAGTAGCGCTGGCTGCAAACTTTGATGTCTCGCCCTTTTTTGTCAGCGTTCTACGGAGTTTACAGGATGGCAATTCCGATCAACAACACGATGGATTCCGTGAGATGGAGCTAGAGAATCTGGTGTCGATGGCCAGTTACTCTCCCGGCATGCGATGGTTTGCGAGAATTGAGATTCTCACCGGCAAAGGCCCATCATCGCCATTTACCGCGCTTCTTAAACTTCTTTCCAGCAGTGATCGAACTGCACCCCTTCATCAGTTGAAAAAGGTGCTTGGCGATGTCGCTGTGGAAAATCAGCTCGTTTCCTCGGCTACCAGACTGAAACCTCTTCTTCAAGCCCTTGCATTGAGCATAAACGAAAATAGCCCAGAAGATATGGACAAAGTTTGGTCTTTCCTGGATAACTGTATCAGCCGCTGCGCCACTTCGCCAATCAAATATCTCGACGTGCTCGAGAACTATCTTGTTGACGGGAAGGATGACACAAAAACGGTCACTGATGACCGCAGCTTCAATCTACTCGCCGTCGCTATAGCAGAACAGCTGCCCTTCATCATTAAGTCAGCAGATGCTCAAGAGCGAACTTCATTATCAAGTTTCATCTCTCTATATTTCAGTGCATTATACAAGAAAAAGGGAAGCGATGCTCTTAAACGAGTCTACACAAATATCGAGGAGTGCTTCTCTTCTCACTCCGTCAAGCTCGCAGGTTTGGGAACACGAAAGATACCAAGAAACTCAACTGGTGGCAACCAGGAGGGCGAAGAAGACGACCAAGAGGAGACAGGAGAAAGCGCTCAACAGAAAGAATCCGGATTGGACCAGGCAAAGCTTGAAGAGGCGCTGCACATTCCATTTTCAAGCTCAGAAGACACTGGCGTGCTTCTCAAGTGGCACTCTAAAGCCGTTGAGGATCTGATTGAAGATGGGTTGATTACAAGCTTGATCCGTCTCCTGGCGTCCGAGCACATCAATATTCGCAAAGAAGCCTTGACAAACATCCTCAAGATGGCCGTGAAAATAGACGAATCGGCATACGAGGAGAAGAAGCAGATCTGGCTGCTCCTCTCCGAACTGGCCGAATCGTCGCGGCCGCAGGTCGACAATGGCCCCGTGCCATCAGCATTCATTGCCTTTTCCATCCACGCGCTCGACATCCTCAAGAACCCACTGCATCCGCTCTATCCAAAGGTCAACAGCTTCCTGACACGCAGCCCCGTCTGGTCGCCCGAGAAGCTGCCCTTGGCCCACGACATCCTACATGGAGAGCCCTCGGAGGACGACAAGTACTACACCGAAATCGCCTGGTTCCTGACGTACATGCTCGACGCCCTCAGGACACCCTTCGACTTGGGTGTCTTCCACAAGAAGCGCTGGCTCGAGAAGATGCTCGCCCTGGGCAGTAACCCATACCTTCGCTCCAACCTTCGCATCCGCATCCTCAGGATCGTCTATCGTGCCACGTGCATCGATTCCGGCAGCACTACGCTGATTACCAGGTTTGGCCTCCTCACATGGCTCGACGCACAGCGAGCTGCATGTGGCGTTTCCGACGACGCCCACCTTTACAAGGCACTGATGGAGCGGGCGTGGATAACGTGTGATCAGACGAGAGTCAACGCTTGGAGTAAAGGAGGGGTGGAAAAGCTTTTGGGGAACTTGCAATTGCATCAGTGAAAAGAACGGGCAACTTGAAATTTCCCCCGTTCGTTATTTTGTCATGTAACATAAGATGAGATACCCAGACGGATGATGGCCTCCGTTGAGTGTAAATAGAATGGATAGAATTGAAGCCATGCTTTGGATTGTTCATCTTACAAGTACTTTTACCAGTATGCGTTTTAATACCGATACTTTGACTTCGTGGAAGTGAGATAGCTAATCACTTAATATTAGAGAATGAGTATCTATTCAACCGTTACTGCTTTGTTCTAACTAATAAAAGACATTGCCATCTTTACTAAGATATACCGCCACAGGCACTGCTAATCATTACACTGATTACAAGTCATGACAATTCTGACATGTTACCCACAGTCAAATGGGAACGTAACCAGAATGCCACCTCGAAGGCATATAAATTCAGCCCTCCATACTGCCAAACTAAATACGAGATTGATCAACATCTTCATGATCCAAACAAACGCCCACTTTCTCTCCAGCTATTCTCTAACTTAATCTCAATGGCCGAGAAAAAAGTCACTACCGTCATCGGAGCCGCCGGTGCTCAAGGAGGCGGCGTTGTTACAACTTTCCTCATTGATCCAGTCCTGAACCAAGAGCGGATTGTCCGTGCAGTGACTCGTGATCCCACTAAAGAAAAGGCTCGAAACTACGAGGAGCAGGGTGCAGAGGTTGTTGTCGTAAGCAACGTACTTGATCACACGTTGAAACCCGGCTATTGATCACTTGGTTGGTTCTATGAAGCACAGTCATATATATCTACCGAGAATCATGTTCAAGTAACCAACGGCACAATTCCCAACGTCCACCACTTTGACGGTAAGGCTGAAGTCGAGGAATATGCCCGCAGCACCGGTATTCCAGCCACAGCACCGATTCCCGTGTTTGACGTGCTGAGGCCGGCCTCGGGTATTTCGCCTTTGAGTCGTTGTGCGAGAGTCTAGCAGTTCTTGAAGACGAACCAACACCTTTGGCCAAGTTTCTAAAGCAGTCTCCAGCATTCAAGAAAATCAATCATATTCAATCATATAGAACGCTATAAGAGACGGGCTACGAGCAGCAAAGTAATAGATAGTCACAGTCAAAAACATATTCGATTACTCAGAAACTCCAACATGCGCTCATACATATATACATACAAGGCTCGTTCCCTCATCCATTCTAAACCTAGAAACACCAAAAATTATGAAAATAAAAACCCGTACGATGCATACAACGTTCTCGCTTCTTCTCCAATCTTTCGCTTCGAATTTTCGCTTCGTCTGGGCCAATCGAGCCAAATGACGAGAAAGTGAATGTGTGGGAGGATTTGTGACTGATTACCCTGTTGGATAAGAAAAGCAGCAACCCCCAGTTAAAAAGAAAAAAATCAGAAACCCCTTCATGATTAAAAAGCTATTTGTGGATCGGATGTTGTCATGGTCATTGTTGTCACCGCCGCTCCTTTGATATGTTTTTTTCCTTGTACTACAATTGACCAGAGAGGAGAGCCTCAGTAGCTACAGTAGAAAAACAAATTAGTTAGCCGATCTGATAATACATAAACGGGGAAAGGAATGTTGAACTGCACGACATACCGCTATTAATGTAAGCTCTCTTCGCATCAAGAGGAACGTCGAAGCGGCGTTCCAATTCCTGCTTCACGCCCTTCTTAGTGACGGTCATCAGATCTGCCGTCTTCAAAATCTCGCGAATTTCCGCCAAGATAGCATCATCGCTTGGAAGGCCAACCATGTCCTCCGGAGAGAAAAACTGCGATCCACCATACTGGCTCATGCGGTTCATCTCGGAGGGCGCCATGGACATGCGGGACATGTTGCGGGTTTCATAGGGCTGAGCGTGAGTTGCTGCCTGAATGAAGCCTGTTGTAGAGGCGGGCCGGCTGGGATAGGCATACTCTGACATGGCGCCGTGAGCCTTAGTTCCGTAGCTAAAGCCAGAGACCTCAGACCGCGTGTCATCTCGCGAAGTCTGCGTCTCCCAGAGCTCGGCCTGGTATTCCTCCCACTTCTTCTTCGGGATAGATGAAGGATCGAATTTGCCTTCATCCGAGATGAGGACCTTCTTACCGTCTTCGCCAGCAACAACACGCGTATTACCCCATGCAAAGTCATCCATGTTCCAGAAAGCATACAGAGGCAGACCAAAGCTGAAGACGGGGATGGCAATAACATAAAGCACCATCCAACCAACCATCTCCCACTTTCGACGGAGGATGAAGATGATAGCTTGGAGACCATAAATAGCACCCAGGAGAATGAATGCTGTGACGGGGACGACATTGGGATTCTGCACCACGCGCACAATCAGATAGACAATATAGGCGACCGTCACGGGCTGAACAACAGTACTGAGCAAGTCGACAAAGACGACAAAGCGCATACTGAAACAGCAGAAACCGCAGAGCTGGGACAAGGGGATGAGCTCAATCAGATTGTGCACAGTGGAGTTGATCCAACGACGTCGCTGAGATAGGAAGACGCCCCAAGAGTCGGGAGCGATGGTCCATGCGTGAGCAGTGAAGATATACTTTGTCTTGTATTTGGAGTGGAATTTCAGCAGTAGGGTGGTCAGGAAACGATCTTCACCTAGATGAAGAAGGTTCTTCATGTGCAGCGTATCGACACGGATAGTGGAATACGCCTCAACGACTTCCTTGCTCACGAAGAGGGGTTTACCCGTCTCCGCAGCACGGATACGATACATAGAGAAACAACCGGGCAGACAGGTGACGGAGCCGAACAAACTCTCAAAGGCCTTTGACAGATTGTGGGAGATGTAGTACTCGTAAACCTGAATCATGGTGATAAACGAGCCCTTGGCGTTGGTCAGAGCAGTTTCACCGCACACAGCAATGATGCTAGTATCGTTGATAAGCGACGCAACCATGCGAGTGGCGGAATCCGCAGCAACCACTGTATCGGCGTCGATCTGGAGCATGAATTCGTAGAAAGCGGGGTTGACACCAATGATGTTGCGTATCTGGTGGTACATTTCAAGCTCCATCGGGCTCATGGGCAGATTGTAGTGGACTCGGTTGAGGAATCGCATGACGACCATTTGAGAGTCTCGCTTACCACGGTTGCCAGGGCGAGAGACCTCGGACGGCTTGCCGATCTTTACAATGACCAAGAAGGGAACAATGTGGCCTTGGACTTCGTAGAGACCTGAGTATACCTTGCCCATGTTGTGCTGCTTCAGACCTTCACCAAGCGACTCGAAGCTGAGAGGTTCGGGATCGACAGATTCGGACACACCCAGAATGTCCAGAACAATTCTAGGCGTTGGCCTGTCGTTGCCCTGACCGATAATCATGCCGTCGCAGACAATAACCAACAACTTGCGCTTGTCATCATACTTCATTCGCGCAGCTGAATCGATGGCACGTCGCAAAGATTCCTCGTCCTCAGTGTAGGCGGGAATCTGGCACATGATGAATTTATCGAGGTCTTCAGGGGCGTTTTTACCGCCAAATTGCAAAGCAGCGAAAAACTTAAATCCAATGACTGAGCAAAGCAAAATAGAGATGGCAAGAATAAGATACTCTGCAAACTGACATCGTACAGAGTTTCTGGTATCGACATCACCAACGTAAAACAAGTTGTCCAGGCAACGCTTCATCCGGGTTTTGCTAGTAGCATCCAGCGTCAGAGAGTTCCAGTACTTGGTGATGTCCTGACCAGGGTTCGTCTGGAAAAGGGATGCGACAGACGGGTCCATGAAGTTGGTAAGGCTATTGTTGGTCGGCATTTTTTCTCCAGGAGGAACGCGCAGGTGGCGACCACCGGCAAGATAGGTTGTCATGTCGTAAACCTTGCTATCCAAAATTGCAATGTTTTGCGCCTGCTTGCCGAGCGACTTCACATATTTGGCGGTGTAGCCAATGTTACCCTTCTTGAAGTTTGACTTTAGATAGTACATTTGCTCATAAAACCAGTCTGGTCTGCTGTCATTGGTGAAGTAACGGAAGTCGTGGTACTTGGAGTTCTGGTCCGTGAGGCTGAGAAGAGCAGGAGATCCGGTAAAATTCGTCGTCTTGTAATCCAGAGTGACGGCCTTGTTGATTGCACCGTCCACGCCGTCACAAAGAGCGGATACCTGGACGGGGAAGAGGCTGGTGATGTCCTTGCCGGCATAATTGAGAAGAGACTGCTGCTTCAGGTAATTCGGGTAATGGGAGGGGATGAAGGCTCCCAAGTCAATCACAATGCCACGAATAGCAACGTACGCACCCTCGCTCTTGGCCTTGCCATCGAAAGCAGACAGCTCCTGAGCACTGTAGACGTGCTGGGTAGGGCAAATGAGCATGGGGAAGACGACGATGAAGAAAGCAGCAACACAGCAAAAGAACCAAATAAGAAAGTTGATGGCAAGCTTCTCACGCCATGCGATGCGCACATCTTTTCGGGGCATCCGACCAATCAACCTAATGAGAAAGTCGGGAACGAACCAAGTGAGAGCGTACACAATGAACAGCCAGCGCTTGCGGCTTGCGCTGTCCTTGTATTCTTCAACCTCAACCAGGGCCTTTTCATTGCCTCTCTCGGCCATCTGCTCGCGGGTATCAAGATTCTTAAACATATCTCCTGCACCAAACGCCGAGGCACCCGCCTCGGAGCGAGTATCATCAGCAACAAAGTATCCACTCTTTCCCTTCTCACCGTAGCCCATAGGGGTGTGCCCAGCAGACAAGAGGCGCTCCTTGGAAGCGCCAAACGCGTGATGATCGCCAGGTGTGAGGCCATCTCCCCCTTCGCTGTCAAATGCCGACATGGCACCCCGGCCAGATGCCGAGCTGGAGAAGGACAGCTGGGCAATTTCTAGCCAGCAACGCTCGCTCAAGAAGACACCGGTGGCACCAACAGAAACTTCATTACGCGGCCATTGCCTCTCATCGATTGCAGCCTCCGCCCGCTCACGCTCGCTGCCCACAAGCAGAGCCTCGCTATTCGCCATGCCCAAAAACTCGCCAAAAGGCACGAACAAGCTGAAATCAGCCGAACGCAGACGCTGGCTGATTTCGGCAATGCCAAACGTTTGGATCTGCGTTCGCACACACTTACTGTCGAACTGATTGGCGATGCGGCGGTCATTGGGCTTGATACAGAAGAAGAAGTAGGCATTGGTGGCCGGGTCCGTGACGGCTTTCTGCACGTTATCGAGAGATGAAAGGAATTGGCCAGAGGCACCTTGTTCTGACCCTGCCTTTGCCGCCCCTCGCTTGGGCTCACGCGAGTCGCTGCTCTGTGACATTGCGTCAAAGTTATCTTGCGTCTGGCGGCGGCCGGCGGGATTGGGCCTGTTGGGGCGGGCACCCTTGCGCACCATAACACTCGGGGCACGCATAGGCTTTGAGCTGATTGTAGCCTGCATCACAGTTGTGCGCTCCTGGGGGTGGGTGACGGTCTGCAGAGCTTCTTGGCCGAAGAGCTTGGCCACGAAATCCGATTTTGTGCTGTTCATCATGTTCATGAGATCTCCAGAGATGATCTCGCCGTTTTCTTCAATCAAGCCCCTGACGGGATACTCGACTTCTCCGGCGAAATGCTTGACTGTAAAGCTTGCGGCCAGGTTCTCAGTGTGAAAGTTGCTACCTGGCAGCTTGGCGGTCGCGGAGCCAACCTCGATGGCAGGGTTCTTTCCCTCAAACCGCTTGCGTAGGCTCTCGAGTAGCTGCATATCAGTCCTGTTTCGACGGGTCTGATCATCGAGAATGCTCAGAAGGCCATTTCCAGGCTTCAGGAGACCCTTGACAGCATCACTATTGTCGAAATAGCTCGTTGCGGACACGGTGACTTCCTCCGTCTCTAGCATTTCAGCCTTGCGATCAAAGAAGTTATGGAGAGTCATGTTGTAGATGGCCTCATTGGCGGCATTGGCGAGGAGTTGATCCAGAGCCGACCCCGTGGAAGCCGCCTGCGCGAAACCGGGGAAGTCAACAATGGAGATGGTGTTGGCAATGCTCTCCTCGGGGGCGCAGAGACGCTGGTTCATATTTTCGACGATCCAGGTGACTAGGAGCGAGTAAAGAGTCCTAGCCAGCTCATTCGCGTGGGCGCGGGCACCGTTGGGATCGAGCATGACGGTAACGCGCTCCTTGTGAATCATCTTGGTCTTGTAGCCCAAAGTGGTTTGGAGCTCAGAGGCGTTAATACCGAGGAAGGCAGCAATGATGGCCAAGACGTCCTTATTCTTCACAGCAGTGAAGGTGGTACCTCCCTCATGAGAGAAGCCGCCACTATCATCACCAGTTGCGCTGGTGCTGTTGGAAGTCTCGAATTCCAGCTGGCCAATATGAAGAACAGTAGCGAGAATTTGGCAAATCTCGGCAATGTCATTCTTGGGGAACTCGAGCTTTCTCATTGCGGTCTTGAACAGCTGAAAGCCCTCGGCGTCATTGATACCCACCTTGAGCTGGGTTGGATGCCCAAGAAACTTCCACCTCTTGCTGCCATTGTCATTTTCGAATCCCAGATGACCCCTCTCAGCCTCGCTTGTGCCAGCCACAAGGTAGTATAGGACGTGGAAGTTGCGCTCGCCAGTCGGGACATCGGTGATTCGGCTCCTCTCCAAACGATGGTCGAGCACTTTACCACCAATAAGGATGGGATTTGTAGACGCCGAAGTGTCGTATTGCAGCTCGTAGAACAGACCAGCCCTTGAGGCAGTTGGAGTGGTTGCGGTTTTTGTAGTCGTCAGTGCATCGAACACGTATGCGGCAAGCGAGAGTTTGGTCGACAAGGGAGTGGATGATTTCTTGAGCAGAGCCGTAACGAAATGGTTGCGGAGCGTCGACTTTCCGGAGCCAGATTCTCCCCTAAACAACATACGCGTTAGAAATTGAGTTACACATGACCGAGTTCGAAAGGGGTAGCAAGAGAATTAGAGCTTTCAGGCTCTGTATCTATATCTTCTTCAAGTTGTCCTCAAAAAAACAGAGCTGGGGTGATATAAAATGGAACAGAACAGAAAGAAAAAGCAAATGGGTCTTGAGCTCAGCTTACAGGAAAACAACGGCTTGGTTTTCAGATCGGTGGCCAAGACGCAGGTATGCACGGTCAGCCACGTCCTCAGCAGCTGCCATAGAGCTGCCATCTCGGCCTCCATCAGGTCCCTTTGTCGACGATGTAAATGTGTTTACGGCGACCACTCCATGGGATGAAAGATAGGTGGCTTGGAGCTGCAGATGGAATCGACTGGCGAGATGGGCCGTTATCTGCGTGTCGGACTGGGAGTGTGCGGGCAATTGAGGGAGAGAATGCTGCGTGTGAGCCCCTCCATTGCCCGCCGAAGTAAGAGGCAAGCTCATGCTACCCCAAATGATGGACTGAGAATCTGAAAGGAAAAAAATGCCAACTCGGTGGCTCTACTGCCGCGCAGGCGAAGGCAAGCGGACGGTCCGCGGCAGGTTGGAGTATTATGAAATCGCTGTAAGAAGAAATCCGCGAGATACGTCTAATGGATAACGAATGTGGTTAAAGAAGCATGGGAAAATCAAAAAAACGCAGCGAAAGCCTCAAACAGACCGCGTCGAAGTCAGGCAGATGAGTTTGAAGTTATTTTCTTGGACGGGTTGGCTGAACGGCGGGAAAGGGGCCCGTGGTTTCTTGCTTAGGTACTCAACTCCTGCCCATGCAAGCACCGGACTGCAGACATACAGGTGTGATGGGCCAGCTACTGTACGAGTTCCAATGTTAGCAGCAAGTACCCAGAGGTACTGCCTAGGCGGTACTCCTCCAGGCGCTGTGCCTGAATTAGGTACTCAGTAGGGCGCCACTGCTGCGAGCGGCAGCGAAGGGGGCGTGACAAGAGTGGTGGCTTTGCGGACAAGTCCGTTGGGCGCAGAGAATACGAGCGCAGTTTGGACTTGTGCACCCCCCTTTCAGCGAATGTTGTGCCCACCCGCACTTGGAGTGGTGACTTGCGGGTACACGCAAAGGTATTATTAGCATTCGTGCGGCGAGCACAGCCTGCCCTGCTGAGGCCCCATCGCTGCATGCATGCCTGTCTCCTGGTCCGAGTCCCCGCTGTGTCCCTGTGTTTAGCTGTGTGCGCGTGTGTGTGCGTGTGAATGCAAGCATGTACAGGGGGTGAAGTGGCCGCGACTTGGGAGGTACATCAGAGACATGCGTGCATCCGAGGCCTGGTGGAGCACGGAGTACAGGTGGGAGGTTGGAAGGCAGCAGGTACTTTGCGGGTTCTCTCGTGGATGTCGATGCCACCATGTGCAGGAGATGTTGTGGGAAAGGCAATGTACCGTTCGCCCGCAACGGAACCGTACGCGGAGTGTGTGGCGAATGGGACTTGCAGGCCGCGAGGAAAGATTACCTTAGTACATGTACGAGTACTCGTATACCAGCTGTAGAAAAAAGGAGAATGGGAGAATGAATTGAATGAGGCTGTTATAAATGGCAAGAAGCCGCGATGCTTTCGCTCCGCTTCAAGCGTCTTTTAGCATGTACAGCACCAGGTATGTAGATATGTACTCCCCAAGTCTTCGATCAAGGAGCAGCTAATGCGGTCATTGAAGGTGTCGCTACCACATAATGAATCTGATTGATGGCCTGTGCACTTGGCATCTGCCACTACCCAAGCAAGCCAAGTCCTTCGACCTTATCTTTGGCCACACTTTGAAATCTTGCTTCACTACTTTATTTTAGTCCAGAGTTCGTCACGGCTACTCACAATCCGCTGAACCTTAAGGCACATCACGTTGCCCGCACATGACAGCCAACGTGGAACATGGAAAACTTCAATACGAGTGCCTTTACTAGCTTGCAGTATAAACCCCCTTTTTTCCCGTGCTCTCTCTGGCACCGCTCGAACTAAATGTCTGCCACCTTAGATCCGAGACTTGGCAAAGCGGTTGGCGTTGACTGGAATCACAGAGTACTTGTAGGTACCTCGCCTGCTGCCACCGTTCGCAGTGGGACCAGCCCGATCCGATCCACCGGGCATGTACAGCATGTGTATGCACATGGGCCGCTGCTCTGAGGCCCACAAAGGGCCATCGACCTTGTCCGCCGAAGATTGGATTGATCCATCAATACTAGTTTTTTCTTTCTCAAGGCCGTGGAGCAGATGCCCCCTTGCCTGGTGCCATTTCAGGTCGATGCCATTAGGGGGCTCGATGGATAATGCCCCGGATGTCTGGTACTTCCGGGTACCTGTTCTCTCCTCGCTGGATTACTGTACCCGTACCACTGCATTGACCAGGTCGCCGCAAAATTGCCCTGCTGCCGGTGAGAGCGGTCATAGACAGCCGCACTGGTCGGCCAGGTTCGCGCGCCTCGCTGACGCCTTCGTTGAAGCCTAATAAAAGAAAGAAAGGATTTCATCTTTCGATACACTTTTCTTGTGCTCGTGTTAGTCAGATACTATACGAGTAAAAGGCAAAGGCTATTTGGAGTATACCCTGTGCCTTCTATTTTCAGAGCATCCATAGAAAAGGGGGGGCACTCCCACACTCTTAGTACCTAACCTAGTGCTAAATCTAGCTGACTCGAAAAACAAACTTGGAGCAAGCACAGCTTACTTTGTGCGCTGCTTGAGTGGTCTGACGACACAGCCCTAATGCAAAGACAACAACAGCATAGTACAGGACAACTAGCTGCTCGGCATTCTTTTTATAACCATTATCGCCAGATCTCCCCCAAAAAATACCCGATGACAGATGGGATACGGACAGCTTTTGTCGGAACACGAGGCGCTCTCTGTCATGCACCGGATGCATCCAGCCGTTTGTTGCGAGCGCCAGTATGACCGGCTAGCAACCTTGCCGTGAGCGACGCAGGCATTTGGCTGACCCAGCGCTGTCCGCTGGTCCAACAGGAGATGCTAGCGCCAGTGAGACGACACCCATTTTCCGTGCATTTTTGGCATCCATTCTCGAGCCTCAGTTGTGGCCGAAATGTCTTACTTGGGTGTTCGGAGAACATACCTGTGCGAAATACGGAGCACTGTAGGGGTACGAGGCACGGCAGCCGGAGCAGTCCGGAATGCGGACTACAGTACAGGGATAGGCGTGGTCGATTTGCATAAAGCTGCATAAAAAGCATGCATCGAAGAGCATAACCGCGCTGGGTCTTCTCCCTACATGTAATACTTACATGCACTGATGGGGCCAAAAGCACAGGTTGCAACTAAAGTCGTACCACTACTACCGTGTGTAGGGTACGCGCAGCTGCAAGTGACCAACGAGATGCTTCAACTTCTGTGGGTTTGCAGTCTCATGTTTCCCCTCCTCCCCGCATGTCAGGAAACACCAGTCCTTTGTCTTTTTTTTTTAGGTTTTTTTTTTTTTCTTCTTCCCCTAGCCTGGCCATTTTCTTGGCCAATCGTTTTCTACATACTTGTACGAGTATGCAAGTCCGGCTCAAGTTTTTGCCTAGGACCGGCGATCAAGGCGGCATGATGCGACCTCTGACACAGCCCAGCAAAAGCCGGTCTTGTGCCCCTCACAGGAGAAAATACGAGCATTGAGGTGGTGCCGTGGTTGGCCACAATCACGTCGAGACGGACTCACTCCATCGTGACACGCAGAGAGCACAGCATTGACGGCGTCAGAGCGTCGCTGGTTTCTCGTATTGACTGCATCCGCCCGCTCCGAGTCCCGTCTCCCAGCGCCAGACGTGCGGTAATGTAGTATTTGTATGCAAGAAGGATTACATAGTACTCGTACTGGCAATAGTAGTTTTATATCCGCATCCCGATGGGGAAGACGTGTGAAATTTCGATTTTAGCCGTGGAATATTCCCTACTCCATAATAATAAATTACATGTGCTCGCTTCCAGGCATTTCCAAGTTGTTAGCACGGAGCAGAGCGGGTGTTGGCATGGGGCTCGGCTGCGTTGTACCAGGAGGTATCTGCCCGGGAGGCGCTGATGTACATGCTGGTACTCCGTACAGCCTCTGCCTGTTGGAGGTGGTGACATTCGAGTTGATGCACAGCACTCTGCCAGCTGCAGTCGATGTCCGTGGATCCATCATGGATGACTTGATCAGCACAGATTAGGGCAAGAGGCCCAGTGGAGAGAGCGAGGGTTGCATTCAGCTCAGCCAGTATTGCCAGACTACGGAGTACGGAGCACGATACGATACTTGGGTAGGACCAGCAGCCTTGTGCCGTGGCAACCGGGTCTGGCTTCAATCGCTCTGGATCGCTAAAGCCCAGCATCTGCGTCCTGGACTGTATGTACCACCACAGCTGGCAGCCTCTACAAAACACTACCCGCAGTCGTAGTACTGCTGCTAGCACGGAGTAGTGCTAGCAAGCCTGCTAGTCCTTAGAGTTGAGGCACCCAGCGGGAACGGCTTCAGTGAGCACAACCGCCCGCTACCGTCCAGCCGCAGGCGTATGACAGGGCTCCCTTGCGTCCAACTCGAGCAGTACTTGCAAGTACTCCGCGCCGGTTGGCGGTGGCGCCGACGGGCTCGCTAGCTGCCCATTGTTTGGCACACGCCCCCTGGGCTAGCCTGTGGCACAGCTGCCGCCAGTACCCAGGCCCAGGTACCTGCCAGGTAGCCCCTGTAGCTGGTCTTCTAGTGCCTACACGGCAGCTCCTCGATATGGGCGAACCACCAATCCATCGATTCATCCTTCTCAGAGCCGCGAGACTTTTTCTCTGCAGTTTTCCCAGACCACCTCTGCGCCTTGGTGAGACTGCCTCATTCGCTTTGGCAGCTCTACTTTCAATCGTTAATCTCTGCATCTCTGTTTGTCTGCTGTGTTCCATTTTGGCTATTGCCTTGCTTTATCTGTCTTGCACCTCTCTTGCGCTACCCAATAATCGAGACAAAAAGAAGCAAAGACCAGGGGGGAAGAAAAAAGGAGTTAATACGGCAGTCGCGTCTTTGGCTTGCCACCAGTCGTCCTTCTCGTCTCTCGCTCAGCATTGAAACAGCAGGCCATCTTCATCTTCATCTCCGTCGTTTTTTCCCACTTCTTCTCTTCTCATAGCCTTGCTTGTTGTTATTGGACCAGCCGTGCCACATACACTTAGGGGCTGCTTAACAATAACAAACATCAACATCAACAACAACAACACGACGTAATCCCTTCAGCATCGTTATAGAAGGTTCCATCGATCGAGGGCCTTTACGCCCACTCCTCCTCCGTCATGGCGAACCGACTCTCCATGTTCTCCATGGCCTCGGAGGCTCGAGGTGGTGGACCTCAGTCTCAGGTCTCGACAACCACGCTTCTCAACTCCATCCACAACATCTATCTCTCCTCACAGCCTCATCAGCTGGATGCGAGCACCAGTGTTGTCGTTAACACCTGGCTCACAGCTGCTCAGGGCGGTCCTGCCGTTGATGCTACACTCGCGTCGCGGGCTTGGGAACATGCCAGGCGGCGTGCAGAAGACGGCTGCATTGTCTTGGGGTAAGAGAAGAATGCCTATACAACCGCCATCGTATTCCTCAACGTTGCTAACAAAGACTCTAGCTCTCTACACCAGTCGACTCCCTCCCTTCTCGTCCCTTTCCTGTCCTCGTTCCCGTTTGCAATTCCCTCCACCGTCTACAAGGCTCTCGAGGCCGTCCAGCCGCTTCTCCGATGTGTCACTCCACACAACCCAGCGGCCCAAAGGCAGGCAGGTCTGGGCGTGACCTTGGCCTTGAACCTCGCCGGCAACCTTACTGGGGCTACGCTGGCCCTTTCCCAGGGTGGAATTGATACTTCCGCGGGCTTGCTGAACATCCCTGCCGAGGCGGGTTATCGCGCCTTTGATGTCTTCTACTATCTCTTGACCTCTGCCTCAACACCCGCGGAAAGAGAATTTTTGGGTCTCAAATCAGCATCCGCATACACTCTCCTGTCCCGATCTGGCACATACGACCCGCCCTCATACCTACCCACTGCAGACGATTCCGCATCGGCCGATGACTTCCGCCAGGCTCTCAAAGACATTGGCATTAAGGGTTCCGCTCACCGAAATTTCATCTCTACTCTTGCCGGCCTGCTCAAGCTTGGCGACACGCTTGATTACAGCATTGAATCCGAGGCGCTTGAGGAGATTTGCGAGGACGTAGGTGGTCTGCTTGGAATCGACCCGGAGGTCGTTCTGCGCCAGTGCAGCACGGAGGACCGTAAGACTCTGGTTGGCGGACTCTATGAGTCCCTTGTTGATTGGGTCATCTCAAAAGCCAACGATGCCATTGCTGCGCAGTTGGTCCGTATCAAGGATGGCGATGAGTCCTTGGACGGGCATGGAGTCCGCACCCCCACTTCCAACGAGGACAATGGCGATACTGTTGCCATCACTGTTCTCGAGGTGCCAGATCCTGCCATTAGTAGGGCGCTGTGCATGCGTTCCGTCTTCGACGATACCCAAGGTATCAATGCCGAGATGATTGGCGATGGTTTCGAAATCCCCTCGGCTGGCTCTTCTATCCTTAGGGAGGTCCAGCAGGCTGTATCCGAAGTGGCACCTGACTTGGGAATCACAACCGGTCCCCAAGGCCGCGAGCGCCAGCATGAACTAGAGAAGAGGGAGGTCATCTTGGAGAAGGCTGCATACGGTGCTGATGAAGGCAGCTTTCTCAAGAAGCTGCTCTTCCCCGTTGAAGGCCAAGGCATCAACCTGGGCAGGGCTGGTCGAATTGACCTACCAACGGTGCTTAGCTCCAACCGTTTGTGGTATCATCTCTGCCTGCACCCCACTGATGATTCACCCGCTAGTCTTGCAGCGCTGCCTTCCATCACTTCTGCTTGGTCGGCCGGCACTGTCTCTCGTCAGTTACGCTCGTGGCGTCTTCCGGAATGGGCGAACCGTAGGCACAGGAACCTTGACTTCACCGCCGACTTTGACGTTGACGAATTCGTGCAGCGTTATGCTCCCCTTGGCTGCAGGGATGGCCGTGAAGGCATTGAGACGTGGATGCTGGAGCGTGGCTGGAGCAATGGCGAAGTCTTCATTGGCAAGGAACGTATCTGGATTCGCGAAAATGCCTGGTGGGAGGCGGAGAGCTCGCTGGATATCAAGCCGGGCGACGAAATCCATCCCATCCACAGCAACCCTTTCAACAACGGCTTTGATACCGGCTATTCGGGCAACGGTAGCGGGTATTTCCCCCCAACCGGCATGGAAAACAGTGCCAATGTCAGCCGCGACCATTTGGTCCACAATCGCGGCATGAGCCAGGGCAACATGAGCCAATTCACACTTGGCCAATCACCGAACCCTCAGGCCGCGCCATCCATCGCGCCCAGTGCTATGCGTGCTGGTGATTATGGCTTGGGAAACAAGGGTGACACCTACAGGGGCGATGGCTTTTACAACCCAGAGGCCGCTGCATACGACACTGAATATGCCGATAATAAAATTGAGTCAAAGGAGGTTGACAATGCCCGTCGGGCATGGGTTGCTTTTACCTGGGCCATGACCTGGTGGATTCCGTCCCCCTTGCTTAAATGGATTGGTGGCATGAAGCGCCCGGATGTCCGTATGGCCTGGCGTGAGAAGCTCGCGCTGTGTATGGTGATTGTTCTCATCAATGGCATCATCATCTTTTGGATCGTTGGGTTGGGCCGGGTTCTGTGTCCCAACATGGACAAGGCCTGGAATCGAAAGGAAGTCAGCCAGCATCAAGGCACCAACGATTACTACGTCAGTATTCGCGGCGGCGTCTACGATCTTTCCAAGTTCTGGAAGCAACAACACAGTGACACAAATGTCAAGACCACCTCAGATGTCATGCTGCCCTTGGCTGGCGCGGACATGGATGATTACATCATTCCTCCTCTGAACGTTGCTTGCCCGGGTCTCGGCCTCACCGACACCTTTCAGCTCGTCCTCAACAACACTCTCGAATTCTCGACTGCCCAGCATCTTCAGGGTCCTCACTTTCAACCCGACCCTACCAGCAAGCTAGCTAATGCCAACTGGTACTGGGATGTCTTTGAGCCAGCTATGGAAGAGATGTACAAGGGCCAGCTCGTCTACCTTAAATCGGACGTTCAGAAGCAGGGCAACGAGGACCAGAGAATGTGGGCCATGTATGGCAACCAGGTATATGACTTGACCAACTATTTCCATACCCTGGACGTGTTCAACAACGACCAACGATACACGTTCCTCAACCAGGATCTCACCGACCTGTGGAAAAACAACCCGGGTACAGATATCAAGGAACAGCTCGACATCCTCGTCAACGATCCTAACAACAACGGTACCGTGCACGCCGATCTTGCCAACAGCTGGCTCTGCATCCAGCGTGTTTTCATCAAGGGCAGTACAGACTTTCGTGTAACCCCTCGATGCGTCGTCAACAACTACATTCTTCTCTCCTTCACGATCATGTTGTGCGTTGTTATCGGCCTCAAGTTTATATCCGCACTTCAGTTCAGTACCAAGCGACGCCCCTCCCCCCAGGACAAGTTTGTCATTTGCCAGGTCCCTGCCTACACAGAAGGCGAAGACTCATTACGAAAGGCACTCGACTCGTTGACAGCACTGCAGTATGATAATAAGCGCAAACTTATCTGCATTATCTGCGACGGCATGGTTGTGGGTGGAGGCAACGATCGTCCTACTCCCAAGATTGTGTTGGATATTCTAGGCGTAGACCCCAAGGTTGACCCTCCTGCCCTAGCGTTCAAGGCTGTTGGTCCGGGTAGTGACCAGCTCAACTATGCCAAGGTCTATTCCGGTCTTTACGAGTATGAGGGCAATGTGGTCCCGTATCTAGTTGTTGTCAAGGTTGGCAAGGAGTCGGAGCAAACCAAGTCCAAACCCGGTAACCGTGGCAAGCGTGACTCTCAGATTCTTCTCATGAGCTTCCTCAACCGTGTTCACCATCGCTCCCCCATGAATCCACTCGAGCTCGAGATGTTCAACCAGATTAACAATGTTATTGGCGTGGATCCTGAGCTATATGAATATCTCCTCATGGTTGATGCGGACACCTGTGTTCAAGAGGATTCCCTCAACAGACTGGTTTCCGCGTGTGCTCACAACGCCAAGATTGCTGGTATCTGCGGCGAGACCAGTCTGGAGAACGACCAAAAGTCTTGGTGGACAATGATTCAGGTCTACGAATACTACATCTCTCATCACATGGCAAAGGCCTTTGAGTCTCTGTTCGGCAGTGTTACCTGTTTACCCGGATGGTAAGTAAATTCTAAAGTAAACCGATATCCGTATTTCTTTTTCCATATCAACTGACATGTGTTCGCACAAACTAGTTTCACCATGTATCGCCTCAGAACCGCTGATAAGGGCAAGCCTCTGATTATCTCCGATGCCGTCATCAGGGACTATAGTGTATGCGATGTCGATACCCTGCATCAGAAGAACCTGCTCTCTCTGGGTGAGGATCGATACTTGACAACTCTGATGACGAAGCATTTTCCTTCCATGCAATTTAAATTCCTTCCCCACGCTCAGTGCAAAACGGCCGCCCCAGAGTCGTGGAGCGTTCTTCTGTCCCAACGTCGACGATGGATCAACTCAACCATTCACAATCTTGTAGAGCTTATGCGGCTCAAGGATATGTGCGGCTTCTGCTTCTTTGGAATGCGTTTTATTGTCTTCATCGATCTCTTTGGCACTATCATTCTCCCTGCGACATGCGCTTACCTTGGGTACATGATCTACAGCGTTGCTACTCACCCGACCTCGGTCCCGCTGTGGTCTCTTGTCATCTTGGCTGCCGTCTACGGTCTTCAGGCCTTGATCTTCATCTTGAAGAGACAATGGCAGCATATCGGCTGGATGATCATTTACATCCTTGCGTATCCCATTTACTCGTTCGCATTGCCTGTCTATTCCTTCTGGAACCAGGACAACTTCTCCTGGGGTAATACCCGTGTCGTTATTGGAGAGAAGGGTAACAAGCAGGTAGTTGCCGTTGACGATGAGGGCTTCAACCCTCGATCTATCCCCCTCCAGCTGTGGGACGACTATGCGTTGTCTAACGGCCTCCCCGGTCGCCGTGGCACCACCCAATACCAAGAGAAGCAAGATGCGGTCTACCAAGAGCAGTACGAGATGGACGAAATGAAGTCAGTCTACTCAGCTGGCCCTCAAGGCTCGGTTCTTACGGGCATGCATGGCCGTAATCCGTACATGCCTCCCTCCCCTGCGCCGTTTGCTGCCAGCCACATTGGTGATCCAACCTACATGTCACAGCGACAGTCAATGATGTCCATGGGTACTGCGATTCAGGATCGCAGCCAATCACCATACTCGGATTTCCCCCAGCGGACGAGTGTGATGCATACCCGTGGCCCTTCTAATCTGATTCCCTCGCCAGGCCTTTCGCCAGGTTTCAATGGCATGAACCGCTCTTCTTCCGCCATGAGCTTTGGTCGAGGCCATGAAGCAAACCGGTCGACCGCTTCGTTCGATTTCATGGGAGGTCCTGGAGGCATCGGGTCATCGGATGCCGCCATCATCGAAGCCATCCAAACCGTGTTGCGAGATGTTGACCTGGACACTGTGACGAAGAAGCAGGTTCGCGCACTCGTTGAGCAACGCCTGCAGACCGAACTCGTTGGGGAGCGTCGCACGTTCGTGGACAAGCAGATCGACCGCGAATTGGAAAACATGTAATGATGCATATTGGCATGGGATGAACGAAAGAGGGGACGAGCATGTCGGCAAATTAGAAGCCTGGTCTTTTTTTTTTTTTAATATCTATCTTCATACTAATCATTCTTTTGGGAGGAGGTGCCAACTCCTTCGTACGATACTCCACTGACTGGATGAAAACGGTTACATTCTATGAGATGACAGAAACTCAAAGATCACATTGCAAAAAAGAAAGAAAAAAAAAAGGAGCTGCATCAGCAAGATTTGTTACATGGCAAGAGAAATGGCGTTTTATGGGTATGGAAAGTGAGAAGTATGCCGCCTTTTTACCATTTTGAGAGAAGAAGATTAAGTCATTGGGTTATGAATTGGTTATGCGCCTACTTATTAGTCTAAAGCTTGCACGAAGTCTTCTGAAGCCAACCTTTTGGGGGGCGGAGAACTTGGTCCTTGCTATAGCGATTGTTTATAATAGTCATCTTCATTGAAGGTTTATTATTTTTTTACATGTCTTGACTGTTATTGACTGTGTTCCAATGGTGTGAAAGAAGGGCTGATGTATGTTGGATGTCGCCATGTGTGAAGTCGAGTCATTGTGTAATGGGGTATGAGTTGTTCCAAGCTGTTTTTTTTTTTTTTTTTTTAATTCTGTTTGATAGGGATTTTGAATATATATATACGTGAATATGCGAGATTAGTTTGTGGTGCAGTGTGGCTTTGAAGCGATTGTGTCTTTCTCTTCGGCCAGGTTTGTTCTATTCATTGGTTGCTGATTCCTACGATACCACAATAAATCAATCATAGGAGAAAGCAGCAGCATTGCAGATCATTTGACAAGTCATAATGTATTTCCCCAATTCTAACCAAATAAGATACAACAAAAGATCACCAGCAACTTTAAATAAACATACAAATCTTCTGTCTCGCCGTAGCCAACTTGGCAATATACTAAAAGGGGAAAAAAGAAAAAGAAAAAAAAGAAATCGGGTATATATCTCGTTCAACTTTTCTTGACGCCCGAATCACTTCTTGTCGACTACTTTTCCGACTCCCTTTAGGCGGAGGTAGACGTCTGTTCCCCAGCCATATAAACTCTGAACGGCGATGCCGCCGCCAAAGTACTCGGCATATGCCCTGCTCAGTGGCAGACCATACCCCAGACCAGCAATTGAGCTGCCCCCGGTGCTAGCTGTTGCAATCGCACCCAGCCCGTCATTCCCGGTGGAACTAGGGACGTCGTCGTCCTCGGAAAAGGTGGTAAAGGAGTAAGACCAGATATTGGGCAACACGTCTGGAGGTATGCCGCCGCCTCGGTCTCGAATGCGGATCGTCACGCCTGGGGCATTGTCGTCCAAGGGCTTGATGGCGTCGCTCTTAAAGAGCCCCAAGTCCTCAGACGGTGGCTTGATGTCGGGATATTCGCCAGGCTGGTGCTTCAGCGGCGGCTCAGGAGCAATGGTGACAACGATGGGCTCGGTCGATTTGTTTTCAATGGAAGCTCGGAAGGCATTTTTGAGGAGCTCCGTGATGATGTACTCTAGATGCATTGGCAAAAACGCAAAGGTCGTTTCTGGCTCGCCATTGATGATTAACTTTGGCCGTATTCCATATCTGAGTTCGCAGATGTCAGCCACAAAGCCCGCACAGGATTCAATTATCAATGCAGGCTTCAAGGCGGTGTCGATGACGCCAATGTAGGAGGGATGCTCGGGGCATGGCGTAGGACTGGCGCCGGGGTCGAAATGAGGCTGGCTGCTGAAGTGCAAGGCAATGTGCTGCTCCGAGATGAGGCGAGTACCAATGCGGGCGCGAAGATGCTCATCCAGGAAGCGTGTAACCTCCTCCGGGGAGATGTATTTGCGACACTCGAGGAAGCCTTTAGCAAGAACCGGTATGGTGTCGGTATGGGTAGCGACCAGCTCAGCTAGGACATTTGTAAATTTGATTTCGTTGTCGAGCGTACTAATTGCCCGGCCTTTGGAGGCAGCTTGCCAGTACGGGAGAAGGATGGATAGAGAATGCAGGTAGTTGTTGTAAATTTGAGAAATGTTGGGGTTAGATACAACAATGTACGGGAGGTTCTGGAGGGCCTGCAGGCGATGTGCAAGACGAATCGGGATGAGGGAGAGGGTGAAGTTGGCCGACGCGAGAAGCGATCGTTCGGATAATGGCGGCCTGCCTTGTCTAGAGAAGGAGACTTGTTACTACACCAAACGGTGCATATATATATGGAAGAATGAGCTGTTGCTTACCTTACGAGGTCGGCCAGTCTCAGAGGATGCTGGGGCATTTTGGCCAAGGCCGAGATCTCGGCGTCGGACACATCGTGTGCGTTACTAGAGGTAAAGCACCGTAACTGGGGCCGCAGAAGCGTTGGGGCTCGAATCCCGAGCGGCCGGAGCAGCCTCATGTGTCTGAACGTGGCCCTCATTGCAGCATTGCGAGATGCAAGGGACAGTCGCAGGGGGGCCGATTAGAAGTCAAGCAGGCAATGAGAGATGCAGTAGAAGATATGCCACACCACGCCTTGCTCTCGTATGCATAGGCAGGCTGCTAACTTTCCTGGATAGATAAGGGGGAAAGTTCCGATCGTCGGTAAGAGGTTCAGCGATCTTCGGCTCATTCCACTAGCACACGATAGAGCTGAGTCTGTCCATGTCCTCGAAGCAAGCTTGGCAAGCCTGGCCAGTTGCGGGATAGCGGCGCCGTGTTGAGCCGGTGCGGCGGGCAAGGCCAGTGGCGGCACAAGCACAGCGAATCACCAGCGCCAGCAGCCTGGAGTTAGTTTTGCAAGCTGTGTAAGCTGTACGTAGTAAGTCAGCCGCCAATTTAGTTTCGTAGTGTTTAGAGTGAGTATAAGATATGGATGGGCAGAAGCAAAATGCCATTGAACGGTCCAAACGATATAGAGTTCAAATGTCCATCCCCATGGAGAGAGCCAGTCACATGGCGATAACAGCGGCTCTCCACTCTTATCGGTACATACGTCACGTCACCCAGAGGGAAGCTAAGCAACTAAGGTGACAAAGGAGGGGAATCGCGAGATCCATGGCGGGGCAGCATCAGGTCCAAGCTCAGGGACTAAAGGCATATCTCTGCGGAGTACGGGCAAACGGGGTACGGGATACTATTCACAAGTTTTGGCGCAACAAAACTGAATATGCGGAGAGAACCTCTATATTGTGTCTTTCTAATGTAGGTATTTGCAGACGTAATCATCAATCAAGAAAGAGCTCCATTTACTGTGTTGTCATGACCTTGTCCTCCTCCACAGAGTGCACCGAGGGGTCTTCGGCGAGTGTAACAACTGTGCCCTCGGGGTATGAGACACTAGATTGTGGCAGGCTCCAGTCAGCAATTGAAGGTAAATAGAATATTCCGTCTCGGGTGGGGAGGGCCGTGAACTCACGCGAAGCCTTTGATCAAGCTGTACTCATGGGTGATTGTGGCGCCGGCGTCCTTAGCCTTCTGCTTGGCTCTGGTACCGTGTCAGTGATTGTCGTCAGGGGCGGAACAGGAGCCCAACTCACGCAGCAAGCTGTGCATCCGTAGCATCTTCCTTAAGGGTGACCTGTAAGAAGAGGGGAAAGAGTGTCAGCACAATACATATTGCAACAGAGCCTAGAACGCAGCGGACTGCTCACAATGTAAGACGGCATCTTGAGTATGGTAGACGTTGATAGTAGTAGGTGTTGTGATGTGGTTGTGGTTGTGTTTGTTGATGCGGGGAGAAAACCGAGGCCGTCACTCCTCTTATTAGTACCCGTTTGCCAACATCGATACGTCACGCTCCTCCCAGCCACATGCCTTAGCCTCCTCCAAACGCGGACGTAGCCGAGCATGATGTAAGCAAAAAGACATCGATATAGAGAGACACGTACGCATGCTCGCGTGTACAATCAAAAGATCCATTATTCCATCGTCCAGGAGCCAGTTGTAGCCTTGCAGAGATGAGCTGTTGTATGTAGGGCGAGTTAGGCTACGTTAGGCTGTGCTATGCCGGTTTACTAGTATCGATCTAATAAAAAGGGGTAACACAACGACGTCGGCGGCTTCAATGACGTAGCTTTGGTTCAACTTAATGCCCTCCCCGACGGTGCGTTTCCCTGTTTGCGTGGCTTTGGCAGGTAATGTGGTCCGTCAGCTGCTCTGATTCACCAAGACAGTTTGCGTATGTAATACGGAATAGTCTTGGATTATCTGTGAATATCCTGGGACATGAGCTAGGGAGTTTATCGGGTTCCAGCGATTAACACAGGATGCCCAAGTTACTCTATTACTGCCAACTATAATATGCAATGCGATTTCAGAGTTGTGCTGAATGTCTAGTACAAATTGTCTCTCATATTTACTATACCTCGTCTTGCTTCCCTGCATTGAGTAATGATATCCAGCACATCAAAGACTGACACGCTCTTATCACAACAGGCTCTTATTGCCACAGATACTCATCCTCGATCAGATATTTTGTGGTTGGCATTCTACTTTGAATGGCGAGAGCTGTCATTGTTAAAACATCGAAATCTAGCTCGACGCTGCTCACCTACCCTGGACAGATGAATTACCGCCCGATGCTTACATAACCACAGTATCAGATATCAGCTGCGACGGGTTCATGCCCAACAAAGAACCCCGGTGCGCAGCCTGAAGGAAACGCATGCAAGCAACGATTACTTGTAGGTATGGGGTGCATTTTGCAGATGCTACTACTACAGTACAGGGAGCCCCCCGTGTTGCAGCAGCATATTATGCACTCGGACTCAGTAATGCCACCACTTTCGAGATCTCGCCGTGTTGCCAATTTGCCCTGCTCCTGGGATGATGGCATCCAATGATATAAGCAGTGACAGGCATCGAAACGAGAAACGGCCAAGCAACACGGACCATCCAATGATGTCAGTCGGCTCGGACAGCAAATACTGTACACTGTCAAATTGCCAGGGAGGTCCGGAACGGAAGCTTGAGCTGGGCCGGCCTGTTCCTAACCGCCTCATCTCATCGGGCCACTGGCCAGCGCTCGCTTTAATATGGGGATCGACGGCCGCCTTTGATGAGTCCCGGAACTGGCCACTGGAAGCTGAATCAAGCCTGTCTGCCGCCTGATCCTTGGTCCGTGATCTGTGGCTGACGATACCGTCCGGACGGCTCGGGCTGGCCTGAGCTCAGCTCAACTCGACCTGGTCTTCAAGGTTGTTCTTCCTGCGTGTTAGTACTATAGTAATATGTATGGAGCTGAAGGAGGATTGCAGGCACGCGCACGGGACAAAAACAGCTTAATACCAGCCGTCTTAGTGGCCACGGATCATCCCAAAGAGTCAAGCGACAGACAAGGCCCGGGAACAATGCGGAGCGCGAGCAGCCCAAAGCGGGACGCCGCCCCCGTCGAGATACTTATTCGTATTCGTGTTCGATACGCGGACGGGCGGGCAGGTTTCGTGAAAGTCAATTGGCTGCCTTCTTCAAGAGATGCCCCAACAGTTTTTTTCTCTCAAGCGGAACGCTGCCGTTTGCGACACCTGCTGCAAGGGATGCTGATGTGTCTTGGGCCAACGAGCGGCCGCCATTGGTGCGCGGCGCACAGGAACGAGATTTGATCTGACCTTTGAGTGAACGAATTCGAATGCGCCGATGCTAGTGGCATCGAGTTGTACAGTAGTACAAATAGTACAAATAGTACAAGTAGTGCAAGTAGCTGTGCTGCTAGAATGAGTGGACAGTCTGACGCACTGTCTCGTATACTTGCGTGATGTGTACTTGCTGGAGCACCCCTTTTTCTTTTCCGTGGATGCGGTGCGAAATAGTACCTACCTGTACGCCATCAATGGAGCAAAAGAGTGCTGATATGCAGGAATCGGCATGAAAGATGCTTTCCCCAGAGTTTGCGAGGGCGTCGCAGGGAGATCAAGCAACTCATCATACGAGTTCTCTTACGAGTGACGAGAGTCGGCCGACCTGATTGAGAGAGAGAGCTCTCAATGTTAAAATTGGCAATTATACCCTTCCGGCCTAGAGATACCTACTCGTACACGAAGCGAAGCATGGAGCACCTGTATAGTAAGCAACCAACACCATCCCCGGCCACTAGTATGACAGCCAAGGCTTCGGGAGATGGCATCTAATCGATAGATACGACACGACGCCTCTCCCAGAGAGTGCGGAGAGCTAGGTACATAGTATGTAGAGCCATGTGCTTGCAATCGATAGATGATACAAAGCCTTGCTCTCTCTCCATCTTGGACGAGCTTGGGCCTGCAATTTGCACCATATTTCCGAGCCAGGGATCCAGGGACGGGTAGGCGATACACGCCTGATAAACGAGAGCAAGGTGGGCTGTTAATTAATGGGTACATGTGCCCTAGGTCGACGCGAGGTCGCAGAACGGCATCAAGCCTAAAGCCGAGGGCGCCGCGGAGGCGCAACCTCTAAGTAGCACAGAGAAGGTCTAGGAGATGCGAGATGGATGCGCGGAGAAAGAGAAAAAGAAAGCAATGAGAGAGAGAGAGAAAGCCCAAGTTCAAAGCAATACCTACCTCTAGGTAGATATGCTTGCTCGTACTGTGCAGGTTAGGAAGCACTTCCACAACACGTCCCTGTATAAGTATAGGTACTGTACCGTACGAGTAAACCCGCTGGAGATTCACGAAACGCCATGCTGTCATATTTTTCGACGCTAAATCGATAAGAGCGAGCAACTGGGTAAAAAAAAAAGAGAGACAAGATTAAAATTGGCAGGGGGCCACTGCGCAGTCAAGCACACAGGGGGGCATTAGCTGCATTTTGGCTCGTGGAGGCCGTGGGTCGGCGCGAAATCATTGAATCCATATTGAGAAAAATCTGTGCTGAGTTGCTCCGTCAGCGTCTCGTCGGCCATGCACCGCATCTGCTCGTCAATGCTACACACACGATCCTGTAGGAGAGCCTGATGAGTACCTGTTATTACCTCGTACATTAGGTACCTTCAATGTTTGTAGAAGCAACTCACGCCCTCTGCTAAACCTCGCGAGAGCACCTCAGCTGGGAGAGAGTAAAGGTACTTGGAGCGTCCGTACCGGCCGAGTACCGCACCTTCGTAGACTATACCTTTGTATGTTGGCATGTCTGTCAAAGGCGCTGCTGCTGCTCCGAACTTGTACACCGCACTCGTGGGTCGCCGCAATTACTAATAGAGACACTCAGAGCTTTAGTATCCAGAGCTGCTGCTAGTCGCAAAAAAGTGCTCGCAACTTACCCGTACCTGACCTCTGCTAATCCCCAGACGGCCCTGGCCCGGCGACTTTTGTTTTCTCACCCCCTGTCGACCCTAAATTCTTTTATATCCCTATCGCCGTCACTTCGCTTGCCCCCGTCGGTTCTCTCTTCTCCAGGTACTGTCAGGCTCGGCGGTGCTGCGACTACTGCTGTACAAGTGCTGTCTGTAGTAGAGCATCTCGTGTGCTATAGAGAGAGATAGAGACCTTCTGATTGACATCAAGGTCATCATCTTCCCTCCCTCTGCCCGCCATGGACGCGCTCAATGCCACCCGGGCGTCCTCCGTCTTGACGTCTGTCCTCGCCAACTCGAAATATGTCAGCGCCAACATCCCTCCCCAGGTCGACTATGTGATCGATACCATTGCTGCCGCGGGGCCGTGGACGTGGTTCTTCACCATCTTGGCCATATGTGTCGCCTATGACCAAAGTATGTTGTTGCGCCCTTTAGCCCGCAGCGGCTCGACAGAGAGACGAGTCAACTAACGAGATGTCGCCATTCAACAGTCAGCTACCTGCTCAACAAGGGTTCCATTGCTGGCCCATTGTTCAAGGAGCCCTTCATTGGACCTTTTCTCCAGTCCATGGACCCCAAGTTTGAGGAGTACTATGCTAAGTGGCTGAGCGGTCCCTTGAGCTGCGTTTCTGTCTTCCACAAGTAAGATTGACCGACTGCGCCTAGAGACAGTGCCAGAACCAAGGACTAACATGGGTTTCTTCGTAGGTTTGTTGTTATTGCGTCCACCCGAGACATGGCTCGCAAGGTGCTCAACTCCCCGGCCTATGTCAAGCCCTGTGTCGTCGATGCTGCGTACAAGCTCCTCGGAGAGGACAACTGGGTTTTCCTCGACGGCAAGCCCCATGTTGATTTCCGCAAGGGCCTCAACGGCCTCTTCACCCGCAAGGCCCTCGAGTACTATCTGCCTGGTCAGGAGGAGGTCTATAAGACGTATTTCAAGCGCTTCCTCGACATCACCAAGGAGAATGGCGGCAAGCCTGTCCCCTTCATGCCCGAATTCCGTGAGCTCATGTGCGCCGTCTCTTGCCGTACTTTTGTTGGACACTACATCTCCGACGAGGCCGTCAAGAAGATTGCCGACGACTATTACCTCATCACTGCGGCTCTTGAACTCGTCAACTTCCCCATCATCCTCCCCTACACCAAGACTTGGTATGGAAAGAAGGCAGCCGACATGGTTCTCGCCGAGTTCGCAAAGTGTGCCGCCAAGAGCAAGGTTCGCATGGCTGCTGGAGGAGATGTCACCTGCATCATGGATGCCTGGATTCTGCAGATGATTCAATCTGAGCGCTGGCGTGAGGCTGAGGAGAAGGGCCTGTCCACCGAGGGCCTGGTGAAGCCGGCACCCATGCTGCGCATGTTCCGCGATTACGAAATCTCCCAGACTGTCTTCACCTTCCTTTTCGCTTCTCAGGATGCCACCAGCAGTGCCGCGACATGGCTGTTCCAGATTGCTGCCCAACGACCCGATGTTCTTGACCGCGTTCGCGAGGAAAACTTGAAGGTCCGCAACGGAGATCCCTATGCTGAGCTGAACATGGACCAGCTTGAGTCTCTGACCTACACCCGCGCCGTCGTTCGAGAGCTTCTGCGATACCGCCCACCCGTCCTCATGGTTCCGTACAAGGTCAAGAAGCCGTTCCCCATCACCGACAAGTACACTGTTCCCAAGGGTAAGCCAAGTTATTCCATGATGTTTCTTTTGAATGTTGACTGACATGTTTCCACGCACGTAGGTTCCATGTTGATTCCCACGACGTATATGGCTCTCCACGATCCCGATGTTTACGAGAACCCCGACTACTTTGATCCCGAGCGATACTATTCAGGTGACGCTGAGGTCAAGGGTGCCAAGAACTACCTGGTTTTCGGAACCGGCGCTCACTACTGTCTGGGCCAGGTTTATGCGCAGCTCAACCTGGCTCTGATGCTCGGAAAGGCATCTGTGCAGATGAACTGGACTCATCACGCCACCCCTCTCTCAGAGGAGATCAAGGTGTTTGCAACCATCTTCCCCAAGGTAAGAAATCATTAGGATGGCACTAGTGAGGAACGGAGCGCTGACAGTAGCTTAGGATGACTGCCCTCTTACTTTTGAAGAGCGGAAATAAAGGGACGAAAAAAAAAGGAAGCATGAATGAACGATAAAAGAGGAAAAATAAAAGCCCCCGTGTTGCGGTTGACGGCATAATAGGACAGATGGGAGACGTTGTGATATCGAAGCGATATATCCGGTTGGGCGATTGCCATTCATGGCGATAGACGGCGTTTTTCTTTGCACACCAACGGAATCTGCTTGCCAAGGAGTACTACCGACCTCTGAGCTGCCCTGAAGCTAGGATGGGAGTTCAGGATTGGCCTTGCATAGCTAAAGGGGATGGTACATAATTTTAATACCCAAACATCACTGTATATAATTATTTTAGCCAGCGGTAGCATGATTGCCTCGCTGCTGGGATGCCACGAAGAGACCAGGTCAGGCTTAGCTGACGGAATGAATGAAAGAGATGAGAAGATTTGACTTGAGAGCGTCTGTTGGTGTGAGTAGATCGTGAGATTTGGTGGGAGCGGATGCTCGGCGATGCCATGCGCCTGTGTCTGGGATCCCGATTTGACTTGATCTGATTCGGTAAAAAGAACCAACAAAGTAACGACCTTGAAGAGCAGCCTCTGAGGCTTTTATATCGCGCCCCGAGTGATGCGGGCATCAAGGGGTGTATAGAGGATTAGGCTATCGTCCGGCAACCTGCGAAGTCGTGCCATGCTAGTAAATTCCAGGGCGCGCGAAGGAAGCTCGACATTTGGGGCCGTTTAGCTGCACATGACATGACGTCGCGGGGTGATTTCGGATATCAACTAATCAACCCGGCAACTGTTACTACCTAGTAGCTAAGCTTACCATCGAATACCTACCAATTGATTCATCATTGGTGCGTTGTGCTGGCGTTAGGTTGAGCCTCTTCTATCTATTGTCGAGTGCAGAACAACTCCGAAGGGAAACCAGCGATTGTTATCGGCGAGCAAGCTGGGCAGTCAGTGTCTCGGGCCAATTGCATTTGCGCTCTCTTTACCCGTCCCGCTTCCCGACGACTTGCCTATCATCACCCACACCCTTGTTTTGCGCCAAGAGGGCTCTTTCTTTCTTCTTCTATACGCATACCAGAGCAAAAAGGAACGCAATGGCCGCTCGACAAGCTTGCCAGCGGATTCTGCTGCGGCGCCTCTCGCCGCGGGGGATCGCCGCCTCGACCTCGGTCTCAGTCTCGGCTTGCGCTGCCAGGGCGTGCTCCGGCGTGGCGGCTCGGCCGCTGGCGAGGTGGACGAGTCTTAGAAGCGCTGCTGGTGGTGCTGGTGTGCGATGGTATTCTGGGCCGGAGAACCAGGTGCCGAATAGTCGGATCTGGGGCTTTGACGAGATCAAGGCGCTGGTCGAGGCCAAGGAGCCCAAGGAGAAGATTGTCATTGTCGGTAAGTCACACACATACGCATAGCCTATCTCCCCCCTTTATATCTCCGTATAATGTTCACTGACACAACCTTCCGCGATACAAAGACGTCCGCGAACCCCACGAGCTCCTCGACACGGGCAAGATCCCCGGCGCCATCAACATCCCCATCACCTCGGCCGTCCAGAGCTTCCACATCTCCGACGAGGACTTTGAGGACTTGTATGGGTACGCGCGCCCGCCCAAGGACGCCTCCCTTCTCTTCTACTGCAAGGCCGGCGTGCGCGCAAGGGCTGCTGCGGGACTGGCGCAGCATGCCGGGTGGGCCAGTGTTGGCGAGTACCCGGGCAGCTGGCTCGACTGGGATATGAACAAGGGCCCGGTTGAGGTTGTGAAGCCGGGGAGCAAGGGAGAGACAAAATAAATTTACTGCGTTGAATTGACGGAGCTAATGCCAATGTTACGACGTATATATATATATATGTGTGTGTGTGTTTATATGAGTACATGTGTATGTGTGAATGTGTAGACACCAATGGCTTGGGGAAGACCATCGAGAAGACAAAAGGCTATGGATGGCTCGAAATCAATTAATAAAAATCTAAATTCATGATTCTGTCATTCATATCAAGGCATACTGTAGCTACCCGTGCCGTTATAGTGTACAATGCTTTTGCCAAAATACCCACCCAGTAATAGTCTCCTTAGAAACGTGCCCTCCCTGTGTGACAAACAACTCTTCACCGTAACGCTGAGACGTCCACCAAATACTTGATTGCATTGATCTGAGCTCATTAAAATTCTGGCTTTTTATCGGCATCTCCACCCGCTGGAGATCGCGCAACCGGGCTTCCGTGAGCAAAGAACAGGATCTTGATCGTCAAGGAAAGGCCGGCATGTAGTAAAATGACAATAACCAAGAGGATTTTGCTGACCTGGCGATCCGTCGCGCTCAGAACAGGATACAAGTTTCGTACTAGGAACACCACAGACAGGCCGAAGCCGACACCAACAAAGACCCAGTTAAGGATAGAGATTGGCGACCAGGAAATGAGGGCAACAGGGATCCATATTAGATTTGAATATCCGTACAGCGCCCAGCACTCCAGGAGGTTCGCCGACTCGCTTCCAAAGTACCGTAGAGCGAGGAACAGGGCCACGGGGATGACCAAGGTGTATCCGTAGATTAAGCCGGCGGCTCCTGCATGTCCATCATCGTGTTAGTCCCATCTGAATCAACGACAACCTCCCCTCAGAAAACCTCAAGTAAATAATGCCGTTTCATACCGCTTAATAGTCTAAAGTCGTAGGCAAACTGGCTCTTGCCCGTGGTTGACAGGTACTGGCTGATGGTGCCGCCGAGGAAGAGAATGAGCACCACCGTCGTGGCGATCCAAAACGGGCCGTACAAGTCGGGATTGCCCTCGAGCACGTCGAGGAAGTTTGCGCGCGGGAACAAGGCGGCCCAGCAGCGCGACAGAACAGCCGATGTGTCGACGTCGAAGAACTGCGCATAAAACGACATGCTCCAAAGATAGCGCTTGGACGATGACGACGAGGATGTCGCTGGCGGGGGCAGGCCTGCTGCCGGCGCCTTGCGGCCGCGCGATGACGACGACGGCTCGTTGAAGTTGGAGCTGTGGAATTCGAGATCCTCTTGGAGGTCGGTGTGGCCGAGGTCGCCCTAGAAAGACGCAAACCGCAACGCCAAAAGCTTAGCAAGGCGACATCCTTTTTGCGGGCATCGCAGGCCGGGATAATCAAGGCAACGTATGCGTCCCTTGCACACAACGTACCTCGTCGTCCACATCCACTACCGCATCATATCCAGAGCCGGACATTTTGGCGTCTTTGGGGGGTGAATGTGTTGGCCAAGTCCCGCTCGCAAGGATGCTGTCCGAATATCAAAAGATGGCTGAGGTCGGACAATTAGTTCTGGTTCGGGTCGAGTCTAAGCTGTCTCTTCTTAGAGGCTTGCTGGCTTGAGCTTGGGGATAGCTTGCCACGAGATGTCGTTGTATCACGTGATCACACACACGCAGCAATGCGGAGACGACGAATCAGGAACTCAGGCTAGCCAAGGTACATAGAGCTGCCGCCAAACAACGAAAAGGATCAATTCCCTTTTTAGTAATTATCTGGATGATATTTACTTTGTTATGCCATTCGACCAATTGACGTGGAAGAGTTTGTGATCTGGTACAGCCTGCATGTTTGAACAGTATACGTTAATCATATGTATTTTTTTGCTAGATAATCTATCCGCAACCCAATCATTTCTGTGGATCTAACCGATGGTCCATCATATTTTGCTCTTTCAGCTTCATAGGCGCTACAATAACGAGATACCCTCTTCAAGCTCGAATTTGCTCCTCTCCAGGGCTCAGCTGCCTAGGGGCCGGCACTTCTGAGAAACAATATTGGCGTCAGTTACCGAGTCACTGGCTGTTTCCCAGAAAATATTTTAACAACAAGCGGCCATCAGGCATCATCTAATTGATATATTTTGCCTCTGCCCTGATGCTAATGTAGAAACAAAATCCGGAATAAAGCAGAAGCACCTCTGTCCTTGCCACCCCAGATTGCCAGAACCCAGACGCCACATCCTTGGTGAAATGATTTATTTGAGCTTCTTCTTGGGTCGGAGCTGGTTGGTGTGACCGCACTTTCGCTTACGGCAGTTGGTAGCACGGGGAGGGAGACGGGCCTGAAAACGCCGTTGTTAGTAATTGCGAAATTGCGATTTCTCAAGTGGAAAGTTGAAACTAAAAACGTACGTAGCACTTGCGGCAGATCATCTTGTCGCAGTTGAACTTGGAGGCCAGAACCTTCAGGGAGGGCTCAATGACACCACCACGCAGACGGAGGACGAGGTGGAGGGTGGACTCCTGCAAATTGATATTAGCATTTTGCTCCGTTTCTTCTTCCGTTTCTTCGCATTTCCCAGTCCTTCATCCTGCGTTTTGCGCGAGGACGAGTTGAAACGCAGTTCCCTGATGACGCACCTTCTGAATGTTGTAGTCGGACAGGGTTCGGCCATCCTCGAGCTGCTTGCCAGCAAAGATCAATCGCTGCTGGTCCGGGGGAATGCCCTCCTTGTCCTGGATCTTGGACTTGACATTGTCGATCGTGTCGGAGGACTCGACCTCAAGGGTGATGGTCTTGCCCGTCAGGGTCTTCACGAAACTGATCGCATTGTTAGTACGGACTTCCCGGGTTCGACGTCGGAGCGAAATCTGGTATTTTTTCAGTCTGGGCTTACATCTGCACTATTTACGGTTAGTATTTCATCCTGGCTTGCTCTCTGAGGCGTGGCGATGGTACTCACTCTTGAACGATTTTTGTGATGCTTGACGATGTGAAGGTTCGATCGCTGATTCTGCGCGCAAAATTGGTGGGGCGGAAGTTCAAATCATAGAAAACCCTAGGTCAGTAGCCGACGCACGTGACTTGGAGGACAAAATCGCCTGTTATGGGGAATTGAGAGGGCTTTCCATTTCGCTGCTAGCGCTGGTCCGACGGCCCACTCCGCCTTAGTCCGCTATTGGAAGCACCTCAAAGTGCTTAAAGTGGAGCTTTCCACACCATGTACCAAGTACCTCGTCCCAACTTGGAATTCTGCAACAAGAAGCAATACTATCAACAAGTACAAGCTTCAGCTTCTACTCGGTGGTCGATGAGATGGACAAACAGTTTCTATCATTTTCATGCATTGGCTCATAATTGGATGTCTTAAACTACCCCTCACTCAATTGTCATGCAGCGTTGAGGGTCTCCCGCTATGTCATCCTTGTGGGTGAATACATATACAAAGCTCCCTCCGTTGACTGGATGCATCCAACGCATCTAATATTGGCTTCTCATGCCCGATTTCTTGGTTTGCCAGACCACCATGGTCCGTTCAATCCTGTAAATGGCGTCTGTCATGGTTTCAAGAGAGACGCCTACCACCAAGCCTACATTACAGATACGTTAGCTCTCTTTCATTGCCATGGGACAGTCATTGTGCCAATTGCAGACCTACCTGCCGCCTTGTAAAGTTCTGTGGCTATTTCGGAGAGGTGGTCAACATTGCGAAATGCCTCATATCTTGGCATCGATAGTGAAGTGTATTCTGCTTTGGCTGGATTAGACCGGTTGTATTCGAGAGTCTGATTGAGTAGACCCTTGGCAGCGTCATCCAAGTCCTTGGTAGAAATATCCTCTACTTGATTTGTGCTTGTGGGTAGTTCTTCCACCGGAAAGAATTTTGTGATTGGATTGTCGCCTTGGCATAATCTCTCAGCGTTTATACTTAAGAAATGGTGAGTCTGTTGATGATAAAACTTACTTGTGGTATCAATGAGACTGGAGACGTGAGCAAAATATGCGTCAAGTTCGTCATCCTCCATAGAAACCACCTGACTAGGAGTAACCTTGTCAAAGTCGAACTTGGTAGTCTTTATATCGCGTTGTGTTGGCAAGTTCCCTCTACCTTGTCGCCATCTCTCCCAGTCGAGGGTGGGCATTTGGAGGGAACTCGCATTTTGAAGCCGGGATATTGAAGTATGGTCGGAAAGGGGGAAATACAACTTTGTGGCAACAATGAGAAGAGCCATCAGCCGTATCTCTGGATAATCCAATCTAGGATTTGTAAATTTTTCTATCGGAAAATGGAATTGCTGCCCCAGGATCGACGCCAATTTTCGGGCCGCAATGATGGAATCAACTGTTGTCTGGTTAGAATCCTACTTGTCCATTGGCAGAATAACAGCTCTTACTGGGCAGCGCAAGCTCTTTTGCAAACTGTATCAGCTCCGGAACATGATTAATCTCAGGAAAGACGAGACTATAATTGAAGTCGTACGATAACACCAAGTCCATAACGACTCTGTGTAGCTCATCGCCCTCTATAGAAGAGCGAAAGGGTAGCTTCAAGACCTGGATGTATGCGGCGGGCATTCGATCTCTCATTTCCTGAGGCAGATGTTGATACTATACGCCGGTTAACATGGAGACGTCAAGTATTGGGAGTATAGTTACACCCACGCATTTTTTGTACGGAATGCTACCGTTCCTGGCCCATCGAATGATTTCTCCAAGGTGAATTGGTATCCTCAAGAGGATGCAGCCTAGGTAACAGATTGCGAGTGTATCGGGGACGCGCGGCAATGGCCATTGCAGGCCCAGCTCAGGATCCCAGCTCTGCTTCCTGGATTGTGGATGCCATTTTGATGATGATGAATCTTGAGAGGGCTGAGAGGGCTGAGAGGGCTGAGAGCTGAAAATAGCCAAATCTTCGTCATCTCCCTGGGCATCGTCACCAATACCCGAATTCGACCCTCTGGTTCGCAAATCCCACAAGTCGCGAACGACAGTTTCCAGCTCTTCCCTGTAACCCTTTTCATTGACGAGCCACGCCACTTGGCTTCTAATAACCAATTGGAGAGCTTCAAGGTAAAGATCTCTACCGGCCTGGCCTGTCAGTGTAGGCGCTCTCTTCCCTCTGTCTCTCGGGGCCTTTTCACGGCGAGATACAGCCCCCATTTTACCAGAGTCTTCAATGTCACCAAGATCGAATTGGATAAAACCCTATGGCGAATCAATCCAACAGTCCAATGGAGTTCATTAAGAGTCGCCTACCTCGATTTGATGGCCCCGAGCGCAAAATCTCAGTCCGTCTTGCAGGTACCATCTCTGGCTACCGCATTCGGGGCATCTTTCGCCTCGGGGCATTCTCCGGGTTTCTCCTGGCCCTTCCATTCTGAGCGTGCGCTTTGTACCAGGCTGAGAGCAAATAAATAGAGACTATGGGTGGCGGTGTTGAGTTATGGTGAGCAAGTGTAGACTTCACGGTCTACTTATGCAGCACTTGTGAGAGAAGTTTGTCTTCATATTGCACCACGGTTCTCAGATAAAGGAAAAAAAGAAGCTCTGGAGTCTCGGACTGATGGCGATACAATTAACCGAAACTGCAGACTCGTCCAACTGAAAACCACCAGCGGATACGCATGAAGCTTGAATGCGAAGCCCAATGTTGTCTTGGTCAAGGTACAATGACCTGCTGGTGGCTCTGCGTAACGCTACCTTGGATTTTATCCACTATAATTTTTACTTACTGCAGCCACACATGTCGGAAACTCTAATGACAGCTGCAGGAATTCTGAAGAAAACCCACAGCGAATCTGCAACATATACTAGTAGATGGGTTTATTTTACGATTGCGTACGTCACAGTTTGCGTCCATTCACTCATTGCTGCAAGTCCAATGTGCACGTTCATTTTTTCTTTTTCATTTTTCATCATGACGGCCAGCTACGCACACATATCTGTCTGGGTAACTTTGGCGATGACTCGTGGAGCGTACAAAGGAAAATGTAATGGCCCTCAGAAAGGGCGTTTGAGTTGCCGAGCATTGTAACTAGCAGAAAAAATCCCATCCATCAACCTTCGAACGCAACGACCCATACATCAACCCAAGGATATTCGATGTTACGACGGCCGTAATAAACGCCTGGAGGTGGGGAGGAAAAGAGGTGACGAGGGGCTATAAACAAATCCTAAATCTTCGTAGTGCTCATTTGGTGAGGGAGTTAGGATTTAATTTAACCCTGCTTGGGAGCCTCCTTGGCCTCAATGGCGGCCTCTTCACCCATGGAGGTAAGGACAACCACGTCTGAGATGGGGTTAGAATACACTCCAATTTCATAACACTCTCGGTGTAAATATTGCAGAAGGGCGACTCACTGGTATCCTTCTCGTCAACCTTGAAAAGCTTGTTGATCTTCTCACCAATCTCGCCATCGGGCATGCGGACATCATCCTTGGTGTCACCGTCGTCGTTCATGAGGGAGAGGAAACCATCGTCAGAGATGTCGAGCTACCAAATCGTGTCAATAAACCTCTGCTTTTTTTTTTCTCCTCTTCAACCTCTCATCCTGGGAGCTAATTTACTTACCAGCTGGTACTCACGACGGGTGACGTTGGGGACATCCATGTTGTGGGTGGAGGGGGAGAGATCTTCGTACTTCTTGCCAGTGAAGATGTCAAGGGCGACAAGGTGGACCTTGGCGTGACCGTGCTTGCCGGTCTTGGAGGTGGACATGTCGACGATCTTGCACGGGCGACCCTTGATCACGACGAAGCCGTTCTTGCGCAGAGCAGAGCACTGCATGGGGTAGGTGAGAGACGCGCCGGCGTCGGCGGACTCGAAGGTAACATCATGCTGCAGGCGGATAAAGTGATTAGCATTTGAGTATTTGGAGCTGATGAGGAAGCAAGTGCGAAATGATTGCGGTTTGATCAGGTGTTTTGACGTTGATCTCGCAGACGGGGCGATCACAAGACGCAGAATCTCATCTGGCAAATCTAGCAAAAAAAAAAAAAAAAAGCAATATTGTGATGTGGGGTGTCGCTCAGTCGAGGGGCAGCCAAGATGATTGCGGGGTTGTTTTTTTTTTTCCCTTTGCGCAGAGGCAGCGCAGCGAAAGCAGATGATGGACTTACCTCCTCAGACATGGTGATGGATTGCGCAAAAATCGAGCTTGTCGTGAAGTAAAAGAGAAAGAAGACGAAGAGTGGGAGAGAGTCTGCGTGGCAGACAAGTCAGTGGAGAGTGCTGAAAGTATGTGGAGAGGAGAAATTGAGAGGTGAGAGGAGAAGAGCAAAGGGTGGACGGAGGGGGAAGAAAAGGTGCGTTACCTGAATTTTTTTTTCGCCTGTGTGATTGGCCCTGGCGTTAATGGTGCTTGAGCGACGGTGGGACACGGTTTGCACCTGGTTTTGAGGGAGCAATTTAGTACCTTTTTGGCCCAACCGGTAAGGTTTGGTGCTCTTTTCCGTTTTTTTCTTTTTTTTACCCGCCCGCCAGCCTTACTGTACTAGGGTGAGAGTTCCCAAAAACGCAGGACACGAGCGTTGTCACGAGCCGTTACAGTGCTTGGGAGGAGAAGAGGAGCTGAGAGGGTGCAGGCGTACTCACCGAAGCATTATTTAGGTATTACCAAAGTCATTTATCTGGCCGCTTTGCCTGGAGCCTCATTGAAATCTACTACCTGGTACCTCTCCTCCCTAGGGCACTAGCCACGCAGCAGGCAGGTACCTCTATCGGCTTCTCTTCAAGCTAGCTGCCTTCTCTGGGCGGGAGGGGAGGTTGCATGAGCTCGGTACAAGGGAGACGATCACAACTCCGCATCCCGAATCTGCAAAACGCCTGACATGATGCATCTATTCTGCCGAGCTGGTATTTTCTGTTATGCCCAGGTACCCGCACTTACAGAATTGCAAAAAGCAATCGCGAGAATCTATGAGGATGAAGTACCTACTAAGCTAAGGTGCTTGCAACTACCACCGGAAGGTTTAGTGCTAATAGGGCTTTCCCTCCCCCCAAAACAGAAACATCTGCAATGCCCTGCCAAAGTTTAAATGCGAGCTGGTAGCAGAGCTCTGGTGCACCCGAGTCTCGCGTATTTCCGCTGCATGGTACCTCTTAGTAGTCGCGTGATGTTTATGCTACCTCTATGGATCAGCGTGGTCAACGGATGAATCTGCATAACGCTGCCACAGGTACAAGTACATGTACTCGTATATGCATCATACTACGCTCAGAACCAATGTATAGGTAGGTACCTGCGGTTGTTGCGCAGTCACAGCCAGATTCAGAGTCCTGCCTTTCTCAACCCTTTTTCCAATGCATGTCTTTTGCGCTGTTCCGGCTGACTCGCAGTACTGCATTTGGCTTCACAGCTGTGAGCACAGATTTGTGGTGGCGTAAGCTTCCAGTCTCAGCGATGAGGCCTCTGGGTAAATGGGGCTTGGCAATGGGTGCTCCTCCTCCATACTGTATGTACCTCTTTTAAGCAGCACTTTGTAGGAAGTACATCAAGCGGTAGCTCTTAAAGACAGACACGTTCTTAACAAGAAACCAAGAACATCCATACTACCTAGTAAGTATAGATAGAGTAAACATTGGTAAATCTGGTAGATATAGAGAGATGTACTGGTAGATTGATATGATAATTAGATTCAACAACTACTAAATACAGGCATTCTAGAGAAATACATACATGTATCCTCTCTCCTCTGATGCCTTGCAGCTCCTCGTATTCCGTCCACCGCCTGCTGATCGTGCTGATTGCCGCTATAGCGCTCCCCTTGACCAATCGTGGCACTAACTGACTGCCCCAAGTCCGTCTCCACCAGTGCATCAGTACCCGACAGCTAGCAGCGACAGTTCCATGCGAGTCCATGGTACCTGTATGTTCATGCTTAGATACGACCAAAGTACCCGCCATCGACCCAAAACACCAGTGACAATCTGGCATTCAAACCATCTCCCCCAAGCTATGAGACGGTCATGATCACGAGACGCCCTCTCTTCTCCAATCGATAACCCCATCTCCAACTCCGGCTCCTGCGCATCATGTGGCTCGACCGGCTTGCAGCATCCCAAGCCAGCGCGTCCGGCCCTTCGACTCCCCAAATCACCAGCCGACACAACTCGCCGCTCCCACGAAGGACGTCGAGCACCCTCAGCCCTTACATCACATCGCAGAGGCAAGGGCCCTCCCCGAGGGGATCATCTCTCTCCCTGATATCAAGCGACTCTACGACATCGTTACTGGCGTCGTCACGCAAGCCCAATGGCTCAGATGCGAGACAGCAGCCCGGACAGGCTCCGGACTCGGTGGGCGTCTTGGAGAAGCTGCTGGCGGCAGATTCCGAGGTCGTGGGCAAGACCCAAAGCAGGGCAAGCTTGATTACCCAGGAGGATCTGACACTTGACGTCGACTTCGGCGGGCTCTCTCTAAAGGAGCTGGCTGCCGGGAGCTTCGACCAAGATGCCCTAGGCTTGCGCCGGCCGCAGAGTGCGAGCGAATGTGCGTCGCTCTATGTCCATGGCTTTGATATGCAGCCATGCTGGCCGTATCCTATGCTAACTTGCCAATTGCAGACGAAGAGGACAAGGCCCGGTTTGACGCCTTGCATCGGTCCATTGTTGCGTGTGACGATATCCTGAACTCGGTCGAAATGAATCTCGCGGATTTTCGCAACGACCTTTCTACCGTATCAGCTGACATTGAGACTCTGCAGACGCGCTCCAGCATATTGAGCAGAAGATTGGAGAACCGAAAGCGAATCGAGAAGGCCCTTGGCCCATTGGTGGAGGAGCTGAGTGTGTCACCCGATACCATTTCCAGGATAACGACGGGCCACATCGACGAGCTGTGGGCCAAAACGTTGAATGAGATGGACAAAAGAGCCTCGGCCATTAAGAAGCTGTCAGGGACACAACAGGGCAAGGCCAGCGAAGAGCTTGGCCCCATCTTAGAGAAGCTAATCTTGAAGGTGCGGTCCTTTCCTTCGCCTCTAGTCAGCCATGGAATCAACTAACATGTGGCATCGCAGGCTGTAGAGCGTATTCGAGACTTTCTCGTCGCCCAGATCAAAGCCCTTCGATCGCCTCACATCAACGCCCAGATAATCCAGCAGCAGAACTTCCTCAAGTTCAAAGATCTCTATACGTTTCTGCACAAGCACCATGCGGCTCTTGCGGAAGAAATCTCGCAGGCGTACATGAACACGATGCGATGGTACTACCTGAATCAATTTACACGATACGAGAGGGCTTTGGCTAAGCTCAAGCTCCATATTCTGGATAAGAATGACGTTCTAGGGCAAGAGGATGCAACAAGGAAAACCGCTGTCCTATCGAGCAGCCGCGTTGCGGGCCCGCCACATGATGCATTCAATCTTGGGCGCCGGATTGACATGCTACGGACAAAGAGCACCTCGGCCATTTCATCGTATCTGGCGGAGGAGGACCAGTCAACTCACTATTTGGAAGTCCCCTTTCGAAACTTCAACCTGGCTCTCATCGACAATGCCACGGCTGAGTATACCTTTTTGGCGGCTTTCTTCGCACCAGCCCTGTCTTATTCACAGATATCTAAAAACTTCAACTACATATTTGATCCAACGTTTGAAGTCGGCAGGGTGCTTTCAAAAACGCTAGTCAGCGAGAGCTTTGATGCCCTGGGACTCCTCCTCTGCATCCGACTCAATCAGCATTTTGCCTTTGACCTTCAGAGGCGAAAAGTGCCTGCCGTGGATGGCTACATCAACGGCACCAACATGCTACTCTGGCCGCGGTTGCAGGTTATCATGGACCGTCATTGCGAATCCGTCCGACTGTTGACCAATGCTGCCCCTACGAAACTGGCCAAGGCCGATCAGATAAAGATGTCGGCCGCACCGCACATGGTAACTCAGCGGTTTGGACAGCTGCTACATGGCTTTCTGGCCCTGTCCACGGAGGCTGGAGACGATGAGCCCGTTGTCGCTAGTCTACGCCGTTTGCGCTCCGAAGTCGAAGCCTTCCTGTCTCGACATGCGCAATCGCATGGTGACGCGAGGAAAAGCGAGAGATTCCTGTATAACAATTATTCTCTGATTCTTACCATTATCGGCGATGAAACGGGGAAGCTGGCTCAGGAACAGCAAGAGCATTTTGAGGAGCTGAAGCAAACGCATCAGGGTGAATCATAGATGTACATATCACGCCGATGCCCTCCCCCCCTAAAAAACTATGATTTGTAATGGCGCGATAAGCGTTGGATTGAGGCATTGTCATGAAACTAGGGTTGGATTCTAGCTTCACTTATTGTACGGCGTCAGGAGGCATAGCATGTTCACGGTACAGGGTTGAATAATTAGACAGGCACATCTGTAGGAAACATACTCAGTCTAGACTACCAAGCCCTTGTAATTACTATAGCGGATTTTTTTGGTCCTTGTTTTATTTTATTGTTCCCTCTGTCCTTTTGGATTTTGTCTATATTTCATTTGCCCTTGCCCTGTATGTAAAAGAAGATATCAATGTTGGCCCGGGAAAAGGGACCATATGTACTGGAGAAGAGTAGGGTTCCTCCGAAGGTAGAATGCCACGACTCCGACCATGATGGCTGTTCCAATGAATTTGACAGGGCGCCTATACATCCATATCTTTCTTCTAACACCAATTCTCAGCTCTTGCCACTGTATCTCCTTGACTTGTTTCTCGAAGTAATGATGCCCTTCCTCTAGCGTTTGCCGTGTGCTATCATCAACGTCTCTGCAGGTTTTGAGCACACTGGATCCCGAAATCTGATGCCACGATCGGAGGGTCTCCGGGGGGTGACGGACGAAAAGGTCCACGGATCTCTTGATCAGGTCATCTAGATCCAATTCTGGCGGGACCCTGCCAAGAATGACTTGAAGCATATCGGGCTCGTCGATCTCAAGGATCTCCTCCCGGCGGTCTATGACAATTTGGGCAAACAAGTATATGGAGAAGGTAGGCTCGCGAGCCAAGATGACATCAAACAGCCGGGCGATATCCTTATACCGCTCTATGTTGTGAGCGTACATGGTGAGCGTACCAGCGAGCGCATAGAAGGGCTCAATGCTGGAAAGGTGCCGACGGAGCTCGATATCCGCGCGAGCGAGGATGTCGGGAAGCAGCCTTAGCTGTGCGGTTGTGGCGCTGAGGCTGGGCAGCATGAAGTCGCGGATTCGCAGAACGGAGAGCCGAGAAACCAGAGGCGCTCGTGCTGCTGGCTCCAGAACTAGCAGGAATACCTGGCAGATGTCATGGTATCCCTGGAAGTAGCAAAGATATGGAAATCGACGGAGAACCTCGACGATGAGGTCTGATAGCTCTTGTTTTCGTTTATGTAGCTCCCGTTCGGACTGATCTAAAAGGCGTGGTAGAAAAAAGAAGATGTCAGCTCTTATACGTCGGCAGAATCGTATGACACAGGATGGGAGAGGCATACCGCTAGGGTAATGAACAAAGGACCGATTCACGTCGAGTTGAACTTGGTCTTCATCCCTATGGCGTGGCAGCTCTTTCCAGTCGCCGCCGGGGGCATCGGGATCGGGATCTTCTGCGCGCGTGCCGTCACCATGGTGTTGCTTCTCGTCGGCAGGGGGGGACAGGCCAAGCAGGATCGGCCCTAGGCAGATAGATGGTTTGTTAGCGACATGTTCAGAAAGAGGGCAAGAGAAAGGCCGGAGACATACAGGCAGCCTGGCGCAGCGAATCGGCAAGCAGGCCGCCATCCGACTCGGCGAGAGCCCTCAGGCGCGTGGCATCTCTCCAAGTGCAGGCAGCCAGGATCTCGCTCGTCTTCAGGGCCACGGCCGGCGAGTCGAAGTTGTCGACGGGCTTCTCGGGGGCAACAAGTTCGTCATCGTCATCGTCGCGGCCAGCGGGATCGACCAGCTCTTTTTCCAGGCTCATGTGCTAGATTGGGTGCTTTTGATCTTTGAAAGAGGTTTTGAATCGGGCTAGTGCTGGTGACGTGACGCTTGGTTGTTCGTTGGAGCTACGGCACATTGGATTTTGGCGGGTCACATGCAAAAGCGAGCAGCCACTGGTTTGTAGGTATTGATGGCTTCAATTGATAGCCCAAACACGTCCCTAAACCATCTTCTCTTTTGGTTCATTCTTCTTGTGCAATGTTAATATGTTTATTTTGATGTCTTTTAAACATCGTGTATATATTAGGTGCACAGTAGCTTGGATACAATTTTAGGTACCTAATATATCGGCACGATACTACTCTAATAAGTTGTATCCATGGATGAACCTGTCCACGTCGCTTGGGCCATTTTCAAAGCTGCCCAACTGCAGAGCTAGAGGCCCATCCACCGAATTGCCAGGGTACCTAGGTACAGAGTATTTGTGCTATCAATTCTTTTTAATTGGCATGACCTGTACTTGATTTTATTCTCTACAGCATGCGGGAGAGCAATAACCGCTTCTGTTCTGCTGGTGCGGTTGTGCGTATTTTTTCATAGTATGATATTGTTACTCAGGTACATGTGCCTAACATAATTCATAGAGGCTCGACCATGAATCGTCGTAAGTGCTAATTCAAAGCTGGGGAGCTTTCTCAATGCTTCGAGGTTCTCATATAGTTAATTGTTGAAGGTCTGTATATAAACAACAGAATAGAAGCTACACTTTACGTGTCTAGCATACCTCCTACGACGTAGGTACGTTGTATTTCTTCAGCAACCCAAGTTCCGCCTAGTACTGTGACAACTTGAATATGGCGACATTCTTGCATTTACAAAGGCTGGGAGGCAGGGAACCAGGTTTAAACCGCAACAACACGCAAAGCCTGTCCTCTCGCAGAGACCCACCAATGGGAAAAGCTGGTTGGCCAGGCTCTGCACCCTTTGAGCTTCAGATCCTTGTCTCATCGCTCACCGAGTGGAGACGGCCAGGGAAGGCTGCAGCAAGTGGTTTACAACAGTCTCCATAGCAAAACATGAAGGAATGTGAAGAGATTCGAGAGACTGTGCCTCATCAGCCCATGCTGGATGCGAGTGGTAGATTCACGGTTGGTCCTAATGGAGGTAGCGATTTAGCAATACTACCTTAACTTATATGCGACAAGCGCTGACACATATGCTGCATATAGATGTACACGGAATGTCTAATCAACAGCCTACATGTACGTGATTGGTCACGGCATTCGGTAGGGTGGAAGTGAATGGTTCTAGGCTCGAGGAGCCTTGATGCATCCTTTGACGAACAGATAGTATTACGTTTTCTCTCTTTTTCTATTTTAAACAGAATCCTAAATCCTCTATTAACGCAAAATCCGCGTAGCAGCGAATGGGCCGCCTTCATCTTTGCTACGTGGCTTACACTTATACTTGAGAACTGAAGTACAACATGCCGACTGAAGCCGCACGGATGAACTTCCTCCAAGAGCGCTCTAGCGGTTTTGGCTGGTTCAATCAAGTAGTGTCGTCGGCCGTATGTAACAGATATATCAACTTTTTGATACTATTTTGGATATCTAAGGAAAAGATGATAGTTGCTTTGCAATGTATTGCCTTTGGTCCATGAAGCAACGGAGATGTACTAGTATGTGTGACTCGACATCTTTGCAAAGAAATCAGAGAGACACTCTTTGACTCTTACCCCTCAGTCCGTGATAAGAAAGGATGGGGCATGCATAATAGGCTCCGTACTCTCCTGTCGCATTCATCAATGAGGGCGGCAGGGAGAGAGGCTAGGGAGAAAAGACCCCACGCCCATCATGCTTGTTCAAAGCCATGGAATCATATTAATCAAGGAAAACAAGTGAATACTGCAGAAAAATTCGAATGGTGGAAATGTATAGGTGAGCATCAAGCTCACGATGTCTCCCCCCACGCCTGAATCAGTCCCGTCACTATCTACCGCGGTGGCGGCTGATCCCGTGTTTCACATCTTGAATCAACAAACCCTCATTTACCATGGTGGCTTCATGCAGTGGTATTGTTCTTACCCACCTGCCACGCTGTTGACCATTCTTACAATGCTAGAAGAGACTAGTGTCTATGTCTTCTCAGTGAGTGAGAACAAGTGGCAATGTCTATTCGAATAGATCTAATTGAACCCATCCCACACGGCTTTTCGCACAAATTAGATGCCTGATACGATGACTGGTGGATATGAGAAGCCGTCATGGGTGCTAAGAACTGTGTTAGCCGAAGTAAACCTCAGGTACTTGCCTCCAGAGACTATCCCACGGCTGCGGCACATGTATGGCTCTGGAGGTCAGCCTATAAGGGATATCCTATTTACGATATACGACATGTGTTGCCTTTTGACTTCCTGGTGGCATTCAAACCTGAAACAAGAACCACGGTAGTACATACTACTAAAGTATCTTAGTATTTAGGCACTTGTGAACGAATAAACGAAGAGGACACAGACGACCGGTTTGGCTTGCTTCTGCTAGACGATGTACTTGGATGCGAGGGGAATGTGCGTGTCTCCCTACTACTGCATACTAAGCTCCTTAGCAGATACTAATATCTGGATAAGTAGTGCCCGGATACACTTGAAATTTGGTTCTCCTACCGGAGTCGGTTGTCTAGTCTTGAAAAATGCTGCGGACGGCCGGCTCTATGGCTAACAGGTGTTATGTCTGCAATCGCCGAGAAGCGCTCCTGGGCACACTGGGGTGAATGAGGCTTACACGTCCAGTCATATATCGAATTTGCCCATGTACAGTTTAGTATTGGTACTGGCTGTAGTTGATGTTGGTGCAGTACATGAGCTTGAGTAGCGCCAAGTGGTGGATACACGCAGCCAACCGCGGCCCCACTCCACATTTTGTACAGCTCGAGGTACTTGTTAGTGCCCGGCAGACAGCTTCTTCGCCGTTCTGGCACTCGATGCCGTCCTGGAGGAATAGCTGTGGTACTTGCGGGCGCACCTGGCCGTTGTTGTAGCCAATTCCTGCATCAAGTAACCCGAGCTGCAGGATACCTCCGAAGCAGGTACATGCGGATCGGCCGAGACGGTTTGACGTTGCCCGTCCCATCCTGCCTAGGCCAGCCACCAGTGAGCTCTTCCTCTGCACCTCCAACCTGCTGCCTCCAGCATTCTCATTCATCCTTTGGCCTACTTCTATCCACGCTCTTCTTCTTCTCCCCTTTGCCGAAATTCTCGCCTGATTTAGCCGTGACTCGCCTGAAAACCGCTCACCCTCCGTTACCTCTAGCTCCAGCTCAGGCCGCTGCCTTTAGCTTGGCGTGAATGCTGCAAAGACCAGACATCAGTGCCCAGCGCCTCATCACGCCTCAGCTAAATCGACAAACATTGTGAGCACTGCACGTACCAACATCAACGTCATCAGAGAGTGCCTAAGCCCAGGCCTTGCACTAGCATCACCGTCCGTCTTCCTCCTGGCCGTTGGCTGATGTGATCACGACATTGTCCCACTGAGTCAAAGCAACAAGGACAATGCTCCTCTGGCTGTGCGACTTGTTCTGATATTACACACTCCTCCCACCTATCTGCCGTCCCTGTTGACTACTAGGTAGTGCAAGCAGAAAAAATAGCTCCACCGAACTTGAGTCACTTGCTTCGCCTAGTCCCCCGGTCATCACGTCTTCCTGGATGATGTTATGATAAGACACTCATAGCATGGCCTTCCAAACTAGAGTTCTGAGAGATGGCGAGTGGGTTACTGAAACCGTCAACCTGCAAGCCGCCTTGAAAGCATCTGCCGCACCACAACTGGCCTCTGAACCCCTGCCACAGCCCCCAGTATGTGGTATTCTGTCCCAGACCATTGTTGAAAGCCCCGTGGTCCGATGGGTGCTTCCCGTTCGACTGCGCTCCAGCACTCATAATGATATTGCCTTTATTGGTGTAAGTCTCCCCCCCGTCCTGAAAAGCCATTCTATGGAGTCTGGCCGCGTATTTTCCTAGTCTAGTCATGATGTTCTTGTTTACTATCGTAGGGCTGTTTTGGCTGATATCCACCAGGAACATTTTGTCCAAATCAGTCAGCTTGGGAGGGATGGTCAGGTCCATGATGTCCTGCGCAAATCCGACTTTGGTTTCCGAATTCGAAATGCTGTTGTTCTCGGCGACAACCTAGAGCATGGCTTAGACGATGACCCATACGGTGTCGCTGTCAAACCAGAACCGCCGTCTTCGCCGCTGTCTCCAGGTGCCCATGGGATTTTTAATGACACCCAAAGCAATTCGCTCCCCCCACAGCTGCTCGTATTGATGCTGGAGTCTTGCCAGTTGCTTTTTCTCTTTGTGAGAGAACGACCTGACCACACGTTGGAGTTCGTCATAACCAAGTACGATAACCCTCGGCTGCTGCCTTACATGGGTTATCAGCTTGCCGTGGACCCATCTTCGCGATATATGGCTGCTGCGACTCCAGAAGGCATCTTCGTTGTCTACGAGTTGGAGGCATTGTCGGAGCTCAATAAGCAATACACAGAACAGGGATCCATCGAACCCATCATGTCCATACGCATCCGTGCAGTCAGCGGCGTCATTCACAAATTAGAATTCTTATTCCCTCGCCGCGAGGATGAGTATCATGTTATCCTGCTCCTGATCGTTGCTCGAAGGGAGCGGAGTCGTGGACCCCCTGTTTCTCGAATGGCAACGTACGAATGGGAGCTGGGTGAAGATCTTCAGACCATTTTTGCTGAAGAAAGGACTGGCACTCGACTCCCCAGGGAACATAGGATGCCTATGCTGCTTATTCCAATCAGGTTCAAAACCGCCTTTTTCGCTGTTTCTCAGTTCCATGTCGGCATCGTAAAGTATGCACTTTCGGGCTCGCCTGAATTCGAATCGTTACCGACACAACCTCCTGAGCCTACTTCGCTGTATACTGGCAGTGGTGAGCCGCTCTGGGTCGCCTGGGCGAGGCCCTTCCGCCGGAAGCAGTATTTTGAAAAAACAGACATTATCTATCTGGCCCGTGAAGACGGCGCGATTATTCATATTGAAATTGACGCCACCGAACTGCTCCCCTCGGTAACCAATGTTGGATGCGTGGGCGCCAATATTGACATGGCATTTGCTACAGCATATGACATCTTTTCTGATGTTCTCATTATTGGTGGAGACTCTGGCCCAGGCGGCATTTGGAAGGTAAGCTCTCGTCGAGCGGCATCAGATATATCATGAGCTATGTTGACAATAAGCTTTATCGTTCCCTTTTTTAGCTCGCTCCTCGTCAGGATCTCCAGAAGGTTGGAATCCTTCCTAATTGGTCTCCGGTCGTTGATATGACAACGACAAACGAATTCTCAAGCTGGTACGGCAACAACGCGGATCATCAATTAGCGCAATCCAGGACAACATCGCAACAGCGGAATAAGATACGCAAACAAGACAGCATTTTCAGCGCATCCGGTCGGGGCCTCGAAGGAAGTGTAGTGCAATGGAGATGGGGAATAGAGGCTCGAATTGGACTGGACATCGAAACCGGGGAACCCATTAGACAAGCATGGACATTTACAGCGCATCGTAACAACGATAGAGAGCTCTATGGGCTTTTGGCGCTGCCGCATTCGTCAGTTGTTCTTCGATTGTCAGAAAGTCTGGATCAAGTCGATGCCATACCACCTGAAGACACGCCGTTCGATTTGGCATCTAGGACTCTCCACACTGTTCAAGTGTCAGAGACTATAGTTCAAATTACGGAAATGTCAATCAATGTGGCTACTCCTACAGCAAGGTAAAGTGTTCCGCCAGGATTGCCGTGACTTTGAGGCTGTAATTCTGACTTCCTGGCCAGCTCACGATGTCTCATTGCAGAAGCCGTTGGCATGCCCGATGCCACGGCAGAAAGTGCTTTTTGCATTGGGCATACCGTCGTATTCTCCACGCATGTCGGACAAGTCTCTCGGTTGCATACCATGAAAGCTGAGGGAATCGATTTTGCCATGATAGGGAGTTGGGATGCACAGGGTGAAGTAACCTGCGTTTCAATATTCACCGTATCGAGCAACAGCTTCATCGCGGCCGCTTCCATGTATAATGGAGTGCCATGGATATCCATCTACTCAGCCTCTGGGGAAGCTATTGTTTCGAAGTCCATCACATCTGGTCAAGGTATGTCCTACACCTACTTGAGCACGGCACTGCTTGCCTGTCTACTACTACTTCAACGGGCTTCGATTGACATGATATGGCAGATGGAGTTGATGGTGCTGAACTGGAAGCACTAACGAGCATCTCGGTAGCCCACCAGGGTGAGGATCAAGTTGACCTTATTCTGGGCTCTCGTTGCGGCAGCCTTGTCACTGCTCGAATATCCGACCAATCTCCGGACAATATGACATGGAACTCTGAAGCCATTGGCGTGGCTCGAGTTGAAGTATTTCCATTTTCAGTCCCTTACACCGAAACGTCGACGGCTTTTGCTTGCTGTGATAATAAACTGATCCTACTCAGCAACTTTTCTCCAGATGATTGTAAATTCACCAGCAAACACTTCGTATGGCCAACAGATTCTAATGAACCATCGATGCCCTCCCCTCCGATTCATTCTGTCCACAGGGTACCGCAAAATCTCTCTGGGCAAGATGGGCATATATCTCTTCTAATCCTCGCGGGGTCAAGGCTACTCTTGGCTGACTGCGGCCCTCGCATTGGAAATGTGCCCAGGTCTATCTCTATTCACGGTACTCCGACAAGAATCATATTCTCGCATGTGTTGAACTGCCTAATCGTCGCGATGGTTACGGATGATAGGCCCACTCTGCTGTTTATTGACCCCGAGACAGGGCTGATTATCTCTGCTCCAACCGACAAGGATCGGCATCGTGTTGAATTTATTTCTGGCCTTGGCCGTCCCGGCGACAGGATATTTGGGCTCCATGAGTGGCTATACAAGAAAGATGGAAGGATGTTCCCTTTCCTTCTCGTAACCACCCAACATGGAGAGCTCATTATCGTATCTACGGAAAAGTTCTATGCTCGCGAGGGTGACCCCGACAGTAGACAACTGAGATACTGGACACGATATAAAAAACGTCTCCGCGGTGAAATCTTTTCGATTACAGGGGATTCAGAAGGACTAATATATTGCGTCGACCGGACACTTCATTGGGAAGTCCTCGATCTGGTGGAGAGAAAACTGAGACCTGTGAAACAGTTCCAATTAGACTCTCCAGCAACGTCTCTGCGCGTCTCAGGGGGCAAGCTCTTTGCGCTGACGGCTCTACACTCTTTAGAAGTGATAGACTACCAGTCTGAGGATGAGGAGACCATGGAACTCCTCCATGGTGACCAAGTCTCTAGGCGAGCGGTCCATATGATAGACGTGGGCGATCCGACTGACGGTCATGGTCGGTGGCCATTGACTCTCATATCAGACCAGGGAGGTATCATAGCTGGCGTCTGGGTTCCTCTGGGGCAACGGGACAAGGAATTCGACGTGGTATTCGAAGGCATGCTAGCATCTTCCGTGAGGAGATTTGCGCGAGCCCACAGCAGGCCGCCATGGCTCGTAGACAATACTCAGCGACGCTATGGGACACTGCCGAGCACTCATGATGGGACAGACATCATTGGCGTTTCGCTGGATGGTTCAATGCATCAATTTACGTTGCTTGGCCCTGAGCTTTGGCGATTCTTATTCACGGTCCAGATACTGGCCCAGAGAAAAGGCGGCATTGTTCCACTCAACACGATACATCGCGACGATAAGGTGGACATTATGGATCCGGATTTGCACCCAAGTTCAAAGATGATGCACATAGACGGAGACCTGCTGAAGCGGTGTTTGCATTTGCACATGCTAGAGAGGATTGTGAAATCCGAGGCTACTTTTGCATTATTTTGTGGTCACCTCGATGCTATAGGGGGAGGGAGTTACACTACTGACTTCAAACGCGAAGGCGAATCGAGGCGGCGAGAGAGATACTTTGAGCTTGGCTATGAGATTATCAAGTTTCTCGTCTCACCTACATTGTAAGGACAGGTGAAATTTTGTTATAGCATGATTCTGTATAGGCGAACACGGCTAAGCAGCTTTGGTGCTGTATGACTGGTACGATTTGGGCCTTTGGTATTTTCACAAGGGATGGATGGTATATGAAGTAAGTCTACTGGTTCGATTTTTATCATCTTGCTGCCTCTAGAGTAGGAGTATATCTGGGTGCTCTTTGATTGTTGAAGGGTTTCAATGCTTGTACAATCTTGCAGGCAGTAGGGTGTTGCCCCGCCTGGATTAACAAATTTGTGTGATTCCAACATAAGGTAGCTATGATATGCACATTTTGGCTGGCATTGAATGGCTGTATTTGCGATGCTGGGTACTAAATACTCGCCTGCTAGTTTCCGCATGGACACAGGAGATGTAGCTGCTACTTTGTACAAAGCAGAGCATAGCAGCGCATAGCAGAGTAAAGCAAAGAGTGTTAAATGGCGGGCCATCAAAATATCATATCGTGTCCCGCAGATGCCAGGCATGAAGGACCGACTCCATCGGCCCCGCAAGGCGAAGCCTAAAGGCCAGCCCACTTACTGTACAAGGCTTTCGTCTAACCACCACAAACAATTTACAGGTGGGCAGAAGTGGCGGGCGATTAGTGCGGGACAGCTCAGTATTATCTCTGGCCTTTTTTTTTTCTGGTGGCTTTTTTCCTCTCCCAGTGCATTATTCCTCCATTCTTCCGCTTGGAGATCCATCTTTGCCCATTCTCCCATTCTCTTCATCACCGTGGGGTTGAATTTTCTTTTCTAGGGTTTCTTCACTAATTGCACTGCCCCTCCTCTTTTTTTCGACCTTTCACCACCGACCAAAAACTCCAAGATGGCACCAAAGAAGAAGGGGAACAAGAATGCCCAGGAGGACTGGGAGGCGGAATTGGGAGAGAGCATCGCCCCGGCTGGAGATGCTCCTCCTGCCGCTGAACAGAATGGCGAGGACGATGAGGCTGCTGGCGGTGGCGGCCTGATGGCCATCATGCGCAAGAACAAGGAGAAGCGCAAGAAGAAGGGCATTGTGGACGAGGAGCCGGCACCTGAGCCGGTGGAGGAGGATCTGTCTGCCAAAGCACCAGTTGAGGCATCTCTGGACGATGACGAGTTTGCCTTGCCGCAGAAGAAAGGAAAGGGTGGCAAGGGCAAGCCTGCCCCGGCAGCGGCCGCGAAGGATGACAAGGATGACCTCGAAGAGCCGGGCAGGATACTCACAAAGGCAGAGAAGGAAAAGCTGAAGAAGGAACGTGAGAAGCAGCGTAAGAAGGAACAGGTTTGAACCCCCCATCTCATCAACACCATTGAACATTTTCAATTCTTAACAATCATGATGAATTAGGCTGCCAAGAAGAAGACTCCAGCACCTGCGAAAGCCCCAGAGCCGGCAAAGACGACTGCCAAAGATGAGCCCGCGGCTGAACCAGCGGCAGCTCCCGCCCCCGCCCCGGCCGAGACGGGAGGTAAAAAGAAGAAGATTCCGGCACATCTCGCCTTGATTCAGAAGCAACAGGAGGAGTTGCGTCGCAGGCAAGAGGAGGCTGTCCGTCTGGAAGCCGAAGCCAAGGCTTTGGCCGAAGAAGAGGAAAAGCGACTGGCCGAGGAAAACAAGCGCAAGGAAGAACAAAAGGCTCTCAAGAAGCAACGTGAAAAGGAGCGTATTGAGCAGCTGAAGAAGGAGGGCAAGTTCCTCACCAAAGCACAGAAAGAGGAAAAGGCTCGAAACGAGCTGAAGCTCCAGCAGATGCTTGCAGCAGGCATCAAGATTGGGCCTCAGGAAGAAGAGGGTGCACCTAAGAAGAAGGTGGTATATGACAGCAAGAAGAAGAGAGGCAAGAACGACAAGGTAATGAACCATTCCTCCGCTCTACCAATATCTCTAGCTAATGTTTGATTTCTCCCCCTTTTACAGAAGGATGAAGAGGCTGCTTTGGCTGAGGCCGCCGAAAGAGCTCGACTCCAGGCCGAGAAGGCCCTTAAGGAGGCAGAAGAAAAGGCTGCAAAGGAAAAGGCCGAGGCTGAGGCCAAGGCCGCCGCCTCCAAGGCTGCTCGGGAGAGCGACGTGGAGGATGACTGGGAAGCTGCTGCTAACAGCGAAGGGGAGGACGTCAAAGACAGCTGGGATGCTGATTCCGACGAAGAGGCGGAGAAGAAGGCCGCTGCCAAAGATAAGAAGGAGGAGGAAGACGAGGAGGAGGAAGACGAAAGCGAGTCCGAAGAGGAAGATTCCGAAGACGAGGCTGTATCAAAAGCCCAGCAACTCGAGGCTCAACGCAAAAAGGAGGCTGCCGAACGCCGAGAGAAGGCTCACCAGGCCGCCCTGGCCGCTCGATCCAAGGATAACCTGCGCTCTCCCATCTGCTGTATTCTGGGACACGTTGATACCGGAAAGACAAAGCTTCTCGACAAGATCCGACAGACCAACGTCCAGGAAGGCGAAGCCGGAGGTATTACGCAGCAGATTGGTGCTACATACTTCCCCGTCGACGCCATTAGGCAAAAGACGGCTGTGGTAAACAAGGATAGCGAGTTCGAATTCAAGGTGCCTGGTCTCCTTGTTATCGATACCCCTGGCCACGAGTCTTTCTCCAACCTCCGATCCCGTGGTTCGTCCCTGTGTAACATTGCTATTCTAGTCGTGGACATCATGCACGGTCTTGAGCCGCAGACTTTGGAGTCTATGCGCATGCTTCGTGAGAGGAAAACGCCCTTTATCGTGGCACTCAACAAGATTGACAGACTTTACGGATGGAAGAAGGTTGACAACAACGGCTTCCAAGACAGTCTGGCGCTTCAGAGCAAGGCGGTTCAGAACGAGTTCAAGAACCGCCTGGAGCAGACCAAGCTGGCGTTCGCTGAGCAGGGATTTAACTCGGAGCTCTTCTACCAGAATAAGTCCATGGCCAAGTTCGTCTCGCTTGTGCCAACATCAGCGCACACTGGTGAGGGTATCCCGGATATGCTGAAGCTTATCCTCCAGCTCACCCAGGAGCGTATGGTTGGCTCTCTCATGTATCTGTCCGAGGTGCAGGCAACAGTTCTTGAGGTCAAGGCCATTGAGGGTTTCGGTATGACCATTGACGTCATCCTGTCCAACGGTATCTTGAGAGAAGGCGACCGAATCGTGTTGTGCGGTACTGAAGGTGCTATTGTGACAAACATCAGAGCTCTGCTCACTCCAGCGCCACTACGCGAGCTGCGTCTCAAGTCGGCATATGTTCACAACAAGGAGGTCAAGGCCGCTCTGGGTGTCAAGATTAGCGCTCCTGGCCTAGAAGGAGCCATTGCTGGTTCCAGGCTGATGGTGATTGGTCCTGACGATGACGAAGATGACATTATTGACGAGGTCGAGTCAGATCTGGCAAACCTTCTCAGCAGAGTCGAGACCTCTGGTCGTGGTGTCAGTGTGCAAGCCTCCACTCTTGGTTCACTGGAAGCCTTGCTCGACTTCCTCAAGGACTGCAAGATTCCAGTGGCCAACGTTGGTATCGGTCCAGTTTACAAGCGTGATGTGATGCAGTGTGGTATCATGTTGGAGAAGGCACCAGACTACGCTGTGATGCTCTGTTTCGATGTCAAGGTCGACAAAGAAGCTCAGCAATACGCCGAGGATCAGGGAATCAAGATTTTCACCGCCGACATCATCTATCACTTGTTTGACAACTTCACCAAGCACATGGATGAGATGCTGGAGAAGAAGAAGGAAGAGTCCAAGATGCTGGCAGTCTTCCCTTGCGTCTTGAAGCCGGTTGCTATTTTCAACAAGACTGCTCCTATCGTCATTGGTGTGGATGTGGTCGAAGGTCAGCTCAAGATCAATGCGCCAATTGCAGCTGTCAAGACCAACCCAACGACAAACGCCAAAGAAGTCGTTGCCCTTGGTAGAGTGTAAGTTTTATTACCGCGTGCAATTCAACCCAACCCATCCCCCCTTTTCTATAATCTCTCTTGTCATTTTCAGTTACTGATACAGTATATTCTTAGCACTTCTATTGAGCGAGATCATAAACAGATCCCAGTCTGCAAAAAGGGCCAGCCTTCTGTTGCCGTCAAGATTGAAATGGGTGGTCACCAGCCCATATACGGTCGACACCTGGAAGAGGCCGACACGCTCTACAGCCAGATTTCGCGAGCTAGCATTGACACCCTGAAGGAGTTTTACCGCAAGGAGGTGACCAATGAGGAATGGCAGCTGATTATCAAGCTGAAGCCCCTGTTTGACATCTGAAGTGGTTGATAAGGAAGAGAGCAGAGGACAAAGAATCTTCTGCTGTTTCCTCGCCCACACTCACCAGCTATCCAGTGCCTCTGGCCTCACAGCTTCTGTCATATAACAAAACAGACTTTGTTCAAGTTTGTTTTGTTAATATCTCTTCTCCTCTTATTACATCCGTTATCATAAAAGCATTTGACTTTTTCATACCTCTTTTCTGTTTTTGGACTGTTGGAACATGATTTTTTTTTTTTTTTTTTTTTTTTTTTGCCTCTCTTTCCGTGCTTTGTTTGTTTGGTCGCAGGAAATAGCATGGAGGGAAAGGGGGGATTGCGGCTGGTTAGATTGTCAAAAAGAAGCGACAATCATATGTATCGAGTATAAAAAAGTAGCGGTTGGAGAGAAGAAAGAAAAAAAATCGTTTCTATAAAACTGGTGTATTGCCTCTCAATGGTAATGAAAACATGCTACGAGGAATAAATCAAGAGGCTGGAAAAGGTTTCAAGTTCAAATAGGCCAGGGTGTTGGTGAACACGAGAGTAACGGCGGAAAGTGAGATTACAATGGACTTCTTTTTTTAAACGTGTTTGGCATAAACAAACTTGTCTGCTGCTATCCGACTTGAAGTGACCATCGAGTAATGCTCGAGTCAAAATCTAAAAGAATTCCCTTCATGTGTATAAAAAGGTCATAACTACTTGGGGCATATGATATAAATGGATCTAGAATGTGTAGACATGTTTTCCCTCATGACAGTCCCTCCCTCCGTGTTTTACCAAAAGTCAACTTTTTCTATACTGTATATCCTTCTCGGGAGTTTTTACCCTCTCTCTGCCACAGCGTGGTATTTATTTGGGGTCACCAGCCTCCTCAGATTCGGTCTGAGGAGCATCGGCATCCTTCATCTCCTGGTCTGATCCGCCCTGGGCTGCCTTTTCGGCCTCAGCAGCCTTGCGAGCCTCTTCCTCAGCGGCTCTTTTGGCAGCCTGTTCGGCCTCGACGCGCTCCTGGACGGCACGGCGCTCAGCATCGACTTTCTCAAAGTGTCGCTGAACGACAGGTCCGGCAAGAGCTCGGATCTCCTCCATCTTGGAGACGTAGACACCCTTAGTGGCATCGTCGCCCTCATCGTACAGCCAGTCCTATAATCGCATTTAGTGACATGTTCTCACGTAACAGAGCGTAGGGGGCGCGCCATTCACATACCTCAGTGGACTCGAGCTTAGCTCGGATGGCGGACTTCTCGTCCTCGCTGGAAAGATCGGCGTACTGCTCGTCAAGCTTGGCTCGGAGATCATAGATGTAGGCCTCGAGCTCGTTCTTCTTCTCCTCTGTGTCAGCGACAAGCTTATCCTCCATAACCATGGCGGATTCCTTCTCCGTCAAAGCAGTCTTTGCGCTGGCATCCAGTGATGAAGTGCCGCTGGCAATGGGCAAATCGCCCTTTCGGACCTGCTTCTTGACCTTGCGGGTCTTTGTGGTATCGGTATCCATAGCCTGCGAAAAATTTGTGTCAGCCAAGTTTCTATCTTATCGACAAGGGTGGTGGGATACTCACATCAGCATCTTTCTTGTCGTCCTCCTTCTTGTCATCATCCTTGACCTCTTCCTCGACCTCTTGATCCTCGACATAGTAGCCGTTCTCGACATTCAGCACACCGTGAATGTTGACTCGGGCCTTGAGCTTGCAAATCATGAAGTCTTCCTTGCCATCGGCTTTGACGCCCTTCACAGAGAAGCGGCCAATCCAAGGGTTCGTTTTGCCAGGAAGCTCTTCAGAGTTAGCATAGCGGGCCTCCAAGTCAAAGGGCTGCTTTCGGTAGAATGTGAGAATCTTGGTCGAGGGCAGGACACCACCCTTGTTGAAGACGGTCAAGCTGGTGTCCTCATCGGGAATATCGGGAGCCTTCTCCCATCCAAACTCAATGGGGTAGCTGATAATATCCTGAACAGTGAAGTCACGAACTCGGAAAGCCGGGGACAGGATGGCGCAGCTGAAGGCACAGCCTCGAGCAATAGCCTCATCGGCGTTCATGGTGTAGGAAAGAGGCTTCTCGAAGAAGGCCTGGATGCGCTCCTTGAGCACGGGGACTCGAGATCCACCACCGACGATCTCAATAACGTCAATATCCTCCTTGGAGAGCTTGGCCTGGGCAAGGGCCTGCTCAAGGGGCACGTGGATACGAGCCAGCAGAGGCTCGACCATGGCCTCGAACTCTTGTCGAGTAACCATGGCGGAAGCATCCACGTCGTTCATCAGGGACTCAATGTTGACGGGAGCCTGCTGGTTAGCAGAGAGGATCTTCTTCGTCTTCTCAGCGGCAGCAATGGTACGAGCCATAGCTCTACCGTGGGTGTTGATGTCAACCTTGTACTTGCCCTTGAACTCCTTGGCCAAGTGGTCCACAAGGGCCTTGTCGAAGTCTCGACCACCGAAGTTGCGGTCCCAGGCAGTGGCCTTGACAGCCAGCTCACCCTTCTTGAACTCGACGATGGAGCAGGTGAAGTTGCTGTGGCCAATGTCGATGAAGCAAACACGGCGGGGCTGCTCCTCGGGAGCTGGGAGGTCAAGCTTGGTGATACCCCAGCCAAGAGCAGCGGCAGTGGTGTCGTTCATGAGTCGGAGAACCTTGAGGCCAGCAATCTCGGCAGCATCCAACAAGGCTCTGCGCTGAGAGTCCGTGAACCAAGCAGGGACGCTCAAGCAAAGGTCGGCAACGGGCAGCTTCAGCTCGTTGGCAGTGGTCTGCTTGATCTTGCTCAGGTACATGGCAACGAGCTGAGTGGCTGTGAACTTCTCGCTGTTGCCGAGATAGTTGACCTCAGCACCAACCTGTCCGTTGATGTCGACAAGGGGTGCGGTGACATATTGCTGCTCGGTCTGGATATCGGGATCGTTGAAGGACCGGCCGGCAAGACGCTTGAGGCAATTGACGGTGTTCTTGAGGTTGGAAATCTCCTGGGTCTTGGCCGCCTCGCCGAGGTAGCGTGATTTGGGGCCAAATCCTACCAGAGATCTGTGTGTCGCAGCAGCGTTAGCAATGATTGAGTATTACATGTGATGGGGGGTATTTATCGCTGATAAGACGAAGGGAGACCGGGGGGGTTATTGGGGGCAGCGGGACGTACGGCGTAGCTCTGTTGGAGACTTCATTGGTGATCTAGAGGAGGATTCCTTGGGTCAGTTCGGGGCCCAGCTCTGGTGAACGACTTGATTCTGAATTGATATTCACTCACCACATCGACGCCACGATTTCTCGCGACTGCAATCACCGTCTTGAGGGTTCCGAAATCGACACCTGCGCCGCAGGGAAGGGTTGGTCAGCATGAGAGGAAGTCTTTTCTTGATCTGTAACAGACAGGGACGCAGTATAGAAATAAGCATGAGAATGAACGAGCGGCAGAGGGGAACGTACCGACGACGGAAGTCATGATGCCAGTCTTATCTGTGTCTTTTGAAGAATCTCGATACAGGCGCACTTGGGTCGCAAGTGAGGGGCCCAAGTCAAAAAAGAATCCGACCAGGCAGAAGAAGAAATGAAAGGAGAGGGAGAGAGGCAGGAAAGAATCGAGCCTTGTGGGTGGGGAGCGAGAAAAGTGAAAGCAAAAGGACCAAAGAAAAAAAAAACCTAGTAGAGGCCGGTCTGATAGTGGCGGTTGCGATACAAAGTGGGATGCAAAATAGTTGGGAGGCCTGCTTTCTCCCTTGGGTGGTGGGCGGTGAGATCAGGTACTAATTGATGCGAACCTGAAGAAAATTTAGTGCGTGCTGCCAGCTGCTAAATACCTGTAGGCTTTCTTTTTTCCTCGCTCTGCGCTCTGCTGCCTCTGGAGGTACCTGTGCCGGGCGCGGGGCGCTGTTGGGCATGTATCTGCGCCGCCAGTGCACGGCAAAAAGGTACTCGGACCTGCCGCCCCGCCACGTCCCGGCAGGTACCTCATGGAATGTTGAAGAATTTTCCAGACTCCACGAGAAAGCTGAGCGCCGGAGCCTGACCACAGCCAAGGAGAATTAGCAAATGGAGGGACGGCATTGCCTTGTCGCGTTACCTAACCAACAGCCCAATGCCAGCTGCCAAGAGCAAGTCGCTGCCAATCGCCTGTGCTGTACATGTAACAGTCCCTTGTTGACGGGCTAGGTAGGCGCCTTTGATTGCAGATATTATGCCAACAGGTACTTACCGCCTTGGTACCTAATTCTGCCTACCTGTACTCCGTACCTAGGTAGGTACTAAAGTATTCGTTTCTCTTCTCTCTTTGTGATGTAAACACCCTGAACTACTACCTAAAAAGCATTAAGCTTTGTCTCTTTGTGCACATTGATTTGTTAGGTCAGTGGCTTTCTTCCACGAGAAACAAGCCCTCAATCACAAATTACCCCGCCAATACGCCTTTGTCACTTCTAATGCCCCTCCTTCAAGCCTTGACTGCCCCGCCATGCCCAGGAATACAGAAAATTACAGCGCTGTTGTAACAGTCATGGCGTTAGAGAAACAGGCCTTGGCACATAATGGCGCAACTCAATGACAACAAACCAGCTCATTCTCTTTTCTACGCTCTTTAGTCGAACAGGCATAATTCGTAATCATAAGCTGTTCTCTAGCTAACTCAGAGGAGGGGAGAAAGAACAAGTAGAAAACAGAAAAAGAAAAACGAGGCAGTACGTGTCTATAGGTATGTATGCAATAACTATGTTCAAATGATATAACCAAAAAGCCACACCGTTATGAAAACTGGATGCTCTTCTCATCTTTCTGGTTTTTGTATTCGTGAGAAAGCCACCTCGGCCAGCCCTAAGCCACCGTCTCACGGATCTGACGACAGGTCAATGAGCTCAACATCCGGCGATTCTTTGCTTAATCCAGTACCGGGTCGGGTGGTTCGCTGAAACTGTGCCCGTTGGGCTATCGCGTACTTTCTCCTGTCTTCTTCTCCCATGAACTGATCCATTGAAACGGCCCCAGGTCCGTTGAGCTCGAATCCCTCCAAAGAGCCTCTCTGCATCGCGTCCCATGAGGAAGACGGAGTAGTAGAAGACGCAAGCGGTGTCTCGATGTCAACATCTGACTCGTCAAAGTGTGTATAGAGTCCTGCCGGCGTCCTTTTCCGGGCTGAGAACATGCCGTCAATGCCATCAGGGGGTCTGACAACACTCCTCTTGCGTCCAAGCCCAGCGTTAGAGGATGCGCCCTTGGCCGCTGCCGCCTTTCGCGCCTCGTGCGCGGGTAGAAAGCTCTCGGGAACCACATTGAGCTCATCGCCCTGCATCTCGGCTTTCTCGGCCGCCTCTCGTGCGGTTGTGTTGTTATCGGCAGCGGCAGCATCCGCTCGTGGCCCTCCCCATGTCCGCTGGCCAGCGGTGAATATGCCATATACCATATAATACCAGTTGAAAAAGGGGTTCAAGACAAACATTAATGGGTATAGCCATATTTTAAAGCGCCGAAGCTTCGCGCCAAAGTATATCATGAGTAACCAGTTCAGCCCAAGCGACACTCCGATGAATCCAACCGGCAGGTCCTTAACTTTGGCAACAGTCGATATCAGTGCGAGGACCATGATGAAGAAGAGAAGTGCAGTTGTTCGGATGGTGTTCTGCATGAAGCGGACAATGATCAAGAGAGGATATCGTTTCCACAGCCGCCAGTCAGTCAGCATACACACCTCGTTGGTGATGAAGCCTAGAAACCATCGCCTCCGCTGCTTAATAAGGGAGCGGTAGGTCTGTACGGCTTCAGTTTTACAAAACGCCGACGTGCACATCTGAATCTGGTATCGCTGCTTGGCGCCAATCATGAAGAGGTGAGTGAGCCAGCGATCCTCTCCCAGGTGGCACTTTGCAAAGTCGAACAGGTCCTCGCACTGCTCAGCCTTGTCAGCAAAATAATACTTGGCCATCCTCCTAAACGCGGAAAAGCGAAGCATGGTCAGGGCAACCGGAAGACACGTCACAGAGCCGCAGCCGGATTCCACTGTGCGCTCAAACAACTGGCCGTGAATGTACTCGATATCCTGAAGCAGGGTGATGATGCTATGTTTCCTCGTGGTCGACGTAATGACGCCAGTCATGGCCAGCATGTTTCTAGAATTGCCGGGACTTAGCTCCATATCATAAACAAAGTTCTGCAAGCAAACTTTGTCCAATATGCAATCTGAATCGATGAAGAGGATGAACAAATTGTCGTTCATCTTGAGGTATTGTTCGTACACTCTATCAATGAGTTTAAACGTCGATTTCTGGCAGTGTCTCTTGCCACCGTGAGGAAACCGAGAGATGGTTATGCGGGCTTCCTTGTATGTGACATCGATGCTCCTCGGATAGGACTCCATGGTTAGGGGAACTCCTAGCTTTTCTATCGTATTGAGATAGAGCTCATCTTCCTGGTCTCCATCGAAGGAGAGGAATACATGAATGCAGGCAGCAGGATAGTCGCAGTCAACAACAGAGTTGATAGCTGTGATAAGCACATCAGGCTCTTCCTTGTAGCATGGCATAACAATCACAACTTTGGGCGCGGTGACATCATCAAGCACTTGCTTCATCCTCTTTGTGCGCCCAAGCTGATTGGTAACAAGTTGGTAGACGCAGAAGAGCCAGGGCACTGTAAGAAGGATGGAAAAGCTCCAAAAGGCAAACCATTGGAGAACAGAGACAACAGATTCTGGCCAGTATTTGGAGACTTGGCTTGGCAGTGGCAAGGTTACCACCATGATGGGGAGAAAGATGGCCCTATAGAAGGTGGTTGTCAACAAGCAAGATTCTCTCCTCAAGTGTGGCATAGCTTTTTTATATATATCTACATGTATATTCTCACGAACAGACGTACCTGAAAGCCACAAAGGCTATCCCGACAACGACACAGAGGACGTTGATAGACCAATGTTCAGCTTTTCGGAATGCCTTGTATAAGCAATACACAAAAGCTGCCAACCAGAGGAACCACTCCAGTAGGGCCATAATCATGACGACTCCAACGATGGCCGTATAAACAATCTAAACCGGTGTGCATCCAGGCTCGTATTAGTCATTTATCACCATCATCTGTGAATTGGCGACGATGTTGGGGCACAAGAGTCCACTTACATCTTTAACGGGCCATTCTGGCCCAGCCGAGTCGCCCGCCATCCTGTCTCCCCAGCTACCACAAGTAATGGGAAATAGTAATGAGATTCTTGGTGCTGAGAACAGAGCGTTGTTCCGAACCCCAGTTGAGAGGCATGCCAGTACGAAGGTTTAAAGATGGTTGCTGAATTCTTTCATGACAAAATCATGGATACACGCACGTACACACACCAAAAGATCTTTTCAATTGGTAGGGAGAAAGAAAAAAGAGACAGAACAAAGAGAATTCAAATACAGATTGGGGCCCTAGATCGCAACGGCTTTATTCTTGCATGCCACCAGCCGTCAGACCTTTGCCGAAGGTGAGGCTGAGTAGAGATTGGTCGTGACACCCTGTGGCGAACAGCAATGAAATCCCAGTCTGAAAAAAGTGACAAAGGGAAGACGGAAAAAGCAGTCGATTTGGCTCGCGTATCCGTGTATCACAGCATCCCCGCCCACGCTGTAAATGGGAAGCCCGATTTTACAACCAGCGAGCGAACTGCGAAGCGACAAGCAGGGCACAGAGCCGAGAGCAGATTAAAAACGGCAAACGAAAAATGAAGAAAAGAACATGGACAAGATGCTTATGAGAGGAGCGGCAAGTGATGTGCACCACCACCTGCTGGATTTGGTCGTACGGGAGAATTCTCTCGGAACTGGTAAGACCCAGGCAGAGAGACTAATGTAATAGCAACGGCTGCAACTGTCATCACGGCCCAATATGGGGACCACGACCTACCGAATCGGGACCGATTGGCAAAAGCTGGAAGAAAAGACAAAACAGGAACAGCAAAGGGAAAAGGAAAAGGAAAAGGAAAAGGAAAAAGGAAAAGATGAAAATCCCTCCCCGAATTACGTTCGTTGGGTCTACGCAGCAGCAATACGGGCTGCACAGCACGTACGAGTACTTACGATTACTCTCTGGTACTCATATTGATTGGTTAATCCTAGTACCATCTGAGTACCTAATGCAGAGCTCGGACGCCTTAAAATAGCAACAATAACATCAATCTGCCGTTCAAAGAATCACCTTCTCGTTGCATTGGGTACCTTCAATGCTTCGAGCTTGCTTTAGTAGAGCGGTAGTACGTGGTGCATTTACAAAAATACAAAATATCAGCCCGGTAGCAGCATGTAGACTATTTAGATGCCCGTCACAGCAGTGGCCTGGCAATCGCCATGTCATCTCCTCTGGCCTCAATCTTGTCTGGCGGTGGTACCTTAAATACTACATCAACATGCTACAACAACATGAGTACCTACATGTAGCACAGAGGTGCTCCCATGCAAGGGCTTTCAGTCCCAAGTCCCTTGCATTGGCCCCTTTGATGCCGCGACACGGCGGTATTGGCTCAATCTGTCGGTGCCACTCCTCCCATCGCGCCTGTCAACCACAACAATAGCTTTCCCTCGCCAAAGCTCATTAATATCGCTCCAGCCACCCTTCACACCCAGATAAGCGTAGCATTTAGGGAAGCCCCCATAAGGAGAAACCGCTCATCTCTACAGCAACCGCCCTTCTGTAGTAGCTCGGCAATCATGAAGCGTAGCTAGAGTAGATGCTCAGGCTCAGATTGGAGCTTGAAACCCTCCCCCTGTTAGACTTGGCTTTCATATCAAGTAACAGTGAGATGGCAAAGGCGCGTTGTGCCTAAGAGGCCTTATAGGCAACTCCCATTGTCAAGGGTGATCTGCCTGCTCGTGGTATATGGCACCACTCATTGCAACTTTTCGCGAGAGAAGCAGGCTGGTGCGCCAATAATGCCAAAATTCGGTGGTCGTTGAGGTGCCCAGTTCTAGCGACAGCACGCGTCGCTATAGTAATTGCTCGTCGATATACAGAAATCATTGCTACCAATCCACGTCGCTAAGCTGCAGTTTCCGAACACGTTGACCGCGATCCTTGTTCGGCTTATCTACCCGGTTATGGTAGAATGTTGCCGGTCGTTCGTTGCCTATTTCAGTCAGTCCATGTATACAAGGCAGTGATGGTAAATGTGGCCAGGTAGGTACACTCACCATCTTGATCATCACTCTGCTGAAGGTCATAGTTGAGGACGAGATTTTTGATCCGCTGCTGTTCCTCTCTCTCTGCCTGCTGCTGTGTCTTCATGGCAATTGCAAATGTCGAGTCCGAAGGTAACTCGACCGTACGAGTCTAAAGTCTAAGTCAGAATATGTTGCATGGGGATTGGTAAACCATTGGGGGGGTTCTGCCTCAAAGAAATGGAAAGGAGGAGCAGAAAAGAAAAAGAGAAAAAGAAAGTTTAGCGATGGCAACGTACCTGTTGCCGATTACCTCTCTTTGTCATCAAAGAGAATGCCATGGTACCGCTCTGTCCTGTCTCCCCAGAGCCGGTGGAGATGGACTCCCGGTTTCTAGATCGTACAGGGAGCGGCACATCAAACAGCTGCTTGCGCTCAAATTTGCGAGATTCAAGGCTTTCCGACATCATTTTGGCGTATTCTCGTTCAAATTCCGCTTCATCTTCGGGATCTACAACTTCCTCTTGCCTGGTCACAATAATGGCCTCGTCGTATTCACTCTCATGGGTAGAGTCATTATCGCCATCCTGTCAACGATGCTGTTTAGTAGGCCTGTCATATGGCAATTGCTCAAGTGGGTGTTGCGCCGTACCTCTGCTTCCTCTTCTTCTTCTGAAGCGCTGTCATCGTCACCATCGCCATCCGCTTCTACGTCGTCCATGTCACCGTTTTCATCCTCAGATGATGGCCCACTTGTAGCGTCGTCTACTTCAGCAACTCTGTCTACTCCTGCAGTCTTCTGGTCCTGAGCGATAGCAAGTTGGAAAGCCTTGGTCGCCTCTTCAATATCTTCCACGAATTTCCATTGAGGCCTTGTTAGAGCAAATGTATCGAGCACAAGAAACTCAATGTCTAATGGCAGAGGGGATTTCGTATGGACATAATACTTGAAAATCCATCAGATTAGTCACATTTCGTAGCAGACGTTATCGGCTTGCCTTACCTGGAAAAATGAGAGGAAATAGTCAAGCTTCTTCCCAGCAGCGCCTCGATTGAAGAACATGCCACAAGTTTCTAGCATGATGGAGATGAGGCGGATTCGGAAGTAATCGTCTGGTGGATCAAAGACATTGAGCTTGCCCATGACAGGTGGCCCGCCTATGAGCAGATTAGATTGTTTGTTTCCAAGGCAGCCGAGGCCGGTCAGGGAGAAGATGGAGCCTTACTATATCCAAATAGTACGATTTTGTACATGGTATCAAAAATTACTGGATGTTCTAGCATACGGTAGTTGTAGAGCTCGCCGAGGTACTTGACCTCGGCGACGCGGCGCTGGGAAAATCGGAAGTCGTTCTGCTCTAGCCCAAAGCAAATAGATTCTAGGACATTATCAATGATTTTGACTACAAAGTGCGGATGGTGCCGGTAGAGCGCGCTCAAAAGAATGCCGAGAAGATGAATATTTCCGTATTTCACTTTGCCAGGTTTAGAAAAGACCTTTTCTAAAATAGCAACGACCTGGTTTTGAGTATTAGTTAGCTGAAATGGGAGAGAGAAAGATTGTAACATCTAAGCCACAAGATTGAGAAAGGAAAGAGAGAGTAGATCCATACCTCTGTTTCTTCCCAGTGGAGTCTGCGAATCTGCTTCAGGATTTTGCTGTAATTTCGTTTAGTCATATCGCCATAAATCAACTTTCGAATAAAGAGCTCCATCGGTGTTCGCTCTTTCTGCTCAATGGCAGGCCGTTCTGGAGGGTCAACATGGTACACAGCATTATCAATGAGCATTCTCTCTGGCTGGCCAATATGTTGCACAGACTTCTTCCTCTGCAATGTCTCGAGGAAACTTGCCATTCGAGGCGCTGTTTCAGGGTTCCTGAGAAGATACCGCCCACAATTTTCAATTAAATTGCACAGAATCTCAATGTTCATGCGAGAGAAATCGTCAAGGCTGACTTTAAGGCAGTGGAAAACAACATGCTCGGGGACAACTCCAAACTTGGTGAGCTCTGCCAAATACCGAATGTTGCTGAGCCGAACTTGGCCCAAGAAATCTTTCTCCTTGCGGCGCTGCAAGCTACGAAATTCTGCATCCAGATAGTCGACTAGTCCCTTTGGGACATCTGGCATATATCTCCCTAGAGTAGCAACCAGACGTGCCCAAGAAGGTAACAGATCACTCCGGCCTTTGGGGACTTCCGTCAGCGCCTTAACCAGTCGGTTGCGAGACGCCTTGGAATTGAGAAAGCAGAAGTCAATGGCTGTCTGATCAATAATATCCTTGTTCGTGAGATCAGGCAACCGAGCCAGTATGGCATCTACCTGGGCTCCAATAGTCTTGTTAGCAATAGCCATCGATTGATCATCGATGGGCTCCGGGGCCTTTGTAGTTTCTGTGCTCTCGGCTGATTCTGGTTTCTTGGCAGTCTGCTCTTCGGTCTCCGATTTCTTCTTCTTGCCATCATCTAGAAGGATGGCCGGAACTTTGCCCTTGAGGTCAACTAGATTTTCGTAGAACCGGCGTTCGTCTTCATCTTCCCAGATGCCGGCACCATCAGCCATGGATCGCAGGTAGTCACCAGTCTTAACCAGGCCTATAGAGCTATTTGAGGCTGCAAGGGGATCATTGGAATCTTTCAAGCTTGGCATTTCCGCGCCAATGGCGTCGGCTATAACCTGCGCATTGGCAACAAGCCTATCCTGAGCCTTTACTTGCTTCTCATAATTAGCCTGCCTATCTTCGAAGACCTCCCCAGACTTGACATATGCCTCGGCGTTGCGTCGTGCTTGGCTGTGGATTGATTTCTGATCACGAACAATGTGATTGGCGACGTCATCGAAGTATTTCTTCAGTATTTCCTTGAACTTCTCTGCCAACTCGGGAGGGGTGAAGGGTTGGTCTTCGGTCGATGGTTCAGTTGCATCTTCGCCGGTTGGCAAGCTATCATCTTCCCCGGGTTTGCGACTTTCGGGCGTAGTCGTCCGGATCCCCAGAATATCCCAGCTGAAAGCCTTGACGAAGATGACGAGCAGCGGTAAGTTGGCATGCTCCCTATCGTAGCCGAGAAGGTCTTTCAGGACTTCGAGCGGAAACGGGTCTGAAGAGCCGCCAGGTTTGGAGTTGCCTCGAGTCTTCAACTCTACCGATTTGCCGGTGGCGCCTTTGGTTGCATCGTCCGGTTTGCTGGCATCGTCCAGGGTCCTGAGTACGCCGACTAACCAGAGTTCTGTGATAACCCTGAGAAGAGCACGCTGGCGGGTGATGCGTTCTTTCTCCTCCTTCTCGCGAACTTCTGCCGGTAAACTCTTTAGAATGTTCTTGTCGGGCGTGGCCATACCCTTCCCAAGGAGCCAGGTAAGGTATTCGGTGAATTCGGTAGGGCCAAACCGTTGGTGGAGAGCGCTCACGATTTCAACCGCGGCATCGATCTCTCCCGGAGACTTGAGCCTGCAAAGGCCTTCGTAGCAGGCAGATATAATCTCGGACAGGTATTTGTGCAAGCTCAGAGTCCGAATCTCTTGCAAGAACGTCGAGAGGGTCGCAGCGCTGATGGCAGTCCGAAGCCTTTTTATAAAGGCCGTATTCTTCTTGAGCGACGAGTCAAGCGAGCTGCTGACATTGATGAGGCCTTCACAGAGAGGTTAGTTGGCAGGCAACCAAGCATTGGGGAACAGAACCGGTCTCCATGCTATACCTTTGTCGCCATCCCAAGCCTTTTCATTCAGAGCTCGGAGCTCTCCTGGAGATCACTGTCAGCCCACGAACAAGCCGTCAACAAGGTCGCAAAATCAACACGCACGCTTTCTTGCGCGATCCATGGGAACCCGTAAGGTGAGTCTGGGTTGCGACAGCCGATTCTGGTCGAGGTACTACATTCGAGCGTAACGCTGCACTGCTAAGGGATGTACTGCCCTGGAACTCGGCACTGTTGTTGGGCAAGGCGAACCAGCAGCATCGGTGCGTCCGAGGGAACTGATCGGACAAAGCAAGATAGTCGTTGAGCAGTTCAGCCAGATAAGGTAATCATAGGCAAAGACCTTGGTCTTTTGCGCCACGAGATTGACGCAAGGCTAAAGCTAAGGCTATGCAGAATGGCTAGAACTCCGATAGAGCGAAACTCGGATAAATACCAACCTTTGTCGTCAAGAGCTTAATTCACCTTGCGGCGCTAGACTAAGCACAGGCACTGGCAGCCGGAACAACGTGACTGCGAGATCGGGCTTAGCCTAATGCGATAACGTGCTCCTGCGTGCTAGTCCATAGATAGTTACGGGCAGAAGTGTATTGGCCAATCAGCTCGAGACATTTCCATCAAGCCTTCTTTAAATGACATCTTCGGTGAGCCTCGTGAAGCCAGAGCAAGCGTCGCTCAATGAATACTTGTTTTCACCCAAGAAATAAAGCAACAATAACATCTGCATAGTCAAATAATCGGTTCTAAAACAGGCGTGACATCAGTATCGATAATTAAACTGCAACTTCAGAAGATACAACTAAATGAATCCAAATCCTGCCTGCGAATCTTCAAAGTTCAAACAAATCGTCAACTCTACAGGGTAGGGGTCTAAGCACACGAGCGATCAAGCAACCCCTACATCACGAAAATGCTGCTTCCCACGGGTGTAGCGGCTGATGAACGGATCGTTAAGATTCGTTCCACAAATATCCGCCGGTGTATGATTCGAACTCAGCCCCGGGGAAGGTCTCATTATATTACATAGCGGAAATTGCTAGACATCACTCACACAGAGTTAAACAGAGAGAAATAAGAGGTGTTTCGTTTTCCTCCAGAAAAGTATGAAATCCTATACACGCCCCCGGCCCATTTTTGTCCAACGCCATGCAAGGTCCTCTGGACCGCATTTTCTCGATACACTTTCTCGGAACTTTACGAGTGCCGAGTATTGGGTGATTCGGTGTAAACCAAGCCGCAAGCAAACATCAGATACTTGGCGCATCGTTACCTACTATAGGTATACTGTGCTACAGACCAGTGGCTCCGCGCTAAAAGAATCGAAGTTTATGGCCACCGGCTTCAGCGCCTCCAGCTTCAGTGCCTGGAGAAGAATGCTCGGCACCGCCACTCTCGCCGCCTCCAGCTCCATGAGTCGTTGGGTTCGGGTAGTAGAACGCAGACACTGCGACAGCCACATAAAGTGTCACAAGGAGGAAACCCTCGAGATAGTTACTCTTTTGATCCTGCAAAAATCGACCAACGGTCAAGATGGCAAGGAAAAGCATGACCAACTCAAAAATGCCAAACTCCAGGTCCAGGGTCTTTTCAAGACCCCAGGCAACAATGACGACCAGGGGAGCGTTGAAGAGAGCTGTCTGAAGGGTGGCACCCAAGACGTGAGAAAGGGCAAAGTTCATCTGATTATCCCATGCTTCGTCAATGGCCGTAATGTGCTCGGCAAACTTCTCGACCAGAGGAACCAGGATAAGACCCATAAAAGCATCGGACACCTTTGACTTTTCGATAATATGTTCAATCTGCAAGACGAGAGTGATGGCAATCAAGGTAACGAGAGCCACGGCAATACTTAATGCAACGATACACTCTGTCATGGTGAGCTTATCCTTGGCGGCGTCCTTATGGCCGTCACGGTCGCGCTCCTCGTCCATTTCAAAGATGGCATGGTAAATACCGTGATGGGTTCGGGCCTGGAAAAAGACATAGACGCAGTAGGCGATAATGAGGAGGACAGAGACGATTCGCGAGATGCTCAGGGTTTTGTGAGCAATCTGTTCCGCCGTCAAAGTGTTATCGTCCGGGAGGCCTCGCATAAACACAGTGGGAATAGCCAGCGCCACGCCCCTAAAATCACCGGTAAGCTCGCGTTAAATCAGTGAAACATGGGACAAGTCTTGTCCGCAGACAAATAAGTGGGGGCAACATACGCCGTGAGAAGCAAACCACTACCAGCCTCACTGATGGTGTCGCTAAAAGTCTGTTCCTCGTGGTATATTCCACCGACGAAGAAACAGAGGCCCAAACAAAGTAACATGGTAGCTAAAATCGAACCGAGGATGGCGGCTTTTATGACGAGAAACTGGTCTTTGGAGAGCAGAACCATGAAGAGAATGATTTCGACGATGGAGCCGACCGTCGTCTCGATGAGAACGCCGAAAACATGGGGAACCTTGCGTGCAAACTCCTGACCAGCGAATCCGATGAGGTTGGCACAAGGTGCCATGGCGATGTAAGAGAGAATGAAGATGAGAGTGTGGTTATCTGGCAAGGTATCTAGAAACGACGACAATTGCAGCATTAGCAATCGCCCAGTTGAAGCGGGAGAACATCACCATGACCAAATGGGCAAAATTCCAGCTCCAGCTCCAGCTCCAGCTCCAGCTCTCAGAACTTACATCGAACGGCCAATGCGACGGGAACAACGGGCCACAGAACATTGACGGCCGCGCTGGCCTTGCATGACGAGCGGAAGCAGATTCTGAGGAAGTGCCAGGGGTGAATGCCACCGCGGCCACTCTCGCCGCTCTCCTTGATCTTGAACAGGCTCATGCCGGATCCTTTCTCACTTCGCCACTTGGTGCGCTTGTAGTGGTGATGATGGTGGTGATCTGTGTTTGGGGGCGGAAGCGTGTCTTCGCCGCCGTAGGCCTTGCTGTAGACAGGGCCGGGCTCGAGGGCGTCGTTTTGGACAAGACTTCGCTGCTGGCCATGAGAGCCCAAGCGGCGATGACTTGGGCTAGCCATCGCAGCGACTCGTGAATCAAACGAATCGATTCAAGTGGGGCCTTTATCTCCCTGTGTCCCCTGTTGTTTCTGATGCAACAGCAGTTCGCAAAAGGTGTGGTGGCCCAGACGTCTACTAACAGTATGCAGTATGGTATGGAGGCCGCCAAGCGTTTGCAGGCGAGATGAGAATCACAGAGAGAGAGAAAAAAAAGGACCCAATGCTGCAGCTTCAGCTTTGGGCAATAGTCGATACTAATAGTAGTTCTTCCTGTGGCGCAGGTCGTTCAAGGGGGATGGCGACGTGGCACGTCCCAGGTGGCCCCCGATGCCTTTTGTCGGCTTCGGCAACAGAATCTTGCAGGCGTGTTACAGGTTCGCCCTATTGCTGCCAGCCGCCAGGCAGGATGTGGCCGGGATGTGAGGGTAAAGCCCGCTGGGGGAACAGGAGCAGGCGACTATCGGCGACGAATAGTAAACATCGAGCCCAGCTGTCAGCTCGCCGTTGCAAATGTCGGTGGCTGAGGCGCCAATTGACGGAAGAATTCTCCAGCTCGTACATGGATGATGGAGTTGTGGCATCTAGGCCCGAAAAACGAAGCACCCATGCTTGGTGGTGGATACGCGCCTCAGCTTAGCCTGTGGATAGTGTAGGATGGTAATCGAGATATAAAGTATGCATAACGGCACACGACATGGCCTTGTGCTTACTGTAATGTTATAGTAGTGCCTATACTTAGTAGGGAGTGGTGATGCAGAAGCGGAGTCGCCGAAGAATTGCTAGCACTACTACCTGGGTATTGATCAAGTTGCTGTACTTCCATGTAATATACCAAGCAGTCTACTGTACGAGGCGCCTATACGAGTACTAGGCGTCACAGGCAGATAAATTGGTACTGCTGTATATATGTGCAGATGTAGTCGTCCAGACATCAATCACATCGTGGGCAATTCCTCACTGACATCGTTGATGCCCAATGCCCATCATTCTCGTCCAAAGCGGTAAATTGAGCGAGGACATGCTAACTATAGCCACTAGTCGCTGAGTTGCTCGGTGTGGTCTGCGCGCTCCACCACGAAAACGCCTTGTTCGGAGTTAGAGATGACGGTGATTAATAAAACGCAAGGCCATCGTGGTACTTCAGGTTGCTGAGATGGACGCAGATCAATTGTCCGTGCTGGCCTGCCTAGCTAGATGTAGTATGAAGAGTAGAGATTGGGCTTGTAGAGTCCATTGTAGCATGTCAGGGGCAGCTGCGGTATAGGATCAATTCCATTTCTTTTTCCTCTTCTCTCTATTTTCATTGTCTCCCTCGAAATTCCTTCCCCGTAAGACAGTGTTGGGTGAGATGGTTAATTAATCAATTAATTCTTTGGCCAAACACACCCCTGGACAGAAGATGCTTAAAATAAGTATGCATGACTTTAGCGCTGGGCTTGGTTTGCTGCCTCGCGCTATTTGTGCCTTATTCCCAGCTCTAATTTCACCACCATGCTCGCTCTCGTTGATACAGTATATGATGTGATGGGAATGCGGCAGTAAGCGGCCAGAGCCTGCTAAGCACAACTGAGAGTCGCCTCCTCGAAATCTTCAAGTACGTAATATGGAGAAACCGGAAAACAAATTTTTTTTAGCCATATTCACCAAGTTTAGTAAGCTGTTGCCAAACCCCTTGCCATTCAATGGCTCATTTTCTCATTTCCCTGAGAAGCAGGTCGTGTGTGCTTCATGCTTATGGCCTAGAGGCTCTCCCCATGCTAGGAAGCCGCATCTGGCCCTATTATTTCGAATCAACCCCACAGGCTCGTAACTTCAAGCACAGCAAATGGATAACTCGTGATTTTTACTCCACCAATTTACCTAGTCGTCCCAGGCCCTCACAGTGATTGAGCCGAATCATTGGCATGAAAGCCGTCGAGTGTGACTGTTACGGCACCGGCTTGAACAAGCTGAGAAACAATATTAGTCAATTGGTCATGGAGGAGAAAGAAGCTCGCGCGAGCTTCAAAAGGTAAACCTACAGAGCGAGACAGGTCCTCTATCAGATCATTGGCATCCTCAATACCGACGCAAAGGCGAATGAGGTCCTCGGGCATTTGCCGTTCCTTTCGAGTTTTGGCGTCGATACTGGCATGGCTCATCTGGCAGGGCATGCTGATGAGACTGTTTACACATCCAAAACTGACACTGATGGTCCACAGACGGGTTGCCTCTACGATGCGCTGTGAGACCGTTGCATCACCCGTCTCAAATGATAAGACTGCACCAGCTCCTCTGGCGGTAGCCCAATGCAGATCATATTGAGGATGAGATTTGAGACCGGGGTATCGCACTCGGAAACCATGCGATTCTAGGAACTCGGCGATAGCCTGTGCATTGGTTTGCTGCTTTTCCATGCGGATAGCCAACGTCTTTACTCCTCTCATAAGAAGGAAAGAGTCGTTAGGTGACAATCCACAGCCAGTTGAGTTGATTGTAAAGTATAGTTTGTCGCCAATGGCCGCATCGTTGCATGCTATCACGCCCGCCATGATGTCGTGATGGCCAGAAAGGTATTTGGTCCCCGACTCATATACAATATCTGCACCCACATCTAGGGGGTTAAAGAGCATAGGGGAAAGCATTGTGTTGTCAACCACCACAAGAGCTTTCTCGTTGACCTCATGCGCCAGCCGTGCGATTGACGGGATGTCTACAATTTTGATCAAAGGATTGGTAGGGGTCTCGAGGAGTACCATGGTTGTCTTCTCTGACAGGCGCTGCTTGACAGCGTTGACATCTGTTGTATCGACATGATGTACAACGATTTGCTGATTGGTCGCTAGGTATGTGAGCAATCGATGTGTACCACCGTAGAGATCGTCACCAGTAATAACTTCGTCACCAGGACGCAGAAGTCGCGAAATGACATCAAGAGCACCCATTCCAGAGCTGACAGCCAGGGCACGGTTGGCATTCATGATTTTGGCGAGATGACGCTCGAGGTGAGTGCGTGTAGGATTGCCGGATCTTGTGTAGTCGTATTCCTGCTGGCCGCCGCTGGCCGAGGTCTGCTTGAAGGTTGCAGACTGGTAAATTGGAGTGCTGGAGGCGCCATATTGGTCTTTGCCTTCGGTATATACTAGCTCAGTTGCAAGAGCATAGCGGCGTCGCCCGTTTCGAGGACTAGATGGCGCCGGTGACGGCGGGAGGTCGTGGCCGTCAAGGTCGAGACGCTGAAGGGGACTGGCAGACTTGCCGGGTTGGCCGTCAGGCAACGGAGCTGCCATCGTCGAAATGTGAATGCAAGAAAGAACAGGATTGTTTAGGACAATGCGAGAATCGGCTGGTCAAGATTGATTGACAACATATACTGTGTAGTCCCGTTCAGCCCGATAGCAATGAAAAGAGGCTGCTAGTCCGCAAGAAGAAACCAAAAAGTGGCCTAGGCGGTGATGATGGAGATGAATTGATGCTCCCGAATTCCTCCTTCTTGCGGAAAAGAATAGGGAAGCAGAATAAAGATGCTGTTTGTCAAGCAATTCAGGTCGGTAGTTTGAAGGTGCAGTGGAGAGGTAATTGGTCAACCAGGTGAAGTCGCAATTCTCTGGAGAATGACAGTAGAGGGGCTGCATTACTCTTTGGGGCGTAGTGCTGCGATACCGGCAGCTTCATAATTTCCTGCTCAGGTTAGGGCCATCTTGGCTATTTCGCCTTACTTTACCCGAAACACCATGAAAGTGTGGAGGAGTGAGTCAGCATCAAATGAGTGGGGAGCAGCAGCAACTAACAGCAACATTTGACGCGACACTTAAAAGACAAGGTGCTGTAAATCGGAGACGCGGGCGTTTTTGTATTAGTAGTCAAACATACTGTCTGAATATTCTTGGTCTGGGAAAAAGCTATATTCAATTCTATTTCTACATGAACATAGTAGTATATGTATATGCTCCGTATATACCATCTCTAAGTAGAATCCATCCGAGTGCTCAGCCGGCATGGGCCACGATTTCGCTAACAAGATCGCCCTTTTCTTCGCTGTAGTAGGAGCAGATCTGAGAAGGTAGCGGCACTTCTTTATAGTCGTCGTCTGGTCCAGACAAGATGTTCAGGTTGACACCAGTACTCTTGCTTGTGAACAGCTTGGTGGCTAAGCTCTCCTTGCTAAGATAGACCTGCGCGCTATCAATCTGGTCCAGCATAACGGTAGGCACCGTGCCAAGCACCTGGAGTGCAAAGTTGTTCGCCTTGACCACATCCACGGTGGAGACCAGTGTGTCAACGACGAGAGATAGGCGAGTGGAGTTTTCAACAGTGACTTGGTTTGCCTTGCCCTTGATAATGATGGTAGTGTTGTTGCATCTGCTGATCAAGACGGAGTGGGTGAGAGATGCCTCAATCTCTATTGGCTGAGCCTCTTTTTCGAAGTTCTCCTGTGAATGAGTTAGTAAACGATAGCTTCACCATGTTCATCGGCCAGGCGACTTACAATAGTCCACTTGTTAGCTTCGAGGACCTTTCTAGACGGTTTCTTGACTCTCATGCTCTCAGGCTTAGGCTTTTTGCCTGGAACGGGGCTCTTTGCTCGGGGAGCATCTGTGACTGTAGATCCTGCACGAAGAGATGGGTTCTTGTGAGTCATCTCCGACCTGTCCACCTTGCGTAGGCCTTTCGTCACAGCTTCACCCCTGTTGAGCTCAGAGAAAACTGCACCGAAACCTCCAGCAGGCGCTGCGGCAGCGGAGTCTGCAGATTGAACTGGTATATCTAGGACAGGGGGCGGGCCAGGCGGCGGCGGAGGAGGAGGGGGTGGTGGAGCTCCACCAGTAGAAGGAGCGCTGCTTGCAGCCGGCTGCTGTGACGGTTTGCTAGACTCCAATGACTTCGCAACCTCATCGGCCGGCTCTCCCCTTGGGTTCCAAGTGACGCCGGAAGCATGGTGCTGCTTGATATAGTCTCCAAGGTCATGGAAGATCTGGTAGAAAGACTGCACCCACTCAACCTGCCTGGGATCGCTGTGACAAAGTTTGGTTAGCTGCTTGATCATATTGCTAGCTTAGATATTCCACATACTTCTCCTTTTGCTCCTTTAGAACCCTGTTTCCAAAGAATTGCGCAGCGCTCAAAGACTCCTCGACGTGGTTGAATGGACGGTGATCAACGGTCACCCAGCCCAAGACCATGATTCCATCTGCAACGGCGCTCAGGTTGCTATACATCGGATCGGGTCGGTTGGATTCTTTGAGCTCAGTTGCGGCCATGAGCGCATCGGTGATGGGCTTAAGCAAGTTCTGGTAGACGACTAGGCTAGATCCTGAGGTATCCGGCTTCTTAGCCTTGGTAGCGATGAGCAAAAACTTGCGCTGTTCTTGGAATCCCTTGAGGACTTCAGAGGCCTGCATAGTAGCACAACTGTCAGCTCTCCTGGCTCGTGCCCTCCAAATATTAACATGAAAAGGGGGATATGGACCTGCTGGGCAACAACTCCTCCAAGCTGATTGCTGAGTTTGACATATTTGTCAATGCTAGTGTTTAGAAAGGCATCGAAATCTTCTATCGATTCGGGAAGCGCCTCCTGAGGCGGCTCTTTCTCAACGGGCGGCGGCGGTGCTACAGCCGTTTCCGACAAAGGAGTCGCAGGCTGTCCAAGACCGGGGACATCTTTGGGAAGTTCGGTTGACGAGGCAATATCCTCGAGGCGTGAGGTTGCAGCTTCAAGCCTGCCAGACGATCAGTATCAAAGGTTGAGGCGATTCGGAGCGACGGGCATCCCAAATACCGTTTGATGAGGGTTGTAAGGTTATGCATGTGGTTTTGGGCCGCCATGGTGGCAAATGTAAATAATGGCCTCGCGTGTGCAATCGAAAAGGCTATGTCGTAGCTCGCTGGAGGTAGTTGATAAGAGTATATAAACACATAAAGAAGTTATTCGTGGCCAGAATGACAGTGACGAACCAAGACTCCTGGCCTAGCACAAAGTAGTACGTGATAGCTTGCTGATTGGCACCGCCTAATCACAATCTCCGTGGAGGGGTTCATTCTGCTAGCAGCAGCTACCTGGAACATGCAGAAATCCACTTGCGGCACTCCGTACTCCGTACTACTGGGTAGGTACCAGCCCACCTTTGGGTGCCTAGTAGGCAGATGGATTTCTCTCTGCATCTGGCCGACAATTTTCCGCAAGGCAGGCATTAAATGGCTGATATGTACTCCGTATTGTTGAGATATACGAGAAATACCCGTATAGCATCTATGTACGTGTATATTTCTGTTAGCTAGTAGAACTCTAATATTGTACGGCTTATAAAATACGAGTACAACAGGTGTACTTTAATACACCAACTATTTCATTATGGGTGATCACTACACACCCATTTATGTTTTTTATAAAAAATAATAATAGGGAGTAATTAAAATTTGTACTTTTTAATTTTATTTAATAAATTTACACCTACTTAACAGCATGTGTAGGTGCCTACGTTCTATAAATAGATAGGTACATATTTAGAACACGGTGCCCATCTGGGTGAAATTTTGCGAGAATAGATACTAGATAGTAGATTTGGTGCTAGATTTTTTGTGGAATGGCCGCAACTGGGTCAAGGGGTCTTCCCTGGATACGAGACACTCCAACACGTTACGTTTAGGCTTTGCCTCCTGTCTTGTCACAAAACCACCAGCTTTGATCAATCCAATTCCATCACGCAGGTGGTAGAAGCCGCCCGCGTGCACTGCGCGATTAATAGAGGGATATTCATGTTGTCATAACCCTCCCTCCTACGTCTTTCAACATGATGCCCCGGCATCAGTCCAGCGGGTTTTCGAATGGATATCCACGTGCCGACACCTTCGATATTTCCCCCCATAGGTGATATTCTTTGCCTTTCTTCGCACGGCATCCGAATCAATTGGCATGCTGACCGATTTGCTCGCAGATTCCAGCCGAGAGCTACTCTCCCTCTCCACAGAAAACGCAAGCAGACATTCATTCGTGTAGGAATAGTCCTCGTCCTCCTCATCCTTGTCATCATCTGGTTTGGACAGCCTAAATCGGTCGCTTCTCTCATCTCGCTCGGCCTTCTATCTGGATATGAAGATTTGAAACTTGAAACCGTCCGATACTATGACCTCACCAACGTCCAGGGCAGCGCACGTGGTTGGGAGCGTGAAGAGCGTATCCTTCTCTGCGTGCCTCTTCGAGATGCCGAGCAGCATCTACCAATGTTTTTCTCCCATCTGAAGAACTTCACGTACCCCCACAGCTTGATCGATCTTGCTTTCCTCGTCTCCGACTCCAAGGACCGAACACTGGAATCTCTGGTTGAGCATTTGGAGGCTATCCAAGCCGATACGGACCCCAAACAGCCATATGGAGAAATCTCAATCATTGAGAAGGATTTTGGCCAAAAGGTGAACCAAGACGTTGAAAGTCGTCACGGATTTGCTGCTCAGGCAAGCCGCAGAAAGCTCATGGCTCAAGCGCGCAACTGGCTTCTCAGCGCTGCTTTGAGGCCGTATCATTCTTGGGTATACTGGCGTGATGTGGATGTTGAAACTGCACCATTTACGATTTTGGAGGACTTGATGCGACACAACAAGGACGTGATTGTTCCCAGTATGTCTACCCCGCGCCCGCACTTCTCCTGTCTTGTACTGACAATGCGACAGATGTTTGGCGTCCCCTTCCAGATTGGCTCGGTGGCGAGCAGCCCTACGATTTGAACTCTTGGCAAGAATCAGAAACTGCGCTTGCGTTGGCCGACACATTGGATGAAGATGCCGTTATTGTCGAAGGTTATGCTGAATATGCCACATGGAGACCACATCTTGCCTACTTGCGCGACCCATACGGCGACCCGGATATGGAAATGGAGATTGACGGAGTTGGAGGTGTCAGTATTTTGGCAAAGGCCAAGGTGTTCCGTACCGGTGTTCACTTCCCCGCCTTTAGCTTCGAGAAGCACGCTGAAACGGAGGGTTTTGGCAAGGTGAGTTGGCATTGTCCCGATATTTTTTATAAACATCAACTGATGAGTGTCTTTAGATGGCAAAACGAATGCGGTTTTCCGTTGTTGGATTGCCTCACTATACTATTTGGCATTTGTACGAACCCAGTGTTGACGACATCAAGCACATGGAAGTAAGTAATTCTGTTACCCCATCACGTGTGTAATCCTCTGTGCTAACCACACTTCACTGTAGGAAATGGAAAGGGAAAGAATTGCTCGTGAGAAGGAAGAGGAAGAACGAAAGATCAAGGAGGCACAGATCAAGGAGGAATTTGGTGATGCCAATACTCAATGGGAGCAGGACAAGCAGCAGATGCAAGATTTGAAAGACCGCGGAAGCGTGAAAGAGGCTGGATCGAATCAGGGCGCAGCCGCAAAGGCAGCAGGGGCTATAGAAGGACAAAAGAACTAAGCACGGGCTTGAATCATTTAGAGTAATTAATGTATTTCGGACGATATGGGTTCTTATATACAGATGCAGTATACATCTTGCCCCAGCTGGTCGTCGACAACAATAGCAGAATCTAATATAATAACGCCTACCAACGAAAATAACTATTCCAAACCACCCCGGCCCAAGACATTCTAAGCTCCGTTACTTTAGTATACAAGGATCCAAAAGGCCTTGCCATAGAAAATTCAAAATAAACTTGCTCTTGTAGAGTTGCCCTTCAACAAACAAGCTCTCTATCCTCACGGCCGGACTAACCTGGATTGGCAGGCAGGGGATTATTCATAGCGCTGCCATCATGTTGTAGCAGGTGGATAGTCCAACCCATTGCTCATAGGGCCATAGACAAGTATCAGAAATCTTGATCTTTAGCCGTTCTCCTGAATTCGAAGCGTAGAAGATTTTGCCAACCTGGTTACCCTTCTCTGTAGCCTTGTAAAATACAAAACATAATCCAACACAGTCAAAGATTATCAGTCGAACCGCTCTGGGAGAAGAATAGGTGCAACAAGAGTCCAGATATACATGCCGTGGCAGATCCAGGCGCTGACAATCTTGACCCAACTTGCACCGTATGTGCGGCCAACCGTGGCAAACTGGCCATCTTGAGTAGACTCCTCGTCGTAATTGAGAGTGAGCAATGTCGATACCCATGCCGTGGCTAGGAAGAAGATGATGTGGAACATTGTGTAATTGTACTGGGTGCTGGATCTCTCATCATCATGCGCATGATCTCCGCCATCGTCGCTCTCGTCGTCAGAGAGTAGTGCATCGGCCGGTAGACTACCCTCCTCGACAGCACGACGCAGAGCCTCCGCCCGCATTTCACGGCGATCCATAGGTTGCTGCGTGACCAAGTCATGCTCGTCATCTTCGGGGAGTCGAATGCCGTCACCATTGCCTCCCAAGCCAAGGCTTTGGGTAGCGGCGCGGGTAGTAGTGTAAGCAATCGTAAGCATGGTGACAATGGCTCCAATGACGACGGAGGTGGTTCTTGTCCCCTGAGCGCGAACCAGGGGGTTGCAGTTCTTGTCATCAGGCTCCATGGAAACAGCTGACATCGTCAAATAAGTGCAGTAGACAGCAACCATTGCGGCTTGAGCCAATCCAGCTTTAGGGTTGTATTCCTGAACCGTGGGGTTTACCGACACAACGGAAATTATCAGCCAGAGAATGAGGTTGACGGTAATGGCGGTTTGGTTCATGGTGCAGTTACCCTGGGCAAAGAAGATGTACTGAACGACGGTCATTGCGATCGATGCCAAGTACATGCCTAAGGTCGAGCCAACGAGGACGAAGCGCCAGAACCTAGAGTCAGACTCTTCGATCTGCCCCAGACAGTACTCAGCCCAAGTGTGTGCCAAATCCACGAGTAAAATGAGACCAAGGATAAGGAACAACATGGCAGCCGCAAAAGAGACATAATTTCCCCAGAACATAAAGAACTTGTCTGGGATAAGGAAGGACATAACAATCAGCGCCAGCCAAGCGATGATCTTGGGTCCCCAATAACCGTTTTGTATAGCGGCTCGGGGGCTTTTGGAGGACCTGACGCCGAAGAGGAGACCAGCGAAGATAAGGTGTAGAAGTCCGAGTGCAAAATTGATCCGATGGGCGGCCAGCCACCCATAACACTGCCCCGTGGGGCAGTTGATTTTGACATAGTCGAGCGCAAGATGCTGTAGTTTCTCGATGGCCCAATCTGTGAGCATAATCCATGCTAGGATAGAGTTGACGAGGAGAAGCAGAGCGTAGGCGATACGCGTAGCAATGCTGCAAGACTATCAGCGAAACATCACACAGCCTGCAGCGAGGCGGATATCATACCTGTTGCCGCATTTGCCACACGCGCTACACACCATAGAGCATGTTGCAGCACCGCAGCAGCTGGCGAAGCAAGATACTACCTATACAGCGCAAGTCAGCAAGCCAAAAGTCAACAAGCAAGCCGCATCATCAGCGCTCTAAAAAAACAGTGAAGCACCGGGTAATATCCCGGACTTCAAGATAGCACAAAGGCTAATGTGAACATACCGTGCCCATGCTGGGTACCGCGAGCAGCGGTAGGGAAAGTAGGGCGCCCATCTTGTAAACTAACGGCGCATGTGTGGAAAAGATGGCAGATCGCAGGCACGCTACGAAAGCGGTTGATGGTGTTTGTGATGGAAGAGGTTTTGAAACAGGATGAGGCGTCCGACTGACGACAGACCCGTGACCAACATGATGACATAACTGCTCGTATACAGTTAGGCGCAAATTAGCACTATGCTCATAGTATTGGCACCACGATAAGGGGCTCGCTTAGATGCATAAACGTCACTGTGCTTACCAGGTAGGTACCTACTATGTAAATGCATTTAGTCCAAGTCCACATCTACCTATCTATCTAATCTACCTACTACTACTATCTTGGATTTACACATAGGTAGGTAGGCAGGCAGTTGGGTACATAGGCTGATAATGTTGTAAAATTGGCCAGGCTATTTAGTATAGTAGCCAAAAGACCACTGGATTGGTATCAAAATAAAAATCTAACATCTCAAAAATAGATCCAAGGGTGTAGTACAGCCATCATATGCTCACTATAACTGTTAATAGCATTCAATACCCCAGCCTCCAGTCTATACCAAGGATCCTATATACAAACACCTTAGTCTTCTTCATCGAGCTTGTCCTTCCCCTTTAGGTATTTAGCCCTCTGGTAGTGAATTATATACAGAGTGATGAATAACCCCAGAGCACATGCGGTCGCGGTAACAGCATATGCACCACGGTAACATGCAATGCCATCGTCGCAGGATCTCGTGCCATCAGGTTCAACGACGCTGTGGTTGTCATATATTCTTCCATACAGCAGATTGAAAACATTCCCAGAGGCGACAGGAGCCAGAGTCATGAATCCCCAGTTCTGACTCAGCCCGCGGATGCCAAAGGTCTCTGCAACAATGGAGGGGAAGACGCCGAAAAGGAAACCATAGGCCAAGCCGGAGAGGCCTGAAACAAATACAAGCTTGTGTGGCATCTCAATTTGCAGCGCACAGATTTGAGCAAGAAGAAAGATGAGACAGGCCACGGCAAGGCACCAGATGCGGCTGGCACGAAGGGTCTTGACCAGGTAATCAGAACCAATTCCTGCATTGAGAATTAGCCAGATAGTTAGATGGCAGAGGGGATGGACGCTTAAGAGTGAGTCAACGTAGCCTTACCACTTAGCAATCTTCCGACGAAATTAAAGACAGAGAGAATAGACACATGTACCTGCTGATGACTAACAAGGAACGGCTCGTCGACCGAGGGGTCGTAATGCTTCCAAAGGGCGTTTGCGTCATTTCCAATATTACTTGACAGCACGTTAGTGATATCGACACATAAAGTAGCGAAGTGGATATAAGCGGCGTACTTGATAGTCATGAGGCCAGTTCCAGCGAGGATTGCCATGATAGAGAACAGCTGCCAGAAATCCAGGCAGACCAGGAGCTTCACCCCTCGGATATCTACTCGATGAGACACATCTTGATCAACACTACTGCGCCCAACTATGTCGGCAGTTACAACATCGGGCATCAAGGATGATGACTCGTCAATCAGGGGATCATCACCAGCTTCGGGATCACTGAAAATAACGGCGCGACTGGCGTCGGATGCTGGAGGGGTCCGAGATGATGTGTCCAGGTTTGGGTCAACGGCATCAGGATTGGATGACGTACCAGGTTCGGTTATGCTGCGCGTCCTCTGTCGAGCAGGTTGTGATTCGGGTGTTTGGGTGGGCACCTCCTGGTAGGATACCTGAGGGTATACCTTTAAGAAGAAGTAGCCGGAGAAGGTAAGGCCAAAAGTGCCCCATGACAAGAGCATCAGAAAGGAGCTGGTGCTTCCGGGAAAGAAAATGGCCCCGAGAAAGGAGAAGAAAAAGGCGCTGAGCCCAAATGCAGCAAGCGGGAAGGCCGTAGCCGTGCCGCGATGGCTGGGCCAGTTGAGCGCAGATGTCTTGACAGCTCCTGCAAATGCCATGCAACTGCCCAGGCCGGTCAGATAAGAGAAGAAGCAGAGCACAGGGACAGAGCCCGCGGCTTTCTCAAAGGAGAGGCAGAGGGGCACATAGCCAATAGCCAGGAGAAAGGCGCCGGCAAGCACAGCAGGCCTTGATCCGCGCTCGTCCACAAACATGCCAATGGGAACACCCAGAGTGTACATGCCCAGGTTACCGAATAGGCCGATCAGGTTGCTCTCCGTAGTGGAAAGCCTGAGTTTCTCGGCGAACTGGGGTGCCCATGCCGAATAGACATACTATTTTGAGGTCTTGTTAGTCGAGGCTATACATATTCCGCTTGGGCATCTGGGAAAGGACAAAGAGGCAGAGTGAAGCAGTGGCTCGATCCTCTACTCGGACGTCAAGAGGCTAGCAGGTTGTATGTACGGGATGGACGATATGTAGAATGCCGCAGACAACGACATAGGGTGGTGTCTCACGTTTGTGCCGCAGGCCAGGGAGATGATAGTTGCAGCGACCGTGGCGATAAGCCGCCCACGGTGTGCGTCTTGCTCCTGGTGCATGGTGAAGTTTCTCGAAAGGACGCAAAAGTAACAAGAGCGTTGTCAGGAGCAGAAAGGCAGAACTCAAGCCCCTAGATAATGAGTCCTATACCGCGTATTACGTGAGGCGGCGATGGATTTTGTTGTCTTAGATAGCAAACGCGACAAGGGCGGCGAGAGTCAGGTTTTAAGACTGCTTCGCGATGCCCCTGAGCCAAGATTCAGGAAATGCAAATATAATATAGATAATCAATCAATACATGAGATGCGCAGCAATCAGGGAAGATGGGTCATGGTTCTTCGGAGCGCGACGAGGTTGCTGCAGCGCTCTCCGGCAGTTTGCGTCCACGAAGCTCTCGAGAGCAGATGCGAGGTGCTGATGATGAGCTGGGCTCCCAGCAGCCACTTTGGTAGTAGTTACGTACTGTACAGTCGCAAACTGCCATAATCTAGAGTGCGTGCTCCGTACTCCATACTTTTTGCTCCGGAATACGGAGGCGGCTTGGCGCCTATAATTAGTAGGTAATAAGTACAAGTATGTAGCGAGTGCTACAGGCTGTACGGAGTACGAGGCGCCCCCATGACCTTGGCACGGATCCAGGGTAGCAGGCGATAAGAGGAGCACAGTGGAGTTGTGTGACGGCTTCATTCCATGTTCCCGTAATGGCAAGCGGTCAACAATCTGCCGTTGGCAGTATTTCCATCGCCTGAGCCGAGCCGTGAGAAGCATCACTCGCGCGCGCTCTGATGGGATGGCGGGTTTTATGTTTCATGCTAAAACCAAGCCGCATCACCCTCCAAAGGACGTACGGAGGCTCCGCGGCACCCCCATTAGTGCCTTTGCATTGGCCCTGAATCCCTTGCCCCGTAGCGTTATCGATAGGGCTCCTCTGGCTGAGTTGGCGAGGTACAAGCAAAGCTGCCGCAGGTACCACCAGATTTTCGGTAACCCAGATTCTTACCTCGGCTCGTGGGACTCGCTACATCCGGGGTCCAGTGGAGCCGAAGACCCGATAGCGGTAAGCGGCGGCCTAGTCCAGCGTTATTTCTTGCATTTGGCATGTGGCCGCGGTTTGTACGTGTATGGCGCTCCAAACTGCCCGCATTTATGAAGCACGAGTTTATTCTATATGATTCTTGCGGTTCCATTGCACTCTTTCGTCGTGTTGACCAGTAAAGGCATTTGTCGCTCTGTCTTGTGAAGACTGCCTACTAAGGCTAGCTATTATCCGACGCCTCTTCCTCTTGCTGTTAGCGAATGCGGTAGCATCGAATCACACCTAGCACCGCTTCCACAGTTTGCGGCACCAGATCCCATGAGCCGCGGTATCTGAGCGGATCTCCAGCAGCCGATATAAACACCACGCCTCGACACGGCCGCCCCCCTTTGCCTCCGACTATCCTGCCATGTTGTCAGCAATTCGTTCCCAAAGACCGACAAACACCTTTCGACGGGTTGCCATCTCTGCTGTATGAGACACTTCCCATTGTCTTCTTTCCTTAATCCTTTTGCAACTTGCTAACTTACACGCCTGCTTACAGCAGACCCATCGCTTCGCCATGGCACCATCAAAGCGCAACAGCAGCTCGCTTCCTGCCGGTATGTTTCTCCCATGTGCAATCCCTCCATGTAACAGAACGACATTGCCCTGTCGATTTTACTCTTCAACTTCTCGCCCTTCTCCGCCCTTCTCCCTGAGACGTTTGTTGCCCGAGCTAACACCGGTATCCGGCACCAGGCTATGTCGAGGACAAGTCGAAGGGTGCAATGCTCAGATTCCAAGACTCGCTCCCTCGCCTCCCAGTTCCGACGCTCGAAGAGACCGCCAAGAGATATCTCAAGAGCTTACACCCCATCATCTCTGCTAGCGAGCTTGAGAAGAGCAAAGCGGCCGTCGCCGAATTCATCAAGCCCGGCGGAGTTGGCAGCAAACTCCAGCAGAAGCTCATTGAGAAGAGCCAGGACCCCAAGACGAAGAACTGGATGTATGAATGGTGGAACGACGCTGCATACCTGAGTTACCGCGACCCGGTAGTGCCATATGTCAGCTACTTCTACTCACACAGGGATGATCCCAAGCGACGCAACCCCGCCAAGCGAGCCGCAGCGCTCACCAGCGGTGTCCTTGAGTTCAAGAAACTCGTCGACAGCGGCAGCCTCGAGCCGGAATACATGAAGAAACTGCCCATTTGCATGGACAGCTACAAGTGGATGTTCAACGCGAGCCGTGTTGCGGCCAAGCCCGCGGATTATCCCATCAAGTTCTCTCACGAAGAAAACAAGCACATTGTTGTAATTCGCAAGAACCAGTTCTTCAAAATCCCCCACGAAGTTGCTGGCAAGCAGCTCAACGCCTCAGAGCTCGAGGCCCAGTTCAACCGTGTCTACCAGATTGCAGAGCGAGTTTCGCCTGTGGGAGCCTTGACCTCAGAAAACAGAGATATCTGGGCAGATGCGCGTGAGCTGTTGATTTCAGCCAGCCCCAAGAACAAGGCCGCCCTGGAGGTCATTGAGTCTGCGTCATTTGTGGTCTGCTTGGACGATGCGTCTCCCGTTACCTTGGAGGAGCGTGCCCACCAGTACTGGCATGGCGATGGCGCCAACCGCTGGTATGACAAGCCTCTCCAGTTCATTGTCAACGACAACGGTACATCGGGTTTCATGGGCGAGCACTCAATGATGGACGGTACCCCGACACATCGCCTGAATGACTACATCAATGATCTTATCTTCGGAAACAAGATCGACCTTTCAGACCCCAACGTCCGATCTGACTTGCCCGAGCCCCAGCCCATCAACTTCGATATTACACCCAAAATCCAGAGCGAGATTGACCGTGCCGTCACCGACTTCAACAGCGTCATTGGCCAGCACCAGCTTGCTGTCCAGGCGTACCAGGGCTACGGCAAAGGCCTCATCAAGAAGTTCAAGTGCTCACCAGATGCATATGTGCAGATGATCATCCAGCTAGCCTACTTCAAGATGTATGGCAAGAACCGCCCGACATATGAATCGGCTGCCACTCGACGCTTCCAGCTGGGCCGTACCGAGACGTGCCGTAGTGTTTCTGACGAATCAGTCGCTTGGTGCACATCAATGGCCGACCATTCAGCCGACGACAAGTCGCGAGTCGACCTCTTCCGAAAAGCCATTGCGGCCCATATCGAGTACATCTCCGCCGCGTCGGACGGCAAGGGCGTTGACAGACACCTCTTTGGACTCAAGAAGCTCCTTGAGCCTGGCGAGGAAGTCCCGGCCATCTACAAGGATCCTTCATATGGCTACTCTTCATCGTGGTATTTGTCCACCTCACAGCTCAGCTCAGAGTTCTTCAACGGCTACGGATGGAGCCAGGTGATTGATGGAGGATTTGGAATTGCCTACATGATCAATGAGAACAGGTAAGAGCCTAGCATGCCCCCCCCCCCCCCCCCCCTTTTTTTTTTTTTTTTTTTCTTTTTTTTTGTGCAGAGAAACAGCGCTGATATTCACTATAGCATCAACTTCAACGTTGTATCAAAGGGGCTTGGAAGTGACCGGATGAGCTACTATCTTAACGAGGCAGCGGGCGAGATGCGAGATCTGCTGGTTCCTACACTGGAGCCCATCAAGGCCAAGCTATAAAGGTCTTGTTACATGCATACACAGATATTACTTGTATAGACTCTTCCTTTTATGCGCTGCGCGTTGGATAAATGTAGATATAATACACCATTTTTGATGCATCTTGCAAAGGCTTCTGAATCCAATCACGTATGCAATTGGGCGATGGCGACATTGATAGCAGCGACAATGAGTACAGTACATACATTTGCGCCAGGTTTGCTTATGCAGCTGAGGTACCCTAAGTTTAGGTAGGTGCAGCCAGGAACCAATTTCTTACCCACCCATGAAACATTTAGAGTAGCAAGGTCCGTAAGCTTATCAGTATTGCAGATAAGGTACAAGTGACAATTTGCCCAGCATGTATCTGTGACGCAATTTAGATAATTGGCATGCGATAGTCCGCATAGTTTGCATAGTTTACACTGCAAACACGCTAGATGGCGCGCCCTCGCATTAACCGTGTCTAGTACCCTGTACTTTGCGCCAATGTACCTTGATAAGTCGCCTGCAGGCACATCAGGTCACTGCCGCCCGATAAACGTGCTGCCGTGATATCGGACAGCAAATCTCAATCTTCAACTTTCACACCTCTCGCCAAGCTGGCCATGGGCTCCCGCATAGACCCGGATCCCGCAGAGGAGTCCGAGCAGCAATTGGAGCAAAATGCTGACATAGACTTTGTGACCTTTGGCATGCTCATTATCGGTGAGGCGTCCCCGCTACGGCCTTGTTAGCCTCTAACAGCCTGGGGCTGACCAACCGTGTCCACGCGATTTCACGTCAAGATGATATTGATTTCCTTCCACCAACGCCTTCTCGCAACAACGTTCTCGGAGGCGGCGGCGCGTACGCTGCTCTCGGTGCCCGCCTGTTCTCTCCCCAGTCACTCTCGACGACGGTGGGATGGATTGTCGACCAGGGCTCCGACTTTCCGCCTGCGGTCACCTCGCTGATCGACAGCTGGAACACTTCGGCCGTGGTGCGCCATGATGCCAACCGATTGACCACTCGAGGATGGAACGGCTACACTGGCGCCGGCGACAAGCGCGAGTTCAAGTATCTGACGCCCAAGAAACGCATCACGAGCGATGATCTGCCTCCCAATTTGATCCAGTCCAAGTCCTTTCACCTCATCTGTTCTCCGACCCGTTGCCAGGAATTGGTCACCACCATCATCTCCCGCCGCAAGGAAGCTTCGCCGCCCGAGACATATACCAAGCCCATTTTCGTTTGGGAGCCTGTGCCTGACCTCTGCAACCCTGACCAGCTCCTCAACCTCACCAACACTCTACCTCTGGTGGATGTCCTCAGTCCGAATCACAGCGAGCTTGCCGGCTTCATGGGCGACGACGGCTTGGACCCGGTAACCGGAGACATCTCTACGAGGGCCGTTGAGCGCGCTTGTGAGCAGCTTCTGGACAGCATGCCTCTGCAATCCTTCGCCATCGTCGTGCGGGCTGCTCACAAGGGCTGCTATGTGGTCAAGAATGGCGGACGCAAACGCCGCCCTGGCCAGAACTCCAAATCAACTCGAAAGAAGAATTATACACGAGGCGGACTACGACCTGATATCGACATGACGGCTCTATTGGCTGATCTCATCCGTGACGAAGATGGTATAATCGTTCGCGACGAGATTGAAGTCGACCCTGGCGTCGAGCGATGGATCCCAGCCTACTTTAAGAATGGCAGCGACGTCGTCGATCCTACAGGTGGTGGCAACACTTTTCTCGGTGCCATGTCTGTTGCTTTGGCTCGGGGGAAGAGCTACGAAGAAGCCGCTGTTTGGGGAACTGTCGCAGCTAGTTTCGCAGTTCAACAGGTGGGCATGCCGACGTTGGATCGGCACGAGGATAAAACAGAGACTTGGAACGGATCCGTTGTGCTAGACCGACTGCGCGAGTTTGAGGCAAGACTCTAGAATCATATTACGTACATACCATTATCATATCTTTTTATTTTCATCAAGCTGTGACTCATGATTGCCCCGGGTTTCACCTTGTAGTATCCTTGACGTGTCCACATAAGAAATTTGGTGAAATATTCCATCCCTATCCTGTCGCCATCTAGATCTGCCCCCCAACACCAGCCAAAGTCATATCATTGGATCTTAAATCTTGTAGATAACATCACCGTCACCAAACCTATTGTACTGGTTAGCTAGGGTCAATCGTTATGACAACCGGCTGAAAAACTTACATGATGTGATTTGCTTCCTCCAATTTCTTGAGCGCCTGAATAGCTTCAGGTCTGCTAAAAGCCCCTCCTTCGTTGCCGCCAATTCTGTCGTTGATGGCTTCAATCACCGCGTCAAGAGGAGCCGAATCATCCTCAAACACGCTGGTATTAAGTAACTGCCCCAGGTTTGTCCTAAAGGCGGATAGTCGTTGACGGGTGAGAGCAACATCCTCGATTTCTAGATTGCTAGCGGCGCTAGCCAGTCCTTCATCTTCAACTTCTCCCTGAGTCTGAGATAAAACTTGAGATGCAGGCAGTGTCGATGCGAAGGAGCTCTGAGTATCTAAATCATGAGATGGATGAGAGCTGCTGCCCATGTCGGCTTCCACTGCCTGGGTTTGGCGGCCCGAGCTTTGACTTGTGGTACCGTTTGTTCCATTAAGCCTCGAATTTCTAGTCTGCATGCGCGTAGTTGGTTGTCGAGAGGCGCCCCTGCTCGGTTGGCCAGTTGATTGGCTTTGTTCATCGCCTTCTTCGTCGCTATCATCGTCGCCGCTCTCATCGCTGGATGAGGCCAGGCCAGCAGCTTGCGTACGTCTGCGCTTTCTCCGTGAGCTATCCTCCACGATTTCTTTAAAGAGGGCAAACCGCAAGATACCCTCGGCAGCAATAGCATCTCGCTCTTCTACCCGACTGGATAATCGCGACTTTGCGTGAGCAGTAGCCAATCGGATTATTGTCTCAAGAGTACGAACTGTGAGAGGGCTTGTCCGCCTTTGATTTCCCTCCAAATCGTCGTTTCGAAGACCAACATATATGTCGGCAATTCGATCTGACGCTTCCTGGGAAAGGACAGGCTTGATCCGCTTAGCATATTGAATATACTTCTTCATAAACGGTATACTTAGGATCTCCGTTTTTTTGTTGGACCCTCGGCCTAATGTTCGGGTCACGCCTGCATGCAGCATTGCATCGTACTTTTCATAAACATCTGTTGGGCGTTGCGAACCAGCCTGCGTGTTTGCAGAGACCCCTAGGGATTGAGAAGTTTGCTCTCGAACAGGCGCACCCTCCTCAGTACCCGCCTGGCGATACCTGTGCATGCGTAATACATGCTCAGAAACTTGTCTATCTCTGGTGTCTTCTATGTCATCTGTAACAACAAAGAGTAAATCGAATCGAGAGAGCAGGGAGTCTGGGAGTGCAATATTCCTGTGGGGATCCTTGTGAGGATCATACTGTCCGAAGATGGGATTGGCGGCTGCAATAACAGAGCAGCGAGCATTCAATGATGTGTGAATACCTGCTTTGGCGATTGTAACTGTTTGCTGTTCCATCACTTCGTGAATGGCCACCCGATCAACGTCTGACATCTTGTCGAATTCATCGATACATACAACTCCTCGATCAGCCATAACCATAGCGCCAGCCTCCAGTTTCCGCTCTCCGGTTTCCTTGTCTGTAGTCACCGCAGCTGTCAAACCGACGCCAGAAGAACCACGACCTGTTGTTGCGATAGCTAGTGGCGCCGTGTTGAGGACAAATCGTAAGAGCTGGGACTTGGCGGTAGAAGGATCGCCAACCATCAAGATATTGATGTCTCCTCTCAGGTGGGTACCATTCTCGAGGTTCTTTTCCACTCCTCCCAGAAGCATGAGCAAAATGGCTTTTTTAACATAGTCATGACCGTAGATGCTTGGAGCAAGTGATTGAGAGAGAAGGCCGAGAAGGTCCTTCTTCTTAGCGACCTTGTTGATATTGCGGATATCCGTATCAGTAATCGAGGCAGTGGCTACCCCGCCACTAGACTTGGACGACAACAGGACGACGTTGTTGGCCAAAACGACTGTCTTGAAGAGTGCGCTGTTGTGGTTGGCGTTCCTGTTACCCAGAGTGCGAAAGATGCCAACAAGCTGAATTCTATCACCGGGTTTTACTTGATCAACCAAATCATCATCCAAGATGACGTCAACACCACGAGGAAGTTGACCAGCGGGGGCTCGTTCAGGCATCTCTTGAATGGAAATTGTCTGATGATCACGGTAGGTGCAGAATCCATATTCCGTCGTAAGGGGATTTCCATCGTCATCTTCTTGCGGGTAGACGCTAGAAGTAGTGACTCCGTTGGTCATGGTTTGGTCCTGGTATTCTCGAAAATGAAATTTATCCTTGACTTCGTTGTAGTGAACGCTCCGCACAACCTTGGGCCTGATGAGAGAGCATCTGGTTACGATGCCTTCCACAGAGACCATGTGATTCAAGTGCTGCGACGACAGCGTGCGAGGATTGCAGGCGTTGAGGCCAAAGTTTCCAGCCCATGCGCAGTAATAAACGGTGTCTCTCGCCGTTTGATCAGGCCTGGCTTGGGGCAGCGTCTGCACAATTTCTTTGAGGGCATGGTTGAAGGCAAGAGTATAGTCGAAGGGTTTCTGAAGGATCTCTTGTGCAAATTCCGCATTATGATCTCGCACGTGGTCTATGTTGACGGTAAGGCGACGCTGGTTCTTGCGTAGCATCAAAATAATGTCTGATCTATAACTTCGAGCATGAGGATCGTCTTGAGCAAGGTTAGCGAATGCAGAAACCGGGTTGGTGGTAACAGGGCTGATTCTCACTGGGAACTAGAAACTCCTCAGCCTGGCGAATGCGGTCCCGCACACCGTCATCCTGAAGCATAAACGAGTCCATGGCGGGCAGTTGTCTCAACGCAGCGAGCGAACAAAAGAAATCGCCAGATGGAGGCTTGACCAGAGCTGTGCCGCGTCGAATCTCTAAATTGAAATGCCCCTGCCCGCGTCTCGAGGTGGGTAGGTACCTGCTAGTAGGTACCTACCTGTTCGCGTCGCCCAGAAAATGCTGTAGGTACCTTCCCTCCTAGGCAAGCCCACTGACGGCGTATTGACACTGTGTTCTGCCACCACTGACTCGCAGCATCTACGGAGCACGGAGTATTGCATGCACGGCCTCGTACTGGGTACTTGCCTAGAATGCAGGGAGTATACCCTGCTGTCTCAAGCATGGTGGGGGCGTGCCGACATCTTAGCAAGTTACCCGTGCAATGAGTGCGTGGCCAAGAGCTGCGACTGAGAGAGACCACCAGGGCCGCCTTACTACCATTGCTCTGGCAGAGAAGCGATGTATACACCGAGCATCAGCCTAGCGACTCTCTTTTCCCCTATTCCCTATGACGGAAAAGAAGCCAGACGGCTCCGAGATAGAGATCTTCGCGAGGGTCTTGGGGTTTAATTACTGAGTCCCCGGTTCCGCCGACCCATGACATAGCGTCACAGGTAGAGGCCACGAACAGCGACTGAGTCTTGCCACAGCCGCACGAGTCTGATGCAAAGGCTTTGTCAACCTCGAGAGCTACCCTCGATCCTTTGGTCGTCGCCATGGCCGACCGCAATGCTCCGGGAGTGTCATCGCCGCACCAACCTTCCTCCTCCGCAGCGCCCCTGGCTGGGACCACGGGCTCTGGATCCGTCCGGTCGCGCAATCGCCGTCCCCCCAACCATGGCAGCAGCGAGACTATAACAAGAAACCATGGCCTTCTGGCACAGAGGGCTCAGACTGCCAAAGGGAGAGAGGGGACATCTGGTTTGGGGCAGGTGCTTGGAGATTCCTGGGCCCAGAGCTGGTCATCAGTCCAGGGATTCGCATCCTCTCTCCTCTCCGTAGCAGAGAACCCAAGCGACATGCCTCGGCCTCGATCAGACGCCCAATCCGAACAAAGCTTTGCTTCTTCGCTTTGGAATCGAATCCCACCAAGCATCGGCGGCAACGCCAGCAAGAGCCCTAACCTGGGGAGCTCTCCCATTCTGCGAAGCCAAAGGGCAGCCAACCAAGTGGCGGCTGGATCGTCGGACCAGCGAGAATCTGCGCTGAAAACCGCCAAGAAAGCCAGCGTTTTGGAAAACAGCCAAGGCCCGAGTGGAGGGTTGGACGTCACGGGGAAGTATAAACGTCGAAATTCTGACGAAATTACCTCAGAGAACTCACAGCCGGAGGAGTACCTAGTATACATCCACAAAGTTCTGCCTATCGACACATATGCTGGAATTATTCTCCGATATAAGTGCATGGAAGATGCGTTTAGGAAAGCGAATGGCCTCTGGTCCAGGGACAGTATCCAGGTTCGGAAATGGGTCATTATTCCAGTCGATGCCTGCGAAGTACGAGGTCGTCCTTGCGACCCTCCATCAGGCAATCAAAATCAGAGTACCACGGATTTCTTCGAAACAGCAGCAGCAGGATCAATGGCGCCACAGACTACACCCAGTGGCTACTCCAAGCTATCCAGTGAAAGGGCTACGCAGGAAGATGAGAATGCAGAAAAAGAGACAATGCCGTGGTCGCACGTCAGATGGGTCAAGATAGACTCACTGCCTGAGCCGGTGGAAATTGGGCGTATTGCACGCCAGAAAATGGGATACTTCCCACCACGGAGGAAAAAGGCCGTTTCTTTTTCGTCGACGCCGCGACAGAGCCTTGATACCACGGAGCAAATAGAGCAGCCATTATCCAGGAGACAGAGCTCAGTGGGCGATCAACCACCATCGTTGGGCAGGGGTGAATCTTTTCGCAGCCATGGAGATGGCGATGGGCCGGATATGAGACCAGCATGGATGCGACGCTCTGGTGGTGTCGGCTCTTTGAGCAGGAATATCCGCGCCCCTGGTCCGGACAAAGATTACTTGAATTCGTGGGCCAAGAAACACTTCCCCGGCCTGAATATTGACGACCTGCCATCCATGTCGGTGATGGGGTCAGAGATGGCGCGATTCGGGTTTGATCATGAAGCTGCCGGGATCGTTGAAGGCACCATTCAAGAGGGGGGAGATGCAGAGTCACCTTTTAATCAAAATAACGGCTTAGACAAAGCTGCGGCCGCAGTTGAGACCTGGCTTCGAACTGCGTGGTCGAAACGCTCCATGGCTCCTTTAATTCCACGACAAAGGAGCACAGCCGGACAAGATTTGGGAGACCTGATAGAGCTAACGCCTACACCTGGTGCCGAGGGCACGCCACGCCTTGATATGTTTGATTCACAAATACCATCGCCATTCCTTGGAAGTATAGCGGATGCCGATTCTAGCATAAAGCGATCAGGATAGAATTTGATTACACAACATCATTGGTTTATGCCCGGTTATGGAGTATTCTGCATATGTGCATATTTAAAAAGCTAGAAGTTATTTATTGTCATACGAAACTGCGCGCTGTTTATGGTTTCAACAAGCACTCTTGAACCCGATCTTATTCAGATTTTATGACCATCTATCAACTTGCCTGCCTACTTGAGCCATACATCATCTCTGGCGTGTAAGCAGATCTCACTGGAGGCATTGCACTATACCCTTTCTAGGTAAGCAGAGAAGTGCTTGCAGTATAGGTATACACTGTGCGCTACAAGAACCAACAGCACTAACAAGTCGCCTAAAACAATCCACTAGTACAGGCTTGTACAGTATCAATCAATACAGCTACCTACAACATTCAACATCTCTAGATCAACGTTGATCAACCGCGCGTTGGTCAATCAAGAGCCTCACGTTTTTTTTTTTTTTGGAAGAAAATCTCAGAGTCCACCAGTTCGTAGCTGATATTAAGTGAAGCCAATTTATAGACTAAAGCAGGAATAATGCGCGATCGGCCAGCGGCGGCGAATAAGGTGACAAAGAAGTCGCGAAATGGACCTCGCGGCGCAAACGCGAAAGCGAGGTCCGCAAAGCGAGCCAGAAAATTCCAAAGCGAATTGAATGATATGACCGCATCCCCCGGCTCAAGCATCGCATCCGAAGTAGATGATGAAGCCAGGTCTTTGGATCAGTCCAAGTCAACCAAACAAGCACGAGGCCGACCCAAAGCATCCAAGGACCGAGACAATATAAACAGTTCCACGGTTCAGGCAAACGATAATGGAGATGCTGATGACACGAGTGGCGTTGAAGATCAAGATTCGAATGGAGACGATGTTCGGCGACAACTCTCCGAATTAAAGAAGAAATATTCGAAATTAGAAGCAAGGTTTCAGGAGCTTCAGGAGCTAGGTGTGAAGAAGGCAGAACAAAACTTCGAGCTACTCAAGGCGCAAGCCGATGAAAATACAAGAGGTGAAATAGCGCTAGATCTACAATTGCAAATATCAACACATTGCGGGCTAACATGTGCGATAGTGGCCAATGAGTTGATCGCGCAACTCAAGGAAGAGATAGCCGAGCAATCCAAATCTATCCAGCGAGCAGAGAAGGTGCAGGTACAGCTAGGCCAGAGCGAGACTGAGGCAGACACTTTGCGCACCCAATTAGCACAGGCGAACCAATCACTGTCGCAGGCCAAATCCGAGACGAAGACGCTTTACACAAAACTGGCGGCGAGTAGGCATATTGAACCAAACAATAAAGGATCAGCAACTGGGAATCGGGCGGCGGTTGCGGAAAAGGAAAACAAACAGGTCGCCCAGCAAGTCAAAGAAGACTTGTTCGCTGATCTGACAGGCCTCATCGTCAGAGATGTGCGTCGCATTGACAAGGAAGACGTCTTCGACTGCATACAGACTGGGCGCAACGGAAGTAGGTCAACACCACGTTGTATTACAGCCAAGGGGGCAAGGCTAACGAATTTGTCCAATAGCTCTCCACTTCAAGCTTGCGTTGGAGGATATGGATTCAGCCGACAGTTACGAAGACGTACAATTCGCATACCGTCCGCAGCTGGACGCCAGCCGCGATGGCGATTTGATAGAGGTTCTTCCTGACTATCTCACCGAAGAGATCACATTCCCTCGAAATCAGGCGTCCAAATTCTATGCCAGAGTAATAAAATCATTAATGGATCGTTTGGATTAGGATTGTATGATGAAAATAGAAATAGAATCACGGCAGCCGAGCATTGTGATTAGTGGAAGCATGCGCCGAGTATGCAGATATATTCATAACAGTTGGAAATTGACTGTATTTGTATATGCCCTACAGTGATACTGAAGTAAGCATGTGAGAGCAAGAGAGAGGTCGCGTATAAGTTCTACCACTGCCATGGGGGAATTAGTCAACTGCCGGCATAGCTCGCGGGGAAGCGTAATCACATGTGGGAAAGAAAATTTGGTTAGAAACGCGAAGAGAGAAAAAAAATTAAACAAGAAAATACAAACTTTTCAGCGGTTGATATACGAGTATATTCCTATTCCCTCAAGGGATTATTATTAGTATCTTCTCCAGCTACATTTATGGTGGTGCCATGTATTGTTGCCTGCCGTGCCGCATTCTGTTATACGCGCCACAAAACAGTAAATGTACCGATAAGTAGATTGCCCTGGCTAAGCCGTGGAGGTTGACAGACTAGTACAAAGGTAGCGCAGCACGATACTGTAGGTAGTGCTTGGAAAATCGGCCGAGGCAGCGCGCTTCACGTTTTACCAAGATTGAAGTGCTGGATGCCGCTGATCAGCTTCCTAATCTCAACATTTGGATGAAGCCATCTCGAATCTGCCGACACACACGTTTACCCTGCGCGCCAGAGTTGGAAAGGATCTAGGACCGACCGTATCCGGCTCAGGCACCAAGAGTAACGAGTAACGAAACGGGTGTGGCCTCGCCGAGCTGCTAACGGAGTTGAACCAAGGTTGTAACATGCCTGCGTTCGCTCTGCCGGTTTGACCCTATTGTCCGATCGTCGAGCAACCCGTAGCCCCCTTTGCCGGTTCTCGTCTCCAAAACACTTCTCTTCTCCTGGTTGTGTATGCGCTTGGAGCTTGGATGCCTTGACCCGGCGCCCATTTGCGTAGCTAAGCTTGAACTCGACCTCGCGCCGGGGAGGAGGTTGTTCGCCTCCTCCTGCCATCACCCCTCTCTGTCCATCTGACAATCCCTCGATCTCTCGAATCCCGCCGACCAGCGACCACACCCGCATCATGGACGTCGAAATGCCTTCTGGCGACAGCACGTCGCACGCGAGTCCGCAGCAATCGCAACCGCAATCCAAGTCCTCTCCGCTGCCCTCAGCTGCCGCGAGCGCCGCCGCCGCCGCTGCCGCCGCCGGAGCGGCCGCCAACCAGATGAGCTTTAGGAGGTATGATAGCTGTGATTCGGTGATAACGGCAGGTTTCTAACCCGCGCGGTGTTTTCTAGGCAACGAGCGTCACGGGCATGCGAGGTATGTATCGTCTTGCAGGTCGCATAATCATCACTTCTCCATGAGCCGAGGCATCCCAGCGGGTCCGCTGACCACTTGGCTTTTGGCATTCTACTGGACTCATGCTAACCATTCGATAGACATGTCACGCTCGAAAAGTACGTTTGACAAGGCTTGCGCTATTCTCCATGGGTGCTCTTGCATGCTAACCCGATGGCCTCCAGGTTCGATGCGACGCAGCTAGTCTGGGGGTGCCATGTACCAACTGCGTCGCCTTTCAGATAGAATGCCGCATCCCAACGCCGAAACGCAAGAAGACCCAGGCCACTGGGACGCAAGCAGGCAAGGATTCCGATAGGTGTGTTCCCGTGTCAAGCTTCGCTGCTCTCTATTCATGCTCTCCTCATGCTGACCCCATTGTGTCTTTCTTCTCTAGCGACCGCGGCGAGACTACTGATGATCCGTCACGGCAGACCCCTCACAGCTCTACCGCTGCCTCGTACTCTCCAAGAGCTTCGGCCCCTACTGTGTCGCACACTGCTGATGGGACGCCTCCCACATCTCTTACAGAAGCTCAGGCTAGGAAAGAGGAGGTTGACAATGGTACATATCTGAACTTGGTGATGAAGCCGAAATTCACACGAGCCCCCATTACTGAGGCTGGCCGCGTTGCATACCTCGGCGAATCATCGAATCTTACTCTGCTCGTCCACGATCGCCAAGGTTCTGCGGATGTCGTTCACTATCCGTTGCCCGAGAACGTGAGGGGTTCGCGAGCCAGGCTGACCGAGCTCGATAATGTTGAGATCGATATCCTTCACCAACGGGGCGCCTTTCTGCTGCCTCCACGGTCACTATGTGACGAGCTGATTGACGCTTACTTCCAATGGGTTCATCCCATTGTCCCGGTCATAAACCGGACTCGCTTCATGCGACAATATCGGGATCCTAAGAACCCGCCGTCGCTGCTCCTCCTCCAGGCTGTCCTTCTGGCCGGCTCTAGAGTCTGCCAAAACGCCCAGCTCATGGACGCAAATGGCTCAACTACTCCGGCTGCCCTGACTTTCTACAAACGGGCCAAGGCTCTATATGATGCCAACTACGAAGACGACCGCGTCACTATTGTACAGTCCCTCCTTCTGATGGGATGGTACTGGGAGGGGCCTGAGGATGTCACCAAAAACGTCTTCTACTGGAGCCGGGTCGCGACCATTGTTGCACAAGGCTCGGGTATGCACCGATCTGTCGAGCGGTCGCAGCTGAGCAAGTCCGATAAGCGGCTCTGGAAGCGCATTTGGTGGACGCTGTTTACGCGCGATCGATCAGTTGCCGTTGCTCTTGGTCGTCCAGTTCACATCAATCTCGATGACTCGGATGTTGAGATGCTGACTGAAGATGATTTCATCGAAGATGAATCTGACCGAGGCAGCGAGTACCCGCCAGACCCCATCCATGTGCAATTTTTCCTGCAATACGTCAAACTCTGTGAAATCATGGGGCTTGTTCTCTCGCAGCAGTACTCGGTTGCCTCTAAGGGAAGGCAGCGGAATGCCATCGACCTTACTCACAGCGACATGGCCTTGGCTGATTGGCTTCAAAACTGCCCCAAGATTGTCTACTGGGAAATGCCTCGCCATCATTTCTGGTCTGCGCTTCTCCATTCCAACTACTATACAACCCTGTGTCTCTTGCACCGGGCCCATATGCCGCCAAGCGGCTCGCCTCGATTCCCCAACGATACTCCATACCCGTCAAGAAACATTGCCTTCCAAGCGGCGGCTATGATTACGTCCATAGTCGAGAACCTGGCGGCGCATAACCAGCTTCGGTATTGCCCGGCCTTCATAGTGTATAGCCTTTTCTCCGCCCTCATCATGCACGTCTATCAAATGCGTTCCCCCGTGCCATCTATACAACAGGTGACGCAGGACAGGATGCGCAGCTGCATGCAGGCAATGAAGGAGGTCTCTCGCGTCTGGCTCGTGGGAAAGATGGTCTATACCCTGTTTGAATCCATCCTTGGCAACAAGGTGCTGGAAGAGCGGCTGCAAAAAGCGGGAGGGAAGCGACATCGTAAGATGCAGCAGACTGTTGCCCAGCTCGAGCAGCTCAATAGGCAAGACGCATCCAAGCGGAAATACGATGACATGGCTATCGACTTTACGAGCAATACCCCGACTCCACAAGAGTCGTACGAAAGATCCAGGCCGCAAACTCCCAGTGCTACCAAGAGTGAGAACAATGTCGGCCAGCGCTCCTCCGCAGCGTCTCCAACTGTTCGCCAGACTGGCACAGATACCTTCATGGGCGGCACCAACTCTCGCCCCCAGACAAGACCTGCAACACCATTCAACCCTTCATTTTCCGTCCCGGCAACGCCACCAGACTTGTACTTGGTTACGCGCAACTCGCCAAACATCTCGCAATCTCTGTGGGAGAACTTCCAGCCTGATCAGCTTTTCCCTGAAAGTTCAAGCATGCCGGTGTTCCCCAGTCTCTCGCCTCCACAGACACACCAGACTCTGGATCAGAGTGCGCTAAATCAAATCCCTGGAGGCGGCATAGCGGCGAGTATGCAGACCAATCAGTTCAGAGGTTCCGGCCAAGGGGCCGGCATCGTGCCGATGGCTGGGTTCCAGGGGCAATCCAACTTGTGGCAGTCTGGCTTCGATGGCGGACTGCAAGACGGCCAAAGCCCCGATAGCTGGAGCACAAGCTCTGCGCAGGGACAGCCTGCGCCGACAACACTCAATGTAGAAGATTGGTAAGTTTTTGTGACGGGAGAGCGTTGCTTGTATTTGCAGCTAATGATGCGGCAGGTTTCAATTCTTTGGCATCAATGGAGATATGAGCAGTATAAATCTAGACATACCCTTGAGCTAGAGAGTCGTCCCACGGTGGCGCTCTATTGGGTTGTTTAGGCTACTTACAGTCTTCAGATATGACGGTAGGCAAACTGGACTGTGTGCTTGTCTCGATGGAAGCGTGTTTAAGAGGCAGGACAGTACGTGATTTATCGAAGCGGTTTTTGAGGACGACTTTGATGTGAAACTAAGGCTTGGCTCTCTATACGTTTGGTTCCTCATGTATTCACCATCTGTAATAACAAAATATTTCGCGTGGCCGACGCTCTACGTTATCAGATACACCAGCAGCCTGGGTGAAGTTCTCGTGGACACGTATATTAACCGTAATTTATATTGTATATCCTTAAAGTTCCACCAGGGCGCTATATCACTGTTTGATCAATATCAGAGGTGTGGGGAAGATTATCTTGAGATCGTGATAGGAGTTCCGCGACGTATACGCTAGCCGACATGAAATATTACTCCGGCAACTAAGAGCAAAAAAGGCAGGGAAATAAAAGAAAGGGCTGTTACTCCAGGCCGTGGAGTAGCCTCGAGGTCTAATCCTGGGGCTCAATAAACGTTTCGTCAATTTCTCCGTACGCATCAGTCGCTGGTATATGGTTAGACCCCTTTTGACGTTGCTGAAGCACATCTATCAAATATTGATCACCTGGATGTTTGACAAAGTCATCAGTCCTGATTCCACGGAATTGGGCTGGATCAACTGGTCTCTTGGAGGGGCCATCGCGGCCGTGTTGTCGCATATACTCTCGCACAGGCGCCATGGCAGCATCGCGGCAGGCCTCTTTGATATCGCTCCCCGACATGCCGGCTGTGATTTTAGACACATGATCCAAGTCAAAGTTGTCAGCATCCACTTTGGCGTCCTTGAGAATCAGTTGCAAGATCCGGCGCCTTTGTTCCACATTCGGTAGCGTTATGGGGAACTTCTTGGGCATTCGTCGGAGAATCGCT